TGAGACAACTGGAGCAGTTTGCTCATGAGGAGTGGGCCAAAATACCTGTTGACAGCTGCAGAACGCTCATTGACAAATACAGAAATCGTTTAATTGCAGTGATTGCCTCAAAAGGTTGTGCAACAAAATATTAAGTTATGGGTACCATCATTTTTGTCCAGCCCTATTTCATTAGTTTTTTTTTTTTTTTAAATAATTATGTTAATCAACAATTCAAAAGTAATGGCTGATTTTGATTATTTAATTTTCAATAAATTTTTATTTATTGTTACTTTTGTAGGTTTCAAGTGATTTCAGTGAGAATTGTGGGTTTTTCCTTCTTTAACTGAGGGGTACCAACAATTTTGTCCACGTGTGTATTTGAGTGGAACTTTATCAAACTTTAAATTTCAAAGGCTGTACATAATAAATGTATTTCAACTTAATTTAGTCTGTTTTTGTAACTTTTTAAATGTAATTCATATGATTTTTTTGTAATTTAGGCCTTTTGGAGCACTTTAAAATAATAAAAAAAAAAGGTCTAATTATGATGTATTTTGAGTTAATTTTGTTGAATTTTATGATGACTGACAAATCTTTAAACTTATGAAGGTGTCCCTTATTTTAACACTACATTTGACTGCTTTAATCCGCCTCTTTCGCTGTAATTACAGTGAAAATAGCTTGAGTTCAATGTTAGTTTTCACCTGATATCATTGGTTAGTATAAAAGAAACTGTCAAATAAGTTTCAGACTGACGTCTTTAAAAAGCCAAGAAGACAAAAAACATCTTTTACGAAAACTAAACGCAGAGATTTCTCACAATAACATGCTCTTAAACATGCAGGACAGGACCACAGCAGGACTTTGGGCTCATCATACAGTGTCAATGCATCACTTTTAAGCTAACTATTCCCAAAGTCTCGACGATAACACAAGTTTTCATGAGGATATTGTCATTCAATCTTACGGTCTCCATGTCGTCGGTGTTTCCTCGCTGTTCAGGTGTTTATCAGTCCTCTGGGGAGGTTTTATTCACGATGGAGCTTCCAAAGAGCTGTCAAGCTGAAAGTTTGTGAGCCACAGAAGTTTTTCGTGTCGATCTTCAGGTTGAATCTTCAGAAACGACCGTTGTTTATCGACTTGTGATGATTTAAATTTTTTTACATCGTCACAGGTTACCATGGAGATTTAAAATGCTGTTTACTTTAGAAAAAACACTTATACTGGTAGGTTATATCTAGCTTAGCTGGGCCATCCAGTTGCGTCAATCACAGTCTATCAAGGAAAGTACTTCCGCCCACTTTTAGGGCTCCCAATTGGCCGAAGTACAGACTGTTGTGGGAAGTAACGGTGTTATGCCGTAAAATGCACCCCTGCCGTAGGATGCACCTCTAACGGTAGCTCGGTTGAAAGAACCTAAAAATGCGAAATAATTCAAGTTTTCCTTACCGTTGGACGCATAATTCAGGCTATTCAGACAAGTTGAAAACAATCGCCCTCTGATTCGTAATATTTGCTGTCCCCAAAATATAATATTCGCTAGCTTGACAGCTAACTGTACAGTTTGTACACCTAAGTACACATCTGTATGTGCATTTTTGAGACACATAAAAAAAAAAAACGAAAGTTTGCTGCTCCATTTGACATGTTATCATGATCCAATACTCGTGTTTTTGTTAAAATATGAGATAATTTTCTTCCTCTTTAAGAAGCTAATGAGTGAAGGGGGTGCGTTCAACGGCAGGGGTGCATTCTACGGCACAACACCGGCAGCTGGTAGAGGCTGTATGACTGACAAACATCAGGAGGAAATCTGCCTCTGAGGCTCAGGCATTAAATATATATAAACTAAACTACCTCAAGTGTCTTTGCTACTACTCTCTTTACCTCAGACTTAAAGAAATAAAAGCATTAAGGAAATATGAGCTCAAGCAAAAAACAAATGTTAAAATACAGGTGAGGGAGAGTGTGAACTGAGCAGCTTTTTACAGCTGTTACATAATATCCTGCAATTTTCACATCTTTTATCGATTATTGTGCACCAACTATTCACAGTTTTACATATAAAAATTATTATATTGCTTTATTTGTTGCAGCTTACATGAAGCATCTGAAACAGGAGAGATGTGCTCTCCCAGCCTCAGCCTTTGGTGTTTCACATACCCATGATAAAGAACTGGGAGCCCTCAGACTAGAACCATACAACCCAATAAAACTGACTGCGTGAAAATATATTCTTTTTGGCTGAAGTGCTCCTACGTTTTCAGGTTTATTGATATGTCAGGAGGGAGACAGTTGTACTTCCTGTTGATTGTTGAAGTTGTTTTTGCTGACTATTGTCAAAAACTGTGAAAACGTTATGATTTTAACATGTGACTGATTCATTTTAAGGAGTACTGAAATGATCTAAAGTAAATTTCAGGGTCAGTGTGAAGATTAGAGTCTTCACCTCAGACTGTCATTGACCTCAGTCATTCCTTTCACATCTATAAAAACAAAACCACCCCTCATTATCCTCCTTATGTGAAAACGTGTCTTTTTTACTGCTTTTAAATTTTTTTTCTCAGCTTTTTATCTCATCAGAAACACCTCTCACGCTGCTAATACATCCCAGATCTCTGTAGCTTCACGTTCTCAGCTCTCGTTTTGAAATATAGTAGCTCCAGCTCTGTGTTTCTGTGACATTCTTGTATTGGTTGATGTCCATGAGAATGAGCGCAGTGGTCTGCAGCGCAGGTGTTCGCTGAGCGTACATATGGTGCAGCTCTACATGATGACAGATGATGCATTGAAGGACCTGTGTTTGGAGTTAGGATCTCTGTGGAGGAACTATTTTGTCTGTGCGGTCGTGTTTATATCCTGACAGTCAGATACACTCTAAGGGCTGAGTGATGAGCGAGCGGGTCCAGCCTGATGGCTTTGATCTGTGCTCACTGTGAGATCTGCAGTGTCCAAAATCATAATGACTCAACTCTCTGGAGCAGAGAAAGGGAGAGTTTCACACTTTTATTTTCTCACTTCGGGGGCAGACACCCTCTCAACTTTTAAGAGTAGATTTCAAACATTCCTCTTTGATAAAGCTTATAGATGGGGCTGATTTGAACCAGCTCTTAGTTATGCTGCTATAGGTTTAGACTGCCGGGGTTATCTGGCACACTGAGCTAGAGTCTGTCTCTATCTCTCCCTTAGATCTTTATGTCCCATATAAGTCACTAACCAGATTTCTTTCTCTCTGAGTGTCTCTGAGTCTCTTAGCTTCCCCTGGACTAATGCTGCAGACGGTCTGCTGTGGAACTGCCTGACCCCAGCTGCATCGTCTTTGATTGTCCACCTCAGGCCCTGAGCTCCTCCATCTCTCAGGCTCCTCTGGACCGTTGCTGCAGACATGTACATCAGCCTAACTGACATCTATAAAATAAAACTAGAGTAAACTGCCATTGAGTTTTAACTTTAATCACCTTAAATTAATTTAACATAGTCCATAATTAGATACTTCATTATCCTGTACATTGAAGTCATTTTCTCTCATCAAATTGCTAACCAGATCTTTCTGTATGTCTCTGAGCCTCTAGTCTCCTAGGTTGCTCTGGACTGATGCTACAGACGGTTGGCTGCTGTGAACCTGCCTGACTCCAGCTGCATCGTCTATGATTATCCGCCTCAGGCCCTGAGCTCCTTCTTCTCCTGGGTTCCTCTGGACTGTTGATGCAGAGATGAACATCAGCCTCACTGACATTAACAACATAAAACTGGAGTTAACTACTATTAGGCCTGCTGACTGTAATCACATTAAATTAATTTAACATAGTCCATAATTACTCATATCCTAACCCTGTAAACTGAATTAATTTTGTTTCACCATTACATGAGCTGTTGTTGTTGCTGTTGTTTAATGTTGCTGCTGTCCCCTGTCTCTCTCTCACCCTTGTTCTCTACTCTCTTTCCCTTCCCCTCCCTCTCCCTACTCATTCTCTCTCCCCCTGCCCTCTCCCCTCTTCTCTCTCTCTCTCTCTCTCCCTCTCTCCTCCTGCCCTCTCCCCTCTTCGCTCTCCCTCTCGCTCCCTCTTTCCCCCATCTCTCTGTATTCCTCCCCAACCCAGCAGCAGCATGGTGGCTGTCTGGCATGAGTCGGGTCCTGCTCAAGGTTTCTGCCTGTTAAAAGGAAGTTTTTCCTTGCCACTTTTGCTCATGTTAGATGAGAAGGGCCAAATCCAATCTTAGGTTGGTTCTTGATAATTCATCAAACAATGAGCGTGGTCTAGACCTGCTCTTGTTCTTTGAAAAGTGTCTTGGGATGACGACTGTTGTGAATTGGTGCTATATAAATAAAATTTGATTGATTAATTGATTTGAACAGATAAATGAACAAGCCCATGTGATGCTTTGAACCCTCACATGAAAAAAAAATAAATCTGCTGATAAGTTGTGTGGTTGTGGTGCTATTCAGGGCTGTCCTTAATTTATCTCTGAGCCATTTCTTTTGCCTTATACTTGAAGACCGAACAAGTTTTCACTCTCATGACAGGCCTCACCGTGCACTGCTATCCGTGCAAGTTTAGTTGTAGATGTGGTCAGCACAGGGAATTTGAAGCTGTCAAGTGTGCAGCATAGCTCAGATCTTGATATCTGATTTCTGACACATCTCAAATAACATCTGGTACTTAGCAGAGTCAAGAAGAATCATAACAATAATACACGTTATATTTTCAGAGCTTTACTTAAAATCTGCATTGCAAAGTGATTCACAAAAGCACAAGCAATTAAGCACAAAATTAATACAGAAGAAAGGTTTTTAAATCAACTCTGAAAACTAGCATGTTGACAACAAAAACTGCACAATTAAAAGTTTTATTGCTTAAAGCTCAATAACTGTATGTAATATTATTTTAAAAAGAAGAATTAACAAAATAATCAGGTTTTGAGAGGAATGGAAGTGTATTCTGGATATACACTAGTTACATCGGTGCTTAAGAAAAATTTGGTCTCTTCTTTGTCTTTGTCTGTATGAAGCTCTCTGGCTAAATGTTGTCAATATTCACTGCAGATGTGTGACTGTCATTGCTCTCCTCTTTGCAACAACACACAGAGGCCAACAGCTTGCCCAAGGTGGCCTTTCTGATGAAAATATACAGAACTAAGTCTGCAAGAGGACTCAACCTTATCAATAACCGACAAAGGCTACGTGCTAAAAAACTGATGTCAGATCCAGCCCCCTCTACAAGAAACATAACGGTGATAGGCAGAAACAGGAGTGTGTAAATGAGGAGCACAGAGACCAGCATTCCCACAATTCTTCGTTTTTCTGCAGAATTGACAGAGACAGAGGCAGAGAGGGCTTTAAGGGTTCTGACCAGGAAGAATATTAACAGTGGAAAAGGAAGGAGGAGGAAAACGGAAATGGTGAGTTTTACGACTGAATCATCAACCCAGGGGAACACAGCAAAGTTGAAGACAATAGTTGTGACCCAGACCATGACACAGACTGTCACAGAAGTCTTTATAGTGCGTTTGTAGCGGTACCACAGTGGGTGGACGATGACCAAGTACCTGCAGTTTGAGAAAGAAACACACTGTGTGAGGAGGTGCAGGAAAATACAGGAACATAACTTTCAAACACTAAAGAAGTGCACACATAAAATTTAGATCATTACCTTTCCAGAGAGACACACACCATGAAGCAAACACTGGTCATTACTCCACAATCATAGATTCCATCCACGAACCGACCAGCCATTTTTTCCATGGGGCCTAAGACCCACACGATCATGAATAAGAACTGAATGATGTCTGATATGAGAAGGTTGATGATGTAGATCGGTGAAACTTGATCCTTTCTAACCTACAAGAAAGGTAAATAAGCAGTTGTTAAATCATCCTTTAACAATTATGACATCTTGTGCTCTTATGACCACTCATACATTTTTGTGTAAAATAATGCTCATTTCACACTGATGGTGTATTAAATAATCATTATTTCAGCCTCCACCTGAAATCGAATTCCACAATTCCACAAGCCTACTTTCTTTTGATTGGCCACCTGTCCAGGGGCATGCCAGAAAACAGCCAAAGAGGGCAAAGCTCCTTGTTATGGCTCTGCTCCCTTGGTTGTAGTCAATCAGCGGAGCGGCTTCTCCTGGTTTCAGTAGTAGGTATAATTGAGTGTCATCTGTGAAGAACCATATCCTTTCAAGTTTTCTGGATGTTTGTTTCACTTCAAAGGTTTCAGCAATCTTGTTCACATCAGTTTATGATGCAAACAAGATTTTTTCCTGATAAGACCAACCCCAGAAACTGTTGTAACACCCAAAAGCATCCTGTGACATGGGAAAGAAAATGTGCATATAACTGTGTCATATCGGCTCAGTCAGACTGAAACTGTCCAAGAGATTATGTGCACTCATCAGATGTGTTACTGTGAAGCTGAGGAGTAAATGAAAACTTCCACAGATGAAGAAAGAAAGTAAAAAGACAACATTTTCCTCTTGTACAAACAAATGGTACAGGGCTGAAAAAAGGACATTTTTTGTTTGTCTGCCTCTTGTTAACATTTTTACTGACTGTTTTGAAACACAATATGTCAATTGGGAGAACACTTGTTTTTAACAGTTGAAGGAGGGTGTCACCTACCATCGTGTACATGGTCATGCTTCTGTCAATAGCTCAATTTTTGTCTAGTGCATGTGGACTGGAACAAGGACAGAAGTCCAGTTAAATGGCCTGATCGAGCTTCGACTGTAACTTGATTGTGCATGTAGACGCAAGGCTTTATTTTCATGCCTCGCCGTGCTGATGATGCTGATATTTTCGTAGACTAGATAGAAACACATGATGAAGTGAACAAGATATTTAATTTGTCTCCCTCCTTTTCTTTCTTCCTCTTCCTCTTATTTCTCGCGCAGCTCAACCTGGACATGTCTCCGTGTCCTCTCTCCCGTCCTGCTGCAGCTGGGGCGACTGAACGGATGATTTGTGTCAGTGATCAGATGAGTTATTTACTTTAAGCCGACATACGAATATTATAATATTCAGTTTTGTGAGCCAAATTTATTTTATATGCCAACATCTATGAAAGAAAGAGCCAGGCCACGGAGCGCGATGCGTCATTTACGCACAGATGGTTCCAATTTTAATGCCATTTTTGGAATTTACACACCCCTGTTCAACTGCCAGGTTTTGTCATGTACAAAATTTAATCAAGATAAATAACTTCACAACTTCTTCCACCTTTAATGTGACCTATGACCTGTACAACACAATTGAAAAACAAACAGAAATCTTTCAGGGAGGTGAAGTAAAAATAAAGAACTGAGATCATGTGGTTGCATAAGTGTGGGGGTGTGGCTGTGTTCAGATTTAACCAATAAACCCACTCCACGCCCTCTCTCCTCCTTCTCTATGGCTAACGCCGCTGGGAGGAGCTGAGTTCGCGAGGGGGGATACTTATGTCGGGCTGCGCCGCTTGTCAAAATATCAAATCGTGCTTGGGAACGCCTTGTTGGTGCGGCGGACCAGACTTTCACTGCGCATGCTGACGAGGCACGAAAATAGAGCCCTGTATCTCAAAAGGGAAGTTTGATGTGAGGGTGTCTGCCTCCTTCAACAACTGGGCTGTAAGCATTTCCTGCTGGATTTGTTGGAGTAAAGCAGTCTGTTGAAAAAAAATGTGCATTATTTTCCAATGTCATGACTTTTTTCACAAAATTGTATTTTTAACTTCATTTTTAAAGATTCAATGTTGTTCATAGCATTTCCACTTTTTTTTCTTTCTCAGAGTGCAAAATTAAGTAAAAAAATAAACTTTTTTGCATTGTTTTTCTCATCCACAGCTCAGGTCCATCCATAATTTGCTTATCATAAATGCTTCCAAAACTTCACATGGTCTTCAATCGTTTTGGAATCAAAGTGAGAGACAAAGTCAACTATGTCTGACTTTCCTTTGCTTTTTCTTATTTTGCATTTTAAGTGAAAGTGTTCTCAGTATGTACGGGCTCACATGATTAAATTTGGGTCAATGTAAAAGCTAAAATCAAATCCAGATCCTGTACAGACAGACAAACTACTTCAAAGAAACATGACGGAGACAGTAAATGAGTGAAGTCATATTGTACCTACCAGAGAGTAAAGAGCATAGATGGTCACGAGCGTCAAGGGGAGGCCAATAGAGATGATTATGCATGTACCAACATACATAATAACATTAATCTTAATCTTGTAGTTCTGATCTTCAAGCAAGATTGTATCGTTATGGTTTTCTGATGGTGAAGTGGTGTTATTGTAGATATTTTCCATTCTTCAGAGTCTGACTTGAAGTTGAAGAGATCATGGGAAAAAAAATATACAAACAAATGAGGCCATGATCTCCACAAATTCTTAAGAAATAGATAAAACGCTGCTCCTCTTGTTTGTTTAGTTCATTCAAAGTTTAGTTGGTAGTCCAATATAAATGGTGGTTTTTAGATCTCACCTGAATGAAGTCTTTGCACCAGTGTCTGATGTTTCCTTGCTTCCAAACTGTCTATCACACTCATCAGGTCTATAATGATGCTTCACTTTTCTTCTAAGGAAGTCAAAAAACTATTTGTCACTGTTGACCTCGTGGTTACTGGGGAAGGCAGAAATTGCATAAGCACAAACTGTGTGTGTGTGATAAGGAAAAACCTTTTTTTAACATGTTACTAAATTCATTATTCATGTCCTACTCCAAAGAGACAAACATGTTTTATTTCACATAAATTTTTATTTGTTTGTACTGGATGATTTTCAGTTGTGTACATCACCTGAAGGCTGTAAATATGAGTTGATTCAGGTTTAGTGTTTTTGCACATCATGCAAAAATCTTTAATTTTCAAGATCTCTGTTGTGACGTTGTCTTCTGTTTTACATGGCTCTCTAAGTTTACTGTGTGCGTATCGAGTTCGCCTGAATTGCCTTTTTGGAGTTTTAAGTTGAGCTCAGCAGCTCTTAGTTAATGAATCTCAAGTTTGTGCTTGAGAGTGAGATAAGGAGATGATGAAACCAGATATCGAATAGACTTGATATCAAGTTTCCTCCTTATGAGGCCAAGCTGCTGAAAAAAACTGATAAGCGGCGTAAATGTTTGTAGTTAATTTAACATTTTACATAACATACAACACATACATAAATAACAAGTCAATACACAAATATGGTGAGGACGAAACAGCGGAGAAAGGCAGGGAGTGTGTGCATGTTGGGACTGGGGAGACTGGGACTAGGAGAGCAGACTACAACGATAAATTAACTTGTTTGTGTTTTACTAGTTTACTTCAGCAGGTTTAACAACTGTCTAGTTGTCAAGGGTCTAATTGCTACTGGCATATATTTGTTTTCCAAGTCAAAGTTATTTCTTGTCATTGAAAGATAATTAAAATGTCTTTTTCAATTAGTAACTTCAAATAACAGGAAATATCATGAGATAAGCTACAGGTAGTTGTTGGAAAAAGGGTGGTTTTCCTGTCACCTTAATGGGTTCTCTTACATTTAATTTCCCAAACACACACACAAAACAGTACTGACTCATGTTCACTTTCTGACTCTAATTCCTTAATTATCCCTGACCCTTTTCCTGCGTGGTGGTTAATGGGAAGAAGAGTAGACGAGGATTCAGAAGAGTTCTCAGTTGAAGCTGTATTTTATTAATGAGTCAAGAATGTGAAAACAAAGATCTTTGGGCTCAAATTAGCTCATCCTACCAAACAGACAACTAAGAGGTCTGAGCGCTTCAGAGCCCCGACTAACTTTCCCTTGAACCCTTTAGAGTCGAGGATCCGCCTGTCTAGACAAAGAGTTTCCTACACTTGATGTTGTCTTCGTGTGTAGGCTGGTTCATGTTTCTTCTTCACCTCTCACATAGATGGGTCCAGGTGTTTACCTAATAAGAAGTTGTGTTATGCATTCTACACTCATCTCTAACACACGACCATTCAATCATACAGTTTAGCTGTTGCTGGAAAGATGATCTACTTAAGCTAAAAAAAAAAAAAAGCATTTATCATAGACGCAAATCACTAACACCCTCCTAAGTTCTATCACCCTTCTTTTTTAGATGCTCTAACCGCAGAGCACACTCTACCCATGTCCTTTTTCATCAACTTCCTTCAAAAACAGCACACGAACATCTCTATCCAGTGCAAAACCTCTTACTTACCAACTATCAAGAAAAGACAAAGCTGAAACCTCCATATTATGGATACTGATCTTTTCCTCTGTACAGGGGGATCTATAGCCTCCCTGGAGCTTTTATCCTTCTTCCTGTTATCCATCAGTACATGACTGCAATAAACACACTTGTTAATTCTTTGCGCAACTCAGTCAAACCATCTCTATATTTACATCATATCCTAACAGCAGACCCAAAGCCACAACAGCATCAGAAGACAAGTTTCTGAACGTCAACAGCTTGTGTAATAGGCGGCTCACAGGACAACAGCTTCAAGCACAGCTTAATAGTGGTTGCAGTAAGCAAGTCCCAGTTTCAACTGTGAAGAGAAGACTTCCAGTTGCAGGTTTGAAGAAAATGCTGACACATAAGGCAACATACACATGCAGCATATACATCAAACAGTGTTATAAAAAGAAAGACAATTTAACAGGTTAAACACAATTAAAAGCAAGGAAATAAAAGCAGGTCTTAGGGTGTTTCTGTAACTTACAGATCAGAGGGTTAGGTTCTAACCTTAGCTAAGGTATTAAGTTTAGAGAGGCTAAAAAACAGTGTGTTCCTTTTATTGAAACTTAACTCTACTAATTAACTAAGTAAATCTCAATAGTGCCCACCTTTGTGCCAGTCCAGTCAACCTATGGGAATGTCTCTGGAGCACACGTCAAGTGCAGGTTGAGCAGGTGTATGAACAGTATGTACAATCACCACTGTGCAGATGGAGGGCAGACTCACAACAACACTTTTTTTTCTTTTTTCAGGAGAAAGAAACTGACTTCTGCATGATCAGCACTACAAATATTTCATGATATTTCTTTAAACATTCTACTTAAGTGGCGTGATTGTGTGAGGAACAGAGAAACCTTCAGACATTTCCTGCACATCAGTGCCCTCTGGTGGGACCACATTGTCAATATTCACTGCAGATGTGTGACTGTCATTGCTCTCCGCTTTGCAACAACACACAGAGGCCAACAGCTTGCCCATGGTGGCCTTTCTGATGAAAATATACAGAACTAAGTCTGCAAGAGGACTCAACCTTATCAATAAATCACACAGGCTAAGTGCTAAAAAACTGATGTGAAATCCAGCCCCCTCTACAAGAAACAAAATGGTGATAGGCAGAAACAGAAGTGTGTGAATGAGCAGTACAGAGACCACAATTCCCACAATTCTTTGTTTTTCTGCAGAATTGACAGAGACAGAGGCAGAGAGGGCTTTATAGGTCCTGACCAGGAAGAATATTAACAGTGGAAAAGGAAGGAGGAGGAAAACGGAAATGGTGAGTCTTTCGACTGATTCATTAACCCAGGGGAACACAGCAAAGGTGAAGACAAAATTAATGACCCAGACCATGACACAGACCGTCACAGAAAACTTTATAGTGCGTTTGTAGCGGTACCACAGTGGGTGAACGATGACCAAGTACCTGCAGTTTGAGAAAGACACACAGTCTCTGAGAAGGTGCAGGAAAATAAAAGAACATAACTTTCAAACACTGAAGTAGTGCACATGTAAACTTTAGATAGTTACCTTTCCAGAGAGACACACACCATGAAGCAAACACTGGCCATTACTCCACAACTATAGAGTCTATTCATGAATGGAACAGCCATTTCTCCCATTTCTTTTATTCTTATTATGGGGTCTAAGACTGCCACGATCATGATTAAGAACTGAATGATGTCTGAAATGAGAAGGTTGATGATGTAGATCGGTGCAACATGATCCTTTCCCACCTACAAGAAAAGTAAATAAACAATTGTTAAATCATCCTTTAACAATTATATAATCTTGTGCTCTTATGACCACTCATAAATTTTTGTGTAAAATAATGCTCATTACACACTGACAAGACTGAACTCAAGATTTAGTGCAGCAGTAACCTTAGAGTTTAATGATCAAAATTGGCCAAATAATTAGAGAAGCTGTGTTCATGGAGTCGATCTACAGTGGATAGAAAAAGTCTACACACCCCTGTTCAACTGCCAGGTTTTCGCAATGTAAGAAAATGACAGCAAGATAAATATTTTCATAACTTATTCCACCCTTAATGTGACCTATAACCTGTACAATGCAATTGAAAAACAAACTGAAACCTTTAAGGGGAAAAATAAAAAATAGAGGAGTTAAAATAACCTGGTTGCATAAATATGCACACCCTTAAACTAATACTTTGTTGCAGCACCTTTGGCTTTTATTACAGCACCCACTCTTTTTGGCTAGGAGTCTATCAGCGTGGCACATCTTGATGTGGCAATATTTGCGCACTCTTCTTTGCAAAACCGCTCCAGATCTGACAGAATTCGAGAGCATCTCCTGTGCACAGCCCTCTTCAGATCACCCCACAAATGTTCAATGGGATTCAGAGATCCCTCTGATTCCAAAGCCTCAATCTTATTCTGGTGAAGCCATTCTTTTGTTGATTTAGATGTGTTCTTCGGGTCATTGTTGTGCTGAAAGATGAAGTTCCTCTTCATCTTCAGCTTTCTAGCAGAAGGCCGTAGGTGTTGTGTTAACACTGACTGGTATTTGGAACTGTTCATAATTCCCTCCACTCTGACTAAGGCACCAGCTCCAGCTGAAGAAAAACAGCCCCAAAGCATGATGCTGCCACCACCATGCTTCATTGTAGGTATGGTGTTCTTTTGGTGATGAGCAGTGTTGATTTTGCACCAAATATACCTCGTGCAATGATGTCCCAAAAGTTCAACTTTGGTTACATCAGACCATTACACATTTTCCCACATGCGTTTGGGAGATTTCAGATGTCTTTTTGCAAAATTAAGCTGGGCTTTGATGTTTTTCTTTGTAAGATAAGGCTTCCGTCTTGCCACCCTACCCCATAGCCCAGACATTTAAAGACAGCGGGAGATTTTTGTCACATGTACTACACAGCCAGCACTTGCCAGAAATTCCTGCAGCCCCCTCAGTGTTGCTGTCGGCCTCTTGGTAGCCTCCCTGACCAGTTTTCTTCTTGTTTTATCATCAATTTTGGACCGACGTCCTGGTAATGTCACTGTTGTGCCATATTTTCTCCACTTGATGATAATGGTCTTAACTGTGTTCCATGGGATATTTAAGTCCTTGGAAATTCTTTTGTAGCCCTCACCTGACTGATATCTTTGAATAATGAGATCCCTCTGATACTTTGGAAGTTCTCTGCAGACCATGGCTTGTGCTGGAAGATGTGGCTACAAAAATGTCAGGAAAAGACTACTAGAACAGCTGAACTTTATTTGGGGTTGATCAGAGGCACTTTAATTGGTGACAGGCGTATGCTGACTCCAATTTAACCTGAGTTTGAATCTTATTGGTTAAATCTGAACACAGCCACACCCCCACATTTATGCAACCACATGATCTCAGTTATTTATGTTTACTTCACCTCCCTGAAAGAGTTCTGTTTGTTTTTCAATTGTGTTGTACAGGTCATAGGTCACATTAAAGGTGGAAGAAGTTGTGAAATTATTTATCTTGATTACATTTTTTACATGACAAAAACCTGGCAGTTACACAGGGGTGTGTAGACTTTTTATACCCACTGTATATATTACTCAAGATTTATTGGGGTCAAGCAATTGCCAGCTGTGAGTTTGCAGAGGACTCTTTGAGTTTGAAGAAAAACGTCACAAAACATATTGGATGCGAGTAAGCAAATATTATTCCTGTGCCTCTGGTGTCATGTGTCCTGTGCCATGCCGCCGGCAAGGCACGAAAATAAAGCCCTTTGTGTATTTTAACTCCCCTCATCTCTCAGTCTTTGCCAGATTGTTATGTGTCTTTGAGTGCATTACTTCCCAGCGTTTATTTGTTCTGCTCCGGGGCCTGGCTCTTTGGCGTAAAAAATAAACTTGCATAACTAATTATTTTAATATTCGTATGTGAGCCTGACTCTGGCCTAAATATTCACAGAGTTTTTATGGATGTGACAACATCAGATATGCAAGTTATTTTAAATGAAAGTTTATTTTAATTTTTGTTCAAATTTTTTAAGTCAATAACTCATCTGATCACTAAAACTAAATAATCTGTTTAGCTTTGCTGCTGCAGCAGCAGCAGGTTGGGGAGAGGACACGGAGACATGTCCAGGTCGAGCTGCAGGAGAAAAAAGAGGGAGAGAGAAAAAGAGGGTACAAATTAAATATCTTGTTAGCTTCATCATTGTTTACTGGGTATTTAATTTAATGCGGTTTCAGGTGTTAATTCAGTCAGGTTGAGTGTCCAAAGTTTATTACACAGAACATAATTTTTTCTCCCCCTTGGTTGTGATGTTGACATGCAGTTATTGTAAGACTGGTTTGTGCTCAAGTCCTCTTTTTTCTGTGAAGCTCCGTTTTTAAAAGTTATTAGAGGGTTCATGTTTGCTATGATAGACACCTGATACAGCCTATGGGCGTTCAGGGATCGTGTAGCTCTCCCGGGGGATACGCTGTTTGAGCCGAGCCTCAACACAGCGACTCTCTGCGACTGCACGGCCAGATGCGCGCATTGCTATTGCGCAGCGCTGGATTCAGGAAATCCAGCACAACTAAGAGCTGGCTCAAGCCTCAGCAGCCCTAACAATCAGCCCTATATCTCAAAGGGAAGTTTTAAGTGAGGGAGTCTGCCTCCTCCAGCAACTGGGCTGTCAGCTTTGCTCACTGGATTTATTGGACTAAACCAGTCTGTCAAAAGTAATGTGGATTATTTTCCAATATCATGACTTTTTTTTTTTTTTTTTTACAAAATTGTATTTTTTACTTCATTTTTAATGATTCAATATCGTTTATAGCATTTCTACTTTTTTTTCTCAGAGTGCAAAATTAAGAATTTTGTTTTTGTTTTTGTTTTTTTTTTTTTGCATAGTTTTTCTCATCCACAACTCAGGTACTCATCCATAGTTTGCTTATCATAAATGCTTCCAAAACTTCACACTTTCTTTAATTATTTTTAAATCAAAGTAGGAAACAAAGTCAACAATGTCTGACTTTCCTTTGCTTTTTCTTATTTTGCATTTTAAGTGTAAGTGTTCTCAATGTGTAAGGGCTCACATGATTAAATTTGGGTCAATGCAAAAGTTAAAATTAAATCCAGATCCAGATCCTGTACAGACAGACACACTAACTCACAGAAACATGACGGTGACAGTAAATTAGTGAAGTCATATTGTACCTACCAGAGAGTAAAGAGCATAGATGGTCACAAGAGTCAAGGGGAGGCCAATAGAGATGATTATGCATGTACAAACATACATAAAAGATTTAATCTCCCCGTTTAACTGATCTTCAGAGACGATAGTATCGTTATGGTTTTCTGATGGTGAAGTGGTGTTATTGTAGATATTTTCCATTCTTCAGAGTCTACAAAAAAATTATACACACAAACAAGGCCATGATCTCCACAAATTAGTAAGAAATAGATAAAACGCTACTGCTCCCCTTTTTGTTTAGTTCATTCAAAGTTTGGTTGCCAGTCCAGTATTAATGGCGTAACAGAGTTAGAACTTAAAGGGTATTTGTGGTTGTAGAATTTGATTTATTTTTTTCAGATATGTAGTCTGTGTTGAGTTAAAAAAAACAAATGTTTATTTTTCATTAATTTTTTCACGATATCATCATTTTGTTTTTAACTGTTATCCGTCTTCGATAATGTAACTGTAACCTGCAGGAGGAGTGTTATCAATAATCACAAACCCACAAAAATTATTTTCATGCTTTAGCTAGTATTGTTAGCTAAATAAAAGAAAGATCTTCATGAACACTCCTCATGAGATACAGTTCAGTGACTGCAAATGAGAAAACTCTAAATTTATTCACAAGGAGAAAAAAAAAAATGTTTTTTAGATCTCACCTGAATGAAGTCTTTGCACCAGTGTCTGATGTTTCCTTGCTTCCAAACTGTCTATCACACTCATCAGGTTTATAATGATGCTTCACTTTTCTTCAAAGGAAGTCAAAAAACAATTTGTCACTGTTGACCTCGTGTTTACTGGGGAAGGCAGAAATTGCATAAGCACAAACTGTGTGTGTGTGATAAGGAAAAACCTTTTTTCACGTTACTAAAATCATTATGCATGTCCTACTCCAAAGAGACAAACATATTTTATTTCACATAGATTTTTATTTGTTTGTACTGGATGATTTTCAGTTGTGTACATCACCTGAAGGCTGTAAATATGAGTTGATTCAAGATTAGTGTATTTGCACTTCATACAACAAAACATTTCATTTAATTTTTAAGATCTCTGATGTGACGTTGTCCTCTGTCTCACACGGCTCTTTAAGTTTACTGTGCGCATATCAAGTTCACCTAAATTGCCTTTTTGGAGTTTTGAGTTGAGCTCAGCAGCTCTTAGTTAATGAATCTCAAGTTTGTGCATGAGAGTGAGATGAGGAGATGATGAAACCTGATATCAAGTAGACTTGATATCAGGTTTCCTCTTTATGGGGCCAAACTGCTGAAAAAAAGTGCGCTGAAAGCTCGCCGATTCAAACCTGGTTGGCGCAGGCGGAGTGCAGCTGGTCTAGTGGTATTTTGGTAGACCGGCGTATCGGCACACGTCACAGATGCCTCACCAGCAGGTTTCCAAAGCGTCAGGCACATTTCAGCGCAATGAATAATCAACGACAACTAATTATCTAAGTCAGCACATACATTTAGATCTATATAGATATATTCTGATCTTTATCTGATCTGATGAGCGCGTTTGTCACGCGTTTGGACACACAACCTGACTGAATCAACACAGCCGAAACTGAAACATTGGAATTTATGTTGTGATCTCTGCGCACAACCCACCTTTATCACGTGAGATTTGAATATGTGCAACTTTATGTGAGTGACACCCAAGTGACACCTAAAAGGGTGTTTGTCTTACCAGGGGGTCCAACATTACACATACTAAATCCATCTGTGCTCATATGAGAGAGTGTGCAGGATGCCCTCTGCGGCGCTTACAGCGTCACTTGTTGAGGAGCTGCCTTCTGTCGCCATTGTGTGGCATTACTGTCTTCAGACATCTCTTGATCTCTTTGACTACTTCACGAAAATTGTAATACACCTCACCGGTGGCGGATTTAAAGGTGAGGAGAGGAGCTGATGTTATTGGTCGATACAGGTCTTGGCTGTGTTAAACCCACTCTACGCCCTCTCTCCTCCCTCCCTATGACTGACACCGCTGGGAGGAGCTGAGTAAGGGTGGGGGGATACTTATGCTGGGCTGCGCCGCTCACCAAAATACCAAATTGTGCTTGAGAATGCTTTGTCGGCGACTTACGCCGCGCCTGCGCCATGTTTTACTTATTTACTTCAGCAGGTTAGAGTTTCTTTTGTTGAGGAAAAAGGGATCTAGTGGCATATTATTGTTTTTCAAGTCAAAGTTATTTCTTGGCATTAAAGGATTATTAAAATGCCTTTTTTTATTCGTGAATTCAAATAACAGGAAAATATCACAGTATTTCTCAGTTCTTTTTGTATTTGATGTTGAGGGGCAACATTCCTACAGTGGCTCACAGAAAATAACACATTCTACTTGGTTTTACCTGACAACAAGAAGGGAGGGTAAAACCAAAGTGACCAAGAGGTTCAGAGGTGGATTCTACTGAGAAGGGGGTCTGTGTGCTGTGATGAATAACTTTAGTAGCCTACATGTTGTGTAGACAGTTACAGTCCGTGTACCATGATGAACAGTATGCTGTGTCTGGTGAGTGTTACTGAGTGTGATGTGCATACGTCATATTGAGGTGCCGGCCGTATCGTTGTACTAACGCAGAAATCCTCTAGATCAGTGGTTCTCAAGTCCAGTCCTCAAGGCCCCCTGTCCTGCATGTTTTGGATGTTTCCCTGCTCCAACACACCTGATTTAAATGATCAGCTCGTTATCAAGCCATTTCAGAGCTTGATAACGAGCTGATTATTTGAACCAGGTGTGTTGGAGAAGGGAAACATCCAAAACATGCAGGATGGGGGGGGGGCTTGAGGACTGGACTTGAGATCTACTGCTCTAGGGGGTTGACAGAAGTTACACACTATGGCTTTAAAGTAGTCGTGTATTCTGCACAGGTGGAGACTACAGCTGTGGGGAGTCTTTCGGTTTTCTATGAACTCAAAATCCTACTGTCACTTTGACCAACACAATGGGCTCTATTTTGGTGCTTCGCCGGAGATCTGCCACAAGCGCAGCGTCAATCAGATCCGCCGCGCTGACAAGGCGTTCCCAAGCACATTTTGGTATTTTGGTGGGCCGCGCAGCCCGGCGTAAGTATCCCCCCTCCCTAACTCAGCTCCTCCCAGCAGCATACGTCGTGGGGGGAAGGACAGTGGGTGTGAAGTGGGTTTAACACAGCCGAGTCCAATTTGCGCCAATCAAATAACTGCCTCTCCTCGCCTTTAAATCCGCCGTCGGCGAGGCGCATTGGCATTTTCGTGCAGCAGACTCACAGATGGCCGAGATGGAAACGAGTGCGAGACAGCCGAACTTCTCTCAGGAGGAAACTGATGCTCTGGTCCGGGAGGTCCAGTCTCGCAGTGGCCGGATATACGGTCACGCGAACAGACCGGGGGGGGGGGGGCTTGAGGACTGGACTTGAGATCTACTGCTCTAGGGGGTTGACAGAAGTTACACACTATGGCTTTAAAGTAGTCGTGTATTCTGCACAGGTGGAGACTACAGCTGTGGGGAGTCTTTCGGTTTTCTATGAACTCAAAATCCTACTGTCACTTTGACCAACACAATGGGCTCTATTTTGGTGCTTCGCCGGAGATCTGCCACAAGCGCAGCGTCAATCAGATCCGCCGCGCTGACAAGGCGTTCCCAAGCACATTTTGGTATTTTGGTGGGCCGCGCAGCCCGGCGTAAGTATCCCCCCTCCCTAACTCAGCTCCTCCCAGCAGCATACGTCGTGGGGGGAAGGACAGTGGGTGTGAAGTGGGTTTAACACAGCCGAGTCCAATTTGCGCCAATCAAATAACTGCCTCTCCTCGCCTTTAAATCCGCCGTCGGCGAGGCGCATTGGCATTTTCGTGCAGCAGACTCACAGATGGCCGAGATGGAAACGAGTGCGAGACAGCCGAACTTCTCTCAGGAGGAAACTGATGCTCTGGTCCGGGAGGTCCAGTCTCGCAGTGGCCGGATATACGGTCACGCGAACAGACCTCCACGGGTCGATGATGCGAAAGCAGCCTGGGAAGAGGTAAGTGCTGCTGTCAATCATGTTTGCCCGGACGTGCTGAGAACCGCTGCGCAATGCAAAAAGCGGTTCAATGATGTTAGACGACGGGCTAAACTTAAATTATCCCAACACCGTCGCCAGACTGCAACGACCGGAGGCGGCCCCTCAACGAGTGTGGTGCTGAGCCCTGCGGAGGACGTGGCGTCCTCCACACTCCCCAAAATTAGTATCGAGGGGTTTGGTGTCTCTGAGGTTGGACTCACGGGTAAGACAAACATTCTTTTCCACAAATAAAGACACTAACATGTATATTTAACCACGTGTTACTAAGGTGTGTTGTGTGCACAGGTGATCTGAAAAAATGCCATGCGTAATGGGATTGAAATCGGAACCACCTGTGCGTAAAGACGGATCAAACAAAGCCTGATTGTATTTTCTCCCCCTTTCCGCTAATGTTTGCATCTGAAATGAACTTTGCTCACACAATTTCTAACTTCTTTATTCTAAATGAAAGTATTAACATTTTTTAAAAAAGAATTTCTGTGATTTACTAAAATAAAATTTTTGGTCAGCCTCGGCAGAATTGCCGCCGTCGCGGCAGCAGCACACCACAAGGGAGGAGGAGGAGGAGGAGGAGGAAGAACAGCAGCAGCAGGTGGTCGGGGGGGAGGAGAAGGAGGGAGAGGACGAAGACGACCGCGAGGAGGAGGACCAGGGGGAGCCGGAGCCGGTGCCGGAGACGCGGGAGGGGGTAGGACGTGGAGACGAGCCGGCAACACGGGGTCGGAGACGAAACCGCGTTCAGCGGTAGGACCAGCCCTTCCTGGACACCCAGCGGGCTGGTTTTCTGATGTTGGAGAGGGAGCTGGGGTCGATGGGGACGCGGCTTGGGTCGCTGGAGGCCCAGGTGAAGGCTCTCCAGGAGGTCCTCCAGGTCAGCCTGCTCCCCTTAGCCGCTGGTGTTGCGACACTGCAGCGGCTGGTCCAGGTAGCCGAAAGGCTGCTGCCACCAGCAGAATCATCCGCCCCCGCCTGTCCCAGGTGGCCGCTGAGGCCGCGCACAAGAGGGGGGCGGCCCCCTGGGTTGACTGACCGACTGCAGCGTCCAGACCCAAGAGGAGGAGGAGGAGGAGGAAGAAGAAGAAGAAGAAGGGGGGTTGGGAGGGGAGAAACACAATAAAAACACTTGTTAATGCAATCATGTTTGACTATTTATTGGATGTTTTAATGTGGATAATTACAAAAAGTGTATAAATGAATGAAAGCAAATACTCACACTTAAGGGCAGAGCTGTGCTGCGAGGCGGTCCCTCCTCACCTGCGCGCTCTGCTGCTCTCCCTGCTGACATGGCACATGCAATTCGGCCTCTCTCTGTCTAAAGTCCAGTAATGTGTCCTCGGCGAGGTCGTAGTGGCATCCATGGCGTATAGCTATGTTGTGTAAAACACAACATGCCACAAAGAATGCACCGACACTCTGTGGGCTGTATGTTAATGAACCACCTGACCGGTCCAGACATCTGAAACGCATTTTGAGGATTCCAAAAGTACGTTCAATGACTGACCTAGCACTGCTGAAGACACTGTTAAAAACACGTTGCTGTCTTGTTGAAGGTGTAATGTATGGCGTCATCAACCACGTTTTCAGTGGATAGCCGTTATCACCTAGCAGCCACCCATCCAGAGGGGTGTCCCCCTGAAAGACTGTAGGGATGATAGAATTCGCCAGGATGAATGAATCATGTGCAGACCCGGGGTAATTAGCGTACACGTTTGTCACCAGGCAATTTGAGTCACAAATCACCTGGATATTAATGGAGTGGACTCCCTTACGATTCACATAAATGAGGGCTTGGGTCTCTGGTGCGCGCAACTGCACATGTGTGCAGTCAATTGCTCCAAGGACCCCAGGGAATCCATATTTCAACAAGAACCCTCGCTTCGTTTCCAGCTGGCTTTCAGGTGATGATGGGAAAATGATGTGCTCATTTGCGTGTCGGACTAGACTGGTGGACACTGCATGTATGGCCAAACTGACAGCGGCCTGACTTATCCCTACCACCGAAGCCACGGTATGCTGGAAAGACCCGGTGGCGAAGAAAGTCAGAGCCGCTGTCACCCTCACAGCAACTGGGAGAGCGCATGGGCCACCGGGGTCCGCATCTGAGGCCACAATCCGTGTTATCGCGTGGACCACCTCACGAGGCAGGTGTAATTTGGTCCTGTGTCAAGGAAAATAGTAGATTGTTAAAAGGCAGTTGTATTGAACACGGTGTTGGAGGCGTTATCCATGTGGCCCACCTGCATTCCTGCTCTGTTAAGGTTAAATATGATGCCCTGTGATGAATCACCCTCTCTCTGTAATTTCTCCTCCTCCTCCTCCACCTCCTTGCAATTATGTACTCCATCTTTGTAGATAATGTTAAGCATGGAAATTATTAAATTTGTAGCTGTGAGATCACATGCTGCATGTAAATCTTGAGAACAACGGTCATAACTTACTTTGCTTCAGTGTGCGTTGATTCTTTTCTCAGTGTTCTGAGATGACATGCCAAATATATACTCTCTCTGTGATGACGAAGCTGTTTGTGGTTGGTAGAGAGACGTGAAGTAGTTAGTTTGCATCAGAGTTTCAGCTGTGTTAGTCGGTCAGGTGGAGTGGCAATTAGGCGTGCCAAACGCGCTCCTATAGATATACATCAAAATGTACTGTAGATCTAAATGTATGTGCTGCATATATTTAAATCCCATATGACAAAGATGAGTTGTGCGCACAGATCACACCATAAATTCCAAAAATGGCATTAAAATTGGAACCATCTGTGCGTAAATGACGCATCGCGCTCCGTGGCCTGGCTCTTTCTTTCATAGATGTTGGCATATAAAATAAATTTGGCTCACAAAACTGAATATTATAATATCCGTATGTCGGCTTAAAGTAGATCACGCATCTGAGCACTGAAACAAATCATCTGTTCAGTCGCAGCAGCAGCAAGACGGACAGAGGACACGGAGACGTGTCCAGGTCGAGCTGCGCGAGAAATAAGAGGAAGAGGAAGAAAGAAAAGGAGGGAGACGAATTACATATCTTGTTAACTTCATCATGTGTGTTTATTTACTAGATATTTAATTTAATTTGATGCGGTTTCAGCTGTGTTGATTCGGTCAGGTTGTGTGTCCAAACGCGTGCCAAACGCGCTCATCAGATCAGATATAGATCAGAATATATCTATATAGATCTAAATATATGTGCTGACTCAGATTAATAGTTGTTGATGATTATTTATTGCACTGAAATCTGCCTGACACTGTGGAAACCTGCCGGTGAGGCATCAGTGACGTATGTCGATACGCCGCCGGTCTACCAAAATACTACAAGACCAGCTGCGTTCCGCCTTGCGCTGAAAGCTGACCAGGTTTGAATCGGCGAGCTTTCAGCGCACTTTACACGCCGTTGGCGAGCACGAAAATGTCACTGCGCCAGCTGATTCTGTCAACACCTCCCCCTGCCACACCACCACGCCCAGCTTGGCGGATCTTGGCTCGCCTCCGTGCGGCTCATGCCACGAAAATACCAAATTGGCCTTACGCTGGGCTCCGCCAGACGAAAATACAACTGCGCGGGGCTCGCCGCCCTCCGCCGCCTCACCGGCGCGAACGAAAATAGAGCCCAATGTCTTAAACTTAAATCAGCTGCCTGATCTGCTGTAAGCTTTCAGTCCCAATTTCATATTTTACATTGTATTTTATATAAGGGGTTTCTTAAGACCATGAACTGTACCTCTGCTTGGGTAATCACAGTGCAGCTGGATGCGGTTAGAAATAAGCCACATAGAATGAGCCACATTAGATTAAAATCTGTTACGAAAGACGCTGTGATGTTGTGCATGCTATTTAGGAATCAAAGGGGGATTTCTTTTACATTGCTGCTAGGCTCAAATACCCAAAGTTGCTCTGTGCTCCTGATATGCAAAAGGAAATCTAAGGTGTTTATTTCTATGTCCTGTGTCTGATGTAAATCATGCTTTATAAAGTTAATTCTATGCATATTGTTTCTTGTATTTCTCTCTTCAACCTTGTTGTAAAGCTCATTGGTGGAAGATCCTTTGCATTAAATGCTGACAGAGTATTCTAATCTGACTGAGTAAATGGTGTGAGGTATGGACTCACAGTAAAAGCTGCAAAAGTAATTTAATTTATAGATCGTATCATATTACAGGTAAGCCAATTTTGACGTATTTATCTGTAGACAATTGCATTTTAAATAAGTTGTCTTTGAGACCTTTGAACCCTCACACGAAAAGAAAAATAGATCTGCTGATAAGTTGTGTGGTTGTGGTGCTATTCAGGGCTGTCCTTATTTTATCTCTGAGCAATTTCTTTTGCCTTTTACTTGAAGACTGAACAAGTTTTCACTCTCACGAGAGGCCTCACCGTGCACTGCTATCTGTGTGAGTGTGGTTGTAGATGTGGTCAGCACAGGGAATTTGAAGCTGTCAAGTGCGCAGCATAGCTCAGATCTTGATATCTGATTTCTGACACATTTCAAATAACATCTGGTACTTAGCAGAGTCAAGAAGAATCATAACAATAATATACAAGTTTTCAGAGCTTTAATGAAAAACTGCATTGCAAAGTGATTCACAAAATGTAAAATACATCATTTATGGATACAAGAGGAAGACATGCAAAATAAAAGATGCCAGGTTAAAAATAATATTTAGTTAGCAAGCTATATGATATGACCTATGTGCTATACAACTTGTAATATTTTACAGTTTTTTTTTTAAGCACAAAATAATACAGAAGAAAGGTTTTTAAATCAACTCTGAAAACTAGCGTGTTGACAACAAAAACTGCACAATTAAAAGTTTTATTGCTTAAAGATCAATAACTGTATGTGATGTTATTAAAAAAAGAAGAATTAACAAAATAATCAGGTTTTGAGAGGAATGGATGTGTATTCTGGATATACACTAGTTACATCGGTGCTTAAGAAAATCTTGGTCTCTTCTTTGTCTTTGTCTGTATGAAGCTCTCCAGCTAAATGTTGTCAATATTCACTGCAGATGTGTGACTGTCATTGCTCTCCGCTTTGCAACAACACACAGAGGCCAACAGCTTGCCCATGGTGGCCTTTCTAATGAAAATATACAGAACTAAGTCTGCAAGAGGACTCAACTTAAAGAACAGACCGGACAAACTACCAAGAGTGAGTTCATATTCCCACCCCCCCTCTGTCAAGAGCCAGATAATGCTGGGCAGAAACAGAAGTGTGTAAATGAGGAGCACAGAGACCAGCATTCCCACAATTCTTCGTTTTTCCTCAGAAGGGACAGAGACAGAGGCAGAGAGGGCTTTATAGGTCCTGACCAGGAAGAATATAAACAGTGGAAAAGGAAGGAGGAGGAAAATGGAAATGGTGAGTCTTTCGACTAAATCATCAACCCAGGGGAACACAGCAAAGGTGAAGACAATAGTTGTGACCCAGACCATGACACAGACTGTCACAGAAGTCTTTATAGTGCGTTTGTAGCGGTACCATAATGGGTGGACGATGACCAAGTACCTGCAGTTTGAGAAAGACACACAGTCTCTGAGAAGGTGCAGGAAAATAAAAGAACATAACTTTCAAACACTGAAGTAGTGCACATGTAAACTTTAGATAGTTACCTTTCCAGAGAGACACACACCATGAAGCAAACACTGGTCATTATTCCACACTCATAGATTCTATCCACAAATGGAACAGCCATTTCTTCCATTTCTTCTATTTCTTCCATGGGGTCTAAGACCCACACGATCATGATTGAGAACTGAATGATGTCTGAAATGAGAAGGTTGATGATGTAGATCGGTGAAACTTGATCCTTTCTCACCTACAAGAAAAGTAAATAAACAATTGTTAAATCATCCTTTAACAATTATATCTCGTGCTCTTATGACCACTCATACATTTTTGTGTAAAATAATGCTCATTACACACTGACAAGACTGAACTCAAGATTTAGTGCAGCAGTAACATTAGAGTTTAATGATCAAAATTGGCCAAATAATTAGAGAAGCTGTGTTCATGGAGTCGATCTACAGTGGATAGAAAAAGTCTACACACCCCTGTTCAACTGCCAGGTTTTCGCAATGTAAGAAAATGACAGCAAGATAAATATTTTCATAACTTTTTCCACCTTTGATGTGACCTATAACCTGTACAATGCAATTGAAAAACAAACTGAAACCTTTAAAGGGGAAAAATAAAAAATAGAGGAGTTAAAATAACCTGGTTGCATAATATGCACACCCTTAAACTAATACTTTGTTGCAGCACCTTTGGCTTTTATTACAGCACCCAGTCTTTTTGGGTAGGAGTCTATCAGCGTGGCACATCTTGATGTGGCAATATTTGCCCACTTTTCTTTGCAAAACCGCTCCAAATCTGACAGATTGCGAGGGCATCTCCTGTGCACAGCCCTCTTCAGATCACCCCACAAATGTTCAATGGGATTCAGAGATCCCTCTGATTCCAAAGCCTCAATCTTATTCTGGTGAAGCCATTCTTTTGTTGATTTAGATGTGTTCTTCGGGTCATTGTTGTGCTGAAAGATGAAGTTCCTCTTCATCTTCAGCTTTCTAGCAGAAGGCTGAAGGTTTTGTGCCAACACTGACTGGTATTTGGAACTGTTCATAATTCCCTCCACCCTGACTAAGGCACCAGCTCCAGCTGAAGAAAAACAGCCCCAAAGCATGATGCTGCCACGGCCATGCTTCACTGTAGGTATGGTGTTCTTTTGGTGATGAGCAGTGTTGATTTTGCACCAAATATTCCTTTTGCAATGATGCCCAAAAAGTTCAACTTTGGTTACATCAGACCATAACACATTTTCCCACATGCGTTTGGGAGATTTCAGATGTCTTTTTGCAAAATTAAGCCAGGCTTTGATGTTTTTCTTTGTAAGATAAGGTTTCTGTCTTGCCACCCTACCCCATAGCCCAGACATTTAAAGACAGCGGGAGATTTTTGTCACATGTACTACACAGCCAGCACTTGCCAGAAATTCCTGCAGCCCCCTCAGTGTTGCTGTCGGCCTCTTGGTAGCCTCCCTGACCAGTTTTCTTCTTGTTTTATCATCAATTTTGGACCGACGTCCTGGTAATGTCACTGTTGTGCCATATTTTCTCCACTTGATGATAATGGTCTTCACTGTGTTCCATGGTATATTTAATTCCTTGGAAATTCTTTTGTAGCCCTCACCTGACTGATATCTTTGAATAATGAGATCCCTCTGATACTTTGGAAGCTCTCTGCAGACCATGGCTTGTGCTGGAAGATGTGGCTACAAAAATGTCAGGAAAAGACTACTAGAACAGCTGAACTTTATTTGGGGTTGATCAGAGGCACTTTAATTGGTGACAGGTGTATGCTGACTCCAATTTAACCTGAGTTTGAATCTTATTGGTTAAATCTGAACACAGCCACATCCCCACACTTATGCAACCACATAATCTCAATTATTTATGTTTACTTCACCTCCTTGAAAGATTTCTGTTTGTTTTTCAATTGTGTTGTACAGGTCATAGGTCACATTAAAGGTGGAAGAAGTTGTGAAATTATTTATCTAGATTAAACTTTTTTACATGACAAAACCCTGGCAGTTAAACAGGGGTGTGTAGACTTTTTATATCCACTGTATATATTACTCAAGATTTATTGGGGTCAAGCAATTGACAGCTGTGAGTTTGCAGAGGACTCTTTGAGTTTGAAGAAAAACGTCACAAAACATATTGGATGCGAGTAAGCTGTATTAAGTATTTGTGAACTGTTGCTTGTCTCTGGTGTCAGCATTTGGGCCTATCAGAGTGTGATTTGTGCTATTTGGTGCCTCTACCTGTCTGCCCCACTCTCTGTTCAGCTGATGTCTGTGTGTGAATTAAGTTCCAGTTTCAATTAACCAATCCATCAAACAAACAAAAGAAAAGCTGGTCTTAACCAGACTCTTTTTAAAAAGACCCAATATAAAGATTGGATAAGATTGAGCTCCATCTTGTAAGATCAGACCCACTCCAATCCAATCCAATCTTCAACCATGTGAGTGCTGCACTTTGTAGCATTTAGCAAGGGGGGAAAGGGAAAAACTTAGCAATAGAGAGATTCAGAGAGATGGAAAGAGGTGAGATTGATGCATGTAGAGACTTTAGGTACAATGAGCAGGCCTGTATACTGGGACTGCAATGTTCTGGTGGGGTAACAGGGAACTACGAGCTCTGTAAGACATGATGGTTCCTGACCATGAAGAGTTTTGTAGTTTAAAAGAAGAATTTTAATTTCTACCTTAGATTTCATGGGAAGCTAGTGTAAAGGAGCTTATAAAGGGAAGATGTGCTCTCTGTTCTGGTCCTGGTCAGTACTTTGGCTGCAGCATTTTAGACCACCAGAAAAGTCTCGAAAGACAGGCAGTCTGATAAAAGGGAATCATAGCAATCCAACCGAGAGGCGACAAATGTATAGACTAAATTTTCTGTGCCGTTCAGAGGCAGGAGGTTTTCTGAATTTTAAACAGTTGCACAGGTGAAATAAGGCAGTTCTAGACATGTTGATTCTGGAAGTTAAAGGATATATCCTGGTCAGAGAAAACTCCCAGATTTATCCTGGTTTCAGTAGTAGGTATAGTTGAGTGTCATCTGTGAAGAACCATATCCTTTCAAGTTTTCTGGATGTTTGTTTCACTTCAAAGGTTTCAGCAATCTTGTTCACATAAGTTTATGATGCAAACAAGATTGTGTCCTGATAAGACCAACCCCGGAAACTGTTGTAACACCCAAAAGCATCCTGTGATATGGAAAAAAAAAAGTGCATATAACTGTGTCATAAGTTCTGACTGTACATACAGTTTGTTTATATGACTGAGATTAAACTAAATCAAACTTCTGATAGTCTTACTAACTGGACTAGATGATGCAGTTGGGGATCGATTTTCTCCATCATTTATACGGCTCAGTCAGACTGAAACCGACTGATAGATTATGCGTACAAAGAAAGAAAGTAAAAAGACAAAACTTTCTTGTTGTAGAAACAACTTTACAGGGCTGTAAAAAGGACATTTTTTGTTGGTCTGCCTCTCACTAATGCTTTTTACTGACTGTTTTGAAACATAATATGTCAATTGGGAGATGCACTTATTGTAACAGTTGAAGGAGGGTGTCACCTACCATCGTGGACATGGTCATGCTTCTGTCAATAGTTCAATTTTTGTCTAGTGCATTTGGACTGGAACAAGGACAGAAGTCCAGTTATATGGCTTGATTGAGCTACGACTGTAACTTGACTTAGCTGTGCATGTAGACATACTGATAGTTTCACTGATCAAATAACAGAACAACTTTTCCCTCCTTTGTATGTGTGAATGTGTGTGGTTGCACACACAGCTACCCACTAGTAAGAAAAACAACCTTTTCCACAAATAAAGACAATCAAATCAAATTGCATATATTAATGATTGATGATTATTTTTGCACTGAAATGTGCCTGACAAACCTGCCCGTGAGGCAACGGTGACATATGTGCACTACGCCACCGGTCTACCAAGATACCACTAGATCAGCTGCGATCCGCCTGCACTGAAAGCTGACAGGTTTGAATCAGGGAAGCTTTCAGCGCACTTTCCACGCCGCTGACAGGCACCAAAATGTCACTGCGCCAGCTGATTCTATCGTCGCCTCCCCCCACCACCACGCCCAGCTTGACGGACTTTGGTACGCCTCAGTCTACGAAAATACCAAATTGGGTGTGCGCCGGACTCTGCCAACTTAAAATACCACTGCGCGGGGTGTGCCACCCTGTTGCGCCGCCGGCGGGCATGAAAATAGAGCCCATAGTGATAGTTTTACTGGCCAAATAACAGAACAACTCCTCCCTCTTTTGTATATGTGAATGTGTGTGGTTGCACAAACAAATACCTGTGCTTCAATGTGGATGAAGGACCTGTTATTTCATGTAAATAAGATTGTCTACAGTCCTGCTCACCTGAGGAGAGAGGGGGAAAGACAGGAGCTCAGTGCCAGTTATCCCAGCGGTCTTAGTGTATAGCAGCACAACTAAGAGCTGGCTCACGCCTCAGCAGCCCTAACTATCAGCTCTATATCTCAAAAGGAAAGTTTGATGTGAGGGTGTCTGCCTCCTCCAACAACTGGGCTGTCAGCTTTTCTCACTGGATTTGTTGGACTAAACCAGTCTGTCCAAAAAAAATGTGGATTATTTTCCAACATCATGACTTTTTTTTTTTATACAAAATTGTATTTTTAACTTCATTTTCAATGATTCAATGTTGTTCATAGCATTTCTATTTTTTTTTCTCAGAGTGCAAAATTAACCCTTTGATGCGCAACATATCCACACCCCCTCTAATGCGCAACAAGGGTCTAAAAAGACCCGCATTCATTTCCAATGGTATTTCATGCTGGCTGAGTTTTTCTTTGTTCTATCTTTTGAAATAAGTTTGTTTTCTGATTGAATATTCCAAGTATTCTTTAAATATCTTGTTTTTGATCACCACTGATCATTATTTCTATTTTTCTTTTCATACTTTATGAAATAATATAGTTTCTATATTATTACATCAAGTTTACACACATGGGTCAAAAACGACCCCTTCATTCAAGTGTGATTTAATATTGAATTACCTAACACTATAATAATAATTTGTTTCAAGTAATGAAATTAGCAGTGAGTGGGGCCAAACCATAGACTGCATATACTATGGACAACTTGGTTCCGCCTACCACCTGTTTACGGATTTGGAGCCAAAAAGCTCTTGGTATTTCCGGGACTTTTCTACATTTCTGAAACCAGAGCTGCGCAGTTGCGATGCGTGCATTCGGCCGCGCAGTCGCTGAGAGTCGCTATGATGACGCTTGGCTCAAACAGCGTATCCCCCCGGGAGAGCTACGCAATCCCTGAACGCCCATAGGCTGTATCCATAGACTGTATATACTATGGACAACTTCGTTCCGCCTACTGCCTGTATACAGATTTGAAGCCAAATAGCTTTCGATATTTCCAGGATTTTTCTTCATTTCCTGAAGCCAGCGCTGTGCAGTAGCAATGCGCACTTTTGGCCGCACAGTTGAAGAGAGTCGCTGTGATGACACTCGGCTCAAACAGCATATCCCCCGGGAGAGCTACGCAATCCCTGAACGCCCATAGGCTGTATCAGGTGTCAATCATAGCAAACATGAACCCCCATAATAACTTTTAAAAATGGAGCTTCACAGAAAAAAAGAGGACTTGAGCACAAACCAGTCTGACAGTAACTACATGTCAACATCACAATCAGGAGGGATAAAAATTTATGTTCTGTGTAATAAATTTCTAAAGTTTGTCCACAGCTCCATAAACTTTGCTGGCGGAGGCGGGATTTATGACCTATACTGCAGCCCATCAACAGAGGGTGCTGTTCTCGGAGTGGCTTCACCCGGTGGGGAGGCAGACTCTGTCCATCTTATATACAGTCTATGGCAGGTGTCAATCATAGAAAACATGAACCCCCTAATAACTTTTAAAAGCGGAGCTGTACAGAAAAAAGAGGACTTGAGCACAAACCAGTCTTACAATAACTACATGTCAACATCACAAGCAGGGGGAAGAAAAATTAATGTTCTGTGTAATAAATTTCTAAAGTTTGTCCACAGCTCCATAAGGTTTGCTGGCGGAGGCGGGATTTATGACCTATACTGCAGCCTGTAAACAGGGGGTGCTGTTCTCGGCTTCACCCAGCAAGGAGGCAGACGCTGTCCATTCTTTATACAGTTTATGGGCCAAACACTTTTGTATTTTGTATTAGCAACATGTTTATTTGTCATTTTGTCACATACACATGCGTCTGATTATAGCTAGCTGAAATAACGCTAGCTGTTTTACCTGTAACTGTGTAACTTTCCAACATGTAATGTCCTCACGCTCAAGGTAACCTAAACCTAATCAAATCAAATCTATGTAAGATTATATTTCACAATTGTCATCAAATAATTTCTAAGATAATGTCAGAACAATTGAAAAACCATACTTACATGTATTAGATGGTCTTTTCATGCTAAATGCTACAGTCACTATATGTGGGTCGTTTCTGACCCATGTATGTAAACTTGATGTAGAAATACAAAATCTGTGCTTCCTCATAATGTAAGAAAGGAAAAATAAAAATGATTATTTGTGCTCAACTAAAACAAGATCTTTACTGCATACTTGGAATAGTGAATGATAAAATTAATTTATGTCAAAGATATACCATAGAAACACTCAGCTATACATGAAATAACATTGAAAATGGATACGGGTCATTTTAGACCCATGTTGTGCATTAGAGGGGTAGTGATACAAAAACGGTTTTTATTCTAAAAGTAAAAAAAGAAAAATTAACATAAGGATGTAGGGTCGTCAAAAACAAGTTAATTGAGGAATTCCTTGAGTACTGACTGATGGAATAAATTTTTTGAAAAGATATATAAAATTTAAACTCAGCCGGGTCTTTTTTGACCCATGTTGCGCATCAAAGGGTTAAGAAAAAAAAAACTTTTTTTTGCATCGTTTTTCTCATCCACAGCTCAGGTCCATCCATAGTTTGCTTATTATAAATGGTTCCAAAACTTCACACTTTCTTTAATTATTTTTAAATCAAAGTAGGAAACAAAGTCAACTATGTCTGACTCTCCTTTGCTTTTTCTTATTTTGCATTTTAAGTGTAAGTGTTCTCAGTGTGTACGGGCTCACATGATTAAATTTGGACACACTATTTTACAGAAACATGACAGAGACAGTAAATTAGTGAAGTCATATTGTACCTACCAGAGAGTAAAGAGCATAGATGGTCACGAGAGTCAAGGGGAGGCCAATAGAGATGATTATGCATGTGCAAACATACATAATAAAATTAATCTTTTCGTAGTACTGAAGTACAGGGACGATTGTATCATAGTAGTCTTCTGTGGGTGAAGTGGTGTTATTGTAGATATTTTCCATTCTTCAGAGTCTACAAAAAATTATACACACAAATAAGTCCATGATCTCCACAAATTAGTAAGAAATAGATAAAACGCTACTGCTCCCTGTTTAGTTTAGTTTATTCAAAGTTTAGTTGCCAGTCCAGTATTAATGGCGTAACAGAGTTCAAACTTAAATGGTGTTTGTGGTTGTAGAATTTGATTTATTTTTTCTGATATGTAGTCTGTGTTGAGCTAAAAAAAAAACGGTTTATTTTTCATTTATTTTTTCATGATTGCATCATTTTGTTTTTAATTGTTATCTGTCTTTGATAATGTAACTCTAACCTGCAGGAGGAGTGTTATCAATAATCACAAACCCACAAAATTATTTTCATGCTTTAGCTAGTGTTGTTAGCTAAATAAGTGAAAGATCTTCATGAACACTCCTCATGAGATGCAGTTCAGTGACTGCAAATTAGAAAACTCTAAATTTATTCACAAGGAGAAAAAAAAATGTGTTTTTAGATCTCACCTGAATGAAGTCCTTGCACCAGTGTCTGATGTTTCCTTGCTTCCAAACTGTCTTTCACACTCATCAGGTCTATAATGATGCTTCACTTTTCTTCAAAGGAAGTAAAAAAATACTTTGTCACTATTGACCTCGTGTTTACTGGGGAAGGCAGAAATTGCATAAGCACAAACTGTGTGTGTGTGATGAGGAAAAACCTTTTTTCAAATGTTGCTAAAATCATTATGCATGTCCTACTCCAAAGAGACAAACATGTTTTATTTCACATAGATTTTTATTTGTCTGTACTGGATGATTTTCAGTTGTGTACATCACATGAAGTGTGTAAATATGAGCTGATTAAAGTTTATTGTATTATTGTAATAACACTTTGTCCTATTTTTTTTAGCAAGCAACCAATAACAAAAAAGTTGATATTACATTTATTCTTAGCTGATTTTATTGGTTTAAATATTAATATTTCATACTGCAAAAAAAGTGTTTTCCCATAGTGTCAATGGTTATCAGTGCTACCATGGCAATGGTCCACTGACTTGGAGATCGAATCAAAATTAGAGCTTTGGCATGCCATATATGTTATATATGTTCACCCTGAGGTCAAAACAAGCAAAACAGAAGCAAAATAACAGAAGTATCTGTACAAGGCCCTCTTCCATTTTCCTCCTATAGACAACAAACTCACTCATTGATTTGAGATTTCCTCAACCCTCAAAAAGATCCTCATTTAAAGTGAGGACAGCACTCCAATAGATCCAGCTATCTTGTGTCTCATTGCATCCTTTTCCTCAACAAAGCCTATATTGTGTCGCACTTTGTTCTTGCATAGCGTATGTTTTCTTTACCGTTTTTCTCAATTGCTTTGGTGCATTTCTCACATCACTTTGAATATTTGCACAACAATTGGCGCATTTTTCAGAACAATTAGTACAAACTGCAAAACCTAGTGGATAACCAGCAAAAGCGTGTCACTTGCTCAAAATGAATAGTTGATCCCTCAAAAGCAAGTATTCATGTCAATGAAACTGTCTGTGTCATCAGAATAATTAGTCCTGACACCATTGTTTATGAACACGACAGTCAAATGGCTTTGTCATGTTTTCATTATGACAGTTCACTCTCTCTGTGTTTTCCAATGTAAAAAAGTCAGACCTTGGTGACACTACTTGAAAATGCTCAAGACAACACTAAATACTACCTGTAGAGCCATTTGAAAACTACAGTCAAGTTAAACATTACCGTATTTAGTGAGGTAACTGAATACAAGACACATGTATGTTTCACCTGTTCACTGCATTTGCTTTTTGCAATTCTACAGAATTGTGCAAAAAAAAAAAAAAAAAAATTCAGTCACTTATTTAGAACAAACATAAGAAATACAATTTTGGTAGAACTGTGTACAAATATAAGCAATATAACAGCACATATTACGGCAAACTGAACATCAATTATTCCTGGACATTCTCTGTGGTTCTCTCTACATTTGGTTGCACCCGTCGACCAGCCTCAGCCATAGTGAGGCTGCGATTGACAACATAGTCCACAAGTGTAGCCGTCATTTCCTCAGGGATCATCAGCCTATGTACTTCACCTCTTCTTTCTCTGCCCCTGTTTTGTCCCCTTCCCCTTCCTCCCCGCATTTTCACCCCTCCTCCACGACACTGACCTTCAATTTTTGTGTCACAGAATTGTAGAAATGGTACACACTATGTCCTGCTGGTTTATATATCCTTGCCAAGTGAGGGTTCATAGGATTCCGCTCTGAGTGACTGTGGACAAGTGGCTTGTCATTGGTTACAACTAATGCCTCACACACCTCCTAATGAGTGAAAGCTGAGGTTCACCTGAGAGCAATTGTTCAATTTAGGAGACATTTACAGGAAAAAAAAAATGATTGTAAGAAATTTAGTAAATTGTCTTAACAGATTTGAGAACTAGTTCAACAATTTTGTATGTAATGACTCAAGCAATGAAATGAGGAAGATTTATAGGGAATGACTATTCAGCATTCATAAGTTTCATTTTGACTGACATGACAGAAGCAAATGATAATGTTATAAAACAGCAGAGAATTGTATGAAAGCAACTGATACATGTCCATGAACATTTGCAATTTGTTCAGAGGAATGAGAAACTGCTATAATGATGTGCACAAATGACTGATAAAGTTGAACTGATAGTTGTGAGAACCTTCATTCTGTTCTGAGAAATGCACCAAAGAAACTGAGGAAAAACTCTAATTTGGTTGATATTTCTTCTGCCCAGCTCATTTTGTGTTCATATATCACTGGTTAACATCTGATCTTTTTTCGCCACTTCTTGTCTTACCATCTGTGTAAGGTTGCGTGCTCTCTAAATACATTGAGAAACTAAAATAAATCCTAAATTTTTGCTAACAAAAAGTGCATTACCAAACATTATTTTTTTATGGTTGTTTGAGATCATTATATTAATGTTATTGTTGGATCTTACCTGAGTAACGTCCCTGTACCAGTATCTGATGTCTCTCTGCATTCAAACTGTCCGCAGAGGAAATCTCATCACATTCACAAGTTTCCTTATGATATATCACTTCTCTTCTGAGGAGGTGTGACAAAAACAGTCGCTTGTGATTACTGAAGGAGGTGGACTTTGCATCACTCTAACAAACTGTGTGAACCATATGAAAAAAAGTAAAGCAGGTTCCATTCTCACATGTTGATTTCAGTGTTGAAATACACATAAAACTTGTTATTTCCTGTTAATAACCTTCTAGAAGATGTTTTGCCTGAGAACCTAACAAACCACTGTTTTCTAACACATTAAAATTGTAGTTGTATTTTCGTCTGGCGGAGCCCGGCGTACAGCCAGTTTGGTATTTTCTTGGACTGAGGCGCACGGAGGCGAGCCGAGATCCGCCAAGCTGGGCGTGGTGGCATGGCAGGGGGAGGTGTCGACAGAATCAGTGGGCGCAGTGACATTTTCGTGCTCGCCAGTGGCGTGTAAAGTGCGCTGAAAGCTCCCCGATTGGACACACAACCTGACCGAATCAACACAGCTGAAACCGCATTAAATTAAATTAAATATCTAGTAAATAAATGAAATAAATGAAGTTAACTAGATATGAAATTCGCCTCCCTCCTTTTCTTTCTTCCTCTTCCTCTTATTTCTCACACAGCTCGACCTGGACACGTCTCAATGTCCTCTCTCCGTCCTGCAGCGGCTGAACAGATGATTTGTTTCAGTGCTCAGATGCGTTATTTACTTTAAGCCGACATACGAATATTATAATATTCAGTTTTGTGGGCCAAATTTATTTTATATGCCAACATCTATGAAAGAAAGGGCCAGGCCACGGAGCGCGATGCGTCATTTATGCACAGATGGTTCCGATTTTAATGCCATTTTTGGAGTTAATGTTGTGATCTGTGCACACAACCCACCTTTGTCACGTGAGGTTTGAATATGTGCAACTTTATGTGAGTGTCTTTATTTGTGGAAAAGGGTGTTTGTCTTACCAGTGGGTCCAACATTACACACACCAAATCCATCTGTGCTCATATGAGAGAGTGTGGAGGATGCCCAATGCAGCGCTTACAGTGACACTTGTTAAGGAGCTGCCTTCTGTCGTCATTGTGTGGCATTACTGTCTTCAGACATCTCTTGATCTCTTTGACTACTTCACGTAAATAGTAATACGCCTCGCCGGTGGTGGATTTAAAGGCAAGGAGAGGAGCTTATGTGATTGGTGAAAACAGGTCTCAGCTGTGTCAAATCCACTCCACGCCCTTTCTGCTCCCTCGCTACGACTTATGCCGCTGGGAGGAGCTGAGTTAGGGAGGGGGGATACTTACGCCGGGCTGCGCTGCTCACCAAAATACCAAATTGTGCTTGGGAACGTCTTGTTGGCGCGGCGGACCTGACTTACGCCGCGCCCACGGCACGTCTCCGGCGAGGCACGAAAATAGAGCCCAAAGTTACAACTTGTTGCACTTTTTAGGTTATCTTAAACTAATGATTGTTGTGTTTTTATGAAAAAAGAGATTTTACAAAAGCCTTATTATCAGGGACTCTTCTTGCTAGGATAATCCCTTAAATCCCCTAACTTTTTCATGTAGCCTCTGGTTTCAAGGGATTTACAACAAAATTGACAGTGAGGATGCAGCCGCTCTATGCAAGAGACAAGCAGATACTTTGATACAGATAGCTGTCATCCAGTTTCACCATAATAACTAGTGTGTGTGTTTAAATTGATTTAGAGGTCATCACCCTTGAGAAAGTATTTGAAGAATAAACTAATTGTAATCACATAAAATCCATGTCAAATCTCTGGTCTGTTTAAAAAGTGAAGTTGCATACACAAAAAGCATAAAAATTTTCAAGTTTAACCCAATTTTAAAATTGGTTTTATTCGGAAGTAAAATACATGGCAGTAAAGTTTTCATGTGGTTGTTCATGTGGTTTTTCCTCTTAAGCACAGAGGAGGTTGTCCTGCGTTATCACTTCCTTAATTGCATAAGAGCTGTGTTAAAGCAGATCATGTTAGGTGACTAGTAAAGCATAGCACATCAAAGCAGTGGCACAAGGCGTAACTTGTAAGTTTAAATTTCTTTTTTTTCCTATGTTATAATGCTTTTGAGTTAATTGTAGTGGCAAGTGAACATTGTAAAGTAAGGATTCACAATATAGTTGCTTCTCACGATCTCAAATGTTATACTGCATTAGTTTGATAATTCTGAATCCACCATCCAAAGTTTAATAAACTCAACAAACTGAGAAAAAAAAAATATAATTCTGATGTTATATTGCAGTCTTAATAAGTGTGACATAAAACTGTTTGATTGTCCAAGCTGCCCTCATTATTTTAACAAGATTGGAGTCCTTAAGGACCTCAATCAGTTCCTATTTTATGATATTTGAAGTCTGAAACAATAATAAGCTGCACACAATATGATATAATTCCACAAAGTAGTGATGGGCACGGCAGTTCTTTTAGTGTACTGAATCACTAGAATCAGTTCACTAAAAAGATTTGTTCAAAAGATTCATTCATCGAATCACTGATTCATTCAGTGCTTGGCAGGAGCAGCCTGTGACTCTGACCTCCTAAACTGATACACAGCTGAACGGTTCAGGATTCAGTTCAATTCATAGCTTCTGGGATCTGGAGACAAGAGTGTTTGGCTGTGTTGCTTTGACAAACAGGTTTGTAAAAAATTTTTAAAAAGGTTAGTTTTGTCCTACAGAAATAATTCCAGAGAGTGTAGTTCAATGCATGATTCCTTTACCAAGTGATTCAGGCGTCAGTGCATGCGATCCCTCGTTCGCCAGCTGCTCGCCTGGCAATGCTGCCTGCTATAGCATCTACCCTGCTGACTGCTCAACTTAAGTGACAAACGAAGAAATCACTTGAGGAAGTGATTTGGTTCAGTACGTTCATGTAAAAGATTCAGTTCTTTTGAACGAATCATTCGCGAACGACACAACACTACCACATAGAGCCACAGTGAAACACATTTTGGGGGGTAAATAATCAAATATCAACCACTCTGTACCCAGTACTTCTTCCTCAGTTGATTCACTGCATGCACTGTTTTCAAAAGGAGGAGGGGCTGGGACATCCTGATCAGCTATCAAGGTTAAAAAAGTGAGGTCAATGTTAAGATTGGGGAAAAACAAAGCCAAAAGGGAAGACTGAATAATGGACACAGTTTTCTGCCTTGTTTGTGAATTACCAGTTTCAGCCTACAGACAGAAGACCTTTTAGCTGTGCTAGCATCATGTGCAGGTTCACACCACAGTTTCAACAGTGTGGGGTGACAGACTGCAGAGATGAACAGATGACATGTTGAATTTGAATGCTTATGTCTGTTCAAACATATCAGCATTTCATTGAATGTAAACCAACATAAAGAGCTGGGGGATAGCGCATGTTTACCAGTAAGTGAAAAAATGTGTGAACTATAATGACATTATGCATCACTGGCTACATTTACATGCAGTCATTAACCCTTTCATAACTGGAATATTAGCAATAACCCAGTTGCACATGGTCATGTAAACGCTTATAACCCTTTTGAAAAAACTGAATATGTTCATTTTCAAATTTAGCCCTTGGTTAATCCTTTTCAAACTGGAATATTTGGACATGTAAACACCTGTCGGGATATCCCCATGAAAAGGAATATTAATTTGTGTACTGCACATGTTCTGTGCGCAAGGAATCTTGGTCTTTTGAGTACAGGAAGTCCTAGACACGCACTGCGTCATGACATTCTCCGTGTGTTGAGATGTGGTCCGTGGGTCGCAGTTTTGATCAGGATATCATGTAAACAAGAATAACCCTATTCGCTCACGTATGTCAACGGGTTATTCCAAATATTTTAGAAACTGGAATACTGACCCTAACCTGAATATTGACTATATGTAAACGTAGTCATTGTTGATGTCAGACGTATCAAGCAGATAACAATCCACTTACACAACTTTTTCGTTGCTTTGCACTGTTTGAGTGAAAAACTTTTGGGCTCAGTGGTCCTTCGTAAGGATTCAAATATTGGCCTGGGTTGGGGTTTGTGTGTTGGGATTTGGGGTGCATACTTATAGAGTCTATGACTAACACATATTTTTTCGTTATTATTCCAAACACCAGGTATGCTGTGAAGAATGGATGCTATCTACAATTACGACTTCGATTACTTCTATTATAATTACACCTATGACTGGTGGAATTACACCCTGGTGGAAGTGTTTCCAGGACATGATGTTTGGATGGTTGATGGTGTACCAAGAGTCCCGTACATGATTGCATGGATTGTCATCATTATAGGTTTTCCTTTGACCTTGTTGGCCATCTATGCTTTGTATTCACTGGTATGTTGAGAATTTTCTACTACCTTGCCTGTAGAAAGTTTCAGTTTCAGAAATATTTCAGTTGTTTTCCAGAATAGTGTGCACATGGATTTTATACTGGACGTATTTTAATGTAATATTTTGAACTTCCACTGGTCTTTCTGTAAAGTTTGGAGTGTTGATGGTCAAAAATGAAACGATTAAACATTCCCTGCAATCTTCTCAATCTGCTTCTCAACCTATAGGTGCAAGACAACCATGTTGCACCAGTTTATGTCATCAACCTCCTGATCTCTGACCTCATCCAGATGTGTTGCTTTGTGACATGGGTTGCAGTACGTTGGATTGAAATTGTCGTCTATGTCTCTAAATGTATCCACTTCATTGGCGTGATGGCAAGTGTTGGCTTCATGGTGTGTGTTTCCCTGGAGAGGTATGTAGTGTTTGCATTGGAATATCTAGACTCCACATTAAACAAAATAAACCAGTGACAGATATTCTGACCAGCAAATGCTCAACCATGTCCTTTACAGGTATTTGGTGGTTGCTCGCCCCCTGTGGTATCGCTTCAAATGGACCATAAAGTTCTCTGTTGCTGTGTCCATCATGACTTGGGCAATAAGTGTCATGGACTTACTGTTCAGAGTGCTAACCTTTAACTCCTATCCCTCAAAGATTTTTCACTCCTTCTTACTTCTCTTTCCTTTCCCCCTGCTCATCTTCTTCTTGGTTGGAACGCTCAGAGCCCTGTCTGCTGCCAATTCAGTACCTATCACTGAAAAACGGCGAATCGTTGGAATTTTAGTCTCGGTCCTGTTGAACTACACAATACTTTTTTTGCCCTGGATTATTTGGCTCACTGCATTCTCATCCCCTGACTCCATCCCAAACCCTGACAGCGAAGGTATTTGTTTATCATTTCTTCTGTTCAGTCCCCTTGCTGACCTGATTCTGTATATTTTCATGAGGAAAGGGGCAATAGACAAGCTACTGGCTCATCTATGTAGCTGCAAAATGGCAGAGGAACAACAAGGCCAGGTCACCACAGCAAATGATAGAACTGAAGAAGAGGTCAGCCCTGTGTAGACACAGCAGGAGAGAAAGATGGACAAGAAAAAGCTAAGGAAGGGGATGTACAGACATTTCACTTGGGAGTAAATATGGATACTTTCTGTAACAATTTCACCAATAATGATACTTAATCACATAAATGGTTCTTGGTTATGAATTTGACAGCAGGATTATACTGTTGTTTAGGAATGGGGCTCCCTTTGAATTACTCTTCCAGGTTTTCAACTGCTATATAATGGATCTGCCTACTATTAAAAAAAAAAAAAAGTGTGGTTCTTGAAAATGTTCGGAGAGAAATCTTCTATATAGAGAAATCTATATATGTATATATTATAGTAAGTGTTATAAATAAATATAAGCAATCCTCACTATTCTTCATGCTTCAAAATGTGACTTCTGACAAAGTAATGACATCCTGGTGACTTTTGACAAATGTAACTTATATTATAAATATTTTATGTGGAAATGTTTATTCAATTGTTTTACTTAGCAGCTGACACCTATCCCCTCAGACAGGTTTCAGAAGGTCAAAATTACTAAATATAAACTATTTAAACTTTGACTCTTGTCCTTCATGGTCGTATATGCTTTCAGATATCACAAAAAGACATCAACATTAATTTATTAATGTTATGTCTCTATTTCAAAAACTTAAAAACTACCCATCAGAGTTTTAAGGGTATTCAGTCAACTTTATTTGAATTTTTTGATTAAAGTGTGTCCTGACCTGAACTTTGACCTGAAGTGAAAGCTGTTTTTGTTTACAACTATGTTCTCAGGAACTGATAAGATCCTCAAGCATTGTGTAACTTAATAAGAAAGACATACTCACAGTTCTTGATAAATTAGGAAGGAACTTTAGTGACAGGGTTTTTTTTTTTTAAACAATCTCTGTCTGAAGTCATTTTTAGTCTGTATTTTTCTCTTCTTTAAATGCATGAAAAATAGATACTGTACTGCAGTAGTAATTGTTACTAGCTTTATTACAGTAAAGTTGATAAATGCCAAAAGTAACCATAGTTTCCTTACGTGTGATGCATTTAGGATGCTGCACAATTCAATTACAGGAGACTAAAAGTAGAAAGGGATGTCATTCATGCAGAAGTTAGGGTGCAAGCTTTCAAAGGCGCAGTCGGATGTATCCATGGCACAGCGGCCGCAGTGACAACTTAAAGCCACAGGGTAGGTGATAGTCGGGTCTACACCTGGGAGACAGTCAGGAAGCTCAAATGTCTTGTAGAAGAATTCCCTGTACGTGCACACATGCTGATAAACATTTCTGAATGGTGTCTTGACGACAGGGTCCTAGAAGGGAACAAAAAGTGCATTACTGGAAAATAAAGCCATGCTGCCATTGTCCTACACAATAGATACAATACAGCACATCTGAATGAGATGTTTGAAAATTTGCTCAAATATTTTAAACCTGAACCGGGTATGTCAATAAATAAACAAATAAATAAACACACACAAAATTACTGCAAATTGCACATTTAATTTTCTTTTCTTGAGGGACTCAAAAGGATCAATAAAGTTCTATCTAATCTAATTTGATCTGATCTAATGTAAACAGGTCAGAACCTTAAAAACTTCCAACCTTAGCAGGACTGTTCATGAGCAGCACCCCAAAAGTCTAGAGAAGAGGCTTGCCCACAATACCTTGGTGATGCAATGCCCACTGCAGATAGTGGTCTCCGCTGGATGGCACCTGGGACAGCCCTCCTTCTCCAGAGACACAGTCTGGTTGATGGGCTGGCATGGCGGCAGCTGGAAGGCCACTAGTGAAAGGATAGGAAATTGTTCATGCTTTCAGGGAAAATCTAAAAACTCAACCATCCTGCCAAAATACTCTGGTGTCTGTTGAACACATTTAAATCATCTTCTGAAATGTTTACCACATCTAGGTGTTAAGGGACATTCTCAGCAAATAATGTAGAAAATCATCTAAACATCCGGCTTATATACCAAAGATTCTCATCAGCTGTGGCTGTCACTAAAGACTTGTGAAATGTTCACCAAAACGTACATCTTCTTTTCTTTTTTTAGTAAGTGTCATTAAGAGGTGACTTCAGTTATTGCAAAATACTTCCATGGAGAGTGCAGTATCATGTCTGATTGCCAGAAAGGTATGATTGAAACTTCTGCTTATAAATAAGGTTCCTGTATTGTCCCATCAAACACATGGGCTATATCTGTTTGGTTAGCTTTTGAAAGATAAGAACATAAAAAAAGAATATTAGGTAGGAATGAGGAAAAAATGAGAAGTTTGAGGTTTCTATCATTTCAACATCCCACCCCTTTGTTTTATTTACCAAAGGAATCCCAAGGAAAGATGTACAGTACATGGGTTAAAACAGACAACAATGCTGTCAAGATGAAAAACTCTTTAGGTTTGCTTCTAAAGCACTCTACATAGCATGTATGGACTGTATGACACGATCATATGAAGATTAATTAACCCTGAATCCAAAAACACTTAATGCAAAAAAGTCAGATGTTACAGAAACAGCTGGCAGACACATATTTTAAGTTTGTTGTCTGACTCCCATAATTCTGTTCTCATAGGTCACTTTGCACGGTGGGCCATTATTCCCCAAGCCTGTATCGCAGCTTTTTCTATAGGATCCTTTCCCACTTCATTAGACTTAATCCCTGTTTCCACTGAGGAAAGGACACATCAGAAAAGCCGCCCTCTCTCTGAAACTAAACCCTTTGACTGGCTTAAGTTTCTTAAGTTTCTGAAGACAACATATATTGATGTTGGCTTCGAGGTCAGGGTGAAAATCTTTGATTAAATACCTCTGTGTCAAGGTCAAACAGCAAGTAAAGGTCAAAGGTAACTGTGTATGATGAAGGTCTGAACATACTGTAAACACTCACCTTTTGTCTAACTTTCCAGGGGAGACAAGATGACTGTTTTACCAAAGCATTTAGTTTTGAACTTTTTTTGAAACACCTGAAAATTAAATTTCCATGCAGCATTTCTGTTAATGTCACTGTTTGAATGTTCAATTTACCTGCTGGATTTAGGGGCCAACTGGAAAATGAGGCTCCAAGAAACAAATTCAACATCAAGAGAGACATCACACTGCTGACCTGAGCTGCAATCATCCTGCAGGAGACAAAGGAAGTCATTTTATAAAGCTCCTGGGAGGAAATTTTGGTTTTTGGCAAGAGGACCCTGTTTAATGACCATTATATCTGTGTGATTGATGTTCCTTGACAAAGACCTAGCGCTGCATTCACTAAATGATTAAATATAGCACCAATCAACCATTTATGAACATGTGGGGAAAAGGCATCTTCCACTTTGTCTAAAAATGAACACGTATAAACAAACTCTTTTTTTGTTGTTTGCTTTTGTAGGCCATAAAAAGACATCAGTATTCATTTTGGTCTGCTCCATGGCCTGCTAAAACTCCTCGCTTTTATTAATAATTTAATTTGACCCCCAATTTTCTGGACGCCTCTTTGCCCACAGGTTTTCAGAGTTATTTCTCTAACACAGATGGTTGCAGACTTGAGTAGAGAAATGATTTGTTTACCATGTAATAAATAACAACCTGTTGATTCCTTTAAATAAACCTTTGTCTCAAGTGGCACCAGTTGCACTAACCTCTGCTAGTCGTCATTATTCATTACACAGATTTTATTTTATTTTTTCAAGTACAGATTAATAATACCATTATATATCAAGACATTTATTCCAAGAATTATCTGAAGCCAAAGCTAGGTATGACAAAATTAAACAACATTTGGATAAGGTTAAATCGTTTTCTGGTTATTGTTGGAGTAAATGAGCCTGACTTACCTTTCTGGAGTCTGCAGACAGTCTGACAAGGCCAGGTGTCTGTGGTCTGTTTTATGGAGTACAGAGGAGGCTGGTATCCAGGATGAAACTTGTTCATCCTGGATATCAGCCTGATGTTGTTGACTGGGGCAACATTGCACACGCTGACCTTAATGTATCCCAGGGATTAGTCTCTCTCCATATTACGTATTACTCGACAAATACAGTGAGAGAAGTAGCAATAAAACACACATATCAGCTTTGATAGCCTTAGCTGGGTAAAACTTTCTATCATTTAATTCAAAATTTAATGATCAATTATTTTTTAATCATCTCTTGACTGATTGATTGGCTGTATGATCCCAGTTTCCTGTCCTGTGAACTTGTTGGGGATAACACCAAACCTCAGACCGCTACAAAATGGTAAAGCCAGGCTTGTGTGAATGCTCATGAATGGGATAAGTAAGTACTTATAGGCACTTAAATAGCAGCCTCTGCAATCAGTGTACTGTTAACTATCTAAAACAGAAAATATGTCACTTTGAATTACTCAAATAAATCTGATAATGACATATTGATTCATCAGTAAACTCTGATCATAGTCAATTAGCCTGGGTTCAACTCTTCAACTCTGAGAACAAAGTTTTTTTATGTGAACTATAAACCTCAATGTTTTTGCTCCCCTTTGACCCATTGATCAGATGACAGGGTTAACTGTGCATAAACAACAGCATAAAAGAAAGTGTTTTCACAATGTGAAGACAGCACTTTACTTTTGTATTTCTATGTTACAGTAGATCACACCTGGTAATTAAAAGCATGAATAATTGCGTCAGCTGATATTTAAATCTTTAGTTTGAATAGAGAAGCCTGGATGAGGGTTCGTCAATCCTTTAAAGGTTTTATTTTTTGCTGTTTGTTAGTATATCTTGTTAAATATCTCTCTGTGAGCTCATGAAGTCTACCTTGACCATGAAGCTGGATGGAGACTATCAAATTGCAATCTCCTGCTGCCGGTGAAATAATCCTGTTTTATTAGCGTGGGGCCACAGTGACACGCTGACTTCCTCCTGACATAATCCATTCACAAATTTTATCTTGTCATCGGTAAATGGAAGGTTTGTTTTCTTATCCGTTTCATGAATGCAGGAAAGTATTATTTGGTTAACCTTTCCATCTTATTTTTCTTTATTTAGAATGTAAGATAAACTGCAGCAAGGTCAGCCTCCCTGCCCCAAAGTTGTGCTTAAATTCTGTTTTATTAGAGCTGAATTTAAACAAAAGCAGATTTTCAAACATCAGGTAGGCCAAACTATGTCAAAGCACAGAAGTCCTCCACCAGCAGAGGACAAAGCAGGACAGCAGAGCTCAGGGTGGTTACAGGAACCTCTATATGACAAATGAATTAGAAGAAGCAGGATGAAACAGCTGTTACAGCTTTGGTTTTGAAAATGTCTCCCCCGGATAGCAAGACGTCACTGACACAATGTTGACCTTCCATCAGAATCATCATTATGGTGAGTTTTCAATATAAAATTAATGTTGTTGCAATGTTTAAAAAAAGAAAAATTAAAACTGATGATTAAGTAACAATGATGGCAGGGAGGTTGAAACAACATTGATCTTCAGCTGTCCTTACTATAATTGATTACATATCATGACATGGATGTTGAAAAGAGCATTATTCGTGGTTGACAAGGAGATGATGACATAATTGAATTATGTGGCAGGGAGATATCCCTGCTCCGCCACCAGGAGACGTTCCAGGATCAAAGGAGTGAAACGTTGGTGAATGATGGTTCCTGGCTGACGACTCTGTAGCTGACCCGTGGGCACCGGAGGAGGTGCGACAGGCAGCAATGCCTAGCAGGTGTTCAATCTTCCTGTACATTGTACATAACCTGCTATTGAGGTTTTTAAACAAAGGGGTTAAATCTCCAAAACTTCAACTATAATTTTAAATCTCTGCTTTCTGTTCTGATGCTCTGAGATGTCGCATAGAAGCAGCAGCAGTATCTGATTTGGCTATTGTCCAGGTGGTGCATAAACTGTCCTGCTAATTCCCAGACCGAGTGGGTGGGGTTGAAAACTTGACAGTGCCGGAATACATCTGTAATTAATAAAATGTAGCTGGACAATTTGTTAAAACTCACTAAATAAACTTTTAAAACTTGAAAAGAAGTAAAATTGTTATTTTTTTTCAGATTTTTTAAAATAATTTAGAGTTATGAATGCATATTATTACAGTTATCCCAGCTGTAGATAAAGCAGAACCTATTTCTTAAGCAATATTTTAAATTTTTGATAGAACATTTTCTGTGGTTGTATTTTAGTTGAAAAACCAGTATAGTAGTGTTGATATCCAGTTATGATTTCAGTTTCGTTTCGATATCAATATTAATTAACATTGTCTTAATGACCTGTTACAATCTAGGTGGTGTCTGTTTTCTCTATGCACTCGATTCTATGCACTCTCCTCAGCTGAAAACACACTCTACTCTAAGTATACGGGACATACTCAGAGTAGACATACAATATACCCACATCGTATGTCACTCATCTTACAAAAATAACCCTATGTAATTTGAGTTAATTTATTGTTATTTCAGATTTGTTAGAGGCCTACAAAACTCCAAATAACATCATTCAAAGCGATAGCGGAACGATACATTTTATTGAGCTTTGTTCTGGTCGGAGGATCGCAGCTGACGGACCCAAATGATGGACATTGCGCATGCGCATGTGACAACGTTATGAAAATTGTAGTTACATGAATTCTTTTCTGAGGTAAATTGGCGAAAAATATCACAGAGAAGAGACACGTGTATTTACAGTATGGCAGGCGAAGAAGAGGCGAGCAGGAAAAAGGTAAGTGTCCGGGTTAACCTGTCTTTGCAAGGTATTATTCAAACTAAAGGAGCATCTCCCAGTTTTTTAAAGGTCAGAAGCGACGGCATCAGTCAAGAAATCTTATTTACACCGTCTTTTAGCAGGAATATCTTCAGTGAAGTAGTTCTGACTGAAATGAGACATGCAGTTTACCTAAACCCACTTAAGCGCGAATGAAACAAGAGATTCGCTGTTACAGTGTCCCCATTTGACCTCATGATACCAATGTTGACAAATATCTCCTTATGATTATTATCCCATTATAACTAAGTGTCTGTCCAGGATCTGTTAAAGTGTCACTGTGTGTTAAGCGGAACAGTAATGGTCTCTGTATGTCCGTCTCTCTTCAGGGTTTTCGGCTCCTGGGGATCCTTGATGTCCAGAACATTCCCTGTTCCAGAGACGCTATCTTGCATGGCGCTGGAGGCTCCCTGGGTGCTGGGCTGCTGCATTTTCTGGCCACAAGTGAGTCTGAACTGAACCTTAACTGCATGTTTGTTTGTACATAATTTATTTTCTCGGCCAGCTGTTGTTCTAGTAAAGCTCACTCTGGCTCTCTGCTCGTGTGCCTTCATACTGTTTTAGGCCTTGTACAAACGTAGAGGGGTATTTTTATGAAGGAATATTCAACCCCCTCCATTTAAAAAGATATTTAAAAAAGACAGTGTGGAGGACGCCCAATGCAGCGCTTACAGTGACACTTGTAAAGGGGCTGCCTTCTGTCGCCATCTTGTGGCATTACTGTCTTCAGACATCTCTTGGTCTCTTTGACTACTTCATGAAAATTGTAATACGCCTCTCCTGTGGAGCTGAGTTAGGGAGGGGGGATACCTACGCTGTGCTACTCACCAAAATACCAAATTGTGCTTGGGAACGCCTTGTCGGCGCGGCGGACCTGACTTACGCTGTGCCTGCGCCACGTCGCTGGCAAAGCACAAAAATTGAGCCCTTAAACTTAACATGAACTTAGCACAGGAAGGTGCAAAGTCCTGTATAAGCAGCTTAATGAGATTCAAGTTTTATATATTCAAATATATAAAATAGTTAGTCTTATAAATAAATATAAGCAACCCTCACAATTCTAAACGCTCCTATGAGGAACTTTCACTTTTGACGATTATGGCGCTCCTTGAAAACATAACAGTTTTTACTTCTCTTGTCCTTTACATGCTTCAAAAAGTTACATTTGATTGGTGAAAACAGGTCTCGGCTTAGGGATTAGGGAGGGGGGATGCTTACGCCGGGCTGCGCCGCTCACCAAAATACCAAAATTGTGCTTGGGAACGTCTTGTGGCGTGGCGGACCTGACTTACGCCAGAAAGGAATGAAATTAAGCCCAGTGTCTCAATTTAGGGTCTGTTTGCAAGCCTAGTATTAGCCCAGAAGTTTGATTGATTTCTAAGCAGTAGTGTTTTTCTGTTGTCTGCAGGTCGGGTAAGGAGATCTTTTGACGTGGGATTTGCAGGCTTTATGCTGACCACACTTGGGTCCTGGTAGGTCCTTATGCCACCTTATGGATCATGCTCATCTTGCTTGCATTTCTCTGTCCAACCTGAATTTTATTCCGTAATATGATAAAGAAACAACTGGCATATTTTATAAACATCTAGTCAACAATAATTCCTGAGTGTGTTTACCTGACTTATTTCTTGTTGATGTGTCCCTCTTATCAGGTTTTACTGCAGAATAAACAATGCTAAGCTCCGTGTGCAGCAAAGGATGATCCAGGAGGGCATCAAAAACAAGCTTGTATATGAAGGAACTGTTGCAGACCCCACAAACAAACCTGGAGCAGACACACCGTCTGGACCCACATGACCTCCAGCACTGGGATAACTGTTCTGCCTCTGTCAGGGCTGGAGGAGAAAGGAGGACTGTCAAAGCCCTATAAACTAAACAAAACATCAAGTTTGTTTTTTTTTGTTTTTGCTGCATAAATAATAGACAGATTAAATTATTAATTGTCGTTCCTTGTTGGCTTTTTTCAGCTTCTGATACTGCAAATCAAAGGGTTAAATCTCTTATTTCAGGCTCAAATGTTTGGTCTTTCAGACAAACAGCTATCACTGGACCTTATTCTGATTCCTTTAATAAACAAAAATGTTTTTCCCCCTGAATATGCTCTTTCTCAGAAAGTTCACGACTCTCCTGAACCTTGTGTTGCATGTCATGCTGGGATTTTGGTGACTCCTTTCTTCTGTCTGAAAGTGCCAGACCATGACTGAAGAGAGCAATGAGTTGAATGATGTGCAGCATGTTTCTACAGTGACAGACATGTTGCTTGTATGCAGAGGCAGCTTCCTGTGTGAAGATTGCATGTCCACATGTTTGGGGGAGATTTCCCAGACTTGCACTCGGGGTGGAAAAACATGCAGGTTTGGGTAATTGCTCCCCCTAAATTACCTGTAGCTGTCAGTGTGAATGGTTGTGTGTCTGTGATGTGGTAACCTTGTGATTTACTGGCAGTCTGTCCTGGGTGTACAAAGCCTTTGCAAATGCCACTGGAGACGGGCTCCTGCCCCCTGTGAGGATAAACTGTGTATCTGGATGGATGCTATGGCCACTGGGATAACAAGTATTCTGTGATAATTTATTAGAACTGTGACACTGGCTGTGACAGTGAAGTGTGGTTTAATGTTTTACCAAGAGAGGTCAGAGCAGGACCAGTCTGTTCGAGCCTTAAATTAGATTTTCAATTCACCCTTTTGTTATATCTTGGGGCAGAGGTGCCATCTGGGATTTCGGGCCCCATGAAGGAGTATCACTTTGTACCCTACCACTTTACCATCTCCTTGCTGTCCGCTGTGTTTTGATTGTTGGATTCACTGTTGGTTCTTGTATAAAAGAGCTGTAATATCTTTTTTTTTTATTTTTTATAAAATGTTCTTTAAATCAGTGGTTCTCAAGTCCAGTGCTCGAGGCCCACTGTCCTGCATGTTTTGGATGTTTTCCTGCTCCAACACACCTGATTCAAATGATCAGCTCGTTATCAAGCTCTGTAATGGCTTAATAACGAGCTGATCATTTGAATCAGGTGTGTTGGAGCAGGGAAACATTCAAAACATGCAGGACAGTGAGCCTCGAGGACTGGACTTTGAGAACCACTGGTCTAAATAATGCTCACAATAGAAGGGCCTGGTTTGGCACTACATGACCAGCAGGTGGCACCACATCCATCCTTGTGATTGCTCAACTTATGCATCATCTGAGTCCTAGGATGTGTGTAACTGTAAATTTAAGAGACTCACAACGAATCTGCTAAAAAAAAAAAAAAAAGAAAAAAGGCAAAATGTGGCTGATCAAGTCAATGAAATTAATGAAATAATAACACAGTTTTGTCAAGAAAAACAACAGAAAAATCACTTTTAATGTGTTTATGTGCACTTACTAATAGCAGAAGCCAATCCGTGTGATTCCACAGAGTGTTTTCATAGTTTAACCACTTTCACAGCAACATCTCACTGCTCAGTGTGAAACTCAGAAGTGTTAATCAACAATCATTTTTAAATCTTCTCAGAGAGCAAATACAAGAGCAGACATCCAGTTTTACAAAAGCCTTTACAAATTCTTCTGTTCCAAAATAAGATTTTTTCTGACCTTTCTCTCACACACACAAATGCTCTCCGGTCATGCATTTCATGCATTTTGTGACTAATATCACTTTAGATCTTGAGCGTGATCTTTTTTTATCAGCCCAGCATACTTTTTCTTGCATCTGTGTAAAAGCAATACATCCCTCACTGATGCCATTACAGTCCTAATTTATCCCTACTGCGCCAAAAGCCTTTTAGTTTTACCCTTATTGAAACATTTTAGCTCAAATCTAGACTCAGCTCAGAAGATGCTCATACAAAAAGTTTGACTTTAAACTCAAGTTTAGGCACAGAGAATCAAAACGAAAAACAAAAGACTTTTACCCAGGCATATAAAAATTATTTTAAGATGCTAAAGAGCAAATAAATTTGGGTCCAAGAGTAACATCTGTCATATAATAGATGACAAAAGCAAACCGGTAACTAATCCTCTTCTCTTCATTACAACCTCACTACTCTCAGCAGCATACTTAAAATTCATCTTGACCATCAAACAGAGGACACAGAAGCAGCCTGAGCAGTGACAGTCACACTGTCTTTTGTAGTCTTTTTTTAGAAGACCTTTATCTCAGTCTGTTTTACTGTCACGTGGAGTGATTGTTCCACCAGAGCTGCTGGCACACAGACAAGTCAGGAGCGAGATGTCACCTTATATAAGAGCACTCTGATATATTGTTGCTTCACTTAGAGTGACGCAGACATCAAGGGGAAGGGAGGATGGGGGGAGGGGGTAATGAAGGGGAGGGACAGTGCGGGACATCTGTCACTGTCCTGGCATGCTGCACAGCCCCATGTTGAATTATCAGGCCGAGGGTGGCTATTTTTGTGTATCATGGGAAGCGGGTAGGACACGTGGATCTCATTTTTTAAGTAAAGGATTTTTTCATAAATGATGTTGCATCCTCTCTCAAAAAAACATACCTCTGTTATCATAATGTCTTTTTCTCTGTTAGAAAATCCTTAAAATGTTTATATTTACCTACTTTATCATCCATTTTGATCAATCATCTGTATTTGTCTGTCTATTTTCATTTTTGATTTGCAAAAGGCAAAATAAGTTGTTCATTTTCTGTATCTGTCCTGTGGCTCTGTTGTTAAAATCACTGTCCATACTTGGATATTCAGATCAAATCACCTTTGTTTTCAAATTGTTTAAATTAAAAACTACCTTTAGACCTACATGCCAGCAATAATGTGCCTTAACAACAGCCTGATGATGAATAAGCTCGCTATAAGGAGAATAATGTCACTTATATCCCCGTCTATTCCCTTGACAAGGTTCTTACAGTAAAAGCAGGTTGAACAGGTACAATCTGCTGGTATAAAGCCTTTAACCAAGTCACCTTTCTTTACTGCCACTGCCTTGGTATTTTGAGTTGACCGCTAAGCGAGAGCGTCAAAGCACAGTCAAATACACCAAAGTGGAAACTGACAGAGGAGAGGAAAAGAGAGAGTGCGCAGGAATATCTCGTGGTGGCTTTTTACTCTTTGGTGAGAGAGTGAATAGCAATAGAGGTACAAAATCTTAAAATTCACCTATCGTTGCATATTGTGTCCTTAAAGGGCGGTAAGTTGATCTCATGAGCCTGGGAATGATTCCAAAGTGAGCCCCCCCTGGGCTTAGCTGTAGGGATAAGATGAGGAGTTCAGACATCTGGATGGAGCTCTAAGCACAGCTGCTTGTCAAAAGGAGAGAGTAGAGGTGGTCCAGGCATCAGATCAGGAGGTTTTTAGGTTGCTTTCCTGGTTTTTTTTTCTCGGTACATTCAACTGCTTAGGGAATCCGAGGTACATGTATCACAACTGGTTTGGGATTAGCATAAGAAAGTAGACGAATGGCGGAAGAGTCATTAGTATTTATTGCTTGCGATCTCAGACTGAGTCTTTTTATCTTAAGTGCCTGCTGATACCAAGTGTGAGCTAATATTTGTTGTATCTTGATTAATTTTTTTCCACGTAATAAACTGGACCATGCACACCAAAGGTACAGTAAGCTCACACCAAAATGTACACGTAAAATAGCTGCGTAGCTCTTCTTCCAGAAGATATGACTTCCATCACAAGTCTCCTTATGGTTCTCAAAAAAATAGTTTTCCACCTCATTAAAAAATAATACTGTTTATATAATAATAAAAATAATAAGTTCAAAGATGCAATGCTGTTGTCCATTTATACTATGTATAAAATTATACAAAAAATTCAAAATATTCTGTATTATTAAAAGTATGTTTAACACATTAAATACATTTGTTCCTAAGTCCAGACTGATGAAAAACGTATCTGAAACAATATTTCTCAACATGTTGATTCTAACATGGGTTCACACGCTTCATTGTTCTCATTTTGCTCTTTCAAGTTCTCCTCTTTAGTGTCATATTTGGCGTCATCTTGTGGTTGTGATGAGTACTGGACTTTCACATTAAAAACATCCCATTTCTCAGAAATCAGGCCTTTGTTAAAGAGCACAGATGCCAAGTAGGAGAACAACAAGATGGACACCACAGCTGACAGCATGCAGATGGTCCTGATCGGAGATTGCTGAATGTAGACACCGTTAACCAGAGTGCATCCCGGGAATTTGATGAGGGGTGGAATCCGAAGCAGCGGCTCCCCGCACAACACCCGCAAAAGCATGCCTATCACACAGCCAAGAATGGCTCCATAAGCGTTGGAGATCTTGAAGAAGAGGACGCAGACGATCTGTGGCAGCATCAAGGTGTAGGTGAGGTCAGATCGGAGCATCCAGATCATGAGGACGCTGTTGTCCAGGAAGGTGAGAGATGTACCAGCCAAGCCCACAACCACAACAGAGCATCGAATCACCCACTGGATCTCCTGCTCAGACGCCTTTAAAGAAGGAAACAAAATACTATCAGAACCATTTGTTTTGAACTGATTTTTATCACCTTTTTTTCTGTTACATTTTACACCCTTTTAGTTTGAAAGAGTTCAGGTATGTCTAATCCTCCCCTCACCTGTGTCCTCAGGATATTCCTATAGATGTTGGAGGTGAAGATGGAGGCTGCAGACAGTAAGGCAGAGTCAGTGGATGACATGACAGCAGCAGCCACGGCCCCAATACCAATGATGGAGATGTAGGTCGGGGTTAGGTACTGCAGGACGATGGGTAGGATGAGCCCCATCTCTCCACGTTCAATTGGAGATAAAGGACCATAAGAGGTCAAATTCCAATCTAAGGATGAAAACAGTCACAGGTGAGTGGGAATATAACGTCACATAATACACGAAACATGCAGACAGGTTGTTGAAATATAATCCGATTAGAAGGTGGAGTTTTGATCCTCCGTCTTTAACTCATACTTGTTGAGGCAGCCACTGCTCCAAGCAGTATAGGAGGGATTCCTAATGAGGGAACAATGAACGCAGCGGCGAAGCACGTGATCTTGGCCGTGGCTGAGGAGGAAGCTGACAGTGTCCTCTGGTGGAAATTTTGCAGGCCCAAATTCCCCAAACCCTATAAACAGAGAAAGACAAAAAAATAAATAAACAGAAAGAAGAAAATCAGTATGTGTATCAGTCACATATTTCAAACGATGGAGGGATTTCATGATTTCTTTGAACAGGTGTTATTCGTGAGTTCTGCGACAGAGGTCACCAATACAGAGCCTTTTTACTACATGTATCTCTTTACTGCTGATCTTCTAGACATAATAATAACCACAGCAAATTATATGTTTCTGGATTCATCAACCATACTTGTCAGGAGATAAAACAGAGCATACTTGATAAAATGTGTTATGAAGTAGATTTATAAAGTATCGACTGCTGGTAAAGAATTATGGGCCTGGTTATGTTGGCTAAGAAACAAATATTGAGGAGTAGAATCAATAACATGCTATTTACTTTTATTTTCTCTGTTTTCTGTATGGAAAACAGCATAAGACAATAAAGAACTGGGGGCTCTGTCGCTAAAATCATATTGTGATGCAAGGTATTACTGCAGTATAGCTATGCTGATATACGCTTTCAGATCACTCCCTCTCATGTGACATTTCCTCATTATAGGAGCAGCAGAAAAAGAGTGAAGTCTTAAAAATATTCAAATCAGGGTAGAGATGTGTGCAGCACAGCCTTACAGATGTACCTGAATTGGCCATGATCTTTTCATTAAAGGTGGGGTAGGCAGGAATCCATTAAAGAAGCATCTTTTTTTGTGGTGTATAAACAAAAAACTTTTAATATCAGTTAATAGCTATTAGTTATTGATGACATTTGACAAAATCACAATATCGCTGTGTTTTATATGTCTGTGTAGTCAACATTTTACAATTTTTGAGCGTCCCGCTCATTCTGACTGCAAACAAACCTCCCCGACTTGATTGGTTGTGAGGCAGACAAATAACATGCATAAGTCCAAACAAAGTTAGCGTGCTACATTATCAGACAGTAGAAACCAACCATAAAGTACGGAAAACTGTCTGAATCCTCCTTTAGCCATGACTGCCAACACAAACAAGAAAATGAAATAAATGCCGGACACGCTGGCGGAATAATGGGCACTTAAAAAGGAGGTAGACCACCCGGACAAGAGCTGAAAAGCCGCGTCAACATAAAATGATAGGGGACGCCTTGAGATTGGAACTTAGAGACCATATAACCTTTCTGCTGGACAGGTAAACCACTTTAACAAAGTAAGCCAAGTGTCTGTAACAGAAGTGTTTCTTGTCAAACGGGACCAAGGGCCTATTCTACGAAGCAAGTTCGACCAAGCGAGGTAGCCTTGGAGCTACTTAGCGCGGTAGCCAGCGGTCTCGCTAAACAGTCTTACGACGCTGGTTATCAACTGCGTAGGTGGATCCAGCTTTGCTATGAGCCCGTGCATGCATGTAAGGCGGAGCCCGCCGCATCTGACCAATCACGAACATGGACCAGTCTAGAGCGTCAGAGCAGGCCGGAGAGCGAAAGACTGCATACTTCACAAACGAGGAGCAGGAGACGATCATGAGAAAGTATGAAGAATTCAAATCTATCATCAACCTCAAAAGCAACACCGTCACCGCTGCAAAAGCACGGAAGAATTGCTGGCAGAAAATTGCAGACAGTCTCAATGCGGAAGTATAGTGCGCCAAAAATCTTTGATGCCATTATCACCCTGAAATAGCACTGTTCAACATGCACTTTTAACATGCACCAGACATGTCTAATTCATTTTCAAGATGAATTCATTCATTTGTTCATTCGTATCGTGTTTACATTGTTTATGTGATATGTGGGCCATATGAGCCTTTCATAGAGGTGGTCATCTGGTAAAGTAAGTGGGTCCGTGCGGTCCCTGAAAACTCTTCAGGAGTGCTCCTCCTCGGACAATGCGAGCACCGAAGTCTATAGGATCTTCCAATAACAGACAAGCCATTTTTCGAGAGAGCTCATTGGTCAGTGGGCGGGGTTTTTATACTCGGTGAGTTCAATCTGGAACTTAACCTGCCCTGGAGCAGGTTAGCCGTTCAGCGTACGTTGCCATGGAGACTCGCCTCGCTAAGAAGTGAACCTGCGTCATAAAACAGGAAACCCCGAGTTACCCTCGAAGTTACCTCGCTAAGCTGTAATCCTGCTTTGTAGAATAGGCCCCTGCTGCGTGTTGTAGCGCAGCTAAACTGTTTCCCTCGGGTCCTGGACTATGTCACTTTATCCTAGTTGTAGAAGTTCTGCAAACATTGTGTTTGCTCGTCGTCTGTTAGCATCCAAAGTAGCACCAATGCTTTACTTCCACATCGACTGGGCCCCATATGCAATTATCTGAATTATTTATCGGCATTATATCTGAATTCTATCAGAGGAATACAAGCGAGCAGGAGTGTCTGTTTGTGGGCGGGGCTTGCTAGAGCAGAGAGGGTAGGGAGAGGAGGAGCTGAGGGGAAAACTGGTTGGGAGGGGTAGTGCTAACATTCAAGAAATTCTCCCAAAAACTGGCACTTCCTCAGATCCTGCCTACCCCACCTTTAAGCCTTACATGCTAGTGGCACAATGTAGAGTGCCGTACTTAGTAGCATTTAGGAGAATAGGCTTAGTAGAAATGGCATTTAATAGTTATAAGTGTGGTTAAATTAGTATGTAATCATCATTCTGAACATAAAAATCCTTTCATTGTTAAATTAGAATAGGCATTTTATGTCTATATAGGCAGCTATCTTTCTCTACTTTGTATCTTTTATTCAATGAGCAGCTGCGCAAAACACTCCAGTTGGAAGATGAATGAGAAGCGAGAGGTGAGTGTGCACAAAAGAATTAGTAAGGGTAGAATTTTTTGTAAAAATACTGACAACTGGAGGGAAGCAATGATCATGCCTTTACCTGCAAGATTTAGCTCAACACTCTGCATCTGAGAGAGAGATCGTTGTAATATTGTGCCGAACACCATCACAACACTGCCAACTCTAATCTGCGCTCAGCACTGAAAACAGTCAAGTTGGGTCAAAACTGCATGGCGAGGTGATGGCTTGGGTTGCACAATGTTTTTCTATGATGCTGACTTGAAAAATCAAACAGATTTCATCCCACCACCACCACCCACTAGAGGCTGTGTATTTCTGTCAGACCAGGATTAACATGTTCCCTCTTGCTAATATGAAGAAAATATGACAGCTTGCCAGCCTGAGATTCAAAGACGTTTTAATTTAACCTTGACTTCTCATTTGGAAGTATTATCCACAAAAGCTGGATCAAGGAGACTTGAGAAAAAGTGGTGTACACTGTGTTGTGCCATCCAGTTCTCAAGGTTACCCTCTGAGGGGAGTCTTTATCCCTGTATTAAGCACAGAGATATACTGAGTGTCTAAATAAGGGTATTCTTCATCCAGTGAAAGATGTGTAAAGATTCTGTTTGATCTTGGATCTAAACAAGGAGTTATGCTCACCTAAGTTCCCCTGAGCCACACTGTTTGCTTTCAGGCCACATTAGGTACACGTCAAAGAGGAGACAGAGTATTGATGTGCAGTCTGAGGCAAAGATAGGCCGAATGAAAAACAGAAATAAAACTGCTCAGGCTGCTTTGATCTATTCTTTGGGCTTTTAATCATAATAACTATCAGCATGAGAAAAGAAAAATCCTTGATTAATCTTTCCAACCATGTTTGGACAGATTAAACTGAGTCATGACTGGAGAAGAGGTTCCATTTTGTTCCTCATTTAAAGAGCAGAAAATATATCTTTTTTTTTTTTTTTTTATCCAAAGCCATAGCAGGACAGATATCTTTTAACAAAACAAAGATAATCTCTGTTACCTAAATTTTAGAGGCACAAAGTGGAGCTGGAGCAGCTCAGTCATCCTCACTTCAAAACCTCTACCTCCAGACAAACTCCCAGGAATGCTGCAAGACAAAGTCCTTTAAACTTCTCCACATAAGCTCATTAAAAGATTTGGTTGGACCTCTTTACAGATTGTCATGATTAACAGCTGTTCTCAGCTGCAAGTTAATTAAGTTATAAAAGAACTTAATCGAGCTGCAAAAGTGGGGGGGATTCTCATTTCTGCAGGTGCTACGCAAACTTAAAATCTAAGAGGGACGTTTGTGTAACATCTACAGTTCAGTTCAGTTCATTTCACAAGATGGATCATGGTGAATGCCTGAATCCCAACCTCGTACTTGGATCTTGTCCAGTCCAAACCTGAAACTCGATCTGCTGTCCGTGTTTTAATAAAACAGCGAGGCAGAGGACATCCTTGTGGGCGTCCTTGACCAAAATCACCTCTAACAAAGAACCCCTCCAGGCTTACCAGAAGTAGAAAGTTATCGATCCACCTCCAGGCTCTGTCCGCCTCCAATGTACCAACCCACGGGGACTGGAAAGTAGAGTTGAAGGCTGTCTCTGTGATGTCCACTACAGCGGGACTCATCATGGCAAAGGGGACGCACAGCCACTAAGAAAAAAGTAATGCCTGTTAGCACAATGTTACAGTACTGGAGCAAGGAGCCCTCCTAAACAACAATAGAAGAAAACGTTAGCTGGCAGGTCTCTCTAAACTCAGGTTCAATTGGCCCTACTTCTTAATGGTGGTCTTGACTCCCTTTGTATCATGGACTGTACATGAGAAGTAGATATAACCACTGTGGCGTCGTCCGTTGGTTTGTTAACTACCATTTTAAAGTTGAGCATATTGATTTCACCGTTATAATATTTTGGATACACATCACGATCCCTCTGTCCTTGTTGACGGATCCCCACTGTTTTAGGGTTAATTTTGACGAGTTTTTGCCTTTATTTATAGCACAGGTTGGAAGAATGGAGAGAGGACATGCAGCACATGGTCAGGGCCAGACTCAAACCCACGACTGCTGCAGGGACCGTGGTCCCCGTAAGTGGTGCATGCTAACCCACTAGGCCATCAGGCTTGCTAGTGACTGAGACCTTAATCAAGTGAGAAGTAGTATTGTTGTTTTCATCCACATTTCGTAATTGTTATTAATATTGCCCCCTGCTGGCACTTAAAGAAGATGCAGGTTTAGGACACTACTGAATTTGCTTCAGCTAGGAAGCTAACCGGCAGGAGACCATGGGGGAGACCCAGGACACACTGGGGAGACTACGTCTCTCAGCTGGCCTGAGAACACCTTGGGGTCCCCCAGGAGGAGCTGGATGAATTGGCCGAGGAGAGGGAAGTCTGGGCTTCCTCGCTTAGGCTGTTGCCCTCCAGATGAATATCAAGCTAAGAGGCTACATCAGCTTCTTATATACAGTCTATGGTTCATACAGAAAACAACATCTCTATTCTTCTATTGATCACCTGAATAGTTTTGAAATTCCCAGGTGTAAAGACAAACTTATACAGATTGCCATTTTGTTCAGTGTTAAAGTATGTAGACAAACAACCACACTCACATTCGCCCATCAGTTTACAGTTCACCTGATTGACATGTGTTTTGGTCGACACATGCTAACCACTGAGCCACCGTCGCACCATCTAAGACTTTTCCTGGACACCTAAAGATAAAATCATCAGGGCACACAATGGCTAGACAACAGAGTTGAACTTAGATTGAGTTGAAACCTTTCATTTTAAGTTACTTCAAAGCAAAGCAAATGAAACTGCAAATTAAGAAACTGCATTTCCTCACATAAATCTATAAAAAATAAAAAGTGAAAAAAAAAGGAAAAAAAAACAGGAACAGTCTTTTTGCTTTATTTCCAAGAGTCAGGGGAGAGGAAATTAGACTCTCAAGTCTGTTTTTAAAGCAAGACAAATTTGCTCATAATGTCAGCAAATTATAGGTTAAGTATAAGAAGCTAAGTGCTGAAGTCTACCGTGGCATAACTTTGTGCATGAGATCAGTCATAAAATCCTTCCTGTAACTCATAAATATTCACATTGAGATAGCTAGCCTTAGCCACAAAGTAGCTTTGAAGCTCTAAGTCATATGGGCTCCTGGACTCTGTGGGCAGCAAAACCCCTGAGCACAAGAAAGTGAGCCAGGGAACGTTTCCCTGGTTGAGCGTTTGACTGCTTGTTTCTACAATCACTTAACGTTTTGTTTGTCTTTTCTCATACATCTATATCATAAACTTTGAGTTTCAGTGCAATACCCTTAGCTGGTCATGTGGAGTGGTAGCAGGTGGAAACAGCTAGTATGACTAGCACATGTCTTGTTGACTCTGTACTCAAGTAAACACAACACAAATCATGGTTTTACAGTAAGTATACAAAATATCACCCCTGATGTACCAGAGTCAAAGTTCATTACTGATTTGTCTGAGCATGTGTCAATCAATCACCATGGGCAACTGCAGCTTAGCGAGCTCAGCCTGCCACACTGACAGGACCTGCTGCAGGCTAGCTGTAACACCAAAAAGAAAGTCAGTTTTGCAAAGAGCTTTGGGAGAGTTAGCGCTTACTTTGAAAAGAACCAGGTAAGGAGTAACCTATGCTGCATTTTGCATACACTGCAAGGGTCTGTTCTCAGTCTAACCAGGGTGAAAATGTGGACATACAAAACCATATCAAAATGAGCGAACACAAAAGGTGAGGACAGGCAGTAGCGCACAGAGGAAAAAATCAATTATACATGTGGAGTTGGGGTTAAGTCCTAATATAGAGTTGGTGAAAAGGTTGCCCTACACTGAAAGGGAAATAGTCAGCATCTATCCTAGAAGATGCAAAAGAAAGTCTAAGAATGTAAAACTGCTCCAATATTTTGCTTTTCAATGAAGAAAAACAGATTTCAGAGGGCTAGTGGCTCTTTTTTTTGTATCTGCGGACAATCAGCTAAGCATTTCCTCATGTTTTCATTCTTAATGCTAGGCTTGGTTAACCACTGTCTTCAACCAGCTCTGTGACTAACGCCAAAAACACGAGGGCGCTGCCATTTTTTAAATTAAATTAAATTCTCAGAAAGAAAGCAAAAAGGCGTGTGTCTTAAAATGCAGAAACAATTCCTAAACGTCTTTCACAAACCAGCCAGCCAGCACATGAACGAAGAAAACTGAAAAGCGAGAACTCACCAGGCTGATGAAGATGAGGATGAGCTGTATGATGTCTGTGTAAGCCACAGAGTAGAGACCCCCCATTAGAGTATAGGTGATGGCCACAGCTGCAGAGATCCAGATGCTTACAGTGTAGGACAAATCCAGGATCACACTCATAGTCACACCTGTGAAAAGCACACATAACAGTTTTTAAACACTGTCCATAAACGCAATGACACATTTCAAATTCTTAAAGTTCTTACATCCATGTTGATTTTTTAATTAATTCCTAGAAATCTGTTGCCTTAAAGCTCCTGTGAAGAGGGTTTAGTTTGTGATCACTTTGGCGCCCCCTGTGGACAAAGTTGTACATTTTTCTTTTTGCTGATAATCCTGGACAGTCTGCTTTCTGACAAAATATCATCTTGCTTCCTTTGATGTTCAAATCAGGCACCTTTACTAGATATTTGTCTCATAGAAGAGGGTTTGCCTCAAATCAGATATGCCACTGCAACTGATGCAGCAAATGTAAATTTAATTTCTTGCAACAGTGACTTCAAACAGTTGAGATGTTGACTTTGCAATGTAGTTTCTATCAAGCTGATTTTTCTGTACGCTTTTGGAATTCAAAATTACAGTCAGTTGCAGTGTCATCACTACAAGTAACACAGACATGTCCCAAAAATAACAAATATAGCATTAATTTACTTTCCAAATACTGTAATAATAATAATGATTTTAAGAATACCATAAAAGACCAAGTTGAAATGCAGCAATGAGACAGTATTAATTAAAAAGAAAATCTTCAAAATAATAGAGATAAAAGCAAAAATAAAAGCTGTCGTATGCACAAAACCAAGTTTTAAAAAAAGCATTAACAAACAACACTTTAAAGAAGTGCAAAGACATATTCATAACTCCTGTTTTGTCTAACACACTTGTTCACAGGGAAGAGTACTAGAAGTCACTTTTAGCTTTTTTAAGATATTGGATTGAACTGTCTCCACTAATTCTTAAAGATATTCAGCAACACTGCCAAAGTGAGGTGGTCTTTACACAAGTACAAATTTGTAAGACACCAGTAAAATAAACTATTGCTCTGGTGATATTGACACGTCATCTTTTTTGAAAACGGGTCTGCAGGTGGATATCTGGGCATTCGTCTTCATGCCGTTGTTGGTGAAATAGATAAGTCCGGAAAAGACAGTGACCTCATAGCACCCCTCCTCCTCTCCTCCCCTTCCCCCAACCCACATTGTCACACACACAGCATGTATGTATGCGCATTCTCTGTGTTTGGTGCTTTGTGGCAATTTCACAGTGTCACCTTTAGGCCGGACATATGTACTACAGGATTTTGCGTTGTCATGTAAATGCACTAAGCATATGTACAATACGATGTGTAAACAGCGATACATGTTTTGGTGCAGACGCCAAGACAATACGGGGCCGTGTGGGGAGAGCCTGAGTCACATTTTTCTTCCTACTGTTTCTACAAATCTCCAGTAAACCAGTGACAGATGTGTCCTTCAAAGCAAAAAAGTTATCAAGCTAATTAGCCATAGATCTAGGTGAGAAGACTGAAAATCAATCCTAACTGTTCCAGGAAGTCAGAGGAAGCACAATCTTCACTAAATCATGAAGTTTCTAAAGGATGTTAGATGGGAAAGTTCAACCTGTGATGTTTATTTAAAGAGAAGTACAGCGTTTTTTGGTACATTGGAGTTTTTGTCCCCTTTAACCACCAAAAAGCAGGTATTGCTTTTAACACTAATACACTATATTTTTACAGACATCCCTAAAAGCTTCTGTAAGGAGCTTTTAGCTGATAAAACACTGACGCTTATATGTGACCTACTTAAAAGCAAATCGGACCATCAGCAAGAAGATTGACTTTATCTGTTTAATAATTTCTAATGCCTGTAACCACTACCGCCAGATCAGTATCAAACAAGGGGGTCAGCAGCATGCTGTTTCAACAGCCTATGCTCACATTTTACACAACAAAGATGGCCAGTAAGTGATATGAAAAACAAATAAATTTAATACAAAAGATACAGTATACACACCTGAAATCTGACTGAGTGCAGACAGTAGAAAAGCGATAAAGGAAAAGATCAACAGGAATATTGTGTTACATTTCCTTTCCCTCAGTCTTTGATTTTTACAATGATGTTTTTGTGACCCTTCATCAACACATCACCCTGTGGTAACCGCTGTGATTTGAGAACTTGTTCCATTGATGAAGTTATTTCAGACTCACTGTACAATTAGACAAAGGCTTGTGTTTCAGTCACCACCTCAGCAAAAGGGCTACAATCAACAGCTGCTCCGCTGCCAGAATCAACGTACGAGTATCAGATGCATCACACCCACGCAGAGAGACATTCTTACCTAATCCTATGAGTGTTCCCGTCACCCACATAATCTCTGATATCAGCGAAGCCAGTGAGAGAGCCGCCGTCGGTACTTTTCCATATTTGATCTGGAAAGGATCCATCATGGTCACATATTTATTGTTTCTCATCGGTTCGGCGAAGAACAGGCCACCTGAGTGAATGAACATGGAAAATGAAAGATTTAGATTTATTGGCTCTCAAATGCTGAACAGGGATTATAGTCAAGATTCAGCTTTTGAAAGAAGAAAACAATATTAACCCATTAGACTGACCCAATCTTAAAGATCAGCAAATTACCTCAATTTTAATTCTTACTGACACAATTCAACTCCTCACCTTAAATGTCGCCTGAAGGAATGTCAGATAAAATTAGACAAAATATTTTGGGTTTCACAGGATGCTTTATCAGAGGCGGTAAGCCTGTCAGATCCTGATGCATCTCGCCTAAATTTAGACAGTAGACATCAAGATGATGATGAACACATGAAAGGTGTTTTTGTCTAAGCTATCTTTCTAAACCTTTTTTCTATTAAATTTGTTTAAGAAAGTGGTTTTGCACTTAGACTATAAAACACTTTCCCCATTTTTTTTTTTATTTCTGTAAAATCAAGTTTGAAAAATGTGTCATTTAAAGGCACATAGACTCTTTATGATCAGAGACAGATTGGTCTTTGCCAAATAGGGTTACACATTAAAAGCATTTGTCTGTGTTTTGGTGCAAAACAGTTAACAACAGTGCTACTCTAGATTGTTAGAAACAATATAAAACCATACAACAACACCAAACGTGTGTAAAAGCTGCAATGGGTATTTATATGGGTATTTGTATTTATAGGAAAAGAGGACAAAGATGATAGGACAGAGTATATATGACAGTTTGAATTATAACAGGCAATTCTTGAGTCCGGCGATCCTTAAGTAGGGAATAAATGACGTGTCTATTTCACATGACCACCCTCTCAGTTATACATTTTCCTGCTTATTACTCAGCTGCCATTCAAACGCATAGCAAGCTGAAACTCAATAATGATCCTAGCATGAATTTATTGATATAAAATAACAGTCCTTCAGGTTTAACAGTTGGAAGTGCTGCCATGGCAACAAGATTCTTGGCAAATTAACATTCTACTCACTCTGCAGCCTAAACGGTGTACTGCCTTACTGTTACCAGTGACAGTCAATTACACGTATCAGTCGCTGTAAAGTCAAACAGAAGTGTTTCCCATCAGCCTCTTTACAGAAAATGCCAGCAGTGTCGATAAAGATGCTTCCTCAACACTCACTTTTCTATTGCCGTTTTTTTCTTACTTAAGTAGTCCTTCAATGCTGTCAGAGCCAATACCAAGTTGTGGTTTGTTGTGTTGAGTCTGTTTTCTTCAAGTTGGTTGGCTCCCCAGCTCCTTGACGTTCCTTGGTAATTTCTGTGCTTTTTTTTCCCAATATCTTGTCTCTTTTTCTCTGCTGTTGACTGGCAAGCCATTAGCAGCTATCTGAAGTTTGTGCTTTCTAAATGAACAGTGGGTAATATCAATATTCAATGTTGTCTACCAATGGTATTGGAATAAAACATTTTTTTTTTTCATATTGTCAACAGGAAGAGTTGTCATCCCACACAGTGCATCAAACTCCTTTACATTTTATGAGTGACATGTGTGACCAGGTTGACCCTAGAGTCGCCTTCCCACAGCAGTCTGCTCTACAATCTTAACATTACTGTGATATTCACTGGCCGGAGAGTCATTAATTCAATAAACAACCTCCTCCTGAGTTTCCTCACAAATCTACTGCAGTACATTATGTTTATTTCTACATTATGATCCCATTTGGAGAATACAGCAAATTTTTCTTGGAGTACGTGGTTTGCTGTGAGTGACAAATTACTACCATTGCAACTTGCCAAACACAAAGGCCAATCCAAAAAGCCCTTCAAGAGGTAAAAGCCCTGTCCAAACATAGAAATATATGATCCCCAATAAAGAATGTTGGCAGACCCTATTGTCAGACTAGAGACTTTTAAAATGTGGTTCCCCCAAATCATTTAATGAAGACATTATCACTTTATTAACATTTGTCTATGTCTATATAGACTCATTTTTTAGATTATTTTCTCATTAACAGGAGTTAAATACTGTATGATTATGTCAGTGTTTTCTAGAAATGCAGTCATGAAAAAAAGACAAGAAACATGAATTTATTTTGACACAATACTGTACATCCTCTGTTTAGTGTTTGTGAAGATATGAAAACTATCAAAAAGACAACATCGTGTACTCCTGAAAACGTGGAAAAGTGAAGACATCAAAACGATATTTCTGGCAAAGTCATTTCACCTGTTCTGACCACATAAACACAGGTGAGAAACCAATTGACTTGTCTCTTAGAAAATGGGTCATCAGAATTTTCTTGTCCTCACCAGCTCTCTGAGGCCACTTTAGAGAGCGCATTTGTGTCAGCGTAAATTCATCAGCGTTTAAGAGGATAAATCTTTCTTTTCCCATGGGATTTTCACGAGCAAAAGGAATGTAGCTTTTCACGACTAATCTCCAGCAGAGGATAAGTTACAGGGAAGTTTTGTAACCGTTTGTGTCTCAGTTGATTAAAATAAGTCAAATAACCAGAATGTCTCTTATTCAAGGTGAAAATCCGTCCTCAGGAGAGTTGGCTGAACGTGTTCCTATACCTCTGGATTTCACAAGTTTGTGATACATTTGAGAAGTTAATACAGGATGGAATACTTCAATTGACTGCTTTTAATCTGAGTATCCCACCTCTATTTAGGTGAGTAATCCTCTTAATTTCAGAGGAAAGCTTTCAGATTGGGACTCAAGTTACTGTAAATATTAAGTAGCAATAAAACTAGTTTAAACTTTTCAAAACAAAAAGGCAGCAACAGTCTGATAAAAAAACCCAATCAAAAAGCCATAATGCTTCCATTAGGTATATCAAAAACTGAGCTGAGTCCACTTTAGTCTCTCACACTAACACCCTCAAATGGCTATGGTGCACACAGGGGGATATATAATTTATGCACTGTCATGATCGGCCTCGCACAGCTCTTCTCAGTCAGACAGCATTATCATGGGAGGATTTGATTCCCTATGGTACTGATAAGGCATAACTTTGTAGACCTCACTGATTGTCAAGGATGGTGCTGACTGTGAGTTATTGTCCCCCCACACTTGGTTAATATGTTTCCACAGGACTCCGTGTTTCCTATGACGTTGCACAGACTGATGCGCCAGCTTTTGGCCTCTGACCATGTTCACCATTACATGTTGTCTCTGATAAAAGGTTTTCTGTTAATCCCCCATTTATGTAATTGAAGATTGAGATGAGTACAAGATTTGCGGTCTGCTAAAGCCATCCAGAATGACTCATTCAAACATTAGGAAAACAATTTAAAACAGCATTAGGTCGGGAAAGGTTTGGGACTGTAGCCATGGCTGTGATGGGAAACAGTATGTGTTTTGGTTGTAGGTTCATTGAAATGGTTATCTTCATATTGAAAGTCATCTTGCTCCTTTTTTTTAATCATAACTACATCCTGTCGTCCTTTTCCCAGAGAGGTTTTAAAGGGTTGAACCACAGTCTGTACAAAGCATGGACCTCGTCTCAGTGAGGTCACCCATTTGTCTCCGAAGCTGACGTTTGCAGCCTTTTGACAGTGAAGGCCATGTTGGAAATGATGACTCAACCTAACTTTCATTTGACCTGGCAAAAAAGGCAGACATAAAGCAGCCTCTTCACTAACATCTACAGTGCGTCTGCCTGTAAGTGAAGTCAGCGGTAACTGTAACATCTTCAAAACTAATCAGTTATATAAAAAGAAAATCACCTCGTGTCCAGAGTGTTTGGACAAAATAAATGAGCTAAACAGATCAGAATCATTTGTGGTATTCCCCGGCTCTGAACCTACTTATCTTTGCCAAAAAGGGGCTTATTTGACTGGGTGTGTTTTTGGAGCCAGCCTCAAGTAGACCCCAGAGGAGGTGTAGTTTTAAGCACTTCAGCACAGGCTTCGTTTCTCAAAAGCGGAAGTTATCACTTGGGTTGAACCAACATCCTGCTGGATCTGCCAACAGCTAGAGTGCCAAACTCTGATATAGAGATAATTACCTTCAGTCTGGTCTAAGACTTGAATATTTGATTTGATTTAATCTTTAAATATGTTGAACACACCCAAAATGTTCTGATTCAAAAGAAGATTAAAAATGATATTTATGGCTAATACATCCATCAACAGACACAAAGTAAAAGACAGACACTATTGATGCATTCATAAGGGGTAAATAGAAGCAACAGCTTATGTTGTCCTGCCCCGTCTTTACAATATCAGTCCATTTACATGTCAGTAATATGGTCTTTAGTCCACCTTTTTATTCCTTTCTTGCCCTGCTTTGTTCACAAGCACAGATAAAGCTAACGCTGCTTCTAGCCTTGCCACCCTTGCCTTACTTACGTTATTCCCTTTAAATCTGGCGCTTTAGACACAAACATTTTAAGAGATATCATACATTTACAAATTGTGCAAGAAGTTTTTAATTTTGTAATTTAATAGTTTATTTCTTACTAGCTATTTTTTCCATGCCTGATCCCAACAACTCTGTTGACTGATGAGAAACCCTACTATAAATAACAGGAAGACAGTACTGAGGTTTATTTTTTTGTATGCTCATTAGTATCCTGAAGCTTATCCTGAATTTGATCTTAATAAGGATACAGTGTTTACACAGGTCATGAGAAACCTGGTTATTTATACCCTCCTAAACATGACCATCACAGTATGCAGCGATGGATCATCTGTGTGCAGGTGTGTATTCAGTTCTCACCATCTCAGACTCTGTAAGTTCAGTGCAATAAAAGATTTTCCATAAACCTGAATAAGGTGTTTACATACCACAGTATCCTAGCTTCTATTGGCACACTCCTGGTATAGCACCACATGTGGGATTTCTAAAAACAGCTTAAGATGTGTGCACACAAAACACATAACAGGGCTTCTTCAACAGTCTGATTTTAATCCGGGCATTACAGTAAAGTTATCTCAAAACCAAAACCTATTAGATTGGGATATATTTCTCATCTAACTCTAGTGCTTTGGACTGAAGTTGCACCCTTGCTGTTGCTTTAGAGAGATGCTGTATTTTCAGCAATAAGGACAGTCGTTGTAACAAACTTTTTATCAGACTGATGATATAGATCTTAGCACAACAAAGTCCCTGTCTATGTTTTAGCCCTCCAGTGTGGTGTGTGTAATGAGCATTACAGCTTCAGGGGCCCACAAGCATAGCTTTACACTTTTTCCTTAATCCAGTCAAAATGAAACCACTGACCCCAGAGTGCTCTGCTCTGCCTCCGTACAAGACTCTGCACTGTAACAGGACTTTAAAAGGAAATTCTCACCAATAATGAAACACATGGTCGCTGAGATCGGCATCACGGCCCAGATCAGTCCCATGGAGGGGTTGTACACCGCCTCTGCAGTGCCCACGATGAATCCACCTCCAACCCATGTAGCTGTAACACACACATACACAAACGCACACACATATATCACAAAGAAATGACATGTGCAGAGGAGAGCAGCAAGTTGGCTGTGGCTGGTCTGCAGCAGCACATGTCAGTAACCTGATAACAGGTACCAAGCTCTCCACTGTAACTTTAATTAGAAATTAAAATTGAATAGGAACTGACTGTAAATTTAATGGCCAATTACTTTAAAACATCCCTGTCCTGGAAGTTGCTTTATCAGATAAACTAGAAGGAAAGGATTTAGGCTGATGGTCATTTTCATCAAATATGAAAGATGTGGACATGCAAGGGGATAAAGGAGAGTTTTAAAAATAATTCACTGACCCACTTTGCTGCTATTTTCTGCCACTGTTGTGACTCAGCTTGTTTTTTCTTTCGTTCCTTTTTTTTTGTAAAAAATTAAGTTCCCCTTTTTCTCCTTCTTTTCCGGAACCCTGCCTTTTGTCATATATCCTTCTGAATAAAAAACACCCAGGAAGAGACATGTTGAAATATTCATGTTCGTTTTCTCGTGGCTGTTCCACCTAGACTTAAATACGTCGAATAAACGCAATTCTTGAATTTCATACACGCCAGGAAAGGTTTGATTTTTAAAGGGTGTTTCGTTATAGCGTATATCAAAAACACACGCTTTGTCTCTTTCGGGTTTTAAATCTTTTCCACCAATCAACCATTTTGCAACTCGCCTCTAAAACGTGTTTCGTGTAAAAGGCAGTTTCGCCTCAATGTACTATGTAGACCTTGCTGTGTGTGGAAACAGAGAAGCCCGTCATCTGAAAATATCGGAAGCATGTTATCTTTTCCTGACCACACTGTAATCGCAAGGTGACTCCATGTTGTTCCTGGACTGCAGTTACTCGCCTGTCATGGTGAAGATGCCGACCACCAGGTTGATGCCCCGGTTGCCCAGCAGCGCCATCTCCGTCTTATCCCCCCGGCCCTTCTTGGCTTCCCTTTTGGACTTGATGGAAGCCCAGATGCCGATCCCGAGGACCAGCAGGTAGAAGAACATCATGACGGACACGCCGGGGATGTTGAGAGCCATGATGGTGCTGCAGGATTCAGACTGAAGGAGCGCGCGTGTGCCGGGCCGCCGGATGATACAACATATCCCTCCCTGCTGCCGCGTGAGGAGGCACAGAGGAAATGGCACACACTGAGGCGCAGTGGAGGTGCGCGGAACTGCATATAACCCGCAGCAGTCAGCTGTCAAGGTGACACACATCATTCATACCTTGGGAAAGTCGGCTATAGATAGAGCATAAGCCAACATTTGAGTGTTTGAATACATTTGTATGTAGAATCACTGTTTTCAGCTCTTTCCTGTTATAACATTTAACATAATCCATTACGCAATACACGCAAGTATGTAATACGGAAGCAGCTATGCACCCACACATTTTATTGACTCCGTACTGGAAGCACAAAGCAAACACGCATAGACTCAGCTTACCTCATTAGTGTGGCCAATGGCAGCATGGCATGTCGTGGTCTGGCACATCACAGTGACCAGTCGATGCTGTGGTTTTCTGGATTACCCAAAAACTACCCCGTTATCTGGAGAACACAAGCTTTGTTTTCTCCACATAATGAGATAAAAGTGGATTCATCTCAGTTTTGTTTTTTTCTAGATGCCAAGATAACTAAGTGGAGAGATCTCAAGATAACTAGAGTGAAGTTCTTTTTACCTTAATGGACAAAAATATCAAGATCTCAAGTCAAGATTTCAAGAAATAGAAGGAAATTGAATGAACATAATGTAGCTCTGAGTGCATTTCTGCTTTGGTCATTAAAAAGAAATAATTGTAAGTATAGACTTTGTTAATGGGAAATACAGGTATGTGCTTTAGGGAAAGCTGTGGAAGCCTGAGGTAGACGTTCATCCATGTATCCTATGTTAAATAACTGGACATTTCTAGGATTTTATTTGCATTATCATGTGACTGCCAGAGGAGACAGTCGCTTCTTTCAAGTCAAATTTAAAATCTCACTTTTACAGACTTGCTTTTATATGATGCCGTCTTTTATCTTTTTATCTGTCATCTCTTATCTCTGGGAATCATCTCTTATCTTATTTTGGTGTTACTGTCTTTTTAGCTTTTGTTTTACTTGAACTCTTTTCTTAATTAACCTTTTAGGCCTTTTATTAATCTCTTGCTCATTCTTGTTGCTCTATTTTATCATTACTATTATTATCAGTATTAGCCTACCTGTTATTATTTTATTATCATTGTTGATATTGTCTTTTATATTTACTACCCTGTTTCCACTTTTGACCCCCTGTTTTAATTCCATTTTCTTTTTTCTTAACTATTTTATGATTTTATTTTGGTCCTCATGGTCTCATTTTATGTTACATGGTTCTTGTATTGTCTGAGTTCCTTATGAGATGAAAATGGCCTTCAGTTCTGTTTTAACTGAGCTTTTTGTCTTTGTCTGTCTTTTTCCATGTGCTTTATAATTATATTTTAAAGCACTTTGTGAACTTCTGTTTTTGAAAGTGCTATACAAATAAAGTTATTATTATTATTATTATTTATACAGCAAGCTTCATTTCCCATAATAACCGATAACGCATAAATGTAATGTATGTACATCAACTGTTGCCTCATATATGAAATATCTGTATGTATGAGGACATGTATGGACAACCTTTATATGAAACTTTTACAAACTGGAACAGTTTTATGGACACATATACATGTGGTACATATGAGTATATAGGTTTTATATTAACATGCATGATAAAAACATATAAAAACATGTTAAGATAAATCAAATTGATTAGTTCTGAAGATGTATGTATGTGATAGCAATGCATTTGCCATTATGTAACATATACCTATATCTGTATTTATTTTGTGCTGTTGCAACCCTGCAGATTACTTTTGATTATCTCAGTGGAGAAAATGTAAGGATGCATGTGTAATTTTATCCCTGTGCACAGTGTTTTTTCTCTAAGTGGCCATCAAACAGCATGTGTGCAGCATGTACAGCACGTCTATTTTTAATTTCTATCACACGTATGTTAACATACATGTCTGTATCACCCTGTGTGTCATATATCTGGTGCTTCACATTCAAAGCATAGGAGTGATCCAAACTCAGCTGGATTTTATTGTGAAGGAAGCAGTAAAAGCAATGAATAATTAATGTAGTTATCTGAGAAACACTCTCTTTTCCTGAGAACAGCCAGCTGTTATTCAAGCAATTAACTGAGACTTTGTAAATGTTTGACAAATTTAACAAAAGGGCTGCTTTGAACAACAGGGACTTGTGCACAAGGAAAAAAAAAAGAAAAATCCAGGTTGTATGAGACAAAACAAAGAAAAAAAAAAACAGCTTTACATAATAATCATGCCTGCTGTTTAACAACTTAAAGTGACATGACATCAGAATTTCAAAAACTCTGGCCATGACCCGGGTAATAAGTCAAACATGCCACCATATCCTGGGATGAGCTTTTTTATCTGTTGATCTATTTCTCTTACCTGTCACCTAACCCTCTCATATGACTGGATTGAAAAACAATGCTGTTGTTCTTCATCCTCTGCACACAGATTTCTGTGTTGACTTGTGTTACAAAGTACAAGAGCTTTTTATTTTTATCTCAGTGTGGAGGAACTGATGTGGTCTCTTACACGCTGAGCTGGGGGAGGATATGTGAGAGGGTGCCCCTTCAACGGCAGATAAATACACTATTTTGATACTGCTGCACACTAGAATCACAAGACTACACAATATCTTTAGTAATGATTGAGTCATAAGTGTTTAATAATTAAATAAAAAATGGTTTATACAAATAGAGACATTTTCTGACATTACAAAATGTTACCAAGTATAACAGATGTTGCAGGACACAGAAACTAAAGGTTCCATGTTGTGAGCAGATCATTCAAACCCAAGCACCAACAATATCATGCTGTTTTTCCCATGATGCAAAGCATTGTGTTTGGGCCCCTTTACAGACAATAAGTATCTCTAAGCATCCCGCTGGTCCCAGGTCAACTGTAGTGTGACCTGTATAGATTTTCTTTTAAGGAGGGTATGAAAAGAGCCAAGGGGGGCTCAACGTACTTTATTAAGTTCCCCTCAAAGCTCCTTAAGCGAACAATGAAGGAAAAGGGCAAAACTCAGATATTTCTTTTTACGTGACCTGAAATAGCAGCAGCACTGATAACAGCTGAGTTTATGTACCCCTAAAGCCCTGTCAGAACTAATGAACTGTTTTAGTTTATTGACAGATACTGTGTGTTTAAAAAGCCATTACACCAGGATCATTCTTGTACTTATTAGACTTGTGGTGAACTTTGATTAAAGCTCCTGTGAGGATTTTGCTATGTTTATGAAATGGACAAAAACTCTTATTAAAGGCTTTGCACGATGTAAGAAAGCAAACAAAGCTATCAGATAAAAGGCTGACGATTTTTATGTCGTCATTTTTAATGCCAGAAATGGGTGTAAGGGGATAGGTGTCAACAGTGCAGCTAAAGAAACAGTCTTTATAATTTCCACATGAAATATTCAAAACCAAGTATATTTTCACTGTCCAAAGTAAGCAGGAGGTGACCTTTCATCCGATCACAGTGCTCAACATGTAAAGGACAAGATAAGCAGCAGAGACCGCTCTGTCTACAGGGGGCGCCAAAATGGACACATTGTACGTTCCTAACAAGAGTTTAAAGTATCAAAAAGTGTAGTCATCCCCTTGCCATATCATTACTGATCATAGGTGGAGATAAAGCAGTCAGAAAGTGACTTAATTCATTGAAACATTTCTATTTATATTTCAGGGCACTGACTGTTAAAACTGTCAAAAGTTGGGTTTTTAATGAACATCCCAGATACTCAAATATGACTGGAAAGCCACTAGAAACTGGTTCCAATGCCCTTTTCAGAATGTCAATTAAATCTTAATGTATTGGCTAGATTTCAGTGCTTGTGACACAAGATTCATCACATATTCACTCATATATCAATTATGGTTTTTAAGTCACCCGTCAAACACTTCCCAGTGAGACTGAGTGTATTAGTGCGTCACAGTCACCATCCAACAAAATGATTGAACGAGTGGATCTTGGCTCTTTATCACAAACTGCCTCGCACAAGCTTGGCTCTCCTCACTGTTGGCCATTGACTTCTTGTCAATCACATCTGTGTCTCTAAGGTTTCAGTCAACTAAGCCTGTGTCAGCATCCAAAGCTCTTCAATCCTCATATTCCTGTTTTTCCCTACTTTGCAAGTGTGAAACGTTCAAAAATACATCCTTTAAGATGACTCAGAACTCACTAGTAAATACCAAATAGTCCATAAATTGCTGCATTTTGATTTTATTTATAATAGCATAAATATTTTGAATGCTTGTGAAAATGCAACTACTGCCATTACTTTCATCACCATTTCAACTCTCTGATGAACAAGTGTAATTTGTGTGGATCTCCTTTAAACAATGCGAGATTAAATACACAACATTAATGAAAACTTAACAAACTGTATGTTAATTATGTTATTGACAGCTAATTAAAACAGCAAATAATTTTTCTGTTCACTATATTAATTACATTAACTTTGGCCTGTGTTGGGTTGATCACTTCACTGTATTATTTTGGTACTTACGACAAAGGTACTGCATAAAACATGATGAAATGAAAAAAAGACTGAGTTATATGATCTATAATGTCTTCATGTGGTCCCATGTGTCATCCATGATGATCAGTTGTTGTGTATTTATTTACTGCTATATGTGGTTTGCTATGTACTGTATGTTTTCCTTTCACAATGCTGTACATCAGTACTCTCAACGGCCATGAAATGCTTGTTGGTCTGCGCTGCTCTGCCAGCAACACAAACAGCTGTTTATTGATTGCCCTTGTTTTGTAAATTTCAGCCCATGGGGCCAGTGTCATGTGCATTATTCAGTAACTGTCCTACCGCAGGAAACGGTTTGCAGTGGTTCAGTTGTCAGACACAGTAGCTGACACTTTGACGACTTGACCAGGGGGTCACCACACTGTGCTAAGTGTCACATTCTTCTGATTGCAGAGTACTTCAGATTACAAACCGGCACTCCAGCAGCACGGAGGGTAGGAAACATCTACTGAAGTCGTCTTCTGTGGTATTTAGAGTGTAATATTACTGAAGTGTGTTTACATCTGTCGGTGTCTGTTTGACATGGTGCTGCATTCTTGCTATTCTGGGTCTGGTTTAAAGGAGACCTATGACCGCTGTGTGTTTTCTTGTAAACAAATCTGTTTACATTTAGAGTCTCTCTTCAAAATACCTGGAAGTATTCGCAAGAGCTTAAACAGGAAGGTAAATGCAGCTTATAACACACATTTTACATTAAGAATTGTTTAACTCAGTCCTCAACAGCTACCATGACTGTAGATCACCAAGACAGCATTACATTTTTAACAGGAATGTGTTTTTTGTGCATATATTAATAAAACAGAGCTCGATAGCATAAAACAATTAGGGTCAAATATTTCAAAAGTTTTACACAACTTGACCATACAACAATCTAATATGTAATTAATTTCAAGTAAACTGTCAACATCTTTTGTCATATTTTGTTGTTGTTTGATTCATAATAAAAAAAGACGAAAAGTTATATGCTTTTGCTTTTTAAATTCAGTACATTTGAGCTACATTTGGTTGAATGACACTTTTTGTACAGCCTTACTGGAATAAAAAAAAGATAACTGTTGCAATGTATTGATATCAGTTTTTTCATGCAAATACAACCACTTTGACCTAACATGAGCGCACAGAATGATCCATGCAAACAAATATTGAGCTCAACCAGGTTCCATTCAAAGCAGCCTACATGTAGAGATAAGGATGGTGTGCATTGTGGCAATAAACGGTTTCACTCCCTGCAGTCGGCGCTACTAAGTCCTTATTTTTTTAAGTGTACAAGAGGATACACAGACAGTATTTTAGGCTGATCTCCATTTTAACGTGACAAAATGAAGAGACAAGAGTGGGTGTTTCAGCATTGACTGCAGGTAAGATTCAAATCAAAAAGCTAATTGTGTTTGTGAAAGAAGACAAGAGATAAAGGGTAATTGGGTCTTTGGATAAAGACCACAAAACCTCAACTAACTCTGTTTTTGATCAGTGTCTTATTTTACTTTTAGAGATGTAGGTTTTTCTTTCTTTCATAACTGATTATTTTGGACTTGTCTCCGTTTAAAAATTGGTCTTCACACCTTTTTTTAGCCTTATCTTTGCACCAAGTGTTGCTATCGCAGCATTTTCACTGCTTAGCATTTGACAAACTGGCACAGAAAGTGGGAGGTCTGGCAGTCTGAGCAACAGTTACTCTTTTGAGCTGTTAGAAACTAAACCAGAGACCATCAGATGGGAAAAAACCAGCTAAAGGGACTTTCGGGTGATACATAACTGGAGATAGTGTGCTGGGCTTATTTTAACGTTTCACTTGTGGGTTGACTGCAGCTTGTGCTTCAAGTAGGAAAAAAAATCCTGGTGTGACCATGTGGCTGGTCTCAGTAAATTATTAGTATTATATCTAGGATTTCTACATTTAATAATAAATATACAAAAATAACACTTATTTTTTTCTATAAACATTATTAAAAAAAAAAAACACTTAAGTGCATTACACAAACAATCCACCTCTGCACCACAATGCTCCTGTCCAATTTCCCATAAGGCTTTACAAAAGTATGTACAGTAAATTCACAGGTTCCGACACTGTAGTGACTGCAGGATCATGTTAATTCAACATTGTTCTCCTGTGAAAACAACTGGATGTCATATAAGAACTGTTAAAAGCCACCAGTAACACATAAGGCACAGTGGGAAAGAAATTCTAGATGCTACTATGAATCCCCAAGAGGCACTGTAACACGGGGAGGACAGGAGAGGGTACTGGCAGCTAGAAAGAAAAAAAGTCCCAGTAAGCCAAGAGGTTAAATTTAGGACTGGTGTTACTGTACATTGAAACACCCTCTGTGGCTTTAACAATCACAGGGACTTTAAAGACAATCTAGAGGTGTAATATTAAAAGTCTGAGGTTTTATGCCTATTTCATGGCACATTTACTCATTAACATCTTTACATTTAAGGGAGGGATAACTGTGTAGTGTATTCAGTTTGACCTATCTCCCACAAAGCAAAAACACAAAATTTAAAAGGTTTGCATTTCAGACGTCTTTTGCTTGTTTTGTTCCCGAACAGGACTGATTTCAGTCTTTCTCTTGGCTAACATAAGTCAGAGGATGTCTTCAGTACTACCTACCATATACCTAACATCAGCTGAGAGGCACTCTCTGAGGATGTCAACACTAAACTGAACAGCTGAATACATAAATAGCCTCTGTGTGGCTGCTTATGGCTGACAACAGCCCGGTGACAGCAACAACTGTCCCTGTCCTCATCTCCACCCACAATCAGACTGGAAACAGCACCACGCCCCCTGCTGTCCAGGTAGCCCAACTCATCAGCTGGTTGACGTTTGCCATTGGGCTGCCCGCCATCGGATTGGCTATTTACACCCTCAAGAATTTATCTGAAGGTTTGTACTCACTCTGCTTGCATGACAATTGTAATTCAACAGCCTACACACTAAACTCTGCCCATGACTACATCTAAAACAAGGAAACACTGCAGGTCAGTTTTGACTTGATGTTATGAACTGTAGATAAGAACTCAACATTGCTGGTGTGACATCCATTAGTCTTTGGACTGCTGGAGCCAATAGTCCAGAAGTGTCTGGACCCCAAGATCAGATTTTAAGTGTTTTCTTTTCTTGTTGTCTTTAGGCTGTTTTTTTTTTCACCAGTCACAAATGAGTAAATCAAATATTCATCATCTTTGATTGAAAACCAAAATCACAAAATTAAAATTCTGTTTGGAATTTCTACAGCTAAAAACTTTGACAAGTATTTTCACACAGACGTTATGTAATCAGATTTCTTTCGAGTGATAGCAAGATCATGAATAGTCCTGTGACTAAAGCACGTGCTTCTGCAAGTTGCAAGAAGTGAAACCGGAGGTATGGTGTTCTGATGCTTTGTGGGATGGGACTTGAAAAGTGCTGCTGTGACAGTTTAAATGTAGCCTGCGACACAAAAGTGACACTAAAATGAGTGGCCTATCTGATGAAATCAACGGTTCAGTCAGTGACTGAAATCGCAGAAAATCGAACTTCTCATAGTCGCACAAACCTGGATAAAAGGGTTGGGATCTATTTTCAGCTTGAGACAGCTTTAGAAATACAGCTGCAACAAGGACTTTCAGAAGCAGTGCATGAGGCGCCTTAACAGCTAGGTTTTCAGCACCCACCCATCAATTTTTGACCTAGACACTTTCGTTTTCCTTTTTGCAACCAGTAATCTTGCCGTCTGCTGAATATAAGAGAAAATTGAGGTTCAAGGTACTCCTGCATTTGCTTCACTTTCGAAACTAAGAAAGAATTCATAGCTTTTGTTGGTGTCATTTTACTTCCTCTTATTTTCCCTGATAATAACAGCTGCAATACTGTTGCAATATCAGAGGAAGAACTAAAATTCTTGTGTAGAAAAGTTTTCACAGTTTCAGACTGTTTACAAAATATCATATTATTGGTATCAGTGGTGATGCGTACTATTCTTCTGGCTGTAAAAGTAGTAGTAGTGATCAGCACAGTATTAGCATCATACATAATTTTTTTATGTCTTGTCTTTGTCCAGGTGAAAACAAACTTCCCCTACATGTCATGTTCCTCCTAGTCTCTGATATAATCAGTTTCTTTGGTCGTCCTCGTGTGGAGCCAGACATGGAGAGTGGGACGGTCTTCTCCTCAAACCCCACAGACTTCATTTTCTATTTCGGTGTTGTCACAAACATCACGCTCATGCTGTTCATAGCTCAGGAGCGCCATCTACTGGTGGTCTACCCGCAGTGTCTGGGCTGCTGCAGCAGGTTCAGGCGGTCCCCTGCTGTCTCCCTGCTGTCGTGGGCTGCTCCGTTTGGCATCCTTGCCCTTGCTGTGCTACAGTATAAGCTTTGGTTTGCTGTTTCTCTGCTTGCTCCTTTCCCCTTTCTCCTTTTCTTTACTGTGGACTCCTGGAGAGCCCTGATCTGCTCCCGATCGAACCCCCCTACCCTTGATAGGAGGAGGGCTGTGTTTGGGATTGGTGCAATCTGGGCCAACTACACCATCCTCTACGTCCCCTTTATCCTCAGCATTCTCCTGGACGCTCTGTCCTTTGTGGAGACTGTTACCTACCTGGGGCTTGTGTCTCACCTGCTGCTTTACCTCAGCCCTTTAGTGGATCCTTTTCTTTACATTTTCATGACCAGAGGACTCAAAGAAGTGTTGCGGGCACTTCCCTGCTGTCAAAAGCCAACAGTACATAGGAGGCCCACAGTAAATACTGTGTCTGAACATGTGGAGACGAGGCTTTGAGGAGGACATACAGAGGATTTTCCAAACCATGAAGGCCAGAGGTTGAGTTTGGGACAGATGCTCCTGACACTGGAGCAGAAAGCAAAGCCAATTCTCAGTCAAGGCTCTGTGCCTTTTAGTGGCAACTTCCAATAATCCTCATAAAAGAAAGTTTCTGTCGGAAAACCTATATCTGAGCTGATAATCAATCAATAATAAATTCTTACCTCATTGCAAATAAATATTAAGCTGTTTGGTTGGAGTAGGGAGGAGCTTTGACAGCAAACAGCTTTGACATAAACGCATCAGTCTTATGTTATAACTGGGTGTTACAAGTTGGTTGCTATGGTTACATCACCTTTGACCCCTCAAGATTCTCACAAAATTGCAAAGTGAATTATGTGGATATGTTAATAATTTTGTTCTCACTTTTGTAAGGTGGTATTAGTAAAAAAAAAAGGCCTATTTTAACAAGGTGTCTTCTAGTTTCTTGTCAGATACACCTTAAAAGGTTTGTAACAGGTCTTTCTCCAACCAGAAACATACCAGCAAAAAACAAACAAACCTTCAATACTACACATACACAATCAGAAATCAGAGAACATAATAAAGCTCTGTGGTTGTGTTGTTTATATTTAGAAGGTTCAAGATGATTTTCTTGATGAACTGTTTTGTTTAAAACCACCTTAAACTGTTTCTATGAATCAACATTATCATTATTTTGTTTGCTTTTCAGCTTCATGCTAAGCATTGAGTTAGTGTGCCTTAATCTTATAAGGCAGTCTGTCAGAGCAAAAGTGTATTTATTTTACAGTTAAAATGTTTAATATCACTTTTTTTTGTCAAACAAAATGTTCTATTTTTATTGTCATGCATAAGATTTAGTTGAAGTGAACCTAAAGATACACACACATTTAACTGCACTTGGACTGTATGCACTTTTACTCTTGAAAATATGATGAAGGTCAGAGCAGTTGTATTGTTGAACAGCTCAATGATGGAAGAACCAATTGGCAGATGCTTTCCAGACTTATCCCTGTTTTAATTTGACTCAGTGAAGTACTTCTGTCACATTTCTTCAGCATCAATTTGCAACAGTTTACAGCCGAACATGCACATTGCTTTATAAAAGTACAGTTAAAATAATTGTAAAAATAGTAGTTATATAAACAACTTGATATCCCAGCAGTTTAAGTTTTCCCATCTTACTATAGTCAGTAGTTTATGATTCATTTTAAAATAGGAACGAGTATTACATGCAAATCTTTCATTCCAACAGATTATACTAATATCTAAATTTAAGGGGGAGTTTTTAAAAAAAATGAAATGTTCCAATAAAGTTCCTTTTTTCCCCATAAATTAATTCAATTGAATTGTTTGAATCATCAAGATTCAGACAAAAACCATTTTGGTTTATTCTAATTCTATGAGCAGCTGTAATTTATTCAGTGAGTTGGTAAAGTGTCTTTTTGATATTGGTGTTGACAAAGGTCACACACAGTCAAAGATCTTAGTGGAGTGGTGACGCTCATTACTGAGTTGACCTTGTTCTTGACTGTGTGCAGGCACATAAATGAAGATGGTTTCACTTTGCTTTTGGCTCCTCAGTTTCCGTTGTTGTATTTTTTGACTCCAAAACAACACCTGAGGCCTCCACTGTGTGGGGAGAGGCCTCTTTTTTTCTGAAAAAGAACAAAAATATATTGTTGTAAATGTCACAAACTACAAGATAATGCAATCAAAAACGTAAAAATCTATGCATCATAGGTATTTTATGTACTTTTGGTCTTCAGCTATTGAGTTAATATGTCACCATGTCACATGTTTTATTCATCACTGAATTCAGAAGAAATTTTGTTCAAACTCTAAACATCAAACAAAACTACAACAATAACTGTGGTTTTAGTGGTCCCCCTCTGAATTTCTTTTCTTTCTCTGAGTAAATTTCATTCTTCAAACTACCACAAGATGGCGCCATTGCAAAAGTTATGGTTTTGCCTTCTAACATGACAGCTTTGACTCATTCATTGACCAACCTTGGTTTTTCAATGTCCTCTATGGTCTCTGGTAGCCGAGCATTCGTCGTCTCTTTGAGCAGCAGAGCTACCAGGCCAGAGGTGATGGCTATGGAGCAGATGATGATCTGAGGAAGAAGGATCCACACGTCCTCCAGCAGCAGGATGAGGGGAGCTATTGACACTCCCAACCGACTGATGAAGCTGGTGTAGCCCATACCATTTTGTCTGGAAAGACAAGACAGTAAACCATCAGTTCTCTTTGAACATCATATCAACATCTCTAAAACCTCACTCTGCAGGTAGAATGTGTCCAGGACTTTTTTTAGTCACCGCCGTAATAATGAAGTAATCTAAAATAACCTAAACTTCTGAACACTTTATTGGGTGGTGGTGACAAATGGTTTTTATTCTTGTATGAGCAAAATCTGAACAGTGCCAATAAAAGTCAATAAGGATCCCTTTTGGTTACACAGACTTAAATTATTAAGAAAGTCATGTGTGAGGGAAAGTTAGATTTGAATTGTTTATTTTCTCCCTTATACAGAATCAGGAAAGATAAAATGTTTTATCTCCGCTCTTTCACCACAACATGTTAAAAACAGTAATCAATAGTCTTGGTGATAAAATATAAGATAGGTCATAATAACACGGCCACGATAAAGTAAAATGCAGATATGAAATAAGAACCATAACAACATAGGTTCACATTTTAACTTTGAAACTTAAGTGTTTTTGTTTTTTTTTACATAAAGCTTATTGATCTACAGTCCTTGCACAGTCTATTCTTTGTGTTCAAGTGTTCATGATTGGACACTGTGCAGTAAGTAAACATTAAAAAATACACACAAAAAAATACACAAAAAATGTTTTCACGAGCAGACATTCGTTGGTTTGCAGATGGTCAGCACTGGTGTCATAGTAGTGGGAAAAGTGGAAGTGACCGTCCAGGGCCTCAATAGAGAAAGGGGGCCCTCAATAACCCTGAGATTAAAAACTGCTTTTCTGTTTGAGTTTTCTTTTTCTCTTTCAGTAATGACTTTTAAAAGTAAACAAAAAAAGACAGAAAACAAAAATAAAACAAGCAGCCTTCTATATTGTCCAGGAAATTAAATTTAAAAAATGAACACGTGAGCACTGCATAGCAGTACATTACTGTGCGGGTGATAGCAGATGGTACGGACAAAAAGTACACTGTGAATTTATTATTTGAAGGGTATATTCCACATACTGTTCAAAAGTCCTGGACATCTGAATCACCAGAGGGCAGATGAGTCAATTCTTAGCACCTTGATGTCTAAAAATTCATGGTCCAGGATTCAAATCCCTGCAATGTCTGACTCATATGAAGCCAGTACAGCCTGAATCATACTACTAGGGTCTGCAATACTTTTGAATCAACAAGAGATATATCTGAAGAAATAAGTATACCAATGTGGCACCTTAGCATGATGGTAAAAATCGATTCTACATGGCAATCAGAATTCTGGTTCATATCCCAGAGGAGCTTGTAAAGAAAAACTGTTTCTACATCAAAGTTTCAGATCTCATAAAATATCTTAAATATGATTTTGAAAGGTATAAAAAAGGATTAAATCTGCTTAATACAAATTAATAATGCACCATAAGAATAAAGATTGATTTGAAGTAATGTAAAATGTCCCAATTTCCCTTCATGTCTTTTGTTCTTTCTTGCCAATATGGATGTTAAATGGGTCTTAAATTTTATTCATTAGGGTCTTAAGAAGTCTTACATTTGACCTGTTGGAACCTGCAGAGACCCTGTCACACTGTGCATTATTTTGACTTAAGTTTTATTTCAGTAATGGCACACAACACAATCATGTGTTTTTTTTTAAGCAGCAAAACTAAAACCTTAACAGAAAAAAATAAAATGATGAGCATCTGGAGCTTAGCATACAACAGCTGTGTTGGTTCAAGGTAAACATGGACATTTCAGAGGCGTGATTTACTGACCTGATAACTGTGGGGTAAAGCTCCGTTGTGTACAGAAAGACAGTTGTGAAGGAAGCTTCCGACAGGCCTTTACCCAGGATGGCAACAACTGAACGCAGATGCCACAGACCTGCAGAGAACAGCAAAAGCAATGTGCGTAGAAGAAGTGAGCAAAATATTAATTTTACAAGTGAGGAAAAACTGAATCCCTTCCTATCGTAGTATCATACACTAACTAACTAAGAAAGTCAACTGTATAGGTGAAGGACACAACTATTAAAAAATCTTGATGAGCTTTCTTACTTTGCGGCAGAAAGATGTTGATGGCGATGCAGATTCCTGTCAGTAACAGCGTTCCAGCTTGGCATTTCCTTCTCCCAATGATGTTAAGAAAGCAATAGATCATCAGCTTGGCTGGGACTTCGATAGCAGCATAGATGAAATGTGTAAGGTACATGTTTAAACCAAATCCACTGATGTTCAGGCTGATTCCATAGTATGTCAAGGCAACTCCAAACCTGCAGATTACAATGCACAATGTGTCAAGTATTGCCATATATTTGTCCCATACTTGTATCTATATCTGAGTTAATAGCTCAAATCGACAGTTTTTTTAATTGTCTCTCTCTCATAATAATTATACCCACCAAACAATCCCTGTTTTCAAGGAGAGCACTCTCATCTTTGGAGTCTTGAAAAGGTCAAAATAAGTATAACTCTTGTCCTGATTTTCTTGGGTTTCCACACTAGAGAGAGTCTGTATAGGGGTGGAAAATAAAAACCAAAAGTGTTGTTTGATTTCTTTTTTCCTGGTTCCATTCCCTAACATTAATTATTTCTTAGTTCATATGAGATAACCAAGTAGTCAACCACTATCATTTATATTGTGATCACTCTAAGATCTAACACTCTAAGTTACAGCAGTTCATAAATCTCTCATTGTACAGCCATGTCAATATTGACATGGGCAGTGGTGTTTATTTCCCCAAAACCCTTAAGCCCAACTGGTTCACCATCAAACTCAAATTTACCTCCAGTTTTATTTTGGATGACAGTTTGGGTCTTTTGTTGAATGTGGCACATTTGTCAAGGTAAAACTGTGCACGCTCCACTTTACCATTGGCAAGCAGCCAGCGGGCAGACTCAGGGATCCACCTGTAATTAAATTTAAATAATTGGCCATTAGTGGACACATGAGTCAGGACATTAAAGCTTTTCCTTATATTTCTTGGCTTTTCACTTTGAGTTCACGTTGCTGTCGTGCTGCCCCTGTTTAAAGCATGAGAACAAATTGAAGTCTGTGTAACTGCACAATCAAAATCTGTGGTACAACTTTTGCTCTGATGTTACTTTTTTTGTTTACTTCTCAACGCATAAGAGATTCAGAAACATTATCAGGCAGAAAAGCCAAAATCAATTTAATGACAGTCTGCCCTATACATAAAAAGTACAGTAAGAGATTTGGGTAACACTTTACTTCATACCTATCTCTATAATACATTATAAATATATATATATATATATATATATATATATATATATATATATATATATATAAATATATATATATACACAATGCATCATAATCATGTTATAGCACCGTATAACTATAGTAATAAACACTCATAAATGATCATAATGCTTTATAGCAATAATCACATTATAAAGCATTTTATCATGACTTACAAGGTCAGATATTATAATGTGTTACAACAGTTAACAACTCACTGACAATGCCCACATACATAATGCATCATACATTTATTTATGATGTGTTATAATTTGCTTAAAAACTTGTTTAACTATCATTATAAACACTCATTAATTATCATAAGGGTTTATAATAATGAGCATAACACATATATTTATAACACGTTAAAGAGATAAGCGCCAAGTGTTACCAAGATTTGCTTTGCAAAAGGTTTAAATAAACAAATGCAAAACAAATGCAAATCAAACCCATACACCATATTAAAATATTAATATTAATATCATTTTGCTCATACAAAGCAAAGCATAACATTAACTACTAATGATATATGTTTATATATACAAATAGACCACCAAAGAAACACATGTATGTATAATTGGTTCCTACAAAGCTTCACTGCATGCACAGATGGCCCACAGCAATAAAGCAACACTGAGTGTTTTTTATTCTTTACCTACCACCAGGTCAAAACTGCAAACCCTAGAGGGGCTGTTACAGTCATGATTAATGAACGCCAGTCAGTCACCAGGAAGGCAAATCCAGCCAGCAGCATGTTTCCTACAGACCAGGCCAGACTGCCCATAACACCGATTAATGACCTGTGACCTGTGTCCACCCACTCAATGGCTGTAAAACAGGGGAAGGTAAAAATGAGTTAGACAAGTTTTTATACTTTATAAAGCTTCCCAATCATTTGAACTACAATGATTAAGTTTCTTTCCATCTGGAGTCTGCAGAAATATCTTTTAAAAAATCGATACATGCTTTTCTCGCAATGTACAATCGTGTGCATCGTTCTTATCAAGTCTAGCCTTGCCCTCTTCTGTCATAATGTGAAGCATCTAAGTCGCTTACTGAGAACTGCTGAGTTGATGCTGATTCCTGTCAGTCCAAATCCAGTCAGAAATCTCAGCACTGCAAACAGAATGTAGGAGTTTACAAATGCACTGGAGAAGCCAAACACGATTGCCATGAGGTATGAGGCCAGAAGGGTGTTTTTCCTCCCATACCTGGTGAGAAGAGAAAGGGATACATTCAAGCAAAGGAAGAAAATGTAGATTTAAATTTGGGATATCATTTTCAGAAGAATCTTTTTTGATTTTAAATTTTCAGTCAAAAGCAGAAAAGTTCACACAAAAAATAACAGAATTCAAAGTCTTTACATTTCAATCACAGATATCAGCTGATTTTCTGCAACTGGAACAACAACGATGCTTATCTTTTTTTTCCTGACTGATGAGATTACTCTTAAACATGACACTTAATGTATAAGAAAATGCAAAATACTTTTTACATCAAATTTAAATTTAAAAAAATGTATACTAAACTTCTTAGTTTTCTCTCATAAACTTACTTATCACACAGGTATCCAAAAGCTATGGCACCCATCATCACACCAAAGAAGAAAATGGTGCCCATGGTTTTTGTCAAGCTTTTTCTGTCACAGACCAGGTCCCACTAGAAAAGCAGATCATGGAGAAAGGGTAATTAGATTATCTATTCAGGTGCCAGTTTCCTTCATGTAGAATGGTCTTAATTAGCTTAGTTTAATAAACAGGGTAAAAACATGGCTGCACTGAGCAGGAAAAGCCTTCTCTGACCACCTTGTCAAATCATAGATGCAAAATTACATTACCCATGAAGAGTCAAAGCCGTTTTAAGTTTTGAAGTCATGAGACGACATGAATGAGTTCATGTATTATGGCGTTGTAAAGACAAATGCATTAATGTTACATCCTACAGTTACCCAAAAAAGACAAATAAATTTTCCACAGACACATAACAGGTTATGTGTGCAGAAAATCATCAAAAAACAAAAGAAAACTATCACTTTTAATGAAAACAATAAGTTAAACTCTATATATCGATTAAAAGACAGACTTTCCTCAAAGAGAAATTTATGTATGCATTTATCTCTTGTATTTATGGGCTCAGTGGTGCCCTCATATCTGAAAAAGCAGCAAAAGTGCTGTTTGGATGCCTCTGCAGTGCATAAAACATTGTGAAATGCCTTCACCATTTGCTGAATGAATATTTAACAGAACGCAGGGAATTAAGTGTTAGGGACTGAAAATGTAGTTGTAACATGGGTATCAGGGTTTTGAAAAGCTTTTCCAAGTTTGTAAATTCCACACCACCTCCTGTCCAGAGTTTCTAATAAACAAGTCCACCTTTATATCTGGTAGTTTAGTGTGGGATCTGTTATGCAACTGTTTTATGATCACAGAACACCGAGGAGGGACCAAGCAGCTACCTCCTGTCTTGAGAAATGAAGCCAATGCAGAACTCACAGAGGCACCAAAAACCATGTTCACACTAAGCCAAAGAAGCTCACTTCTAGAGCAGAGAAAAACACATTTACAGCCGGGTTCAAAAATCTTGATGTATATAAAGAGACATAATTCAAAGGTAAAAATTCACAGCCATCTTTAAAACTGCATCTTGGTGTTATTGGCGCTTAGTTTGGGTCTCGATTTATTAACATTCCTCTGGACATAAGCAGCAGCAAATTGTTATCTTTTTGATGACTGAGTTATATTTAATCATCAGCATATAAGGTGAATTCGAGCAACATTTTGACATTAATAATTGAGTTTTGTAAGTAACACTTTTTTATATATTATGAAAAAGTATTTTCTCAAAATTAGAAGACAACAAACTTTCTTTTGAGCTCAAATTAAATAAACGTGAAACGTAATGATTTACCAGCATAAGAACAATCCGTTTTACTATCATCACAGATAACTGTTTTAAAATCTTTATCTCTTTCTCGTAAAAGAAAGGTTGCATAAGTGATGAACATTACTGCTGATAAAATATTAGAGGCACTACCTCTGTTGCAAGGGTGGAGGTGAAGGTAGAGTTGTCATAAACCCATCCATTTTGACAATAAACTGTTGGCAAGTAAGCACTGTCAGAGTTATTGTCTAAGAGCTGAAACTGGGGTTCTGCAAACATCTCACAGGATTTTGGCCCCCCATCTTCTTTTTCAGGAATGCTGATTGTCAGTCTCTGCTCCCGTGTTAAATTTTCCAAAAGTCCATGGTCATCCAAGGTGCTGATGTCACAGTGGTGAGGAGGCACTGCTGCGATAAAGATGTTCAATAAGAAGTGACAGGGTAGAACTATTCGAGGGGTCCACAGCAGGATGAGGATGACGATTTGGAAAGGCCCAAAACCATTGACTTCTTCCAGGATGTTGTCGAACTTCATCTTCACAGGCTTAGAGACCCCTGTAGAACATATAACCATAAACTGATAAATACAAAACATGAGGGGATAGTTTGTACCACTACCAAATATAGAATAAAAAATGACCCACCTGTATTTAAAGAAGTTCTAGACCCTGAAATCTATGCACATCTGCTCTGCAGGGACTGCTCACTGCAGAGTTCTCTCTTCATCTCAACTTTACAACACAGCCGCCTGATCATTAACATTCAAATCACCTTTGAACGTTAACATGTTTTAAAAATAGATTACCAATTTGACATGTAAAACACCCACACCGGCAGCTTTATTATGGGAATATAACATATGTCCTTTTGGATCAGGCAACATAAAAACACGACTTAAAAAACTTTTTAAGTTTTGAATGTGTTGTTGTTTATGACTTTTACTGATGAAAAAACCTTAGTCACTGAGTTCACTGCATTCGATTGTTCCTTACAGATGGAAAGGATGGGGTTGCCACCAATTTTAGGACTGTGATTGTGGCTGAAATTTAACAAGATTCAGACAAGAATTCATTTATTCATTTCTCATGAAAATCTTTGCAAGATGTCAGAGGTAGACCAAAGCAGAGGCACTCACTTCCAAAACGGCCTTTTTGTGGATGGAATTTTTAGATGAGACCGACTGAGAGCACTGAGCTAAACTTAACGGATCCAGTTTTTTTTTTTTCCTAAGCAAGATGAACTCAGAGAGAGGCACTGGCTGGGCTCATGGAAAATATGTAACTTTTTTAGGATTTCTGAGATGGACTGCCTTGGTGACTTGTAAATAAAAGTAAAGCTTTGGGACAAAGATCATATTGTAATTATGTTGACTTTTTAATATTTAGGAAAAATTGCAAATATATATATTTTCAGTTCATGGGTCAAGGTTCCCTAGAAATAAACATAAGTACAGGATGTTTTGTGACATCCAGCATTCAATATGACCATGATGTAAGAAAAGGTGGCTAAATTACAGCCGCACTGCAGTGAAACATAAAGGTTCATGTGATCTTGATAACACTACAAATCTTTTATGACAAACTAATATGAACCATACATCAGTTAAGGACTAAGTGTCAATGAAGCAGATGAATGGTACAGCTACATTGATAAAGAAGTTAACAATATGCCTGAATGAGAGCTGTGATTGCATCCTATTGCAGAGTTGAGCTCAAGGGTCAATAGAAAGTTTGGGTTTCTGCATAACTTAAACTGCAAGAAGTATGGACTTCAGACAACTCAGAACTCGGAGGGGAAAACATTAACCAAAACTTCTTCAGATGTATAGTTAAACAGCAGCAGAGATTTAACCAACTGAAGGCTGTTCCAATTTGAAAAAAAATGAGGTCTTATCTGAAAATCTCAACAGCAGCAACATGATGATAAATAAATCCACTGGGAAAACCGTTTTGGGTGACAAATCTTTGTTTTGTTTTGTTTTGTTATCCTCTCCCGAATCATTAATCTTTTGTTTTTACATGGCCACAGCAGGCTCAGAAAATCCATCGACATTTCTTTTTCTTGCACTGTTTTCCATCCTATCTGAAGATGTAAAGAAATTAACAGACAAGACGTTATAAATTCTCAAGGTTGTTCTTGGTATCTGGCCGGTTGTCTGTTTTGACGTGTCTAAATATTTGCATTGTCAGGTAATAATATATGACTTTTGTGATAAATATAAAACTTTAGTCTTCCTTTATGGTAAAAATAGGATTAGAGTAAGATAAAAAAGATAACATTAAAAAAATAAGATGATAGCTGTCTCATAATATCATTTTTTCAACCGATTCACTAGGCAAGACTGAAAACAGAAATTGTGATTTGAATGTAGAAAATAAACATGAACCACATTTTCTTTGTCATGAAATAACCATTTGTCAAAAACAAAAAAAAAAAATATTGGGAAAGTGGAACAATAAAAGTGTTATGTAAATGCCAACATGTTATTAACTGTGTGTACTTCAGCTCAGAACATTCCTGTCTCACATTTATTCAGCAGTTACATAACCGAGGAAAAGGAACAGAAACAATAAACTTATGTCTCTATTTCTGTGTGTCTCCACCCAAAAGTGGTATTTTTAGAAAGAATATGTTTGTTTTCTATCCATGAAGGATGTCCTTGGCACTCTATATGCACTGTTTTTCTAATTGTAAATAATCACTGACCCTCTTCCAAGCCCATCCACCTAAAGGCTTATTTTCATTTTTTTTTTCTCTAATCAAACCAAACTGGCCTCAAAAAGGATCCAATAGTGAGAAGGATTGAGTAACTATTGCATAAGCTCTTTGTGTTCATGCTTCCTCAATCAGAACAATTACTGAAAACCCAATTCGGAGCTGGAGTGGCTTGATCTGGCCAAGACCTGAACTTCTGGATGAGCTCCCATAGAAAAACAAAGACCTTGGACAATTAGACTGTTCAATGCATATATGATGTAAGTCATTCATTGTGTTACACTTTCAAAGAACAGCCAAAGTAGTCTGGCTCCAGTTTAGTCCACATCACTGATTCACATCCATCAATTCATCTAGATGGAGACAAAGCAAACCCTTAGAGTTGTATCGGGAGTCAGTGTTGTGTGAGTAAACTGAGTTCAGTGTGCTGCACCAAAGGTATTTTCTCTCACTGACATGATTGGGATAGATTGATTTAGACTGTCAAAACGGGTTTTTGAGCGCCATAAGGGGACTTTTAGGTTTTATTGTGAATGTTGGGTTGGCATCAAAGTTTTTTTTGTAAACACAGAAATAAAAAAAGCAAAAGCAAGTGAAATTTTCAACCAAACGTCACCCACAAGGTTAGGAGGCAACCAAGGAAATTATGTAATGCCGAAGTTGATTGAAATCTCTTCTGGATAAGAGTTGAGTCTCTTTTTCTGAGAAGGGAGAGGGGATTTAATCTATATCCACTGACAGCCTGTATCCTTTGAATCAAACTGACTCCAGTGATTTAAATCTTTTTAAAATGACCACAATCAGAGTTGTCACCCCAGTTTCTGAATGAGGTGCATAATGTTTCTTTGTTGACTACCTGAATTGCTCTTTTACAACATAATCCCTCCCCACCCTTTACACATCAACAAAACTTTATATGTGTCAATCAGAAAATTTGCAGATTGAGATAAAACTAAATGATTGACTTGTTGTGTGTGTCCAGCTCGAGTTAGCTTTAGCATTCCTAGAGCTAGGAAAAACACACACTGTCAATATTGGCCAGTGGAAGTACCCATTATTTCAAACGTTGAGAAAGGCTTCACTGTCCAAGAGCCATAAAACAATTTTAAACCTTCTCTTGAACGCCATTTTCATTTAAAAGAGAGCATGTGGTCAATGCACACAGAACAATTTGTGTTGTATGAATAATGATTGTCCTTGTGTGGAACCATATGCCTTCTCCACCCTGTCCCAGGAAAAATCCATGTTCTTGATGGTGTTTCTCTTTCCATATCTTGGGGAGTATTTGAGGATCTTGCATCATAGCAATGTTGGGTTAGGGCCCTAAAGCAGGAGAAGGTTTTCTTTCTTTTTGTTTACCTTGCATGTCATCGTAACCTCAGTGTCAACCAAAACAACTAAACCAAATGTGTGTAAAGTGTTATTTCTTATATGGTTAAGACTAATAGAGCAGTCTGGGTGTGTACTGGCATTAAAAGTACATCATGATGTTAACTTATCCATTTGCCCCACTAGGTCATCAAATATTCAAGGAAAAAGCTAGAAAAAGCTAGATCGATTAATTCAGAGAAGTTAAAGCTCCTGTGAGGAGGTTTTCCATTGGCTTTAAAATAGACAGATATAGATTCTCCAACACATTTTTTTGTGAATAACAAAAGCAACTGAGACTATGACTGACATATCTCACTTCTATATTGTTGTTGTTAAAGCCTGATGATGAAGCATTTGCCTACAGTTTACCAAGATGGCCTTTGTTTACAATTTTCATAAGAAAAAATTATCAGAGTGGTACATTTGACAGATAAAAAATGATGTGAAATTTCCACACACCACAAACACAAGAATGGGTCAATATCAGTCAAGAGTTCGGGGACTCTAAAATCAATACAGTCCGAAGGTTTCTCATGGTATCTTTAAACACTGGATGGTATCAAATCGACCTCAAGGATACCAGAAAGGGTAACATGAGTCTTCTCATGAGACCCAACATGTACAACTGAAGAGTCTATTCTTCACATCAAATTTAATCCATACGGTAGTATTTTCTTAACTGGTGCACAACATGTAACAGGCAACACACCCTGAGACATCTTAAATAGTTCCTGCCTCTGTCTGCAGACAAACATCCTCTTCCACTTCCCAAGCTGCCTCACTGGCTAGTTCAAGTTACTTGTTCTGATGCTAACACAACAACTAAGACAATCAACATAGATGTGAAGGTGTTGCAACAAATAATGTAGTTTTGAACAATTACACTTTAGCTGAACAACAAAGAGCAAAGTATGATCAATAAAAGAAGACCTTACCTCAGACATATTTATGAGAAAACAGAGAAATCTGTGATAGCCATTCCCTAAACTTCTACTGCATAACTCTCACATACATACTCTGGACTTGGGAGGCCAGTTTGCAGAAAGAGCTTATTCCTTCTTGCTAATCACAGAGACTTTGAACATTCTCCATGGTAATTCCCTTTCTCGCCTCAAAACTGCTGACTGCACATTAAAGAAGCCCTAACCGTTTGACTGAGCGTGGGGACTGATAGCTTTTGTGTCAAGAGTTTACGAGCAGAGCTTTGAGGACCTGCATCACAACACAGAGCTCTCTTTTAGTCAATGAAAGCAGAAAAAAACCCATCAACATATGGTCTCAGGACCAATCAGCTACTGTCCGATGACTGTCCAGCCTTTATGGGGTTTGAGTTGTAGGCAGCAGCTATAGCGATGACAGACTTCCAGCCAAAACTTCCCTTTCAATGTGCTGCCATGGTTAAAGGCCATTGACTTGAAGAGTGAGAAAGAAGGAAGGAAGAGAGAGAGAGACCACATTTGATAGTGAACAGCTGAGTCCCATACTGATGCCTGCTGATCTAAAAGTAAATCACTGTCAGATGACTGTTGATGGGTCTACTGCACTACAGCCACTTAGGTTCTTCTTAAAATTTTACTGAAAAACTGCTGTAAAAAACTCACACTGTGGATCACAAAATCATCTTTCATTTTATATGTGTGTTAATTTGTGTATTTCCTAACAAGCTAGCTGGATCAGAGTTGGGATCATGAGTGGGTGGTTCATCCAGATCAATTAAATTATCAGGAGCAGGCATGCTCATTGTCACCAGAGTCTGGACCCAACTCTTACTCCCAATTTCCACTGCATCTGGAACAGCGTCGAGAAGGACATATGCGCCAATCGCAACTGATAGTTTCCATTCAAGTTAATGTGTCGGTTTCCACCGGTTTCTTTCTGTTCGGCTGCTGTTCAGCGGAGTCCGCAGCCAATCGCCAGGGTTCTATTTTCAAATTTAATCATAAAATATAATTGTGACTTTTCAGATTTAATGTTTAAACTGCAAGTCGTAGTATATTTTAAACTTTTCTGCTTTTTATTTTATTGTTGTTTTGATTTTCAATGGCTTCTGAATGTCATCTTGTGATCATTTTGTATATGATGAATATTACTCAGTTTTTTCCTTCCTCTTGCTTTTCCCAACATCTTGAAGGGAAATCAAATAAGTCATAGTTGGAGTTCTCCGATTTGGAGGCTCAACATCTAATGTCTGTGTGTTTGGGAGTTTTAATTGTAATGTAAAAGCCACTGTACTCAGAATAGAAGAAGTAAACTAAATACTGAGGCTGAACTCTGTTGTTGATATTGAAGTCGAAGTAGTCTCTGGTTCAACATGGGAAAGTGGATTATTGTTTGGACTAAAGTTTACAGATTTAAACTGCATTGGAGTATCAGTCCCAGTATGAACATTAAACCAGAGTATAAACAAACTATCAGTGGAACAGTGTGCTGGACACAGTCTGAAGACATTCTGGGTCCCCAAAGGACACATAAGAGCGGATGAAAATGCAGAAAAAAGCTTGTTTTCCTTCTCTTGCTTGGCTCGCCTCATTTTACTTTTACGTAAGTAACACAGCAGTTTCTCTGTGTCTGTTTTGAACTCAAAAGGTGTACAGCTCAAACAGAAAATATTATATCTACTATGACTTGAAAAAGCAATCAGACAAAGAATGACAAAAAAAGACAAGTTTTATACTTTTATTCTTGATATCTGTAACCACTCTGAAGGAATGAGTATCACATGAAATTTACAGCCTCTGATAAAACACCTCATAACTTTTCACCAACAATTAATCACAGTTTTTACTTTTCTAAAGGAGGTCATGATCCACCTTGGTCAAAAAATCTTATCATTATGTGTACATAACAGTAACCTCTCAGTTACTTTGACCAAACCCCCATGAGCTACGTTATAAAGTTTTGACTGCATAACCTTGGATGTAAAATGGTAGTTGTGCAAAAAGTTAGAATAAAACAAAGCTTCAGACCTTCAATCACTGCCTTTTTTATAGCTATTCAACAGAGACATGCCTTATGGCAGACTTTAATGCTTTAACAGAGTGAGTCTTGTCTTGTAATAACCCAACTACAAAACTAATTTTAAAAAGACTTTGTTTTTCTTCTTAATACTTACTTCAAATATTTGCCTGAACCTTTCCCCTTTTTTGGTCCTTTACTTTCACAGAAAACACTGCAACTTTGCAGATAAGGTTAAATGACTCTGTATATAAAAAGAAAAAAAAAATTACCACTGTGATATCTAACATACAGCCCTTCTACACCATCTCGCTGTGCAGCACACTACTCCTCCACTAGATGAAGCCAAAGAAGAGAGAGCGAGAGCAGCAACCAAATTCAGTTAACACGGCTCAGTTGCTGCATTTATTATTAACATCTTACACAATTTAAATATTTTCCTGACCATTTCATTTGCTCATAAACCTCTGGGTTGAGTTAGATTAAGACATTAAGATTATAATGCTGATGTTTGATTTGTTTGAAATGTGTTTTTGTGAAAATGTTATTTTGAAAAGAAACCATAAGAGGCAAAATGATTTCATATCAGAGGGCTACATAATCACCTTGCACTTGAAACACACTCATGATGAGGGGAGCTCTTCATGATCACCTGCTTGCTGGTTTTCTGTTTTACCTTCCTCAGAACACATGTGGCAGGTACTGAGCTCTGCTGACCGAGGGACACCTATGAAGAGCTGCAGATTTGGAGATGATCTTGTAAAGTTACTGTTTGGCCCTTGTCAAAGTCACTCTTAAACAATTCATGTCCTGTTTTTTTCCTGCTTATCCTGTTTAGTCAAACTGTTCACCCTAGCACACCATCATTGTGTAGGTTTACTTCCACCCCATCCTAAAGCACTGCGATCTGGAATAAAAAGAAGCGAGCCATGTTTGCATTGACTTCTATCTCTACCTGAAAGTCTCACATTAACCTTTTGTTATGAGATGATAAACAGATTTATGGTGCCGTCTTCCTGTCGAGGAAGGAAGAAACACAAAAAATGTCACAAGGTTTTGGATTATGGCTTGCAAACAAACTTTAGGACCAATTGGCACCAGGCTGTAAACTACCACGCCCTTTGCCAGTGTTTTTCCATAATTCCCATCAGACCTTGGCATGTGTCAGCACCAGGCTATAATCTACCATCTTTGCTATTGTTTACTGTAACAGTTTTCACATATTTTCCATCTTTGTTAGAATGGGAATCCATTTTACCAGACATGAAAAACTGCCTTGTTTGAGCCAGAATTTCACAATGTGCAGAGTCATCTATCTGCATTAGTTTATGATGTGTTTAGTTGTTCCCATCATCCATTAGGTCTTTAAATAACTCCAGTTGTACCCATACTTGAATGCTGTAGAATCAGACTTTGTGCCTATCTGAATAAATTTAAGTATGTGTAGCTAAGAGGTCTCCAGGGCAAATGTTTTTTCCTGTTAAAGACGGAACCTTTTAAAAAATATTAACCATTAAAAATCTACTTTTAGTTTGATCTTGCTGAAGTTTTTAAAAGTGACTTTCGCTCATAGTACTGAAAGTGCTTCGCTCATAGTGCTACTGATCTATGTTGTGTAAAGAATATCCAATTTGACCTTAATTTATAACCTAATGATGATTTTTTTACCCTACATATTTCTAAATTCTCAAGACTTTTTCTGTTTATCAAAATGAGCCTGAAAAAAACCCACAAAGCAGAGACGACAAGGGATAAGATCAGTATGCTTTATTAATAAGATATCAGTGCAGAGACACAAACTTCTTAATGGGTTAAAGTCCCCATATAGTAATAACAATGATATCAATATATGATAATTAGAACAAAAGCATTATGGTTTCTAAGCAAATAAAAAAGCAGAATCAGCTGATAACTGTACGGTATGGCATAGACAAAAACAGAGACACGTAGCTGACCATAGATCCCAGGAAAAAAGAAAAAAACCCTGTTGTTACAAAAGACTCCAGACAAAATGCTGACATTGTCTTTAAAAAAAAGGAAGTGCAATGAGAGAAATCCTGACAAGTTTTAACACTTTCTGTTTTGGGCGGTTACCCTTCAAGTAGCACAGCAAGTTTTACACAAAGGACTGGTGATTGGCCTTCTACAGCTAGAGAGGAGAAGCCACGCCCCTTTTTAAAACCACTTCACTGCCACAATTTTTTTCCCCCACAATTAACAAATATCTGTCCTTGAATATGCACATTTTCTAATTTTCAGCATTTTTACTGTTGTTACCAACAATAACTTAAATATGAATTCCAATGCTTAAAAACATTTATTACTTTTTAACCATCTTGGTGAACAACAAGAACGGCAGCTTTGCTTAAAATCAGGGCGGGACTTCCTCTCTGTCATATTTTGTATATTTAAATCAACTTCCAACTAGCCCACTCTTAACACATACATTAACACAATTTAGTTAAATCTCAGCATTTGCTAAAAACTCCCTCTGATGTGCTTTGTGTCTGTCATGATCATATTTTAAAACGCTTTCACAGTCCTATAACCCATCTGCTGTCCAACGTAACTAAGAGGTGGACTGTCTCAGGAATACTGTGTCAATCTGAAATAAATCTGATGGTTTTGAGTAACAAGAAGGTTTTGAACATGCTTTAAGCTTTCTTTCTAAAACTTTAATCCTATAATTTATCAGTGTAACACCTAATGTTATAAAGTCTTTAACACTTACGATGACCCCAGTGAGAGCAGAAACATATGAGAGCTTTGCTGAGTGAAGTTAAGAGATTTGCGTCAGTGGGCAGGCTGAGCAGGATTAATCTCTCTTTATGTGTCACTCAATTGACTTCATTTCTGCCTTGTCTTCAGATCTATTCCACTGCCCACAGCCTTGCAGGTTAAGGGTAATCTACTGTGTTCTTAAAGCTTCTCCTATCACCTTCAGTATGACTCAAAATCATGATGACACCTGAACAGCCACAAATGTATTCCTAAACAAACTTGAGACACATTTTTTTTTAACTTAAAAGTCAAGTGATCTTAATTTGAGCACAACAGGCAAGCAAGGCATCTAATTTATAGAAAACAATAGTGCCCCTCTGAATAGTGACCCTCCCAGAATAACTTTTACAGTACAGTCAAATATTTTTCAGCTTCACCGAAAAAACCCCCCAACAAACAGCTTCATCTACAAACAGACTGTCAGGTCGTTTGATGAGCTGGGGAATCCATTTCCTTCAAGACCTTTGAATAAAGTTTGACTCGGCATCACCAGGGAAACTACAGCAGCTTTTACTACAATGAGAAGATCTATATGAATGCATCAGAGGAGGCTATGAGGGAGCTGTGGACTATAACTCTTGAGGGGTTATCACAAAAATCATCCCAACTATGACACTGTATTCCCAGGTTTTTTATTGTATTTTTCTTAATGGCCAAATATTTATCCAATTAAGCTATACAATGATATAAAAACATCACTTCTGCATGTTTATCAGGCTCTGCTAGCTTGTAGACAGGGGTGTGTCCAGAAATTTTTACTGGGGTGTCCCATCCTGCTCATTGACATTGACACATGCAAACAAAAAAGATGATTTTATCGTTTTTATAATTGATGGGTATTACCACTTAAAATATTATCACACAGTGGCTTCTTGGTTCTCCTGTACTTCTTCAAGTGTTAAAGGAAGGAACCAGAACTTCTACAAAAGTCAAATATATTCCACCTCAGTTTGGGACGGATAGTATCAGGCATGGCCACTCAGATTTCTCGAGGGGCCCCTGCCTCTGGAAGTCCCCCTGCTGGTAGAAGTAGTTCAGGTTTTGAGATGAAAACAAAGCAGATGCTTCATCATATCTTTTCAACAATAAAATTGGACAAATTTATATTTTAATCAGATGAAATACAATATCAAATAAGGATTTTATTCAATAATAGCCCCAGAGTTGTAGGAGGTCATCTACAGGTTTACAAGTCACTAGCTGTGCACTTGAAGGGTTAATATGGCCAAGATGAAACAACCATAATGTCATGATAAGGCACATTGTATGGATTGAAATAAACTTTAAAGATAATTTCAGCACAACATACAGCAGACAGTATCAAAATATAGTGTTAGTGAATCCAAGACATGCAATAAAAGCTCTACAAAAAGACTCATACATGGTCAACAAAGCACCATCGCTTTTATATAGGCAACTGGAAAACTATGTGATTAATTGTGTGGCAACTCCACCTTCTTCAACAAAATGCTACATATCTGACATGTGAAACTTAGAAAACTGATATTCATCTTTAATCTCAACTTTTTATTTCTTATTTTCTGTTTGTTTTATCTCCTTAAAGCAATAATAAAAACAGTACTGCCCATCAATCAGACCCTATAGACATCTTAGGGATAGGAAAATAAGGAGAAAACTCTTTATGGAAAAATATACTGAAAGTAAAACGCCACAACACAGAAAACAGCACAAGAGGAAACAGCACAGTGAGGGATCTGATCTATTTGCATCTATAAGGGGGATAGATAAGGACAAAGTACCAGAACACATCAACACTCAAAACATTATTTGAAACTTTAGTTTTTTCTTTTGTTTAAATATGTAACTCATATGTGTACAAAGCGCTATAATTGATAACGAAAAGTGGTTACCACACAATGACAAAAACCTAAAAAAAGAGTGAGAACAGGACATACTCTTTGAGCACAGAACAGGTGAGAAAGCAGGAAACAATAAGAATATGTTTTTGTACTAAAGACACACTGTTGGTTATATAACTGACATCATTTGGGTGAAAATATACTTTCTAGTTGGACAAATGTCTGGTCTTACTCTCTGACTCCATTGTGTCTTGATTTGACTAATAATATTCTCATCAATGCTTTAATATTGGCAGCCGCTGTATGTCTAATTATAAGAAAAACTGGCCTTGTCCTAATCCTGAAAATAATACATACGATCGCATTCAAGTCACTTCACAGACTGCTGTGCTGCACTGAAACTAAAGCTACTGCTGCTGCTGCTATGTACATCTGAATGAATGAGCCAATCACTCATACGAGGTTTACTATGAAGTTTCTGCAGTGCTGTGCAAAACACAGTGAGCGGGGGGAGTTACCATCATTGCAATTCTGGTTCAGAAAGCTGAGTGTCTTTTGAAACATGCCATTTTATGTTTCATTTTGCTCCAATATCACAAAATTAAGGCCATTAAGGGTCACTGCAACTGCTTAATGTCCACTCTTTTCTTTGGTTCTGTTGAGAGCTCAAAGCAAACAACTATTCTAGTTGCACTTTGATAGGACTCCTATTGCACATCTAAAAAGCGCCTGTGATTGGCCAAAATGCCCTTTAAATCTGTTAATCTCAGTGCCCCCATGTGGTCTGGAGGGGCATGTTACTGACTTTGCAAATCACAAATCAATCCAGACACTGGTTACAACTCAGTTCATATTCATAAAGTTATATGTACATTTTTTTTATTTATTGAGTTTAGAAAAAAAAAAAAGGATTGATGTAAGCCATAAACTCTGGTTTGGAGGGCTCTAAGCCTGAAGTCAATGCCAACACTCATGTTTGATTTGCAATATGACCAACAATTTAAATAACATCACTTAATTTCGTAGCATCTGCACATGAGCCAGACCTCAAGCTCTTTCCTCCCCATAACTGGGTTGTTTTGGTCCCTAAACTTATTCAAACTGTGACTATTCCATCCTCAAAAAGAGTGCAAAAATGGAGCAATCTGAAATCAATATTAAAGGATTAACATTAACTTTTAATTTCCTTGAGGGAACCTTCCCAAAGGGATCAATAAAGTTCCATCAAATCGATTCAAATCCTAACAATGAAACTTGCTTTAAGGAGGGGTGCCTCCTGCCACTCTCACCCCTGGCCCTAGGATGGTTTGTGCACACCACTGCGTTACTATCGAGTGAGAAGTGGAAGAAAGCCTACAATGTGTAATCACATAAACTCTTGTAGTGTGTGCAAGTAAATTCTATGTACAAGCAATGAGTTTGGTGAATACAGCTACCTTTGCTGCTGACTATAAAAGCTTAAGCTCAATAAAAACAATTGCACAATATAAGAAAAGACCCTGTAGACACACAAGCTATTTACCTGACTGACAGATTTAAGAAAAGATGATAGAAACACAGAGGAAGGAAAACGTATTACTTACAGTAGAGTATATGTATTGCAATATATATTTATTAGTGTGTCTGTGAGTTGGACACAGAAAATAATAACCTGGAAGGTGGAGTATAAACATACAAACAACATAAACAAGGAGGAATAAAAGCAGTTTTGACAAGGTAAAGTATCCTGTCAGCTTGGATTAAATAATATGAGGGGATCTATGGTAAAAGGCTAAAATATTTCAGTTCAATGACAGAAAATAAAAATAAAAAAAACTACTCATAATAACTGATCAAAACAATATAATGCATATGGCATTAATGTTGACCCAGACTGACTTAAGTGGGATGGATTTGGTGAAGAATCTGCATTTGAGCAGAGTTGGGTATCATTTTATTGTGAGCTAACTGCCTCCAATTCTCCTTTTCTTCAAGCTGTTTTACTTAAATTAAATTCACCTTGAATATAAGTAAAAAGAGGGGAGAAACATCCAACTCTGTAATACAAATCAAAGAACAATCTCTTTTTCTAAATGTACAGATGACTTTTTTTCTCAGCATGCTACACTAGCTTATCTGTTTTAGGAGATGAGACTGAAACAAGAGGTTGCAAGGTCAACCTGGCTTAATTAAGTTACTGCTATTTGTGTTACACTGAGCATAGAGAATTTGTTTTATATTGTTACCTGAAATAGCCCCAGTGTACGAACAAGGATTAGGGCCACATGAAGAGAAAAACAATAAATACAGAAAGGAAATAAAAGTTGAAATTTAGAGATTACAAGATGTCAAAATGTTGTGAGTAATGTCGAAATTTTGAAATAATTTTTTTTTTTTAAATTTCGACTTTTACCTCGAAAAAAGAAATTTAAAAAATCTCCCTCCTGTCATTATTTTTTTCTCTCCTTGCGGCCCTAATCCACTTTCATACAATTGTTTACACAATTTAAACTAAAGGAAAGATTATTGGTAATGATACCCAACTGTTTCTCAAGGCTTCGACAGGAACTAAGATGGGCGGGGTCTTAATGCTGGTGGCAAAAGTAAATTACAGTGCTGTTGTTAATATGTAGGTAGTATAATAGTTCCTCCTGATAGGGAGGTTTGTTGGGCTAAAGAATGAGCTGCATAGAGAAGATATCAGGGTGAAGTTAATGTTTGTGGCAGCGACTAGTCCTGGGATAGGACATGGTTTAACAGTAGTCCTGCTCTGGCCAGTCCAGGTGGATGGCTACATATGTTTTGGCAGAGCTTATTTTTTAAGGCAGGTCATGTGTCTGAATGTGTCATTGCAGTGATACTCCTTTTACACCAAACAATTCAATTCAGCTTCAAACACAGGGCAGACTGAGTGTTACAACATCCTGTGCAGTTAATGGTCTTTGATGTTGGGCAATCATTGTTTCAATAGAGGTGTCTTCAGTGTGGCTCAATACAAAGAAATGAGTGTACACTCAACCTGCCTCTGATTTGTGTCCAAACATTAGATAATGAGGGGTGTAAGTGGCTTAACCCTGATATGACAACTTGAAAATGTGGTCTATGTACAAAGCTATAAAGAAACAGGGAATAGATTGTGGGGCTGAGCCAAATAAGCTAAATAAGGCAGGATGTGGTCATAAATACCATTCCCTATAGGTAGCTTAGCCTCACGGTGCTCAGGGGGCCCAGAGGTATTAATGTAAAGAAAGGCTTAAGTCAGGGGCTGCAGACAGGTTTTAGGTCGGGGGACTCTAGGTGGCCTGGTCCAGAGCTCTCAGCAGGTCACAGCCCTGGAGGAGGTGTAGGTTGCCCTGCAGAGGGACGTTAACCTCGCAGTCATAACGGGTCAACTCTGGCAGGCAGGCGGGCTCAAAGGAAGGGCCGAGCAAAAGACTGGCAACACCTGGGAAATGACAGAGGCAGAAAAAAGAAGAAAATTAAACAATAATCTGTGAGTGAAGGATTCAACACTGAGGGATAGTTGTAACTTCATCATGACTCATATTGGCAGAAGTTTGAAGTAGTTTCCTCTCCAGAACTTTGTTTCATATCAATTTTAAATGAAATACACATTGGACAACTAAAAACTTATATTTGAACACTTTTTTATTATTATTGAAATGAAATATGATACCAGTCTTAAAAGTGTACACACAGTGACCCTTGGAAAGGCAATGACAGCTCACCTCCAGTCTTATTCGAAGGCAGCATGCTATATTGTGAGAATTTGCAGCTCTTCTGGGTAAACTGTTTCTCATTTGCACCACCTATCCCAGTCCCAGGGTACTGAGACTTCCTGTGTTGCTGCAGACATGAAGACATACCGCTGTCTATCATCCTCCCCATGCTTGAATCTAAAACAGAAAACTTTAAGAATCAGTTGTTGGGTGGGAGAGATGATAGTGTCAGACATGTTTCAGACACAACATAAAGTTGGACCTCTTACCTGTCAGTGATCCAGCACTGAGGGAGCGATCCATGGGTGCAAAACTCTCACCCCTCATCTTCTTCCAGGCGATGTTTGATGATTTATTTTCACCCTGACACACAGACAAACACAAGACTTCTTTATAAGTTGCACTCCCAAAAAAGACACCAGCTCTGTTGTTTAGCACTCATGTGGATATTGACTGCAGAAAGGATACGAAGCCTTTAGGGGAGCTCACTTTTTTTCTGTGACTTTATTCTATTATAGACAATGCTTTAAATTTTGGGAGGGGGGAGTGGGGTGGGGCTTTTCCAAAAAACAGGTGGTTTGGAGGTTTAAGGTCCTTTCATACTGGGACCTTTTTTTTGTGCCATTACTTTGGACGTCAATATTCTTTTCGAACCCGAACAAGCATTCACATCAGTGACGTTTTCCCATCCTGTGACATTGCAGCATTTTTTTTTTCGGATCATGGTAGAATTTTCTAAAGTTTCACATACTGTGTGTCCACTTCTGACCAATCAGATTTTGTGTTGTTGCGACGTCTGATTCACCGGTATATCCAATATGGCCGACCGGCTGATTGTTTACGTATCAAAGAACAGAGTGCATTTTGATAAAAAACACAAACATTACAAAGATAATGACCTGAAGGGTAACTTGTGGAGAGTTATAGCGTCGGATTTCTCATATGACGATAGTTTGTGTGCTAAGTTTTATTTTTTTGAGGGTAGGATGCTTTTGTTGAGGACAGATAGAACAAGCAGACTATGACAAAATCCAACACACCCTCCTTTAGAAATATATTTGTTATCTCTAAACTATTTGAGCAATTTCAATGTGTTATGTAATTGAAGTTTAAGATAGTGGAACTTCTCTACTTATTGAAGATTATTTTTGGCTTTTTTGCCTTTATTTGATTGCAGCTTAGGAGAGTTAGGACATGGGGGGGAAAGTGGAATAACTGGTACTAAACTGGGACTATAAATCAATCCTAAAACCAATGAGATGAGAACTGATGCCACTGAAGCATAACTGATGTTGTTTGATGTTTCTCGCATCAATACTTACCACAGACATCTGATTGAAGGAGCGCTTGAAACTGTTGGCCATGGCCAATCTGGCTGGATTTATCTCTTTGTAGGCTTGTACAAAATTGTCAATGGACCTGCACATAAACACAGAAGCATTAGTGCAGTGAAAACGCGTCCGTCCACGTTATTGACATTGTTTATTTATTGATTAAGGTTGTAGGATTCAAACTTTGTTACAGCACCTCTGTTTCTGCATCATGTGTGGTACGTTCTGATGGCAGGACAGTCGCTCCTCTCCTGATAGAGACTCCATCAAGTAGGGCTTGTTTGCTCTTGTTTGTTGTTGGTGGTATGTTAACAGAGGATCAGGTGGCCACTGCAGGTTCTGCCTGCCTCCCATAGAAGACAGAGGGGTGGTAGCTGGAGCCTGGTATGGAGGCTGCTTTACGCGCCCCATCATGTATGACCCCACACGAGTGTTGATAGTCCCCTGACTGGGGCCTCTCTTCTCCTCTGTGGCCCAGGATGCACCAGTCTGGTGCTGGTAGTGGCCTTGGGCCTGAGGAGAGGAGGACAAGGGCTGGAAGAGGCTGGCAATGCTGCTGAAGCTCTGCTGGGTGCCCTGGTGTGTTTGGGTCAGGTTGCTGTTGCTCCCCATGGATCCTGAAGGACAACCATCCAGGGGCTCTGACTCTGGGATGATAGGATTCAGCTGGAAGTCTTCACCGTCCATTGGGATGTATGGAGCCAAAGTCTCCAGATCTAGGTCACTCAAGTCCCTCTGGAGAAAGAAAAGATAATATGGAAGTTGAAACTGAGTAAAACTCGACATTACAATTACATCTGTTTTAGTTCAATCACCACAGTCTAAAATAGTTTGGAACAGGAAAAATAATGTGTTTTCCCAAGCAGACAAAGAAAGTTTGAAGTTTTTCCAACATATATCAAATAAAAGCACTGATATCTCAGAGGAAGATGTTTAAGATATTCATATCTTGAAGGAAAGGACACACACCTCAGTGTTTGCAGGACTGCCATTGCACTCAGTGTCAAGTGCAAACAGCTTTTCCGTCAGCTCTACCTTTAGGTCACCGTCAACTGAGCTGTAGTAATCACCTGGGCTGCTGGGCTGCAAGAGGGAAACAGAGAGAGGACAGATGGTAAAAAAAAAGAGCAGAGAGGGACCAAATGTTGGAGAAAGAGAAAGTGTAAGAGGAGAGAGAGATGGAAACAAACAGAGAGAAATGAGTTTTGACAAAGGCCTTATTCACTCTGTGTCCCTCCAAATATCCACCCCCGTTATTCTCACACACACAGTTAGAGGGCATTAACCCCCCCACCCCCACCACCAGGGCTAGACTGAACCCAGAAAGAACAGAAACAAAACACAGCCAGTTACTCACACACTAATTACACATTTAAATTCAGTTCAGTCATTTCACGTCCTCACCGTGGAGCAGCTGCTGAGGCTGGGAGTAGCGCTGCCTGGTGGGGGATTCTGCTGCACAGTGAAGGTGCTGGCCATGTTCGCCATGTCTCTTTGAACTGGAGCAGGGGTTTGGCGTGACACAGGACGGGAAGGCTGATGGCTCTCGCTGGCCCAGGATGGGGGTCCTGGATGAGGCATGGCTGTAGCTGACAGCGGGACGTATCCTGCTGGCTGTTTGGGCTCCTCGAACTGGGTGCCACCTTTAAACCAGAGACGCCAAACAAAATCAGAGAAAGCAGATGTGATTTTATATATGCTTAAAAATGTGTTTTTTTTGGGAACAGAAAATCCTAAATGAATAGTGTCTCTGATATTTCATTTACATAATTAACTGCCAGTATAACCAACATAAAAATGACTTTAGCTGGCTAAAAGACTCAGTAAAGTAGCAGTATCTACAGATAAATGTGTTTCGTCTGATTGGTAGCTGTGTTTTCAATACAATAGTGCACTTGGATGTTTTTCTTCAGCATGCAAAATCATACAAATTAGCACAGCTTAGTGGATGCATTTATATGGCAAAACAAGTCAATACTGACAGAAGTCGAGAGCGATGATTGTGTCCCCAGGTGTCGGAGCCAGCTGGGCGAGGTCCTCCGGCTCCTCTTTGAGTTTGGTGAAGAGGGCGTCTCCAGGCTCTGTGTTCATACCTGCTCCTCCAGCCGAGAAGAAGCTGCTCATGTGGTGGGGCTTGAACATGGACTCAGTCTGCTCCAAGGAGAAAATCATGGTCTTCTCCTCAATGTCGCTACAGGTGTGGAGAAGGAGAGTGAAGTGAGTGAGTGTTTTATGTTGTTTATGTTGGTGAGTGTTTCATGTGGACTCTTGACTGCAAGACCACCAACAAAAGAAAGACAGAACTGGAACTTTTAACCCTATTTATGTGGGTTGGCTTAATAGGTTCCCATTTACAAGAAGCCTACAAGGTTGTATTGGTGTGGATGAATCAGGGCCAGTTTTATTGAGAAATAGTTTTTTAATGCTATGGTTTGATGGCAGGAACCTTTAAGGTTTTTCTAAAGTACAAGTGCTTTAGGGTTGGAGTCTGCGTGGCTGAATATTCTCGATTTGTTGACTGCTTAGATTATTTTGAACTGCATTTTTAAAAGGAACTAAATCAGTTTCATCACGTCATGGTAGTTACAGAAGAAAACAACCCAGATGGAGATAATTTTAGGTCCTATTAGGCATTTAAGCAGAGGACCATATAAAGCTGGAAATGAGGTTGTGTGACACTGCAAAGTTAAGGGTAGACATGACAACCACTTTTTATTCAGGGGACAACTTCTGCTTGATTCAGGGTTGTTTTTGGGTGCCCATGGACAGCAACAAGCTTAAAAGTCCCTCTACTCTCTTGACAGGGATTTCTAAGACTAAAGGTTCCAAGTAATTTAGGTGGAAACTAAACTTTATGTGCTCAACTGTCTTCGTCTAAAAAGACTGACACCTTTGGACTGAATTCATCCTGATTTTGACACAGATCCTTCCACCTTCACCTGTTCAAAGCAAAAGCTCAACACTTACCTGAGGACATAGTTTACACACACGATGCACTGTGGCTGAGAGTTGCGGCTGTTGTAAATAACAGTTCCCTGTGTTTCCACCCAGACGTAGCCTCCGTTCTTAGCCAGCATACGGTACTGACTACTCACTGCCTGACCCTTGGTGCACACTGCAAGAGAGACAGAGATAGGAAGAGGAAGAAGTGTGTTTAAAGCTGTTGTGTAAAGTACTGAAAAAAACACCACCTGCTCATGATCAAATTAAGATTCACTGCTGCAGATAAAAATTGTCATCTCACTTCTTCATGGCTCAAGAGTCTCATAGGATTGAGAGAGAGTATTTAAGTGGTTTATTTAACTTTTTGATGCCATTTTAATGTGTAATTCCCTAATAAACTGTAAAGTCTTTATTTATTTATTATGTGTCATGCTTTGAATTTAACCAAACATTGAGAGGAAACTGGGATGTTTGACTTTTGAGCTGGGATGGAGATGTTCTGGCTCCGGTCCAAAGTTCAGCTCTGGCGTGGGAAAGAAACAGGACTGTGGTCAGAGAGTGTACATAAGGCCAGTGACAGCGTGTGTGTGTGTGCGTGTGTGTGTGTGTGTGTGTGTGTGTGTGTGTGTGTGTGTGTGTGTGTGTGTGTATGTGTGGAGAAGGTTCAGTGCAATATTATATGTAACAGGGCCTTGTTAGTATGTGCTGATCAACATGTTGCTCGTGAGAGCCTGTTGACATATAGAGATGGATGGATGTTGCTCTTTCACAAATATTTTTAACCAAGTGGGGACTGGAAACATTAATGCTAAATATTAAGATTAAAGACAGTATAGCAACTTTATTGCTGGATTTGACTGGATTATAGCTGTGGAGCAGGATGAAAATGTGACTTTTAGAAGAAAAAGAATCTGGGATCAAATCGCTGGAGTCAGTGTTTGGTGACGATCTGATCACAGTACAGGTCCAGTTTTAACTTAAGCCTAATCTGTTAACTGCAGGCTTCTACCTCTATTTGATTTTACTATTTACATTTTTTTGTCTTTATGGTTGTGGGTCACCAGATGGTGTCTGTTTGTAAGTCAGAGAAAAGACAATGTGAAGATTCCATTTCACTACCTGTCTTTATGTGATATTTTGTAGCCTCAAAGAGCACTGGTAATAAAGATTAGGTTACTTGCTATGAGTGATACTCTACAAAATATTTTCAACAGACCGCAGCGAAAGTGCAATGGAGTAGCTGATCCTTAAAAGTGATGGCTATAAACACATTTTGGTCATGTTTTAAAGAACTATTTGGGGGCTTTTAGCCCTTATTTAGAAAAGAAACAAAAAACAAACATACAAATCAGGAAACAAGGAGAGACAGGACAACAGGGAGAGACATGCGAAAACCCGTATCTGGGGTGCACACTTAGGCCCCGTTTATATGTACCCGGTTATTTTTAAAAACAGAGACATTAACCATCATTTGCACCCTTCGTTCAGACACAAACAGAGAATTTACCCCTGAAAATAATGCTCTTTAAAAACTTCAGCCACAATGGAGATTTTGGAAAACTCTGTTAGCACGTTTTCATGCAAACAGAGAAAAACAAAGATTTAAGTAGCCGACGGCAGATCGTGCGCAGGAAAGAAGGAAGTGAAGTTGTTGTTGTTGTAGCTGCTGTGCAAGATTCTGGTTGGCTTTTGAAAACGAAGTGGTGTGCATGCAGTATATATACAAAGTATTTTGCATCCTGTAGGATGAACTTCTTTTGTTTTTCTTTCATTATTCTCATTGTATGTGTCACGATTCTAAGTGGAGTTTCGTTGTTATTGTTGTTGTATATTATGTTGCGTGGCTGTCTTGGATACATTGTGTTATGAACCTGTTGATCAGTGTCTAATAAGCCCATGTGGGCTGGGCACCAATTTTGGTGTATGACACTTAAATAAAATGATCAAATCAAAATAAAAAAAAGAACACATCATAAATAAATGTAAAATGCATTATCTATGTGGGCATTGTCAGTGAGTTGTTAACAGTTATAACACATTATAATACCTGACCTTGTAAGTCATGATTAAATACTTTATAATGTGTTATGATTATTGCTATAAAGCATTATGATCATTTATGAGTGTTTATAACTATAGTTATACAGTGCTATAGCTTGATTATAATGTAATATAAATATACGTATAATGTGTTATAGAGATAGGCGTCAAGTTAAGCGTTACCGTTTATAACAATATTTAACAATAAAAACATATTCATATTAATTTGATTCTTCAAATAAGTTACTTTGCAGATAATGATGATCTCCTTACATACACATGGAGTGATTCAAATATATTCTGGCTGTTTAAAGAACAAAAGGAGCTACGCTATTGTAACGGACCTGTTCACACGTATAGACTCACACACACACGGTGTAAACACAGATGCATGGTGCTAATTTGTTGCAGGGATGGTTTTAAGTAGCTGAAATACCATTTTTGCTTTTGAACTGACTCTACTGCACAGAGCTTCAAATGAGCCACAACACTCCAGGGCCCTGTTTGCACACAAACACACACACACACACACACACACACACGCACGCACACACACACCCACACACACTATCATTAGACAGTAATAGAGGCCACCTGGTCTCTTGTCCCCTGTGTTTGAGGCGCGCAAACCTGATCAGACCATCAGTGGCTGAGCCCGACGTAATACAATCTTCTTAATCCCATGACCCTGCTCTGTGCATGGATAGAAACACAGACACTTGCACAGACACACACAGGTAAACAGACACATTTACTTGAAGTCTAGTTATAATAAGCAATACCAGGGAGAAAAAAAGCATGAATTTTTTTCCTGTGTTTATTTTTTTTTTAAACAAGATTGTTCATTGATTCCTGCTTGCTTTTATATTTTTTTAGATTTTGAGCCGATAAAAAAGACAATATTTTCCATTCTTTAGGACTTAACTGCAAAAGCCTATTTGAAAACAAAGAGAAAATTAGGGTATTTCTTGTATACTTTCTTTCGTATAAAATTGTAATTTAGCTCTGACCACACACAAACATACATGTAAGTGCTTTCGTTGTTAGTTTTTGTTTTCAACTTCACTAAAGCCTTAAAGGGCCGGCGTCGAGAGTTTAAAGGTTTCCCGGTGCAACCATCTTAAAGGGGCTTTTGTCATTCTCTCTCCCTGACATGTACGAAAACCAACAGGAGCCTCCAAATTTGCGAAAAAGCCAACTTATTCTACTTATTTCAACTTGTGTGTCATGAAAGAACCCAAACTTGTGTATCTGTAGTTTGTGTTCGCTTACAGTTGTGATGGCTCTTGGTGACGCTGTCTGAGTCCATGGCGTGGTAGAAGTCATAAACTGACCGCCCCAGCAGGTCCTCAGGCGTGTAGCCCATCAGCTCGGTAACCCTGGAAAACACATGTACACACAGGTTATTAAAAAAAATGTGGAGGATCTGATGTGCTCTTTTTTTTTAAACTTCCCTGTGACTCCCCTCTTGAGGCAATCACGACAGACAAATCTTCTTTTCTGTCCTGAACTTCTTCACTTCAAAAGGCTTCACACATGATTTGTAAGTCAAGCAGAGAGGCGAAGAGTCGTCCAGGAACAAGAACTGTTCTCATCTGTCTCTGATAACTCCCAGTTTTTCTAGGAACAGCTCATCTCTCTTTCTTTCACTCTCATTGAGGGTTCATTTTTTAATAAAGATTTTGTATTTGGCTTCAGGTTGTCTCCTTCATGTCTTTCCAGCTTTTCTTTCCCTTGAATATCTTCATAAATTTGTTCAGGATTAACTTTGACATGAACACCACACAAGAAGCATTTAGATGCGGTTAGATGCTGAATCTTTTACCACTAACATGATGAGCGTACAGGATAAATCACTGAAGTGTCGGGCTACAGTGACACCAAACTGGTACTCGAGGTTAAATTACTTAATTTGGTTTATTGGGGATTTTAATCCCAAAAGGCTTTGCTGTGAGAACATTATCCAAACCAACAAGAGGAAGTGACCCGTGAACATGAGGCTTTGTGGTTATAAGGAGACCACGGAGGGTAAACTGGGACATGAATGCTGACAGATTTGTCATGCTTTCAGTAAATTAAGGTGGCTGGATCTCATTGGACTAATATTGCTTTCCAGTTTGGCAGAGTGACAAGTCACTATAATTATATATCCAGCCATTATTAAAAGTATAATGAAAATATTTTGATTAATATTTTGATTATTTTGATATTTAGTGAAGCACATCTCACATCTTCAAGCTATTTCACAAAACTATCATTCATACAAAACTTATCATTCGGCATCCTTTAACTCCCCTCAGCTGCACGATCATTTTACAGTCTTGTGTTTTGAAGTTAGATGTCAAATGTAAGAATAAAGGCTGGAACAATTGAATGACAATTTTCATGTCTAATATTTGTACACAGTGAGCAAAGTTCAATCACAGTCTGATTCCTTGTATGTGTACATGTGCTACAGATGCAGTGATTCACTTGTTTTACTGTTAAAGCAGCTGGAAGGAGTTTTCATTTGCTGTGTATTTTGGCGGCCACTATGGACAAAAGCGGTAGTGCTTTGGCGCGCATTGTGGTGAAGACACTTGACTTGGATGTCAGGGCTCCACAAATTAACTTTTTGTGAGCAGTTTGAGGCAACTTACTTTGTAAATGTATTTAAAATGGGAAGCGAGTCTGGGTCAGCCTGCCACGGAGCGTGAGACAGACGTGGAGCAGCAGGACTGCTCAGGTGTTCAGGAGCTTCTCAGCAGCTTGGCAGCAGCTGTAGCATGACACAGTATCTGCTGGAATCTCCTGCTAGTATAGTGACAGTAATATGTGCGCTTTTATTGCAAAATAAAGAGAAAAAACGTGGTTGTCTCTGGTCTGATTGCAGTAAATCGTTTTGTTTGTGGTCCCGACCCGGCCACTGGCTCCTGTTTTACCCATTTCCATGATCTAGAAATAGCTTATCTTCACACAGATGAGCTCATTCACTGCTGCAGGTGACAACTATCATGCTTATTTAATCCTGGAGGCTAAATTATGATTAATAATTAGGATGGATGACAATAAATGGCATCAATAATACAGTTTATTTCCCACATTAGCAGACAAACATAACTGATATGTCACTCAATATTTTCCAAAGAGATACAGGCACTTTTTTTCTTTTTGCTGTGATTTATCAACGTATTAATTGTGGATCAAATGGTGGTTACAGTTTTAGTCAAACTTGATATTGTTGATTTCGCTGTCGTGTGTGATCTGTTAATCTCTAGTTTTGCTCTTGTTATGCACAGTTAATAATCATTGTAAAGAGGTTTTGACCAACCAGAATCAAGAGTTCAACACAGTTGGGTGATTAGTAAGACAGCCAGGTAATAATGTGTCTTTAATGCAAAAAAGAGATTTTAACATTATTCTCAACCTATTTTAAAATTGATGCTCCTTTCCTAGCTTCATTTTTTAAGCTTACAAGGAAAGGCATGTCACAATAAGAACACACTGATAATATCATATAAGTCTGCACAACATTATACTTTGACACTACATGCGATGTCAAAGATATACCGTTATGAGACAATATTTTCATGTACTAAATCTCTGATAGCTGTCTGAATATCTGTCACAGGTTCATAATTGTACATTTCCAGACTACAATATCTGACATGGTTGGAATAATGTTAACTATGAAGAGAAAGGGTAAGTAAAGGAGTCACAGTAGGATGTAGATTACACGTCTGTGAATGATGTAATGTTGAGTGGCTTTTTTGTTGAAGAGACAGAGGAAAAAAGAGGAAAGGAGGAGGAGAAGAGAGTTAGGTCGGCTGGTGCAGAAAAGACTCTTGTCCTCAGATTACATAACACCCACAGATGCAGCCACGTAGGGGAGGGAGGGAGAGAGAGCAGAGAAAATGAAAGAAAAGAGACGGGGTAAGACGCACATCTTCAAGCAAAGAGATGAAAACTTAATGAGGTTCAAAGAAGAAGGGGTAAAACTGAGGAGGGGAGTGGGCTAGGAACACAAGATATCGAGTTTTAACTGGTCTATTACAAGTCTGTCCAGTTTATTTTGTTACAATATTTACTCTATAAAAATAGGAAAACTTTATTTCATTCAAGTTCATGTGAGGAGTTTAAAACAGGTTTTGAACCAGACTTAAAAAATAAACACTGATAACTGTATTTGAAGAATTAAACAAACAAACTATTGACATAAAATGAATGATTTATGTTGTTATTTTTTGCACCTGGAGGTGCTGTGACTCCATGCTGCAGAATGATCATCGCTTTTCATGTCTTTTTGAAAAAGATATTTACCTATCCCTTTTACAAAAGAAAGCAGGATGACATGTTTTGGGGAGAAAAGTACACTGGTGTAAGATACATTGTTTTGTTCCCACACTCCACACAAACTAAACTGTCCTCAGAGTGGTTTTGACCTGTGTTTGCACAGGGAGCTTCTATTGCTCATTAAGTTCTGTTAATATCTATTTGCTACTCATCAAGTGGTTCTGTATGTGACTGATATTGTCTTAGAGATTAATTGAGATTTATAAACCCTTGACTGTTTTATTGCTTTTGTTGTTTGTATACGTCTATAAGAATTTATTCAGTTTGCAGCAAGAGCCTGTTCTCCTGCATGCATATTCAACTGTCAGGAGGCTCAAGGACACTAGTTCCCAACCTGGGATCCAGGCCTCCCAAGAGTGGCACGATATATCTCCGGGGGGCGCCAACCTTTGTCTGCTTTGAGTTTGTCAAAGTTGAATTTTCAGATATAACTTAATTAAAATGATCATAATACACTTTCTGGAAAGTGTGGCTGCCCAAACTCTATCCTCCTCTTGACTGAGCTCCATTCAAGAAAAGCAGAGTCCTACCAGCTGCTCAACAACTAATACTAGTTTTGGGTTCGCACATACCCTGTAGCTGTCATCACAGACAGTCTAGCTGACTTAATAAGTTTTTGGTTTTGTTTAATAAATGAGTTAAAAGTTGAAATAAATAAGTTAAAATAAATCAAGTTAAAAATGGGTTAAAATCCTGTGTCGTTTAAATAAATAAATGGACAAATATTGTTTCACTCACATGGGCATTTGACAAGTTAAGGTCCTTACACACCTGGAGCGTTTTTTCGCATGATTATTTCGGACGTCAATATTTTTTTTCCGAACCCATATCCTGTCAATACAAGCGTTCACATCAGCGACGTTTTCCTGTCCTGCATAGTGTGTCCACTTCTGACCAATCAGATTTCGAGCTGTTGCCATGTCAGATTCACCAGTATATCCAACATGGCCGACCGGCTGATTGTTTACGTGTCGGAGAACAGGGTGCTTTTGGATATAAAAGACAAATATTACAAAGATAACGACCTGAAGGACAACTTGTGGAGAGTTATAGCGTCGGATTTCTCATACGACAATGGTTTGTGTGCTTTAACAGTTTGCTAAACGTCTTTGTTTTAACTTTCATCTGTGCTAAGTAATTTTAGCTCGTAAGCTAACCTGTTCAGATACAACATATTGTATGTATTTTCACTGTCTCAACTCAATCACGTTGCTGTCACAGCACCATTAGGTCTTGGTTGTTACCTTACGTTTATGGATTATAGTTTAATGTGCTTATCTGGTACTGGCCCCGACTCAGTACATGCTATCATGACTGACAGACATCTCAAGAACAGTGTCTAATCAGAACTGAAAACAGTCAGTCTGCTGTTGTGTCAGTCTTCTCGCTTCCACCCGGGATGTGTCCCCCCCCCTTCCCCAGAAAGTCACAAAATCGCATCGGGCTTGATGTGTATAGTCAAACGCATCAAAATTCACCTCCGAATATTTCGTAATTTTGAGTTGTATATTTGCGTTGTACTCTGTGTGTAAGGACCTTTAAGCGGAACTGATGTGCAGTGCTAAGGGACAGCCAGGTTGTTTTTTGTTGTGACATACCCAGTGTTTGCCCACTGATTAGAGCACCTGCTAGGAAGGAGAACAGCAGTTTCACATGATATATTCATTGAAGATGGAGGGTGAAGCGCTGTTAAGTGAAGACAGTAAGACAACTAAAGATGGCTTAAGATCATTTTTTTCTCCCTTTTAAGTTGACGCGGCCAACAAGTTATGTGTGGAACATGCTTATTGAGATATATTGTTATCAGTGCGACTTCATGTGGCCGATTTCTGTTCTGTTTATGTCACTTTGAGTTATGTAGTAAGGATTTTTTCATATGTTATGTTTTGTGAGATTTATTTGTTTAAGAGGGTTATTTTGTGTTGGAGTTTTACCGAACTCAGATTACATTTTTATATTGTTTTAGTTCTCATGGCATGCTCGAAAACAATAGAGCTAAAATAAATGCCTGTAGCCAAAGGAACGCCTTGTGTCTGATTCAACAGGAGGGGAGTAGCATACCTACTGGATTGATTTCAACCACCTCAGTGTCTTTGAAGTGTGCGCTGAGGGACTGTAATATCAAGCACAATTAAAGGTTTCTGGTGTTAAGATAAACTCAATATCAAATGACTCACTTCCAGACTGGACTTTCAGAAGTTACATAATCTGGCGGTGACGCTGGCTTGTCTACTCCTTATGCCATCCCTCTGTCTTTGTACTTTCCTTTTTTCTACACTGTTCAACATGAGCAGACGAAACATTTTGTCCTTTCCCTAATGAGTCTAAGTCCCCGCTGGGCCAGGAGAGCGACCCACCCACCTCAAACTCATTTGTGTAATTGGAGAGAAGATTTTTTGCACCTACCAAATCACACCAAAAAAGCGAAACAGAAAGTTTGCCCTACTTTGAACTAGTTTGTGACGCACGACTGCGCAGGTGTACAAAAATGCACATTCACGTCACTTTGGCAGTAATCTTTGTCTTACATGAGCAGCTTGATAAGATAACACGTATGCGAATGAGGGATTGTGTAACACAGGTCAGTGTTTGTTTGTGTGTATGCGTGTGTGTGAGCATGTTAGTCAGGACCTCTTTTAACGAGAGCTCATGAGTTATAGTGACTCAAACTGATTCATTTTCACTTTATTTACCCCAAAAGGAAAAATCCTCCCATGTGTTAATCCTACAAACACGTCACTTACGCTCACACAGCAGGAGGGCCCTCTACGCTGTCCCACTAACATGACTGATAAGATGTCGGACATCAGTCCAAGTGACATCTTTACGACAGAGGAATGTGTTTTTGTAGGCTTGTCTTCAGAGGTATTTGTGATCCAGAGCAGTTGGCGTAGTCTCTTAGTGTCGTGAGAGACTCTTATTAGAGTATTAATGTTTCATCTATGGCTTTATTTCTCACTGACACCCCCGCCAAGTCAAACAGAATCAGTCAACACTCTAATCAGTCAAATAGTCGAGTGTGTGTAAGTGTGTGTGTGTGTGCGCGTGTGGGGCACACTGTACTTCAGTTGTGTTTTATCTGGCAGCGTTCCACGACATGAAGATGCTGCCTTGTTTAACTTTGCTGAATTCTCCTCTGGTTCTGTGAAAACTCAGCAGGTGTACTTATCCTTTTTAGGCTGAGGTTTTTTTTAACCATATTTTTGATTTTCAGTCTTCTAAATATGGACATTTTTGGGTGTTGTTTTAACGCTACTTCTTTGGGACTTCTAACTTCTATCTTATCTATCATCTAATAATTTCTAGATAAGAGTGCATCCAAAAAAATCAGATGACTTTAAAGATATAAATCAAACTTTGGCCTCTGAATTTGCATTACTGACCCTTTTAAACCTTTTACACACAGTGACAAGTTAATGACTTTTTTTTCAGATTAAAATAATTTATGTTGATCAAAATGAGGGGATTCTCTTTTATCTGAAGGTCCCTGCAAATAAACAAATACAATGGAATATTTGCTTTTTTGGTCACGAGATGATTAACCTGGAGGTAAAACTGTTATGAGCACAACAATAAAACTGTCAACCTGTTTTTATTATGTCATTATGCAAAAGTACCTTGTTGCTTTATAAAATGCTTACACACTGCCTTTATAAGGTGGGATATTTACACCCCTTGTTTGCATTATGAGACACGTGGAAGCATGAAGGAGGGGCTAAGTTCTTCTACCTCTGAGTCTCCCTTGGAGGTAGTAACTGAGGTGGATGAGGAGAAAATGGCAGCAGTGTGCAGCATCAGGACAACGCAGCATGTACATGTAGAGTCCTGTTGTGTGATAACAAGCTGCTCTTTCACAGTACCAGAATGTGATGTGTAGTCACTCACTGGGACACCATGTCATGCTGTTTTGGGTGCGATGTGTCGGAATAAAGGCAGAGTAAATGTGAAACTCTATTCCAGCGAGTTTTTTCTCATTACTATTTGACTTGCTTTGATCTATGCCTTTTTCCCCATATATACACTCACCGGCTGAATTGCTTGTTTGGACAAATAGTAAATCAGCCAATCATATGACAGCAACTCAATGCATTTAGGCATGTGGGCCTGATCAACTCGCTAAAGCTTTAACCGAGCATTGGAATAAGGAAGAAAGGGGATTTAAATATGGCATGGTTGTTGGTATCAGACAGGTATTTCAGAAACCACAGGATATGTAGGATGAGAGAAAATATCCAATGTGCTGCAGTTGTTCATACAAAAATGTCAAAACCTCATGTCTGTGTGTGAGCCTACCTCTCGTCACAGTACGTGAACTTCATGTCCATGCTGTGTCTGCTCAGGAAGGTCTTGCTGTCCAGCGGTGTGTCGATGTTGGACGGGTGTGGGATTGGTTCGCACATCAGGACAGCGCAAGTGAGTGGAGGTTCCTTGAAGCCACACAGTCCTCGTGGAGGGCAGCTGTTGTACATTTTCAGGTGTCCAGTGCAATGCAGCACCTAGAGGGGAAAAAAATGGGTCTTGGCTTAGTGTCACATGTTGGGGTGATTAGTGTCTTTGGTGCTTGTGCCTCAATGTAACTCTAGTGTGTTTTCCAATTCTTTAACATTACCGCTTCACTCCAGGACTTCACAGAATAACAGAAGAACCCATAGTAGATATATAAAGACCCACTCTAATAAAAATCTTGTTTTTCTTGTTGTCTACATATTCATATGGCATTTTTCTGATTCTACAGGACATATCATGAGAAAAATGAGTTTGAAGTTGCATTTCTGAGTATTTCTGCATTAAAATCGCTGTGAATCTCTGGCAGACCCAAACGGTAGGCTCAGATACAGTGAGTGGAAGAATGTGGAAAAGCATAATAACCTCTCTTTTAAAAGAAATAGAGAAAGGCTTACTACTTTTTTACTTCATGTTACTGTTCACAACACCTTCCCATGTTCATCTCTGATAAACGAAATGTGAAAAAGTCTTCATTACAAGATCTGAAAGGCCAAAGTTGGCAGTAATGTGATGTCTTATGTGAGAATGTAGGAGGTGTGTTACTCTCACGGCATGTGAGGGTTTTTAAGGTGTGTTTCTCACCTTCCAGCTGGCTGATTTGAGGTTGACGGTGCGTCCTCTGTTGGTCACTGTGCATTTCATCCTCATGAAGAAATCTCGTTCGGTGCTCAGCTCTTTGCCTTTTTTACCAAAGCTGCTGCCTGAAACACAAAATAGTTACAGATGCAATTTGAACCAGCGTGACTCTCACTGTACATGACAAAAACTAACAACTTCATCTGACCTTGCAGGAGAGGTCACAACTGAATCAATCTAATCTATAATATGAGTTTCCTGATGATTTATTTGCAAACAAGTCTCAATTTTTGCAGTTTCATTTATTAAATAATCTTTGACGAATGGAACTTTGCATGTTTTTAGTTGGGCTCAAACTTTGTATGCATGCAAGTAAATTTAGACTGAACCACAAATAGCACTCTTGGGGCCTGTTAATGGTTGGTCGGGACACGTGCCTCTGAATAAAATGGCTCAAAAAAGTTTTGGCTGTTTTGACCATTGTGGTAAAATCCATGCACAACAGGGTTATGGATGATCACTCATAAAGGGGAAAAAATCCCTTGACACAGCCGTGCAGGTGATCTACTTTTATGATCCAAAGCTTCTAAAGTTCAGTACTTTTATATGGACCTGTTTAAGTTTCACTTTGATGCAATGTGTCCTTTTAAAGAGGGCAGTAAAAATGTGCAGCTGTTTCAGCTTGTGGGAAATATAAGATTCTGTCCATAACTTTTCATGTGACTCTCTACTCAAATCAAAAATGACAAACAACAACCAATGACACAAAGTAATGACTTTGACCCTCCTTTCCCTTATACGACTGGAAAAATGGTCAATGGTTTAAACTCGCAGAGGTCTCTCTCACACCCACAAAGAAGAGAGAGAGAGAGAGAGAGAGAGAGAGAGAGAGAGAGAGAGAGAGAGAGAGAGAGAGAGAGAGAGAGAGAGAGAGAGAGAGAGAGAGAGAGAGAGAGAGAGAGAGAGAGAGAGAGAGAGAGAGAGAGAGAGAGAGAGAGAGAGAGAGAGAGAGAACGTGAAATTGGGCCAGGCTGTTACATCACAGGGTCAAAGTTGAGGCTTAAAGCTGCAGCTCCTTGGTGAAGTGCTGAAGTGTAACTTTTGTGGACCTGCATACCCACAAGTGTGTCTTTATCTCTGTGTGGTCACACCTCTACAAAACTAATAAATAAATGAACTTCTACCTCTTTGTGTGTGTGTCTGTGGAAAAGGGCTGAAAACAAGTGTTTCTCCGTTTGTGTGTTTTGTGGCTGATAAGAGGACGCAACCACAGCTTAGTGACTGCAGTGTGTGCGTGTGTTAAAGTCTGTTTGTTCCAGTCAGTTACACACTCACTTTGCTACGAGCAGTCTGACGCACTCGTATTTACTAATCTTTGAGAAACAAGTGCCCACAATTGCCACAAAGCTAAGGCAGGGCATGGTGCAGCATTTGTGTACTTTTGAGCTTCTGTCTATAGAAGTGTTTTCGTGTTGAGGTTGTGTATGTGTGACTTTCCTCTCCACATAACATACCACGTACCCTACCCACAACAGATAGTGGCAAGCTTGTCTCTCTCACTGTCTTTCCTCGTCTTCTCAAGCTCACACTTTCAGCCCTTATCAACGCCTTCCCCTCTGCACACGTAGGCCCATACACACACACACACACACACACACACACACACACACACACACACACACACACACACACACACACATATATATGTTGTGTATTTCTCTGCTGTATCTCTCTTTAGGTTACCCTCCATATGGTCTCTGACCTTCTGTTCTCCTGTTTGTTCTGGACACTTGCTCATGAGATAGATGATATTATGTAACACCAGACATGTTGTTTTTGCCTCTTTTCCTGAGATTAAATCCCGTGTTACAGGAGCAGAAGAATGCTGAATAGTGGAGGACTTGTTGCTCTTTTCCACCAAACCACGACTGCCGACAACACGTGAACACTTTTAAAATGTTTCCCACACATATGTTAGTACAGTTTGATACCCTGATCTTGCTTGAATTTCAGAGCAGACAGTACCCTACTCTTGCATTGTATGTAGAAAGTGTGCTACAAGGTTTTGATATTAATTTAGCAAACACTTCGGTCCAAAGCAACACACGTTTGAGAGTAAATGCAACACAGGCAAAGATTTAGAAAGAAGGGAGGGAGGAACATGTATTTGAGAAAAAAAACTGCTTCAAGCCAAATTGGCTGAGTGTTTCCACCCGGTGCAAGAGGCATGTGCCCAAGGTGTTTTATAACTTTTTTTTTTTTTTTATCACCACAGAATAAAAAAAAACATACCATCATCATCCTTATAGCACTGCATCATCAACATCTTCAATTCCAAACTATCAGATGTGGGTGTTCACAAAATAGCCAAGTCTTAGGGGTTGACAAGACTTCTTCTGGTATCTCAGCCCAAAATACACTGAAAAATCATAGCTGAGGGCCAAATATGCTCTGTATTGATAATGTTTGTACTCCTAGAATGCTTTTCAAAGCAAAGGCTTGATCTAACATTCCCTTTGTTATACACACAATGAGTTTATTCTGAAGTTGTGTCCAGGATGGCATGGGTTATTTGAGTACCTTTCCTAACTTCTGACAGTGGGATGCAAATTTGCCTACTGTACTATACCGTACCAAACCAAACCAAACCAGACTGCTGAACTGGGAAATCTCTCTAGGCTTGAAAGCTTTAAAAAAATAAAATAAAATCATAACTGGCATGAAACTGTTCTCAATTCAAGTCTCTTTGATGTCCAGCAACAGAACATAAACTGATCATCACTACAAGTCATATTTTGGACTTAAATGCACTCCATGTGTACTCCTGTGTTATTACACAACGTGAGCTTAATGAGTAACATTTGCTTTTGGTGTTTTTGAAATGCATTGCATAAGTGTGTGTTCAGATGTTTGCTCTGACCTGCTGAAAGGGGTCCTGTGCAATAAAAATCCAGTGTTCAAATCTTAAAACTGATCAGTGAAAACATATTTTTGGAGTGTATACAAATTGACTTAACTGTATTTTGCATCATGTGAACTTCTAGATTGGGGATCCACAGGTTGTCTTCCTCACTGTCTTGATTTATTATTGTGCTCTTTTTTTAAAGGAGCAGTGAGTAAACTGAAATTGATTTTTGATGGCAATATTGTGTCAAATCAAACTTTTCAGGCATTGCAGGAGCTTCTTGTCCTCAAAAGTCACCATTACTTCACTAACAAAAGCAGTTTGCAAAAGAGCATTTTCATCTAGATATGACCTTATATACCATTTCTACTCACTGTACCTTTAAAGGGACAGTTCAGCAATGTTTAGATACTGGCCAGTAAACCAGAGTGGAAGATAGTCTACCAATGTGGACGACTACTTCACACAATTTAACATAAAATGAAGCAGTCACATTTTTCCAACTGGGGGAACATACACAGAGAGCAGAGCTTTGATTGGAGTTTGGTTAATTTGCTGGATTGCATGATTAGCAGGCCCTTTAATCGATAGCCCAGCTCTTGTCCTGGTTGAGCTGATTGGGATCCCCTGTCGCTAACACACTTAGCCCAGACAAGCACGAATACAACCTCAACTTATAAAAAAAACAAAAATAAAAAACAACACTGAACAGTTCCTTTAAGGTATTAATTCATATAAATATTCTTAATTTGTTCTTTAAATCCAAACTCCGGTTGTACTTTCATATTCTAATTTTCTCTGTAAGAGTGTTGGGTCATGCAAAGTTTCTATAAACAAGGATCTTTCTTTACTTCTGTGACTCATTCATGCCTCCCCATGTTCTGTATTTGGCAATTTGCGTGTTTCACGATTGCAGAGCAACTCTCACGCTAAACAGATTCCACAGTCTGATGGGCGGATTTCCATGTGGATTGCTCAGCCTGTTTATTCTTTTATGGGACCGACCGGTTACAACTAATTGACCTCATGACCGTTGCTCTTATTACGTTTCCAGAGGAACTGATAAACAGGAGTAGTTTGACACCAGGTTGGTAGAGTGAGAGTGGATTAATCAAGTTAACAGGGGGTGTGTTTTTACATACCAGCTGCCTTTAGGCTGAGATTTTCTCTGATCTCCTCGTGGTCACATGGATGAGTGAAGTCAAAGATGCTGTGACCCGTAAGATCAACCTGGAAAATAAAAAACAACTCAATACAAACAAAATTAACTGACATATGATGCAGTATTTTAACATTTGTTCATAACCTTTTACAGCATGCATCTGTTTAAAGTTGCTCAGCAGCTGGTCCACACACTCTGCATTGATCTTTGATAAGTTTTGTTGCTCACACACCACAGCAGGATCAGCAGCAATTTGCTTTGGATAAACATAACTGAGTTTTTATATTCCCTCAACACAAACCAGGCAGATACTTATCACACCAGAAGGTCATAAACAAACAGGATTTGCTGTTAAATTAACCTCCTCTGTGATTTCCCTATTCAAGTTTGAGTCACAGGATAAAAGACGGTGAGCAGGGTTGAAGTTGAACTTAGTGTCCTGCCTGTAACACCACCATTTTCTTTCACATAAATATCTGCATCTCTATCAAGCCCTAATGCATTTTAATATATGAACTATAAAATATATGACAAGACTATCACTCATTTTCACTTGCAAATTTTTTTATTGTACAATTGTTTGTGATATTTGACTCCCAATCAAAGAAAGCTGATGTTATGTTACAGTGCGTGAGGCCTTGTGGTGCAAGCACAAAAAACACTCCAAAAACTGTCACTGAATGATTAATTTTATTTATATAATCTAACTAATTAGAAATGACAGTTACCCACTAAAAGCATAAATGAACCATATCAGTAATAATGATTAAATCAACACCAGTTTCATTTGTTGAATCGATCTGTAATTGGACAAATACTGATTTATAACAAGATCAAGTTCTTATGTTTTAAGGGCAGATTTGTGTTTTTCATGTTGTTTAACTTACTTGTGTTTAATATTTTGAGATTGGAATCTTTACTGTCACCATCTTGGAAAGAACTTTTTCCATCTTAAAGAAACTTCATGTCACTTAAAGGTGGGTTTAAAAACGATCGGTTCTCTGGATTGTACACACAAATAATAAAAAGGATCTGTTTGGGTCAAAAATGAACTGTGTCTTGTTCTGTTTTATTCTAACTGACTTATTTTAAACACTTATTTTTAAAAATCTGGTTTGTTGAATCTGTTGTTTGTTGCACCCGTCTGTATGTGTCTTTGTTGCGACTCTGGTGTACTATATTGGTTGTTTACCTGTGTGAGCCCCATGAATTTGGTGATGTTCTCGGACAAATATATCATGTCGCCGTCTGATGTTACCACAGTGACGAAGCCCTCCAGAGACTTCAGGTACAGGCTGTCCATCTGTTCGTCCCCTTCACTGTCACCACTGCTGCTGCAGCCTGAAATGAGCAGCAAAAAACAAGACCTGTTATACTCACAAACAAGCAGCAACCTGTAGTGTGAAAAAGATGAAGCCAATGCAGATGTGCCAAAAAGTGCAGTATGTTGCGTGTCCACTTGAGGCTGTTTGCAAAAAGCCAAGGTGACTCTGTTAAAACCATGTCAACAGGTCAACTTAACAGCGAAAAGGCGCCTTTAAATCCTGGTTTGAAAAAGTATTAGTCTCTATACCTTTTTTTTTTTCTTTTTAAATTAAATCAAATCATAGGGGCCGATCATTGTATAATCCAGTGGTTCTCAACTGGTGGGTCCCGACCCAAAAGTGGGTCATGGACATGTTCTGGATGGGTTGTGAACAGCTGGTCAAAAAAAGTAAATATTTAATGTGCATCTGATGTTTGACATGTCTTTTATTTAAAAAAAAAAAACAAACTTATTTTGAAAGGCACGCATTATGTCATGGTCCTCCTTGGTTTCTTGTGTATGTGGCCTGAATGCAGTAAAAATATATATATTTTTGGTCTTTATTTTGTGCAATTTAATATTTATTCACTTTTGTCCATGCTGTTGCGTAGTCCTCCTCAGGTTCTTCTGAATATGCTCTGAATGCAGAGATCCAAATAAGTTAAATTTTACATTTTGCTGGTCTCCATTTTGTGCAATTTGATATTTTCTGTATATGCAACTTTAGTTGTTGTCGTCCTCAGTTCATGTGCTCTGAAATGCAATTTACTGGATAAAATGGGTGTATTTATGTTAAAGATTTGAGTCTTCAAAGGTTTTTTTATATAAAAAACTAAATTTGCCTGGTTTGAATTTTATAAAAGAGCGTTGCAACTTAAGGACCATGGGAAAATGTGTGTCCCACAGTGAGACCAGTTGAGAACCACTGGTATAGTCAACCTGTTTTGATATTATTTAGGCTAAGAGCTAACCTTTACAGAGATGTGGCCAATTTGACTGACATACTGAAGAATTAGCTCTTCGCCAGGCCTCAAGCATTTTCATGATGGTGACCGTCATCATTAGGCTGCATAACCAAAACAGAAACCACAGGGTGACATCACTGAGACTACGTCCATGTTTTCTGTAGTCTTTGCTCACAGCCTGCAGCTCCTCATTTTATGGAGAATTTAATTTGTTGTTATTTCAAAAGTGGAGTGTTTCTGGTAGCATGCACACATCCAGGTTTGTTTTTCCTTCTTGAGGCTTTGGCTTGAGGCCAAAGCAAACCAGTGCAGCTTCGTCCTGCGTCTCAGGCCACTCCCGACCCGGACCCCCCCACACACACACACACACCGACAAATTATACCCAAAACTACATAAGCAGCCTTAATAGCTGCTCGCTTTTAGAGCATGACTTACACGTTACGCAATTATGTGCAAACATATACAGGGCTGCATCCAAACATTTATACACAGAGACTCCAGTGTGTCCACTGTGTCCCGCTGCACTGCTAATTAATCAAAAAAAAAAAAAAAATCTCAGCTACTGACCAACCAGCCCCACTTCCAGAGACAGTGTGCATGTGTGTGTGTGTGTGTGTGTGTTTGTGTGTGTTGTATGTGTGTGTAAGCGCAGACGATAGCTTCATTCTGAACAAAGCCCAGTAGCTGGTAGGGGCGGGGGTGCTTGCAATTCCTCCAGTGTGCTTCCCTAAGATAAGAGAGTTCAGTTCTCAAGGCTCCAGTCGAGGCCTGGGGCTTGAGTTTGGAGCCGGGCCCACATAGCATAAACCCCCAGGGAGCCTGAATCATTCTCATGGGCCCTGAGGAGCTGGAGGAGACTCCGGGAGCCCAGTTCAAAGACCAGCAGCACCTTTGGCCTACATACTTTGCTGTGATTACCATTCATTTGGACTGAGACACACTTTTTTTCCTCACTGTGTTGTTCTTTGGTTGCGTAACCGTCCCTGTTTGAAAATAATAGGGCACAGAAAAAAAGCGTCTGATAGGGACAGCTGCTGCTCTGATAATCATTTCCTCTTCTTTTTTTTTGTTGTTGTTGTTTTCTTGACATTTATTTCTGCTGCACTGGACAGAATGATGTGACAGGACGTTCGGGTCACATAAGACTTTCTCAGTCAAACACTCTTTGCCTTCAGTCTGTCCTGCCTTTGTCATTGCAGCTTTTCTGGTGCCTGCTCTTGTCAACATTTACAAACAGAAAACTTGAAGAGACAGACTGTAGGGTGTGCGACGTGACAAAATAGTTTGAGGAAACCCGGTTAACGTCATCTGCTCTCTGATCTGAGCTTTGATTATAAAAAAAGTATGACCTTCATCCCAATATTTCATGATTTTTAGGGCTTCTCAGTCGACAATACTTTAAACATAAATTTGGGAAATGTTGTGCCTATTACTACTGCTTATCTAATATTAGAATGATTGACAAACTTAGAGATGGGCTTACCACCTCTGCTGCTATTGACTGTACCCATAGACTGTATATACTATGGACAACTTGGTTCCGCCTCCCGCCTGTATACGGATTTGAAGCCAAAAAGCTCTCAGTATTTCTGTGATTTTTCTTCATTACCTGAAACCAGCACTGCGCAGTAGAGTTGTGCGCCTTCAGCGGGAGAGTCGCTGTGATGACGCTCGGCTCAAACAGCGTATCCCCCGGGTGAGCTACACAATCCCTGAACGCCAATGGGCTGTATCAGGTGTCAATCAAAGAAAACATGAACCCCCTAATAACTTTTAAAAATGGAGCTTCACAGAAAAAAGAGGACTTGAGCACAAACCAGTCTTACAATAACTACGTGTCAACATCGCAACCAGGGGGGAGAAAAATGTATATTCTGTGTAATCAATTTTGAAAGTTTGTCCACAGCTCCATAAGCTTTGCTGGCGAAGGCGGGATTTATGACCTATACTGCAGCCCATCAACAGAGGGTGCTGTTCTCGGAGTGGCTTCACCCAGCAAGGAGGCAGACGCTGTCCATTCTATATACAGTCTATGACTGTACCCCATAACTGTTATTTTATCCAACTCTCATTCTTTAATTAAAGTTTTGCCATATTGTTCGTAATTAAGAATGCTAATTCAATGAATCAATTTTGCCACAGTGTCAACAGGCTGGGATAACATTTGCATTTATGTGAATTGATTCATTATGTTACATCTGAACAGGTTGTATCTGGCGTCATTTTGCACAGTTGCTACAGGTCTCAACCAATCAGAATCAAGTATTCAACAAGTCAGGGTCAGTACTGAAGTCAGGCAGTACTGAAAAAAAACTTGAACTCATTTAAACAATAAATGCAAAATTGCTCAGATATAGAGCCATCAGATAATTTGTCCTATTTAGAAATCACACTAACATGTTTTACTCAAATCCAGACACAGTTGAAGAATCGAAAAGGCGTACATCTTCAAATAGTTTACTTTTAATTCAGGGCAGGGAACTTTTAAAATCTAGGTTATGTAAAGCAGAAAAAAAAGGCCAAACCACGTTAAGTACCTTCTTATCTGTACATCTCTGTTCTTCAGGTCTCCAGGTTCTCAAGGTCCCCGGTGAGCTTTAGTTACATAACTAAGCTGTGCAGCCGCTTGCATGTGCGCATTTTGGTGCATGTACTGGCTATTCGTGTGTGCTGAAGTGTGTTTTGTGAGTGTGTGTGTGTGTGTGTGCGTGTGTGTGTGCGTGTGTGCAGGCCAGCATGTTTGGCGCCAAGGCGGTCGGCTGTTATGGCTAGCAAGGGTGATGCCAGCAGCAGCTGAACGGTGGGCAGAGCTCGTCGCTTCCTCTCCAATCTGAGCTTCCATCACGGAGCAATCAGACGGGTTTGATAACGCTCAATCTGCTGCTGCATCTCACGGATCTCCCTGTCCTCTCTGCCGCTCTCACCCACTGCTTCCCTACCCTCATTAGCCATCACTCCTTCTCTTTCTCTTCCTTCTCATGAGCTATCCTCCCCCATCCCATAAAGCTTCATCTATTCACCTGTTCCCTTCTTTCTCTCACTGTATAAATATGTATCCACCTACATCCCTTCAGCATCTGCCCTTCTTGAGCCTTGGATGCATTTGATGACTGCTTTTAAACGAGTAATTTTGGTCAGTTAAAACAAAAGAGTCACAATATCTATAAAGTTTGATATGACATTTTCATTTCTTTTAAAGCAGAAACAGTTTCGTTGGCTGTTGTGTAACGGTAGCAAAGAAATTTTTGAAAAAATATAAAATTTAGCAACATAAAACTTAAATTGTTTGGAAAACAAGATGGCAAGAGGGGAAATTAAAAAAAAAAAGTTGTGAGAAAGTTGTGGAAAAACTCATTTTATAATTCATTAAAAACACTGTTTTATATCATATACTCCCATAGTATTCACATTGACCAGAACAAAAACTGAATTTTCGATGATTTATAGAATATAGATAGAATAGAATAAAATTCCACAATTTTTAATGTAGGAACTTAAGAGAAAAAATTTACAGTAAAATACTGTAATATCAAAACCATGTAATTACCTCAAGAATGATGTTGTAGTTCTTGGTAATTTAATGACTAAAAAAATGTTTTGTACAGTGAAATTCATAGCTGACACGCTGATACACCATTTTGGCAACAAACAGTTGACGCTCCTCTATTGTCGCTGTACCTTTACAGTAAATTCCTGGAAACCAAAGCTGCTGGTACCATAAATCATTCCATTTCTCTTTTTTTAGCAGTAAAACACACTGATACTTTGAATGAAGTGAAATGTTTTATCTGATTTTTAATCCAAATGTCTATTAAATCAAAAAAGGAAAGACAAACCAAAAAAAAAAGAGAGATATACTGCCGATCTGAATTTATAGAGGTGTGGGGGAATATGTTCCATAAAGTGATGCCGTACTTTGTAAGGTTATATTGTTTAATACATCATGCTGTACTTTATACAGACAATATTTGACATTTGCGCTTAACGATATTTTGTATAAGTTAAGACGGCGTTAAATGTCAAGGAATAAGGTAGTTTTTTTCTTCTATAGGTAATTTACAAACCCTGCCACTTGTTAGTAGCCGTAAAATTACACACAGATCAAAGTCCTCACTGCATGTTTGTGTCATTATGTCTAATATATCACTATTGATACGATATGATGACTGAAACATGACAAAGTACGAAGAACTGCAGTGTATCAGATTGTGTTTAAATTTTTTTTAAAGTTTAAGTGTCTTCAATTTTGGACCCTTTCCTATCTATGTTTTGTATTGTCACATGACCTAAGTAAAGTAGATCCTCAAATTTAACAATGGCATAAATTGCTGGGGGATTTTTTTTTATTCTTGTTGAATTTATTTATATCCTTGCCTCACTTAACCTGAGGCTATTTTTACTTTACAAACGCACAGCACTTCAAGCTGTATAAAGAGTGCCACAAGAATAATCCGGTTAAATAAAAGAGGTTGATTTATTCCGTTTCTGATTGATTGCATAGATTCAGGAAGTAGCTGCCACTGTTGTTTAAGGAAGCGTTGCTGCTTGTATGCATGACTTCTTCCCTGTCTAACAATGCAAAGCACTTTATAAAAATACCGTAAGTAGGCCATCAGGAGTTGTATAAGCAGTGATTGATGGACGAATAAAATGCCAAGTGCTGGTGTAAAGATAAACAGATAAGCTTGAGTTAATCAGAATGCTTTCCTGTTTCACTGGCAGCTTGTCATCACAATGGCCTCTTAGACGGTTGATAATTCTTTAACACACAAAACTTCATTTTACAGACTCTCGACAGAACAGGTTTTAAGGCTAAGAAGTGTAAATCACAGAAAGCGCGTACAATTTTAGGTATTCATTCATAAACCAGACGAGACTACCTAGAATAGGCACAGTGGTGATGTATGAATAATATGATTAAACTCCATTGCTGGATAAAAAGAAATATGGGTTTGGGGACCACAATAGTCGGAAGATTAAAAGTATTAAGGAATAATCATCTTGCTTCACTATCTTTTCATTTCATAAACAGTTTTGGACCTCTGTTAAGTAGAAATAAGCTGTTTATTTTTGGACTAAAAGCTGTGTTGACCACTATGACGCTCAAAAAAGTTGTTTAATTTAGCTGTTCTCTGATCTCACTTTGAGACACCACTGCAATGGAGGAATGTCAGAACAATAGGTCTGCCTCTTTGTTGAGCTTCCTCAGCGTCTTATTTTGGAGGAAACTAACGGAAGGAACAGAAACGCAAAAAGACAGAAAAAGTGTGACAAATACTTTCCTCTGTCGATGAACAATCGGTCACACATAGCAACAGAAAAACAAAGACTTGCACACCGATCAATCTGGCGTGACCAAAGCAGCCATTGCATGTGTTTCCATACCTGTGGCGAGGAGCTTGCGTGTGCGCAGGAAGCTGATAGTCAGCCTCATGATGGAGGCTTTGTCTAGGTGAGCGCTGACATTGTGGGGTAAAGGTAGCTGGTGAGCGAGGTCGTAGAAAACCTCTGTCTCTTTGCTGCGCCTGCAGCGAGCCGCATCCCGAGACTTCTCCTTACGCCGCTCTGAGCTGCTCCTGGACAGAAAGAGACAGACATGAGGACAGTTAAGACTTCGGTTCATTTGTGACGTTGTACACTGTGGGTTTGTTAATTCATCGCACTTTTAAGTTTCTGTATCTCAGTGGAAATCAGTTTTAGCTGGAGACGAATAATTATTGCATCCTCCTGATTCATACCACCATCAATAAATCCTGTATGAAAGCCCTTGTGTTTTGGGTCCTCTGACTGTGGTTGAACTGCAGCATCGATAATCTTTCATAAATTGTAACCCAATGAGACAAGCATCAAATATGACTCTTCACAGTTTCACAGTCAGTTTTTCTGAGTTCACTTAGAAGTTAAAACACAATAAGTTTCTCAGAGTAAAAACAGGGAGGGGGTCTGTTCTCTCCAAGTCATGCTGTGACTGTCAGCAAGACTCAAGCCGCACTTCAGCATGACATTTCAACCAGTTTAGGACTAAATAGCTGGAAATACCACATTAGAGAAAGTTCTAAAAGCCAGCAGGAGCCTGTTGTGCAATGTGGAAAAAAATCCAATTTATCGTTATCATCCTGTGTGGGAAAAATAAAACCATGTGACATCATTGTAACAAATCAAGTTTGTAAAAGGATGAGTAACTTTGTTTTTGAATCCTTATGCAACAGATTCTCACACACAAAATAAGAATATATTCTCATTTCTGATATGTCCATTTTAATTCTCTGACACAACATAGATTATTTATACTATTTGAAAGCTTTTGAGAAAGTGTGTCAGACTTCCAACTAAATCCTCAAGTACACCACAACATTAGTGAGCTAACAGTCCTGAGCTTACTAATGATGATATTTTAGGATATAAAATACCTCTGATCTCTGACTTCTGGCACCTCTGTGTCCACTTCTCTGCACGGTGTACTTTTGGATTGGGATTAAACAGGGCGGGCATTTGATTTAACTTCTGTTTGAAGCTGAGCCATCCTCACACTCAAAGTGAGGCTAAAAACACAATTTGTCTGCAGAGGCATGTGATTACTCTCTTCTCTTCAAGACTCTTGTTTTTTTTAAAGGGGGCAGCTTGTGGATCAAATAAAGGTAATTCTACTAGATAAGGTTTAAGCAGACGGCTTAGAAGTCCAGTCACTGCTCAACAAACCATCCTAGGACATAATACATGACGTGTAATTCTAATTGAGGTTCATATTATGTTCATAGAAACACTAACCAACTGTTAGTTTGGTGTTGCACTATGTGCTAAAGAAAAAAAGGGAGGAGATGACACCAGTGATGAAAAGGCAGGAGAAGTTAAAACAGTGGAGGCTGGTGTGTTTTCTCTGGTAGTAGACAGAGTTCAAAATAAACAGATTTCAAAGAGGTGTAACAAAGTGCAACATCAGTGTATCAAATGAAATGAAAGTAAAGGCGTTTATCTGTTTTTGCTCTGTGAAATGAACTTTAAATGTTATATTGCATTTTCAAGGAAGTGCTTTAAATCAGTCAAAACTGTCTGATCCAGGCAAGCTCTGATCCTGATGCTTGAGGAAAGATACCTATCAAAATAAATGCCATCTAATTTTATTTTATTTATGTTTGATTTTGAGCAGGTCCAAGCTCTTTCACTCTCACTTTTACCTGCAAAGATCAGCTCTCAGCAGCTTTATTTTATTTTTTTATCAGCAGCAGAAAGAAAGCAGCAGATTCAATCATTCCCTGCTGCACAATGGGCACTCATGCAATTGCTCTTCATGTCATAGTTCAAGGGACTAGCCTTTTTTTGCTGCAGCCTGCTAGCTGGTGGTGGTGTAATGCATTTTGATGGAATTTATTGCCCCCCCAGTAAGTCTGCATATCTTGTTTTGCAGAGGAGAAACTGCAGGTGTGTAACTTACAACAAGACTCAGTAGTGGCATGAAGGCTCAAGTGAAATGTACCTGAAATTCACAACTGATCAGAAACTTAAGGAAACTTTCGTCTTTCTCTTCTATTGCAGCTTATTTCTTGTACTCACTGGCTACAAACATTAACGTTAAGCTTTCACCTAAAAACAAAATAAAAAAAAAACATAAAAAACATTTTTCAAAATCTAGTTCAGTGGGGCACCATTGGTCTGACAAGAGTCAACAGTCTTGGTCACATTGGGCAAAGAATCGATTCCCAATCTAGCATGACTTGATGCATGTTTCTTCCTTTCTCCCCCCATAGTTACTTTCCCTTTGAAGCTGTCTTATGAATACAAGCACAAGCATAAAGACTCCAAATTTCTAGAAAACTGAAGATGAAGGAGCTTGAAGTTAACACAGTTACAGAAACTGCAGTGCTCAAGAGCTGATTAATGTAAAAGAAAACACCACCGACTCTGACAATAGCATGTTAAAAACTTGATCAGGTGTGCACTGATTCATGCCACCCAGCTCACAAGTTAAACCCATCTAGCTAAGATGTTTTTAAAGTTAATGTTATTATTTTCCAAAGGAGAAGTATCATCAATCTTATTTCAACAGCATAGTTCATTTTGGCCAAAACAATCATACAAAGGAACACGGATTGCTGGTCTACAGAGGAAAACATTTGACGTGTGAATGTCAAACTGATTCTGCCTCCGGAGGTGAAAAAGTTCAAAAGCAGCAACAAAAAAAAAAAAAAAAAAAGAACAGAAGAAAATAAAAGTGCAGTCTAACCCATAACCTTATTAAAATATTAATATTGTTGTTGTTGTTTTTTTTTTGTTTGTTTTTTAATGAGGGGAAATAGGGAAATGTGTTGAAGTCAGAGGAAAACCTGGAATGTGGTTTTACACCCAGTAAAATGAAGCTCTTATCAGCCGCAGGATAGAGACATTTTTAGCATTTCTGCTGTTGCTACATTTATATCCAAGGACCTCCCATGCAACAAAGAGGCCATTTTTCTGTCAGCACAACATAAAAATGAGGAAGTGTTAACAGAGTGCCAGGTACCTAAAAGCGTCACTGCAGGCCTCATAAAAACTACACAAGTCCCATAAGGAGGATTTGAGAGTTTTTGTTCTACGTTTAAACGGCGACTGTTATTTCCAGCCTCTGATTCAGCATGTTGTGTTTAGACATGAGCTGAGCATGAAATCAGATTAAGGTTAAAGACGTCTGCCCCAACAATAGAGCTTTTAAACGTCTGATCAGTCTGCAGGCTCTGTGACCATGATAACTTCAAAAAACCACAACGGCTGAGGTGAGGCTCTGCTGAACTCTAGACACTCTCCTCCTACTCCTCCTGTGGTGACACTGTGATGTTCCCCACAGGGGCTCGTGTCTTTACAGTACACAGTTGAAAATATAATAGAAACACTAAAAGTAAAAGGGAAGCAGAACTGTAAAGGCTCAATGGCTGAAACTTAAACATTAACATAACAATTCAAATTCCAAAACAAGAATAAATAAATTGATAAACTCCTGTGAGGAACTTTTGATTTGTGCTGATTTGGCGCCCCCTGTGGTCAAAGCAGCCTTTGTTTCTCGTTGTTTACACGCTTGAGCAGGGACAAAAAAATCTGATCCAGCTAAATTTATACAGTCAACTGTTTCATTTTTGGTTAATATCTAAATGTGGAATCTTAAAAAAAAAGTATAAATAAATAAATAAAAAGTGTCTGTTTCTCCAGCAGCTTCACTGACACCTGCCTCCTCACAAAAAATTCTGTATAAAGATTAACCATCTTGTTATCGATTGTCTTGTTTGCTTTTTATATAACAGTAAAGGTCTCAATATTAATTGCAGCCTATTTTGTAAATGTTAAAAAAAGCTCCTCATATGAGCATAACCTTTTTATTCCCATTTTGTAACTTGTCTTTTTAACATTTGCTTCCTTTTTTTTAGAATTATTGTACCTGTAAGTTGCTGGTGACAAAAATACTTTACTGCCAGACACTAAACTGAATCTGTTGTTGTAAAAATAAGGACTATTGCAGTTCAGACTTTGACTGGACATACCGTCTCACAAGGATTAAAGTACAGCTAGAATAGCTCCTTTGGGCAGCTGCCAGCCAAAACGTTAAATGAGGCAATCCCAAAACTTTCTGTTTCATTTGGACCCCAAAATGTGCAAATTGTGGACCACAAAGTGTAGATTTATCTCTGCACATGCATTCTGTTGCCTGAACATAATGCATGTGCAGAGATAATATCACAGGAGATTGTATGAATACAAATTATTTGAGGCAAAACCAGAATTCAGATATCTTTGAAATACTAAGCTTTCATCATCATTAAAAAAACAATCAATGGTGTAAAGAACCAATGCAAACAAGCTGAACACGAATAATCAGATTATTATGCAGATTGAATGTTCCAGCAACAACAGGGATTACGTTAAGGTTAAAGAGAGGCCCAAAGAGGGAAGGGAGACTAATAGAGCTAGAGTTACAATGTTTGCAGTCAGAGGAGCAGATTTTTCTGGTCCATTAGAATTCATACCCGCATTTAATCAACCCAGTTTAATGATATACTTCACCACTGCCAGCTGTGAAAGTCTCTTGTTTCCTCTCACAGCCCTCTGTCTAATAGTTAAACTTGAGTGTTTCTGCTGCTGAGGAGAATCTACTGAGCTGTGATTTCCACCTGAAGTACAGAGAGTACAGCAGCAGTGTAGAAAATGTTGAAGCTCAGCCATGTAAGATAATAGGTTTGTGCTTTAGTGGAAATATCAGGAGAAATCCAAAGTTGGACTACGTCTCAAACACAGACTAATTTTCACATTTGCACTTCTGCAAATCCAACCTAAGTGTTAAACATGAGGATTAAAAGGTGCTGAAGTCTATACAGTAAGTACAGTACACAGTATTGTTCCGTGAATCACAGCTGCAGCCTTTGAAAGGTGTTCTGGTGGAAATGTTTACAGTACGTGTGTTGTGTTTTGCACGAACATAATTTTCCAAACAAAGAGGCATTTTTCTCTCACTCCTGTAAGGAGTTTTCCACTGGTTGTGAAAGAGGCTGAGATGAATAGTGAAGTTTCTTAATAAGCAAGAAAAACCAAAGGAGACCCTCAGCATAAAGCCTGATTATTTTCTATACGTTTCTTTATTAAAAACTTCTGCAGTGGGTTAGCTGTCAGATGTATAACGCATAGCTGACAAATTTGGTGAGTGAAAGATTTGACTTTTTAAATAGGATGAGATTATATTTTGAAAAACTACTTAAACACATGGATTGATCAAGGGTGTGCTCCAAGTTAAAGTACCCCATTAGAGCTCGAATTAATGAGCAATTGTACTGCTTCAAGTGATCAAACATTTACAATAAGAGAAGAACTGTGGAAAAAAATGTAGGTAGAAATGAGTTTAAGTGATTATTACAGTTTAAATACGCTGACTTTCTGCATGTAGGTAAAAGCTTTTTTTTTGTTTGTTTTAACTTAAAACAGCAAAACCATGTTCAAAACCCCTCACACTCTACATTTCCTTTGTGGCTCATAAGTTTATTTTGCAGCAGACAATGACCCTAAGCACTCTGCCAAGCTCGACAAAAAAGAAGAGGAGGGTGTTCTTCAAAAGATGGTTTGGCCCCCTCAATCTCCAGACCTTTCTCCAATTGAGCTTGTGCGGGATGAATTGGATCGATTGGTCAGAAAAACACGTCCCACGATCAGCAATCTCTTTTTAATGAACTTAAGAAAGCTTGGAATGCAATCCCTGGAACAAACCTTAGAAAACTTGTGGAACGAATGCCTGGTATATGCCAAGCTGTTGTTAAAGCCAGAAGAGGTTACTTTGAAGAAAGCAAAGTCTAAGCAACAATAACTCAAATACCTAATAATTATAGTCAAAGTGTCTTCTGACAAGTTACAAGTGACAATGTTTATTGGGTTGCAAATTATAAATATGAAACTCTATTTTTTTTTTGTACAAATCTGATCTTGCTTCCAAACCTTTGGCCTGTAGTGTAGATTCCCGTTCTATGGGGAAAAATGCGCTGGGCTAGGCTAATGTTAACAATGTTAGCAAATAATCTGTACTGTAATATTGATATTAGACTGTTATTTTCAAGACACTCAGTATAGAGTGACAATGGGTATACCAATGATTGAACCAGGATGCCAGTTTGAAAACTGGTATATGCCACTCTTCCAAAAGTGACATGCCAGATACCACTTTTCCTTCTGGGCACTACAGGGGTTATTTTACACTTTTTACTCTGCATTTTTGACTACAACTACCCTATAACTGCTGAGAGAAGGTCTCTGTCATGACATCCGATTCAGGATAAATCTTGAATTTTATACTCAAACATTAAAATATAACAGTAACCATCATGTCAATAATTTTCCTTTCAATGTCCTAGGTTGCTTTCTAGTTCGAAGCTGCAGAAACACACAGAGTCAAAGGGAAATTCAACATTTAGGTGAGGATAAAACGCACTAGACAGGAAGGGCAGAGTACATAAGCACCATTATGTTCTGTCATCAGTCTGTGTTCCATCAGTGGGCTGTTTGTCTAAAACTCATTAACCCGACCCACAACAACCCAAACCCAAACCCTCATTATTACTGATGAGCTGCAGACAGAGAGCAGACAGACACAAACTGTATCCACCACCTCAAGTCAACTGGAACTGCTAACTTCAGCTAGCTCCTGGATGTCTGCGTTTCTCTGTGTGTGTGTGCGTATGTATGCGTGCGTGTGTGTGTGCATAGTGCCACTCTTTGATAGTCTGGAGCCATTGTTGCTGCAGGTCCCCACAGACTATTTCAGGATACGAGACAATGGGAGTCACAGTGCTTCATCGGGGGCACCCAGCCTTCTGAAGTCCTCACGCACACAGCACAGGTTAGAGGGCAGGAAGTGTATACACTCAAACACCTTAGACTATGAGCGGGGTTTAACATACTGCTCTGCGGATGGAAAATTACCATACTGTATTTATTTTTCTACACACTTTCTCTCTACCTCTCTTATCTTCTTTATCAACAAATAAAAACACTGAATCGTAACGTACATTGATAAAGGAGATATTGCTGAAGTAAAACACATTTTTGCAGTTTTATGAGTTTTTAAGTGCAAAAGTGCAAGCAAATACAATCAGTATGTATTAATATAAGAATAATTTTTAAAAAGAGAGAGAAAGAAACAGCCATGATCACTTTCCATTAGCCTAAGATATAGCTTTAGCAGTTTTCGCTCCTACATATTAATATCTGACACAGAAAGGCACAAAATCCACTGAATGAGAAACAGACCCCACAAAACTTAAGGACTGATTTTTCCTGCTTGTCTCCCTGCTCATGAACCTTACTTCTGTTGTGTCCACATATCTGAAGATGTATTAATGACACCTCTAGTGTGTGATGCTTGGAAGTGCATATATTTAAGGGCTGCTGGGCATTGCTTGTCGCTTTGGAGCAGAGACAGATTTTGTTTTATAACAAAAAAACTTTTTTTTTTTCAATTTTTCAAAATTTCAGCTCAAACTAATGAAGACAATCTGAATGTATAATCTATCATCATATTGTAGCTGAAGAACAATATTTAGAGTTACAAAGGGTAAATAAACAGTTTCACAGCCACAGTGAATATCACAGATTCCCATAGGAGTAAAGCCCCATTTAACCATCTTCCTTGTACATTCATTGGTAGACATTCGAGGCATTAGTGGGCCCTACTTCACCTGCAGTTGGGTGAAAGTTGTGGAAATCATACAAAATAAAGGACAGAACGTTTTCATTTACAAGTTTCCATTTGTTAATGTATGTTTCTCAGAATACATTCGAACTGCAGGGAGAAAAAACACCCTAATATCTGTGAGAGTGAACCTGTGATTTGTTTTCCACTTGCACAGTCTTAAACTCTTTATCATAGCAGCATTTATTTCACTTTCATTATCATTTAGCTACATCCATGAGCAGAAGGTCATTCAGCTTGCTTGTATGTGGCACCAAAACTTAAACCCAGTTTGTTGTTCCTAAAATCTGAAACTCACTCTTTAGACATGTGGACGCCTTCACAATCAGCCTTCCACTCACAGAACCTGTTTACACAGGCCTTTGTTGAGCTTTCCCACTCCTACATTGTGTCTCTTATTGTGACACTTTGTGGTGTTTTACAGAAAGGTGCTCCCGACATAAACTTTCCAGCAGTTACCTTTGTTAGTTACCATTCAGAGCAAAAGCATATTTGAAGAGACACAACAGTGTGGCTGCCGGGGTTACTGGGTTCATGCACTCACACCGAGAGGGAACTAGAGCAACTATCTGAGTTACGCCAAATACCATTCCAGCGAAAAACTCAGCTCATCACAACAAGAGTCAGGCGCTCACTCAACACCCCCCCCCAAAAAAAGTTTTGAGAGGTTTGAGCAAAAGCTTTATTACATTACTTTTTAGATCTGTGATAAAGACTTAAAGACGAAGAGCAGAGATTCAATTTGATTCAACTCATGTACATCACAGGCGCAATACTTGGATCTGAAATACTTCATCTTTGTTTGTTGAGTGTTTAGGCTGTAACAGCGCAGGAAAGAGGGCAGATATAGATTTTTTTTTTTTCAAATGAGATAGTCTCTACAGTTCAGTAAAAAAAAGCATTATGCATTTAGGCACGTGAGAATAATTAAATAAATAAATACGAAGATAAAAGTAATACTTTGAGATAAGGTGGGATGAAAGTGAACTTATTTTCAAAAGAAATGAGGGGTGTGATTTTTGAAAATTACTTTTTATTGAAAATTGTTTCATTTTTTAAATGACATGCGAGTATTAGCAGAGGAGGCTCTGATGGTGATCGGGTCCATAACACCAAAAGTTGATAAAGAAATGAAAAGACATATAGCAGCTCGCCTGTTTAAGACTGAGATATGTTGAAAAAGAGACCTCTGTTAAGTTTTCAGCTTATGTGTGAACTCAAACTTCCAAATAACAATATTGTTTCATATTATTTAGAAAAGAAAAAAAAATCATACATCTTGACTACAACCATTTCTCCTTCTTTATGTTTTGTGTTATCCACTGTCTGCAAAGGCCACCAGAGTCCAAACTTCATATTCAAAATGTATTTATAATCAGTGGAGAGAATACTTTATGTACCTGTCTAAACTAAAATGTCTGAACAGTCTTTTGTAAAATGTACAACAAATGCACTTTTGTGTCTTACACAAACACACACTTGCTTAGTGACATGACATTTCAGCTGCAGCCAATTAGAAATGCGTGACCAACACACACCTCGCCTGTCACAGCTGTGTCTTGTGATGAGTAAGAATAGTCTTACTTGGGGGGTAACACACACACACACGCACACACACACACACACACACTCACAGAGAGAGAGTGCATGGTAACCTTTCTTGCGGCTCTCCCTGGACTCATCACCTGCTCACAGTGACAGTGGCAACTTTCTGCCACAAGCACATTCATTAAACCTTAAACCAATGCTCCCATTCAACTTGCTTCTGATGCTGCTGATCCACCCCCTGTTAATACCAACTGACGAATTAACATCCATCTTACAAGCTAGTTAGCTAACGACTGGACGTGCTTACTGGTTTGAGGAGATCATAGGTTAAATCCATGCAATCCACAGCTTGCCACAGTTTATCATCCAGCAGTTTGGAGAGAGGGTTAAATTTCCCTATTACATATTTTCTCCATTGATTCATCTGTCCAGTCGAAGACAGACACACAGACTGACAAAGAGAGTTATACCTCTAGTTGAAAAGATTTTCTCTTTTGGGAAAACATTCAAGTCGTAAGTCACGTCAGCGATTCTTCTACCTCAATGAAACAACATAGTCTACAATTATTTCCTGCGTACTCAAAGTGATGTGACCCAATATAAGAGTAGGCTATTTATCGACCTGAAACTGACTGAAACCTTTATGGAAGTAAAAAAATGTGAAAGCTAGCGCTGCAGAAATGAAGTCAGCATCACCGGAGTCACACCTCAGACTTGCCTGAGCTGATGTGAAAGCAGAGATAAGATTCTTTGTTCTGCTCTGATTCACTGACACATCTTGACGCTGCTTTTAGACCTGAGAGAATAGAAACTCGAGGCAGACCGATGCGGGTTAAAGCTATTTTCATCCTCCTGCACTCACGCAATTATTGCATATAAAGCCCTTAAAAGACCTGTGAGGTTCACCTAATGCCACGAGTGCCCGTGGAGTGTTTCTGCTCATAACCTATTTCATTAGTGTCTTTTATTTAGAATTTGATTTAAAATTTGACAACTTTGGTTACTTTTTAAATGCATAAAAAAGCACGATCAGCTAAATATTTATTTACATATACATATTTATATAAACAGTAAAACTATTGCAGGGTTTCCGCTACATGTGAATAGTATTGAAGCAACCGCCACGCCAAGATAAAAGTTGCCATGCCTTCAGAGTTACAATCTTTTTATTTCCAGATGTTCAAATGTAAATTGTATTGTATAAATGGATCCATATAAACATAAATTCTACATCTGAGCTCATTTATGGACCATAATAAGAGTGTGGAATTGTACTCATGAAATGTGACACTGCTCTGCAAATAACTTAATTCTGAAAAAACAACACTGGAGTCTCAATGTCTTGCCTGACTCTACTAAGAAGGATAAGTTTAACTAATATTTAGCTGAAGCCTGTCAAAATGACCCTTATGTTAATGTCAAGGTTAATAATGCAATGTTAGTGACAGTAACATTTAATGTGAACGATAAAAAGTTTCACCTTAATGTGTTTTTCAACACTAAAAGATGTGGTTTGGTTTTTCTCAATTTCTCAAAATCCCCTCGTAAACGTCTGAGCAAGAGGCATGTGTGTCTTCAGTCCAAGTAAATCTTTACTGCACATGAACAGATTACGTAAGAAGAACAACATAGTGCGTGAGCATGACCTGTGACCCTCACTGGTCTCCTTGGTTACTACCATAGACTGTATATACTACGGACAACTTGGTTCTGCCTTCCATCATTATAAGAATTTGAAGCCGAATTGCTCTTGGTATTTCCAGGATTTTCTCCACTTCCTGGAACCACCACTTGTGCAGTAGCATTGTACGCATTCGGTGGCAGAGCCACTGAGAGCGGTGATGACACTTTGCTCAAACAGTTTATCCCCCAGGCGAGCAACGCAATCTTAATACGCCCATAGGCTGTATCAAGTGTGAATCGTAGAAAACATGAACCTCCTAATAACCTTTAAAAATGGATCTGCACAGAAAAAGGAAGACTTGAGCACAAACCAGTCTTACAATAACATCATCGCAAGCAGAGGGGGAAAAAAATTTATATTCTGTGTAATAAATTTGGAAAGTTTGTCCACAGCTCCATAGGGATTGCTGGGGGAGGCGGGATTTATGACCTATACTGCAGCCTGTCACCAGAGGGTGCTATTCTCACGGAGGCTTCACCCAGCGAGGAGGCAGTTAATGTCCATTCTTTATCAGTCTATGGTTTCCGCCAACATCATTACTGTATTATCCGTAGTAGACGCTCAAGCGCTTTTCTACATCATATGACACTCCTCATTTTTATTTATCTACAAGAAAAATGAAGTGCTCTCAGCTTGGTTGTAAACTGAGCCATTAGATTAGGCTAAATTATGTTTCTGTTAAATAAATAATTTATTTATAAATGTTTTAAAGTTGCGATACATAATTTTTTTTAGTATAATGTCAGAGCCTTTCCCCACAGTTTTCAAAAATCCTGGAGGAAACCCTTACATGGCTTCCTACAAAGAAAGTGTCTTGTGTCCAAAACATAAATGAGCTCTATTCATTTCTGATGTCACTCATATATCAGTCTCTGTTATAGTATTAGCCTGGCTTTTGGTTGTGTCCCATAGTGGATGCAGTGTATATGCTTAAGATAATTTTGCATGAATGTGATACACAACTCCTCACCATTTAGTTCTGTGAAGACCACCAGACTCGTACTTTCCTCCAACTACACATGCAATGCAACGATAAGATACTCATGACATCCTAACCTTTTACTGTAGCTCTGTCCCAACTCTGCATCTTTCAAAAGACACCGAGAAGGACTGATTTTACAGGGACATGTCAAAGACTGTCTCAGTCTGAAGGCTCCTACCTGGGTCAACAAGGATATGTTTGGTGTTTCCTTCACAATCCCAAGTATTCACAGATTATTCACACGTCATGTCAAACAAAATACTGGACACTCAAGAAAAACATTTTGAACAGTTGAATAACAGTTGAATAACTATCTTTGATTTGATTTAAGTACTGATATGAGTGCCCTGTTCCTTGAAATTCCTTAAAATGATGGAGGTGGTTAAGTAACATGATGCTTGCTATGTGTGACGCAAATAAGGGCAAGAACACCTGTTTACATGTACAGGAAATCCTCAGTAGACCAGAAGGTCTCCATTCACTCCTGCCTGAGTGGTCAATGCAGGTTATGAAGGGCTGGGCCCTTTGGAGGACCCTCTCCCTGAGGTGGTGAACAGCTTGTGATTCCTGATGTACTCACATGCATCTACTATTCACAAAGTAAGTGCACGTATATCACGTGCACATTATCTCCTAAACATGGCGATAAACCAATAAACAGGGGTTTACATACACAGCCAGTTACAGAAACATGAATTCAAAGATCAGGAAATAAACTGAAATGACTGTACCTCGACTGTTGACTCCTAAGCCCGAGTTGCACTCACTTTGAAGATAAACACTTTTTTTTTCGCTCAGTAGGTTAGTCAGGATGAGCTTTTTTTTAAAAGTTTCTTTCATTTCTTACAGTCAATCATTCACCGCATACTTGTACAATTCAGTGAAGAGTTTGAACACCTTGTCTACCACTACTGTGGAGAGACTGATAAAGACATCGATGAACCGAGACAGAGTCTGAGACAGAGACAGGTAGAGCACATACCTGACATTCTCACAGTTATGTGATAGAAATAACGCTGTCACTCTAAACCGCAGCAAGTCACAAGGCAAGTTAGCACTCATCATGAGGCATGAGGGGAAGACACACACACACACACACACACATACACACACACAAACACACACAGTATAAGGGGGTAAAGGTTACTTGTTGAACTTTAATCCATGCTGTAAACCAAAGACCCATGTACACCATCTCACAGTGTGTGCAAAGTTTTACCTTTTTGCTGTGTGTGTGCAAACTGTCATAATAACATGGTGATATTGTAGTAATGTGTTTCCTCAGGTATGAAATGTATGACGTAAACACAGCGGTACGCACATTGCTTAGAAACAAATTACCCTTAGGCGAAAAAAGTCGATCTTATCTTGTTCAAGTATTGTTTGAGATACAGCCAGATTTTTACCGTCATCACGGATTGCTTGTAACTCAAAACCTGTACTGAGAAGTTAATTTCATTACATAGATAGATAGATAGATAGATAGATAGATAGATAGATAGATAGATAGATAGATAGATCTGAGTGTAACTTTTAGGGATCAAATGTTATTTAAGGTTCAAAACAGAAACTCAAACAGGACAGGACATTTCATGAACAATAGATTATCTGTACAATATTTTCCTAAATGATTTCTAATAAATTAATTTTAAAATTTCACATTTCATCTAAGGCTGCATCTGCTCTCATTTAATTTAGTCTGTTTATAAAATATCAATTTAATCTCCGTCTACAATAACTTCAGGCAGGATGATTAAACAGGCTCAGAACAGGTGATTTTTTGCAGTTTAATCTCACTGGCACTTACTGGTTAAACCTGGATTTTACTAATCGCATTATTCAATTAGTATTGGTCATAATCTGTCATTTACAGTTTCCCACAATTAACACATCACAGCTTAAGGGGCCGCGTGGGTGGTCTTGTTGAACATGTAATATTTACAGCTCTTTCTGAAGTCTGATAACTCATTTTGAACCAATCAACATAAAGAGACCACCCAAGGATCTCTCCGGACCCACGCTCAGAAAAAAATGACTCTGATTTGACTCTTTTCTGCTCTGAAGTGATGACAGTGTGACGGAAACTGTCCTCTCTGCCATCATCACTCATTCATTTTCCTCTTCTTCTACTAACCCTGCGGCTCTTTCAATCACTTCTTCCTCTCTCCATCATTAAGGCTGTTAATGTCTCCAAAAAGAGCCTGAGGGGGAAACAGGACAACATGTGCCCGTACACTCACATGCAAACACACAAACATTAGGTCTGATGGTGTTCAGCTCTCAGGTTTGCTTTAAAATCCCATAACAATAACTAGACAAACATAATGAATAAATAAAGGACTGAGCCTCTCCGCTGCTGTCTGACATATTGTGTGTTTGTCTCCGCTGTTAATAATGAGACTGTTAATAAAGTTTTCCCCTGCAGCGCTCTCTGTCCGCGCTGCACAATGCTTCATCTGTGTGGATCTGCGGGCACACAGGAGGAGATAAGTGTTTGAGAAAGCATCAGTGCTGTCAGAAAGGATGAACTGTTTTTGCTGGAGTTAAGTTTCCAAGTGTATAGCGGACTAAAATTTAGTGTCAAGTTGTTGGTTATATTCAGAGCCAATTTACAGGACTCTTATTTGTGATTATAATTTCTCTTCCTCAGTAATGTGTTGTCTATTTTATGAACAATTTGATCTGTTCTTTGGTTCTCAAATGAAGAAAAAGTTCAACATGTTACCCTCATGTTTTATTTTGTCCTCAATTTCAAGATATTAAGCTATTCATCACAGAAAAGTTGTCAATTCAAATTGACAACTTATTGTAACTAATAAAAAATTAGCCATTAATAGGATTATTGAAAACTTTGGCTAAGTTTCTTATGAACTGGGCAGCTGGGAGCATTTTACATTTTCTTTGCTTACTGTGACTAAATTTTGAGTCATTCTGGATTACGTCAGTTTTTTAAAATAAAAGAAAAAATACACACACATACACATGCATGCAAATGCACACGCACACTCATCAACACACATGCAGAGAAAAACAGGCCCTAACATGAACTCCTGCTATCCATGTGATTGTTGTGATAACAAGCCCAGAAGTGCTTATAGGAAACAGATCCTGAAACCAGAGCAGGTGTCAGGCTGTGTGTGTGTGTGTGTGTGTGTGTGTGTGTGTGTGTGTGTGTGTGTGTGTGTGTGTGTGTGTGTGTGTACTGGTGGTGGTACTGTAAATTAGCGCCAGCTCTGCATGGATCATTTACTCTCCCGCTGAGTAACTTGAAATGTTCTAATCAGCTCCTCGTTGTTTCCATCACTGTCACCGTTGGACAGATTTACAGATTTCATTGACGTTGACTGAAGCCTGAACATCTGAACACACCCTGAGCTGCTCTTTTGAGATCAAGTCTTTGAAGATTAGCATCACTTCAGAGACGCTTCACAGAAATGTACCTCATGACTGAAGCCTTACCTATAGAACAATCTGGAGTTGCTGGGTATAGGGCATTAGGCCTGGGTGATTTGGCAAAAAACAATGATTACGATATATTTTGTTGTATCGTCCGATCTTGATTATTATCACAATTTGTTTTTAAAACTGACAGTTTTAAAGCATCTGTACTAAAAACTAAAGAAACTAGAGATAATAAACATCAACATTTTATTAACATACAAAGTAAATAAAGAATAAGATACACTTAGAAAAATATAAAAAACATTTTAACTCAACAGTTCAACAAATGTAGATAAATTCTAAATAATGCAGCGAACTAGTTTACAGTCCTGCGTATTTTTGCAGGTATGCAAGACCTAAAACAAATAAATCGCCCCCTCAGGGATAATGAAGACGCCTTTAAATGTAAACATTAGACGATGTAAACTTAGATGAGATGATTGATCGCTGCTTTGGTCTGGTGGCTGCACCGCAAGTTGTGGCAAAACTGCTAATGCTACTCATGCCATGAGCAGTGACAGGCTGTGCAGACTCCACTTGCATTTTCATTCTTTCCACATAATTACTTGGGAAGAACTTCTTCAAATGATTAAACAGATCTGTTGTGCTGACGGTTTTTGAGGGCACAGACAGCCAACATACCTTGCACATCGGCTTAATTACTTTACGTCACTTTGATGATACCCAAACCTCCGCCACACAACCGACGTTGAATAACTTCTCAACAATAACATCTTCGAAGATGACTCAAAGTCACGGCTGACATCTATTTTGCTGCCCTCAGCTCCGCGTTTAGCTCCATGTTCGGTCATTCTGTTTACTTCTCCAGTAACTTACAAAAATGAGCAGGAAAAGCTCGACTCTGATTGGCTGTTGTGACACACATCTCTGCCATGTTTGATTGAGTAAATATGCTCACAGCTGATTACAGTGATCGAACTGAAATTTATCACGATCATCGATCACGATCATATAATCGCCCAGTCCTATAGGGCATCAAGTTGAAGAAAAATGCTACGTCCTCATTTTACATACTAAAAAACACAACAGGGTTCAAATGTTTTATTAGCCCTGATAAGATTGAATTTCATTCATTGTATTATTAATAGTTTATTAATACAGAGCTCAATAAACATTAATCGATCAGCTTATTAACTGGGCTGACAAATGGCAGTTGGAAGGAATCGGCGTCACATCAGCATTAATCCTCACAAGGTTGATCATCTTTCCAAATATGACGGCAGATCAACTTTAAAACAGTCACAATCAATAACTCAAAAATCTTTAACGTCAACCCAGCAGCTCCATCAACCAGACTGCTTCTGCTCCAAGTCAGCACAAGTTAGCATCTATTGTAACAGCTCTTGGCTTCATTTTGACAGTGGATGCAGATGTCAGCGCATCGTTCATACATACAGTCAATGATCGAGACTGATACAGATAAATCTAGATGCAGACGAAAGAGGAAAAGATCTGTGCCACGGCCTTCATCCCAAGAGTTACAGGGGCTCGTCCTTGTCATAGTCCATCCATTTCTGACGGGCTTTAAGTGACACTCGTACTTACTTTCATCTATTCATTCATTCTAATATTTAACAGAGGTTCAAGGTGGATTCAAACTATTTGATCAACTAATAAATTCTTTAAGAAAAGAAGTCTAAATATAAAACTATGTGATTTACAGACAGGGACAGACAGCACTCTCTCCGCGCTTTCCAAAATGTTGGACTACTCCTTTAGTTATATAACATTCATGTTTGCATCTTTTCAGCTTGTTTTCTTTTAGAATAAAAGACGTTACTTTCCACTATAAAGGTGCTTCTTGGTCAGTAAAGGCCAAAAAGTCTGCCCACACCCTAAACACGCACATATATACACACAAACCAGAGCACACACACACACACACAATATCGCACACACACAAACACACACCTTTCCTTGCTTACAGTGGGTCTTCCTGCAGTTGTGGCGCCTGGCCGAACACAAACACAGAGCAACAATACAGTATGGGCTAATCTGTGATCCTGAGGAACAGAAAGTTCTGGAAACACAGCCAAACACACACACACACACATGCACACACATGCACACACACCGAACAAACAGCTAACCCAGACAGGGGCCCCGACTTCAGCTCAATCAGGGGAAGAACGATGCAAGAGATTGCTGATGATTCTGATAGTCCATGAAAGAGGCGCGCGCGCACTCACACACACACATATACACTGGCACAAACAAACAAACCCGCCCACTCAGTGCTGATGGAGGGGATAGACGGGCTGATTGAGAGAGGCACAGAGGGGAGAGAGCAGAGGAGGCGAGAGAGGGAGCACAGGTGGTGTGAAGGAGATCAGCTGACCACCCTGAGACCCTCTATCAGCATACCAAACAAGCTGCATGGCTTGAATTTACACTTCAAAAAACACAACCATGAAATATTAACATCACCTATGAAAAACTTTACTTTTTATAAATAAATAAATAAATAAATACTTATGTAAGCTCAATTACAGGGTTGGTCCACCGTAAAGAAAATGCTTAATAAGTAAGACATGTTACTAACTTCAGGACACTAGGTCAAAAAAATCTACTTACTGCATTGGAAGATATTTTTAGTCACAACAAGCAATTAGGTCCTTGTTTTTGACTCAAAATATCTTGAACTGAGATTAATTTCTGGACTTGTTAGTAGGGGTGTAACAATTCATCTGCAACATTGATGTATCGATTTATATTCCTGTGATCCAAATACATCAATCTGTGCTCAGCAAGTTGGCCTTCTGGATGATATATACTGATCTCACATTGTTTTAAGATGTCATTAGTCAACTGTATCGATACTAGGAAATAACGCAATAGAATAAGCACGGTAGAGTGTACATGGATATGAGTTTTTTTCACTTTTAATGATAAAGACGTTAAGCGTTACTTGATTCAGTCGACCTGTCTGTGACGTTATCGCCACATGCCAGCAAACAACAAAACATAGCACTGCAGATGGCAGGGGAGAAGTCGGCGAGCAAGACATTATCAAGCCATCATTGTGGTCCAGTTTAAGCAGAAATAGTAGAAAGGTTGGATGCACTGACTGTACTTTCATTGAAAATTTGTTGAATAGTTCAATTGAGAACAGAAAAGTTGAATGCATTTGCTGTCAATTCTTATCTGCTTCTCTGTTTATAACCACGACTAATTTATACCTGATTCCCTTGCAAGGAACAACAAGAACCTTGGAGATTTCATCTGCACTGTCCAGTATCCAGGTATTTATTTCCGTCACATAGGTTATATTATCGGCTACAGAGTTACTGAATCTATTTCAAGTTACTGAATTGTTTTGGATCGTATTGTTCTAAATGAACCAATATTGTCCTTGAATTGAATCGGCAACCACGAATCATGACACCAATTGAATCATTGTTAAAATGAATCGTTACACCCCTACTTTTAGGTATACGGTTTTGCTTAAGTAAGTGCAATGAGAAATTTGAGTAGAAATTAGAGTTGTTGCAAGGCTCAGGTGGTCCATACAGAGTGTTTGGCCAATACATCTTTAGTTTTGTGAAGGTAGCTCAGATCACAAGCAGTTCTGCACTTCAACTATTACCATTACCACAGCTGTACTGGAATCCTAATCAGGGCTGAAAAAAAACATCTGAATTTCTCTCATTGTCTCTTTAAAGCTCTTGTGAGAAGGTTTTGGTTTGAGTGAACTTTGGTTCCCCCTGTGGACAAAATAGTGATCTGACATCATATCTTTCTATCTTCTAAAGTTAAATGTATCATTTCACATTTTGTATTTGCCACATAAAAAAAGTGTGCACCTAACCCTCAGTTTCTTTCAAAACCAGAATAAAACTCCTCACATGAGCTTTAAAAAATTATGGAAATGCCTTAACTCTTCAAAATTTTTGTTTAAACTCTGGTCAAACACAATCAAGGCTGTCTTCCATGAAACTAATTTTAGATTCCTGTAGGAAGCAAACTGTAGCTGTTGGATTCTTTCAAGAACTATGACAAACTTTTCAAAGAGGATCTGTTGAGCCTCTGACCTTTACTCAATAAAGACAGCTGAAAAAACAACATATAGATAAGACTTTCTTTAACATTGACTTTTCAATCTCTTTAAATCGCTAGCTTAGGGTCTGAATCTGGATCTATTGATTTGTCAATCAGTATTTCTTCACCTTGGGTTCTCAGTATATAAGGTATTTCATAATACGAGGCCTAAGGTCAATGACTAAAGTGAGAGGAGCTGGAAATCATGAGTCAGTGGTTTCAAAGGACAGCTAATACAGGGGTTAGTGGGTTGATGTGAGTGAAAGGGACTTTTCTGTGTATTTCAACTCTGATCAGTTGTATTTGATGTGATATTTGGCTTTTCGTTTATCAATTTAGATAACAGCCAAATAATACTAAAATCTAAGAAATATCAAGAGTTTAAGCTCTGCTGGAAGGAATTCATTTTTTTTACCAGGTACCAAAAAAGCCTTTTTTTCCCTTCCTAAACAGACACAGTGATTGTGTTTTATTTGATGACAGAAGAGGAAAATAAGGTGAAAGCTGTCCTTCATCAGTTTTCAAGTCCTGAAATGCAAACTGAAAACAGGAATGATGAAGTGTAATCTGTAGAGGATTATAGAGATTTACAGAGAAAGGAATGTAAGTCTTGCACTGTTTTTCACCCTGTCACCGCTCTCACGAAGCTTCTCACAGACCAGTCTATGGTCTGCTTTTCTTTTCACAAAGCAGCAACACTTGAGCATTACAAAACCCAGAGTAATTCTCAAATTACAGATGAAAAGTTTTAAAGGAATAAGTTTCTCTGTGCAAATGGGTCAGAAGCAGAGTTCAGCAGGTTGGTGTTGAAAGTTTGCACTCATGGATTATATCTCCTGTATCCTGGAGCATTTTTCAAGTGTTTCTAACATGTTGAGGCAGCAAAAAGCCTGGTCTATGGGTAAAAACCCCTCTCTAGAGTCAGCTCCTGTTAATGGAGTCTGGCTTTCAGCTCAGCTGTGTTTTTACTGTTGGTTAAATTTGATAAATTCACTTTGGAGAGGGGAAATTGCCTGAAATTGTTGAAATGAGGCAGAAGAAGAGGCTCTTATCATACAGGTGGGACAAACAGAAAGCAAGCTCTTAGTGTCACCACAGACAGACGGGAAGACCTGACCTAGAAACCCTATTACATACGTTGTCATGAGAGACTTAAGGGTACCTGTTTCAAGGGAGTATGGTATTTTTTCTGGTGGATAGAAATGAACTCACGGTGTATAAAAACCTACTTTTGAAGCATTTTTGTAGTTCCCAGTCCACCAGCTTATCAAAGTCTGTTCACTTTGATTCTTAATCCTCTATAGGACTCTGAGGTCTCTATGGGGTTGGCCTTAAAGATCAGTCAAGTGTCTATGAGGTTACAATGCCAACACTCCAGATTCCTGATACAGTTTTTTGGCGAATTTGCACTGCAAGATGACACAAACTCCAACACAGCTTCTGTCCCCTATTGGCTGTGAGGAGACATACTTAAGCTGGAAAATTCAGTGGTTATCATAATGAAACCAGTGACTCAACAAAACTTTCAATTAAGGAGGCAACAGCTACAATGACCTCATCTGTTAGTCAACTCACCCTGACACTTATCACATGGATTCATGAATACATCTCATCCTTAATGTTGTGAAAACTGAGTTGTATAATCAATCCTGTCTGTTTTCAGGACACTCAAGGACCTGCAGGTTTTTCCAGCACTGCAATGGCTTCATTTTTTTAACCTCAGAGGTTGATGCTTACCACATGAAGACACACATGCAAATGTTTACAACCAGTTTCACTGTTTCTTATTCAGTGGCAAATCAAAGCAATGAATGTGAAATCAAATTTGAAAAAAAAGGGCTAAACCAAAAAAACAAAAACAGAAACAAAAACAACAACAACAACAACAAAAAAAGGATTTCATGTACATTTAGACAAACAGATTTATCCTGAGGTACAGCTTTGAGCCAGTTGTTCAAAGTGGTGGCAAGTGTGAAGTAAGGAAGCATGATGCCAGAGGACACACCAAAGAAGAAGAAACGTGGTTCATAGAAATCTCAGGGGGAAAAAAATCAACAACTTCTGATTACTTTTCAAAACTGTTTGGTTTTCTGAAGAGTTGATGTTCAACAATGCTGGGAACTGTTTCTAAAGTGTGAAAAAAAGCAGAAAGCAAACACAACTTTTCGTCGTAGCTGGTGTATGTATGTATGTATGTATGTATGTATGTATGTGTGTGTGAGTGTGTGTTTTCTGTACTCATTCATCTTTCAGGGAGGCAAATGTATTAAAAACTGCAGTTCCTTGAGTGTCCACTTGAGGCTGGCTCCCAAAGGTCACCTATTTAAAAAGTCCAGTAGAAATAAACAATTTTACTTTCTGGTTTAAAGTGGGATTTTGATGGGGCTACAGATGGCCGAGTGGGTTAGTGCCTCCAATGCATGGGGACCACAGTCCCCTCAGCAGTTGCGGGCTCGAGTCAGGCCCCGACTATGTGCTGTCCTCCTCTCTCTATCTCCCCATATTTTACCCTGTACTATCAATAAAAAGGCAAAAATCACCCAAGAGAATATTGTTTTAAAAAAGGGGGGATTTTGATTAAATTTCTCTATTCGTCATGACTATTTGTGCCTCAAGTCTGACTTTGTCTTTCGCCAAAAATTAGGTTGAGTCAGCATTTTGAGCAGGTTGATTGGCTTCAAATCTCTTGTCTCTAAATGAAATGTGTGGATTTGACTACATCCATGTTTTATGGAGTCTGTGGCTGTTCAGATTTTTTATTTATCTCGAAGGTCAGTCACCTATAATCTATAAATGAATTCAGGAAAGCACCTGTAATGGTTGTAAAGAAGATGAAAGGAAAAAAAACTGCAGAAGCAGGGGATCCAGCAGTCTATATGTCACTCATATACAGAGATAATGCCTTCAGCATCAACACACAATACCTCTGACAGTGGTTCCAACCTTAGCGATGGAACTTATAATAATAATTATCAGTTATCTCATAAAATTTGAGGTCTCAGTCCGTCCTTTAAAATCTAACTCTTAACATCACCCTCATGTAAAGAGACAGATGCCGACTTTCTTTGACCCTAAAGTGCTTGACCTTAATGAGCGTTTAGGAGGCCAGCGAGGGTGTCTGAGAGGACCTGGAACATGTGACACACAGCAGATCGTGCAGGAGTGGATCGAGCCATTTCAGTAGCACAGGAAGAGGAAGAAGGAGAGCTGGCCGACAGGAAATAGGAAATGGCAAGGCGACAGAGTTCTGAAGGAGGAGAGAGAGGAAAGCCTGGTGAAATGACCTCAAACACGGCAGAGAAACGGGGGAGTGTGGGGGGACGGACAACAACAACAAAGATGGAACAGCATGAAGTCCAGATTAAATATGAGAGAATGTGATACAGGCTAAAAGACAGAGAGGAAAAAGGTACAAGGACGGAAAGCACGAAGCCAACGGAGGAGGAGGAGGAGGAGGAGGAGGAGGGTGAGAATGAATGAGATAAAAATAACAATGGAAAGATGCAGAGAGAGGTTTCCCAGAACAGCCCCCTCCTCCCCTGCTGTTTCCCCTCACTGTGCAGGGGCCCGGGGCCACAGGGGTTTCATGTACAGCTGACCGGGGGTCTCTGGACTCCACAGATCATTGGGTTTATCACCAGTATGTTAACAACATCAGGACGTAGCAGTAATATTTATGCTGTTGTACACATTAAGCCATTTCCCAGCCACCATGAATCTCTGTTTGCTTACACTACAGCACAGTTTAAAGTTTCATGACTCATAAATCAGAAATAATGTTTCCTTATGTTTTCTTGTGTCTTCATCATTGTTCTATGGTGCAATATTATTATTGGTATTATTATTATAGAGCTTTTGAAAGCTGCTGTGAGGAACTTTTGTTGATATTGGTGTCTCCCATTCCAGACTAAATCCTCAGCCTGTTGTCTTTTCACAGTAAAATCAATCACTTTCTGTGAATATTTGCTATGCAAAGAGTCAAAAGAAGCTGTTTTTTCAGTCTGCTGTTATTCATCTGGTCTACAACTACCCCCTGCTAGAGTTTTTAGGTATTAAGTTCTACAGTGAAATACAGTGACTTGTTGCTGATGGTCCTGTTTGGTTTTGAAAGTCATAAAGAGGCATCGGTTTTCCTTACAGTACCTTTAGATGAGCAAAATAGGGGCTTGTCAGTTTCATTTATTCCTTGGGAGCTATAACACTAAAGTTTAAGCTTCATTTAAATGGATAGGCCTCATACATGATGTTACTGTTCAGTTTATCCCATCCTACGTTGTCCAAGGTCTCTGAATCTCTCTTGTATCAAGTTCAGGATAGTTTTTTTTTTATTTTTATTTGAGGGGTAAAACTATCCCAAATATAATCCACAGCATACTCATCTCTGTGGGAAAATACACTCCTTATTTGGTGTCAGATTTCATCGATTTAAACTGCTTATTAATTGTTTTATTTGAGCTATAGCCAAGAGGTTCAACACCTATTACTCTCTGTGGTAGTTCACACCTTTTGGCTGGTATTTAAATTCTCTTAGAGAAAAAAAAAGTATCCAGAAAAATTGTCAATATCCCCATCAAAGCAGACGATGAATATACTTGAAGATTCGTCACCAAAAATCATGTCAACACCTGTTAAGGTTGGCTGGTGTCTGGTTAGGTTTAAAACTAATCAAGAAAATCAGGTTTGTGTTGAGCTGGGTTATGTGGCATTTATTATAAAAAGTCAAATAAGTTGTTCACTTCAAGCCACATGGAAGACTTGAACTTTGGTGTTTTTGTTAGACCCAGCCATAGACCCTTGGCACATTACAAAGCAGACTTTTATCTCTCTGTTTTTAACCTGAGTTGACTCTGTCCTGCAGTCATTATTAGAATGACCTTTAGTAACTCCAGACCTACACATATGTGACAGGATAAATACAGAGAAAACCTTTATACTTACCTAACAGTCTGAGAACAGTCATCTGCTTGGTGGCAACTTTTTTACTGTAAAACAGCAGGCCTCATCAAAAAGGTATGATAAAACATGTCAAACTCTGACTACAGATAATCCTCCATTTTTATTACAACCACAGCGAAAACCACACAATTTGAAGGCTATATTTACTTAAATGCTGTATTTTCTACCACACTGCCTGTTTGTGTACAAATCACTCAGTATCAGAAGTGCAAAAAAAAACTCCAAGTGTCAGCTGTTTTTTGTCAGTGTCACTCGTTTATGACTGACTAAGAAAAATCATTATGAGCAGCACTTCTGATAACACCCTTACCAATTCCGGTTCACACTGAGGAGGAACTATCTGCACTTGTTTTTCCAAAGGTACAATTTTTATCTCTAATGCTGCAACCAATTCTCTATTAATTCTTATATGTAAAGTTATTTTAAATTAAATCAAATGTCAAGCATACAGAACAATAGTGGTCCCTACTGATGGAAAAAAGGTCACCAGAAAGTTTCATAACCTGAACAGTAAGCACCACGTAGAAGTGCTCTGAACAAAACATTTTATCCAACAGAGGCCCCTAAACCTGTACGTTTCTTCAGCTACAACACTTTGAGTTCAAGTCTGAAATGAGTTATATGTCTATGGTCCACAAGCACCTTTTTCCTCCTCATCACACCCTCTACTTCCAAATGTTTTCAAGAATTGAGACACTTAGTAGAATTGTATTTTTAAGCTTTAAACAGCTCCTCCTCAAAAAAGTCACAACCAAAATAAACCCAACAAAATCCCACTCAGCTAGAAAACACAACAAACCCATTCAGTATCTCTGTCAACTTTTTGCTGCAAACTCAATTCAACTGTCTGTTTCTTGTTTACTTTAGTGAGGACCTGCTGAGCACAAAGACTGACTCTTAACCACAGAGACAAGACTCATTCAAAACTCATAAAACACCAAAGTGGCTGCTGTTCATATTAAAGTCTGCAGTATGAAGGTGAAAGAAAATAGGGCTAGAGGATGACAGAGCTGAATTGGAGTTAATAATTTGTGACAGATATTGAATGCAAAAAAAAAAAAAAATAGATAAAACACACACAATTATTTTATGGTTCAAGGAATCGCTGCAGGAAGTGTAGAAGTGCTTCCAGTAAGTACTCAAACCAGAAGTAAAACATCGCGACTGTTTAAGACTCCTTTCCCAACAGCATGCAGGACAATTGAATACTTGGGATTTTCCAAGCCAATAAACAAACTTCATGTCACTTTACAGGAAAACCAGAACAAGACTTCTATCTCTAGGATTTCAGGTTTCTGAATTAAACATTGACAAATGAAGTCCTGATAAAAGTCGAAAGGAGCAAAATGCAATGTGGGCCTTTCTCTTCTTGAAATATCAGCATCAGAATTCTGGTATGTCGTACAATTACAAAAATCACCCAAGGCCTATTAAATATTCAACAATGATCAAGATCTTTCCATAACAAGCTGCAGTGAGTGGCTGTAAAAACGTTTATGATTTTAATGCTGTAATGGGTAGATATATTTTCTGTCAAAAACATTAAACATACCAGAAAAGACCGTTTGGGATAAGCTCTTTCAAAAATATGCCATCAAGTTGACATTATGTAAAGGGGTAAACATGAATATGACCAAAAAAACAAACAAATAAAAGCATGTCAAGATAAATTTTTGAGTAATCCGTCAAACTCATAATGTAATTTCTGAGAGCTGTGGTACTTGTATTTTTAATCAAATTAAGAGTTTTAATGAGCCATTTAAGACCTAGTGTTGACTTGGCTGTTGTAAAACATGACTTTCTTAAAAGCTGACCCCATAAAAAAGGGAAAAAATAACTTTCATATCTCAAGTTTTCACAAGGGAAAGCTGTAAGAGATGTTTTTTTTTAAAGGGCAAGATGAAACAAGTGTTAAAACAGGCCTGTATTATGAAAATTGTCATACTTTCACTTTAATATTCCCAAGAATATAATCATTTTATGACCTGTTAAGACTTTCAGACTTGAACAGATGGAAAACATTGCAATCAAGGTAATGAGTTACAATGCCCTTCTTATTTTAAGCTCCTGTGAGGTACTTTGTTTTGTGTTGATTTTGGCGCACACTGTGGACAAAGGGATACTCCACCTTATTGCTGCCCTTCTTAAGTACATGTGTCGATGTAGTACGACAAAAAAATAAACTTGACCTGCTTTAAAAAAGAACTGCTACACTCATCCAATATTGGGAGAATAGTTTTTAGTACAGGAATATGCCAGCAGCTGTCTACTCGGACAATAATCATGACAGTAGGCTACCTTTAACCTGAAAGACCCTCAAAACTACAGGAACAAATCAATCAAAATTGCAGGAAAAACAAGGAAAATGCAGATATTTTATTAATAAATACATTAAAATTTGAATCTGAAAATTCAGCTGTGAATGAAGGATGAATAAAAAGTGCATTGTAGTTTGTTTTGAAATATGAAAGAACTGCACATCTGCTCTGACTCCTCTGCATCGCCCAGCTTTACATTATGTCCCTAATTTCCTTAAAATAAAATTTAACTTTTTTTCTGCATAAAGAGGCATTTAAACCACTCAGACATTCTCTTAGACGATTGTGCTTCACTCCCTCTGCTCTCGAGCATTCCTGTGTGTTTGAGAGGGCAGGTTGAGCGGCTGCAGTGAGTGGCGTGATGTTTGGGTAGTGTTTGGAGGCCAGGCTGGCCAGGGTTAGCACACAAAAGAGGCATGACGGCGATGTGCCAACCAGGCCTCGGCTCGCTGCGATGATGTGAAGCGCTGTGGCTGACATGCCTGGAGACTGAGACACCAGAACTGCTCCACTCATCTGTCTTCACACTTCACGTTGATTTATGTTCATCTAGATCACCTTAACGTCCATTTGAGTATCACTTTGTCTTCTTTCACATGTCTGTCCTCCCCTCCTGTTCTCACTGTCTTGTTTTTGGCAGCTTTTCACCTCCCTTCCCTCCCCTCTACTCTCATGAGTTAGCACAACAGAGGGAAACACAAAGCTGCAGAAACAGGCCAAAGTAATGAGGAGCTGCACACTGAACCATGCACAGTTTTACACTCCAAGTCTTTTGCTGATTTTGCAGTATGCTTCAGTTTTTAATGTGACTGCTTAAAAAGAAAAAGTTAAAAAAAAAAAAAAAAAAAAACCCTAAACTTATAATAAAAAAAAGTACCTAACATCATAATTGTACGACAAAAAACGATCACTTTTGAGCATTTTTTCTGAATGGTAACAATAATTTCATGGTTTTCTGCAGCAGCTGTATATGACACAAATGTTACAAGTTTTTCTTTTTTTCCACCAAAGTGACATGAGTCAACATCATTGAAAGATGATTTAGTATACTCAAAATCACCTTTTCACTCTATGAAAAAACATCTAATAAGGTTAGGTATCCTTGTTGTCTACAGCACTTATTCTCTCTAAAAGTTAAGGTTTCTTGCCTTAATTCGCCTGTATGAATTTTGGAGATATTTCATGACGTTACGAGTAAAATAAAGTCATGTTATTGCAGTCGTGGTGCAGCTTCAGTTTCAGTTCACGGTGACCTATTTTGAAGGGGAAAGGCTTTCAGGAGAGCAGACGGCTGTGTCTTGTGTGAACCAGTGTTAGCAACAGATTGTTAATTAAAGCCTTCAAATGCATAATCTTTCTAATTTTTTCTAAGGAAATGACTGGCTGCTCGTCTGGTATCTTCCTTCACAACATCTGTAACATTAACACCAGTCACTAAAATGAGGGCTTTTTCTTGTTACAAAATTACTGCATTATCATAACTTTTTTTAACATAACATAATCACTTTATCGTCTCATGAAATTCACACTTTTATTTAGAAAATCAGACTTTTTTCTTCCTTGATTTGGCCCTAATATTCGGTTACAGCATTTCATGTGTTGAGTTTGTTATTAAAATAGTGTATCTTTTTGACTCTAGCTAAGGATATTACTGAATAACACTGGGGTTGCCTTGGGACACACATCATTCAACTTTTATGACATGACCAGTTTCATAAAAGTTTATTTATTTCACTAAAAATTGGTTGTGTAATGTTTTTGAGCTGTCCACAATGAGGTCTTTTGTACAACAAACAAATCTGTCGTCCCAATCTTAACATAACTAGTTATTTTATTAAATGCTCTTAATATGAGATTTGACTGATAATTAAAATATATACAGAACAAACATAATTATTTCAAACAGCAGTTTGTTAGAAAGTCCTGTAACTCATTCAAAAAGGCTAAATGGGAATGCACAGATGCAGTCCTTTAGCTCTAACAGTCATACAGTCACATTATTTTTACAGTGCCAAAATATTCTGTTACACTCTTTGCTATGTTAATGATGAGAGGTCTTAAAAAGAGATAGTAAATACATCTGAATATATCAGTCATGTAATGTATATGTGCTGGCAGCTGCCCTGGACTCTGACCTTTGGACATTGTTTCCACGGGAGTCACATGATGAAAGAAATTAGTGGCCTTCCTCGCAGACTTGTCTCTATCATTCTATCTGCTATCATTCAGCACAGAGGTTCAAATAAAACTGATTTATGTTGTCATAAGTGGGGGAAAACTATCATGAAGACCTGTACTTGCGTGTCAACGTAAGGTTAAGGCTGACTGAAGCTGTGACAGACCACAACAAACAGTGAAACACTGTACTGTGTTTACAGGTTACAGTGATCAGAAGCTGGATGTCAGCCAGCGTGCACTGGTTTTAACCTCTTTTCATCTGATAGGATGATGGTGACGCAGTTTGCTGGATTCCAAATTTACTGTATGACTGATGGGATCTTTTGGCTCAACTTACTCTGAACTATTTCATAATTCAGATCAATGTTCATATTTTTCTAATAATTTAGCCTCTGCATTTAAGTCTTAAAAGACTGTTGAACAAAAGGCAGTAACTATCATCAATTTCTGTCAATAAGTCTAGGCATAGGAGTAACTGTTTGATCTGTATGATTAAAGAAAAAAAGTTCAAAATGTATCTACAAATAACCTCCTTGGTGTCAATGAAACAGACTGAAATTCACATGGATGTCTTTGTATTGAATCCTACAGCAAATAAGACCATCAGCAACAAGACTGAGAATATTCATGTCGTAATTTTTAATGTGGCGGGGTAGATTTCAGCAGAGTAGCTGAAGAGACAGCCCTGTTTTTATACTTTCTACTTACATTATTCAGGATAAATTATGCATTTTTTTTTTTTTGATCAGGAAACACCATGCAAATATGTAGTCGACAAAATAAACAGTCTGTCTGTCCACAGGGAGACACCAAAACTGACCCAACCAAATGATCCCAGGTGTGTTTTTACCCACAGGGAAAAAAAGAGAGTATGTAGCAAATTACACAGACAGTTGTGTATTGTAAATTATAACAGAAAGTACAAGTGACTTCTTCTTCAACATGGGAGGTATTACAGTCACCTCTACTGCATTACAAAGACAACTCCACCTGTTTTGATCATCACCTGTGATCCTTGTTATTCCAAACATGAAGCAGGTAGAACATTTGGAAACTTCTGGTTGTTTAAACAAACTCCACTTATGTTCAGTATGTTTAAGGTGTGGTTTCTGTACCAACTACTTCAAGCTATCTTGTTTGAGTTCAGTAAAGATCATGAACAGTGGTCATAATCTTTAGAAGGCTTCTCCCTCGGCCTTCTCCATTTATACTTGTTATTGCACTGTTATTATTATTCTGGTACACTTCACGAGTCTTAAGCAGAGGTCTCCTATTTCAGCTGTAAAAAAAAAATGAAATGTGGTCGATCAGCTACCAACAACTCAGATTTTTCTCAGCTCAAACAGCCAAATTGAACACATTAGAGTGATTAAAACACAGTCTGTTTTTTTTAGTCATCAAGGATAGTAATCCAGTATTCATGAGCAGTATGGCTCATCAGATTAATGCTAATATTTAACACAGAGGTAACCGTGACTGAGTGCTAGAATCAGTCATCTCTCAATTGGGACTGGCAGTTCTATCCCAGCTCCCACAGCCCACGTGTCAAAGTGTTCTTGGGCAAGACACTGAGCCCTAAATTGTTCCCAGTGGCATAGTTGGCTGTGTGTGAGTGTGTGTGAATGGGATTAGTTAATACCAATGGGCACTTAACATAGCAGCCTCTGCCTTTGCTGTATGAATGTGGTATGAACAGATGAATGTAACATGGAGCATAAATGCACTCTCAGCTGTCAAAATATAACACTCTATACTGTGAGTCCACTCCACTTCAGGTTTAAAGGTTAACTAATGAATCAAACTTTTAGAGTTTTATTAGGAGCATCTTTTGCCCTTATTAGATAGAATCTCAACCTGTATAATAACTGCTGGACAGAGGGTCAGTGTCATCACCCATTTGTTTCTGAAGCAGATTTTTAAAGCTAATCAGCCGTGGTCACCAAGTTGGAAGTGCTGACTCAACCAAACTTTTGGTCAACCAACCAAAAGTGGGCTTTTAGCCTCCTTACAAAAAGCTTCAGTTTGCCTACCTGTCAGTTAAGTCAGTTGTGCTTCTGATTCACCAATCTTTGAACCTTCATAATTCTGAAAGAAACATGTTACCAAAAAATTAACTCCCCCGAACCGTGAATGCCATGGGAGCCCTGAGCTATTTCAACTTTTTTTTTTCTTTTGAGCCAAGCTGTAAACGTATTTAAAGGGATATGATCCAGTGTAAGTTTAAGTTATGGTCAAACACACCATAACATTGAGTTAGCCACTCCTCGAGAGACAAATGTTGCGGACTGCTTGCTGCTTTAGTTATACCAACTTCAGCTATGACTGCGCGATAGCAATACTACCCTGTCTGCAGTGCACACAAGACACAAGAACTCTGACTGCATTTCCATAAAGTAATAATCATAATTTCCATCCACTGCACTCGGTCATCCACTCGTTGGGGCTCCCCCACAAACAATCGGCTGCTGGAGGAGAGTGGGTGAGTTGTGTTTGGTCCCTTTGCTAAAGAGGCAAAGCTAAAAAGATGTTTGATGGCTAGTACTATGGCTGGGACCCTGGATGTACTGTTGATGAAGTCAGGTGCTGTTCTGAGCATTATTTGTGGCTATAGAGTGGCTTTTTGGTTGAGGTTTGCGTGTGGAGACATAGACCGTTGTGTATTGCTATCATGCAGTCATTGCTGAAGTTGGTATAACTAGAGAAACAAGCAGTTGGCAACATTCATCTCTCAAGGGGGTGTCTAACTCTGTGTTACAACGTGTTTGACCATGACTTAAACTTGCGCTGGAATATCACTTTAATTTTGCTGTAAAACAGATCTTTTTGACTTAGTGTGTCAGTGGTTTTAGGCGCTCTGGGAACTGCAGTTTTAAGCATTTTGCACAGGCTTCAGCTCTGAAGACTGGGGATAGGACAGAAAATAGGGGGAGTAGAAAGCAGAAGACTTGAGGGGAAGGCTTGTGGCAAGGAAATGAAGAAGTAACAGCTGCAACAACATCTACAGCCTCTATAGCCGAGGCATTTCAACGTCTAGGCCGTCCACGCCCTAAAATCAAAACTTAATAAACACAATACAGTGAATTAGTATTGGGATAAAACTAAAAAATAACAAACGAAAGTCATATAGGAATTTTTTTTTCTATGCTTATTTAAATCAAATAAAAGAGGTAATCTCGGCTTGGAACATGTTTTTTAAAATAAATTAATGAAAAGACAAATATAATATATTATGTAATTGATTCCAGAGCATGGCTGATGTGTATGCCAGGAGCAATATTGAACCACATTACTATATTCACCATCCAATTTCCTGTCACTTAGGATAAAGTCAATGAGATATCAGTCGTGTGATGGTCCAACAATTATTGGTCTGTCTCTAGAAAAAAGACAACTTTTATACAGCACAAACGCCAATTTATGTTTAAGTTAGAACTGGAATAACTTAAAAAAAAAATCGATGATTATATTCAATGATACGCATATTTCTGTTCATATTGTCAGAACTTCAACAACAAAATCAGCAGTCTTTCGAAGAGTTAAGTGTTACGTGCAAAACAAAACTGATTTTGCTGCTTCTTTTTCCAGTGCCTGTTTTGTAAAAACTTGATAATCTATAAAAGCAGAGAGAAATTCAATTTTGAGCTTGACAAAAGAGTGATTTGTAGCTGTGAAAAATCTTAAAGCTGTTTTACACTTTATCCACAAATCACTTAAACATGTAAATGAAAATCCAGCCTGTAAGTAAATGAATACCGATGAATAATCTGAAATTGCAGCTCAGATTAAAACAAATGATCCAAACAGCACTGTCTCTTCATGCCGTGGTAACTGACCACAGATCAGAGGTTTTCCAATACTGGAAATAAAGAATCTTGCAGAGGGCAAGCAATCGCACACTTACTGCTCTTGTGTAACAGGCCACCTTGATGTGCTCGGATTTGTGTGTGTTTGTTTAAGTGATAGTGTGTTTGTGTGTGTGTGTGTGAGTGTGTGTGTGCGTGCGTGCGTGCGTGCGTGCGTGCGTGTGCGTGTACTCAGGTCTTACATAACACATTTTTGGTGAAACAGATTTGGGTTAACAAGACTTAAGGATAAAACTATAAAAACAGGCTGTCTTTGGATGACAGTGACAGCAAGCGGACACTCACACAACAACATTCCATCAAGTTCATCCTCTTAAACTAACACCAGTACCTTTAACCTCTCACTTTTAGGTCTCAAACAAAAGCAGAGTGTGTTTTACAGCCGGCTTTCATGAATCACACAACTTATCAGTGAGCAATTAAGACTTCCAGGCAGTGTGACAGCATTGACAAAGTGCTACTGTGTAATTGAAAGACAAACACACTGATGAAGGAAAACACACTCCACAGAGAAATTTGCGGAAAGACAGACACACATTCGCAGGTCTCCTTCTCTAAAATGGCCGATATCTCTCCAGTGGAAGCAGATAGACGTCGACAAGTCACAGGAAATCCTCTCAAACTCATCCCACTTATTCTGTCTTCTTCTGAGCCTCCAGCAGAGTTGTGTAACCATTTTCATCCCCTAATAATACTTGTTTTTGTGTGTTTAGACCTGATCTGACAGAGGCCGTTAGACAAGAACTAGAACCAAGAGAGTCACTTCACAGGTGGACTAAAAGCCTTCAGGAAAATCCATTTCTCATCCATCTCCAAAGGTTGTCTTAAAATTAAAGTATGCCTTTTGTTCCCTTCATTGTTTGTCTTTCCACATCTTGGTTCATCAACTTATGATCTGATTTGAAAAAAATCCTCAATTGAATTGTGTCTCTTCTTTGCAGTAAGATGTTAAGTCTCCTGTATTGACAGGTGGGATTAAGTAGTTGTTCTGACCACACAAAAACTGGGGCAGGCTCAAACCAGAGGAGCATTAATGTTATGTAAGCGATAAAGCCAATGACCCTGTCAATGCTAGTGAACAATTAACAACCAAAAAGAAGGGCAGCACTTGCAAGAAAAGAAAACCCAGATGACACAATAATCACATACCTTAAATATTTACTTAAGTATTACATGGTTTGGCAGCTTTACTACATCTATTGTGAATCAATCATCGTAGGCGGGTTGACAAAAATACATCAGTGTTGCCAGTTAGGTCATAAAACTTGACAGCAGCAGTTCTGGAGACTTTGTAGAGCTCTGTGCGGTGAGTAACCTGCAGTAACGCTGACTTCCTCACAGCGACTTAAAGATACCTGCAGCTCTAGAAACTTTTTATACAGGCAGACGGCAGCAATGACAGCTTGTTCCCTTTAGATGCTCTGAAAGGAGGTGAAAGGTTAGAGCGGGGTTTATTGGTAAATGATCTTGTTCTGATTCTCTAAACTTTACGCAGATTAGCTACTTTAACTGTCTGCTCGGCCTCCGCTCTGCAAAAGTTTGCAGGAAACAGGTGGTTTATTTTGAGAAACCCACAGCTTCCACTTAAGATAAAGACAGAAGTCAAGTGTTGGAGGACTGACTCTGAGCCACATATTCCACAGGGACAGATTCATATAACTATGCTGTATCAGTAAAACTGTAGCAGGAAAATTTTGTGCAGAAAGTGATATCATTTGGATCAAATTGTGTTGTTGATCAAGAAACAACAATTTCTAGTTCTAGGGATTATTTTTGGAGTAAACGTTATAAATAAGTCCTTTAATTTTGCTCATCACTGTTAGAAACTCTACAAAACATGATTTCAACTGCAGGCTTTAAACCTCACACAAGTCTTATCACAGCCAGCTAATAACGCATTAAAACGCATGGCTACACAGTCACAAAGCTGTCTCAATAACCCCGTTTGAAGCCACTAACCCTGAGTGTCTTTTCACACGGCCACTATCAGAGCATAAAAGTAGACTAAATCACATGCAGGGCTGCAGCAACAGGTCTCCCTCTGTGACACAGAGACCCACTCTCAAAGCGCTGGATTCAGGTCTACATGAGTTAAAAGTCCGTTTGAAAAAGAAATAACAAACCAGTATGAGGAATGCATTTCACCTCACCTCTTTTTCTCCTTCTCGACCGTCATCTCTTCTTTGAATGTAATTCCTCGACTGTCTTCGTTAAGTCCAATATCAAAGTCAAAGTAGGTAAAAAAGTATTCTCAGGTCAGAGGTCTGACAATTGGTGGCATTAGACCTGTGAACTTGGATTCAGTCCATGAAAGCAGGCTGAAGTGTCGGTCCGGACTGGAGAGGAGGGTTCGGGGCCGCACAGTCTCAGAACACTGCCGAGGATTGTACAGCCTCTCACCCGCAGACGAAGACGGGGGGACACACTGAACACTTGTGAGCCGCTGCTGCTGCTTCTGCTGCTGCTGCCGCTGCTGCTGACAGGTCCGCTGCTTCCAACTTTTCCTCACTTCGCAGGTCTGAAAACTCTCGAAGCTGTTCGGTATCTGACCTGAAGCTCAGCTGGCACAGTGGAAGCCGCTGTCCGGTTTTGGCCACGCTGATTGGCTGGAAAGGACGCTGGGAAACGCCCCCCCAACTCAGCCCCTCCTTCCTAATGTACCGTTTCCTTACCTGCTTGTCCCGGACTGTGCAACAGGTGCGTGAGGTGCAAAGACCTGTTTCTCCCTGTACAGCTTCAGCGGTGTTAACCTACATTAAATAAACTGCGGTGAAGTCGGAGTAAGTAGGTCTAGATTAGATGGGTCACTTTTTTGTTTCCCATACAAGCAGTTTTAAAGGGGTTATGGGCCTAACTGGAACATGTGTGAAATATTCAATTAAAACATCAATGCTAAACAAATTAGTCCTTTTTTCTGGCTGTTCTTTGGCTTAGTTTCTAGCTTATATCAGCCACATTAAAGAATTTAAGTGGGTACTTATCATTTTAGGAATAGCAGGCAACTTTATTTCAATTTTTATCACAGCAACACATCATCTAGGATCAAAATTACAGTAGTACATGCTTATAAGTTGTACTTTTTACATTTTAAGCCAATGTTTTTAGAAGATGAAGTGTTCTGTCGCAGGAATAAACTATTGGAGAGTTTGTGCTTGAGCAGTGTCTTTGTGTGTATGTGGAGTTGTGTCTCAGAGACAGAGTCGGCCCAAGCCTCAATGGGGCCCTAAGCAAAATTTGATTTTGGGGCCCTCTACTTCTGCCACTAATTTTGATTGTTGATCATTCACACACCTTCACAAATCTCTTTGATTAACATTCCATAACATGGAAACATACCTCTACCTTGGTGTTTTTTCTCTTCTTCCTCTTTCTTCCTCTTTCTTTTCTCTGCTCCTGAGGGATATGTCCTTTTTTGCAACATTGTTTTGCCCCTCAACTACCTGCCCTTTGGATGATCAGTGCACATTGCACAGCAAAAGGGACATAACAGTAGCGGAGCTTTGATATATCGGAAGTAAGAATCATAGGCCTAAATCGGCAGCAGTACTAAAATGTTTTTACTTTGTTTTATTTTTACAATAACATACATTTGATCATACAGAAAGTATCACTCATACATGCAAAAGATTTAAAAAATATTATTTTTTTATTGCTCTTAGGGGCCCCCTATTGGCCGCGGGACCCTAAGCTGATGCTCATATCGCTTATGCCTTGGGCCGGCGCTGCTCAGCGATGTACTGTGTAATAGTACTTCCTCACAGTGCAAAATTAATGATAAACACATCTTGAAATATGTTGTTGTCTTTAACAATGCTGAAACATTGATGTCAACAAACTTACCAACAAAAGTGAGGAAAAGGGTTAAAAATGTTACTGGACTGAAACTCCTTCGTCATAAGGAAGCCCCACAAAGTCAGCCTTAAATTTAGTCTCTTTGGGGTTTTATAACATTTCCATTCAGGTCAGGGAAAACTTCTGATGTAAGAAAACTAGAAAATCAAAGCTCAACAAGTAAATGTTGAGCAATTTGAAACCAGAAATACCCATGAGAATGAGAATGAACCATTAGATAATATTGGATTTCCCTTTGGGGATTAATAAAGTTTGTCTTCTCTTATTTTATGAGAAGACCTCTGCCAGAACCTAAACCCACATTATGTGAGACATGAGCGGCACTCTAAGGTGCTACTTTACATGTTTCATCTATTTGCCATCACACTGTGGTGATTTCAAAGCATGGTCCACTTTGGTAGACAAAGAAGCTGTGACCTAGGAGATTATGATGATTCAAAAGCTTGCTCCATCCCCCAGTGGTACGACCAAGGACTGAGTGAAGTCCTGGGGATGACTGCACGTCTTATTTTAACTAAAACATCATAGATGGGTAAAAAGGTATTTCAACCTAAGATGGGATGTGGAGTTGGTCTATAAAAAAAAGGACAAAAGAAATGCATCTTAAAGGATTGTAGTCATCATGTCTTACGCTACCATGAAGTGTTAGAGAGCAGAGACAGTTAATGAAAGTCCTATTTTGGTGATGTTGGTAGTTAAAGCTGGTGTTTAAAATCAAACTTTTTTTGCTCAATCTGTGCTCCAACCCTCATCTCTGGCCATGACTGAAAGAATAAGATCACTGGTACAAGCGGCTAAAATGAGTTGCATCTGGATGACTTGCTGAGAAGACTGCCCCTACGAACCCATCCTGAATAAGATGAAGAAAATGTACGGATTGATGGACTTTCATGCATTTTTGGAGTATGTCAAATGCCCGGGGGATATTTCTCTTACACACTGATGGCTGAACAGCTTTTCAAACAGGGACTCACCATCCTTGTCTCCATAGTACATCACCAGCACAATGTGTTTGCACTCATCGGAATATTTCCGCCTCAGTTTTAAAAACAGGAGGAGACGGAAAACTGTTGTCTATTCTTCTATCTTTATATCTCTCTTTTAGATACAGTCAGTGACTCAGAGAAACAAGTGTATTATTCTGTAACGCTCAAAGCTTTGTATCATTTAAATGTGTCATGCTTTCAAGTGCCATCATGTCAGAGGAATCATTGAGTAATCTCTTTTATCTCAGATGTTTGAGAAGTTGACAGGGGAAGATGAAGTGAAATATCAGAACAAGTTATCTGCTCATAAGGTTCAGAACAATGCGGAGAGACCTGCTCTTTTATCCTGTGATTGTGGGAAAAATGAAAAATCAACAGTGGTCATGACGCAGGCTGAATGACTTCATCTTTTTGTCTTAACCCCATAACCCTAATTAGCCTTGTCCTGTACTCCACAACATTCAGGTGAGCTCGAATATTAGAGTTGAGCTTTTGCTGTAGTCCCAGTCTGATTTTACTCCTCAATATCATACCAAGTCAGCCTGATGTGAATATTTAGTCTAAAGTATGGTGCAACAACAATTGCCAACACCCTGAAACTGAGCTGCAGCACAGTGGCCAAGATCAGACAGCTGTTAAACAGGACAGGTTCCACTCAGTACAGGCCTACCCATGTTTGACCAAAGTTGAGTGGATGTGATCAGCGTCATGTCCAGAGGTTGTCTTTGGAAAATAGACGTTTGAATGTTGCAGAGGTTGCAGGGGTGGAGGGTTGGCCTGTCAGTGGTCAGACCATATGGCACACACTGCATCAAACTGGTCTGCATGGCTGTCGTCACAGGAGGGAGCCTCTTCGAAAGATGATTCACAAGAAAACCCACAAACAGTTTGCTAAAGATAAGCAGACTAAGGACATAGATTACTGAAACCATGACCTGTGGTCTGATGAGACCAAGATAAACTTTTTTTTTTGGTCAGACTGTGTCCAGCATGTACTGAGGAGTACTAAGAAAAGAGTGTCCTCCCGACAGTCAGGCATGGTGGTGGGAGTGTCACAGTCTGGGACTGCATGAGTGCTGCTGGCACTAGGGGGGCTGCAGTTCATTGAGGGAACCATGAATGCCAACATGTACTGTGAAATACTGAAGCAGAACATGATCCCCTTCCTTCAGAAACTGGGCCCAGGGTAGTACTCCAACATGATTATGACCCCAAAGACACCTCCAGGACAACCACTGCTTTGCTAAAGAAGCTGAGGTCAAAGGTGATGGACTGGCCAAGCACATCTCCAGACCTAAACCCTATGAAGGATCTGTGGGGCATCCTCAAACGGAAGCTGAAGGAGCGTAAGGTCTCTGTAATGTCATCATGGAGGAGTGAAAGAGGAGTCCAGTGGTAAGCTGTGAAGCTCTGGTGAACTCTGTGCCGAAGAGGGTTAAGGAAGTGCTGGAAAATGATGGTGGCCACACAAAATATTGACACTTTGGGCATGATTTGGACATTTTTACTTAGTGGAGTACTCACTTTTGTTGCCGGGGGTGTACATATTAATGGCTCTGTCCTGAGTTATTTTGAGGGAACAGTAAATTTACACTGTTACACAAGCTGTACACTGACGACTGTACACTGTATCAAAGTGTGATTTCATTAGTGTTATCCCATCAAAAGATAAAATTAAACATCTGCAGAAAAAGGAGAGGTGTACTCACTTTTGTGAGACACTGTATATTCTGTTCAATAATTTCTACAGTTTGTCAACAACTCTAAAAGAATCGCTGGAGGAGGCAGGATTCTGCAGCCCGTCACCAGAGGGCGCTGTTCTTGTAAAGGCTTCACTCAGTGAGGAGGCAAACAGCGTCCATTCTATATAAAGTCTATGGTTAAAATCTAAATAACGTAGAGGAAAGACTTTTAAAAAAAAAGAAAATCTCCAAACTCCAATCCATGAAGAAATTCAAAATTAGTTCAAATAAATAACATACACTTACTTATTGCACATGAGAGGTCTGATATGCATAAGCAAAAAACATCAGAAACAAGACTGATGATTTTTGTACAGAAATCTTTAACGCCTGAAGTTTGTGCTGGAAGGTAGGTGGCCAAGCAGCTGGAGAAACAGCCCTGATTTATCATGTAGAATACTCAAAACAAATTGACTGTTACTTGTCTCCACTCACCAAGCGTGGGTAAAATCATTCGTGCGAATTAATTACATGTTAAGTCAATGCAAAGATGCAATTGAAAAGAAAAAAATGATGTGAACTGGGTGGTAGCTGAAAATGTCTCAACTTAACGCAACAGTGGATATTCCTGTTCCGTTAACTAATCATAGCATAGCATGGAGGTTTCCCGGTGACGTATGATAGCAAACGGATGTTTACTGGTGTCTAAAATGGAGGACAAACTAATCGTGTCAGTGTGTGGTTGCTCAGAATTATATGATACTTCTTCTTTCAATTACCGAAACTGGAATAAAAAGGAGGTTGTCTAGTGAGTGAGTGACGAGGTCGGATTACCTTGTAAATTCTAAAAAAAACTTTGTCCCACTGTTTTAATTGGCAGGGATTACCGTTAAAATTACAGCTGATGCGCAAATGAAGCGAGTAAATATTATTAATTCACGCATCTAGATATGGACAAGTTAAGCTAGTAGATTATTTCACTTGCGCTTGGTGTGAGCGTCCTATTAGAAGAGAGAATGGTAAGACTTTAAAGTTAAATAACAAGATTAGAAAAAACTGCTGCTTTGTAAACAGGGGTCACCAAAACAGACACAAACTGAGAGTTCCTTACGGGAGCTTTAAATACCACCAACAGAAGAGAGGTGAGAGGCTAAGTTTAAGATTAAAATGTTCAATATAGGCAAAAAAGAGACACCAGCATTTATGCGTATATGACATCATAATATTTAATTTGCTTCAAAAATCAAAACACAACTTCACATCTTTTAAAATACAGTACATTTGGCACACAGCGCAAAACAGGAAAATAAAAGGACTCAAACACAAATGAGGGGAATCCATAAAGAACAAAAACAAATGACATGATGCACACACAAAGCTTCACAAACACAGACTGCAAAAAACAAAAGCATGTACATACAGTACTGTTCTGCATGTGACAAGAGGAAGATGTTAGTTACCGTAGAAAAAATACTGCTTTTATTGTTTGAAATCAACCTTACGTCAGTGTTTGTTGAATTCTAAATTCAGATTAATTTTCTCACTTAATACACAAACTGTATTTACTTTTTTTTTTAAACCTCTATAACAATCATCCAACTAAAGGGACTTTAGATGGATGTAGCTTTTGGCTTTTAGCATGGAGGACCTCTGAGGAAGAAAAATCCTAACTGAGTCACAGTGGGACAAAGAGTCAAACATTTTTTTTTCTTTAATAGGGAAAACATGCAACAAGAGACAGAAAGGCAAGAAGGAAGAAGAGATAGACATAAATTAAACAAGGACTTTAAAGGGGAAGGTAGTGATAATGTTTGACATTTTTTAACATTTACAATTGAGAGTCCATCTAAAGCTACTGTAATACAATTTTACTCCCGTTACTGCTACTGCAACATCTGTCAGTCATGAGTATACTGCTACATGTACAGTTCTGTACAAAGGAGTATGATTACAATAGGGAATTAACAAGAGGACATTTGTGACTTCAAAATTAAAATGTGGAGAGTGAAGCTGAAGATTTAGGATAAGTAACCAGTAGGATAAGTAATGTCTATGTTGATAATGAAGTCCTAATAAAAGAAAAACTCAGTCTTGTCTTTTATTTTTTTCTAATAAGTGAGACAGGTACTGGAAGCTCCACTTAACAGTCATCATTTTGACTGAAATCTTACATGCAAAATGGAAAGATACCTTTCAGATTTTGTTTGTTCTGCTGGTCCTGAACTATCACCATTGTACCTTTTCAACTATTTCATTTTGGTTTTTGGTCAGTTTTAACTTCTCAATCAATTCCACAAAAACTATTGGACTAAATTGTCTTTTGCATAAAGATTTTGGTGTGAACTTCAGTACCTTGGTCATAACTTCATGTTCATCTGAGTACTGTAATTAGATGTAATGCAGGGGCACTTGAGACACAGGCTAATAACACTAAGCTTCATACCAGCAGATTTGTCTGACAGGATTAAAGAGGAGAAAAAAAGAGGTTAGATAATAGTAAAATAACTTTGGAAACACACATAAAATCAAACAAAGGTAAACCTCTGTCAGAGTATTGCACATGAAGTTTGGAGTGTTGGTGTTTGGTTGCTTTAAAGTTCACTGTTGAGTCATAAATCTGACCTGCCCCACATGGATCAGTACTTGTTTGCTTATCTTGGATTATTTTACTTCTGTGTTTGAGTTTGTTGTCTTTTCATCTTTTAAAAACAGCATTTTGGTCAGAGACCCCAGATTTCAAAATCAGACCAACAGGGTACTTTTCCTCTGGCATCCTGCATAAGAGCTGTTTTCTAGCTTACTTTCAATGTGAGGTCGAGGGCATATGATCAAGAGCTTTAGAGTCCATCTGGTCTGGTGAGGGGGGCAGCAGATTGGGATGAAAAAAATGTGTGACTCTGAACTGCATTTGAAAAATGGGTGGCTGTGGCTCAGTGACCACAGCACACTAGAGTCATGTCACAAAACTGTTTTATGCTGTTGCATGTCCAACACTCATAAAAGTCTCACTAAAAGCTTCATATCTGTTCCAGCTTGCTTCATGCAAAGCCTTGCATGCACTAACCTTTAGAAACCCCTGACCGTGTCGCTGTGAAGAGTGCACTCCCATGTCCAAAAATGATCCCGAGTACGCTGGTCAGAGTTTCAGGCAAAGTGAGTCTGACTGCATCACGTGAAATGTAGTTTTTAAATACATCAGCAAGAACCAGACAATCCAGTAAAAACAAAACAACACAACAATGAGGACAGTAACAAAACCGTGTTTTAAATTAAAAGAAAAAAAAACAAAAACATGTCGCACTCACAAATACATTCAGTTTCTCACATTCAGTCGTATTTAATTACACGTTCATATCTGTGTATAGCTTTCATATGGACCAATGGAGGTTTAAAGGGAAGTAATCAGTTACACTGTCACTGTACCCAAGCACTCAAGGTATTTTGATGGCCAAGGGCTTCAGTCAGTCAGTTGAGAGATGTTAAAATTCATCCTGTTGTTTGGCTTCAATGGAAATCCGCCGTTTTGATTTATCAGGTTAAACTAGCTTTCAAAACTTTAATTTTTCAGTAATACACCAGACACTAGGTTTGTTAGCTGGCAGTTAATGTCACCCTTTAAGATGAATCAAATGACTAAAGGGTTGGGAAGATTGAACGCAGGGGGGAAGGAGACAGAATAAGCTGCTTTCTGCATCCAAAACTGAAGAGCTGAAATAAACTCCACAAAGATTCAGAAATGCTATTCAGTTCCTTTTTGGTACTTCTTCTGAAATCAACATTTAAATAAAATTTGTACTTTTAAAATCTAAAGGAAGGAATGAAAAACATCAACTTTAACCATGATTTTATCAGGAACGACTCTTTGATTTCTCCTCTTTTCTTTTAGAGTGAAAACACTTTTCTAGACTAACTTCTCATTTAAATACAATCATTGGTTCTTTTTTTCATTCACATATAAGTTTAAGAATGAACAAACATTCTCCAAACACAGAGACAAACACAAGGTACACCACATCATGTACAGAAATGACAGTCCAACTCTTTTCAGAAGTATACAGCTACACATGCATGCTCACATGGACTCACACACTCTCTCTCATACACACAATAAAATTACCACCAGCCCATAGCCTTGACTGAATTTGGTGTTGACCTCTGTTCTGGGTCTCAGAAATTCATCCAGACCAAGTGGAGGAGATTTCTTACAGTTTTTGACCTGCACTCCTCTGCTGCTTGAGCATATACTTTAATGGGATATGCACAGATGTACAAACAACAAGAGCACAGAAACGTTTTAGAGATACAGATGGTCAACTATAGTTCCTACTTTACTTTCCTTCCTTTTTCATTTTCGCTACGCTTTTAAGGGGTCAATATATCAGTGTGTATGTGTGTGTCTAGGCCGCAGTATCATCTCCAAAGTAGGAGAATCCTTTAAACTCATCTTGGTTGATCTGCTTGATGATGCTGTTGTCCACTGGGGTAAGAACGGGCTCTTCACGTGTAAAGTCTTGGTCAAAGTTATTCACATCCCTTTTGGTTTTCTGGAAAATTGAGAGAGAGAAAGAAAGAGCGAGAAATATAATCATTTAGCTTTGATTTCACGGCAAAAAAAGTCATGCAGAAATTGTAACAGTTAAAAGTAAACGTGTATAAAATCTTGATTATCTACAGTCATATCTATCACAGTGACATTTCAGCCCATTTCCCAGCTAATAGGGTCGATTTTGCACGGGTTAAGTGTATGATGTGACTTTGAACTCACGATGCGTGGTTTAAATGGAGGTCGGATCTTTCTCTGCTCCAGCAGCGTCCAGTCGATCTCTCTGAAGAAGGGGTGGAGTTTAATGGCCTCCTCTAGACCCTGAGCCAGCACACAACCCAGACGCTTGTTTGGGCTCTTGGTCATGAACTGTGAGATAACAGAGGAGATGAAAGAGATAAAAAGAAGTGAAAAGAGAAATTCAGAGGAATTGATTTAACAGGCTTCAGTATTTGATGAACTGCCTGTTTGGAAATAAGAAAACTCATTTTTAGTCTGAATAGTAACCGTGAGACTGAGATTTCACTGTATGTAGAACACATGGGGCTCAGATGTGAGAGGAAAAAGGACACTCTAAATTTTAATAATCAGGTTTTCTCAAAAGGAAGATAATATCATGTGACTTTTAAAGAGATTCCACGGTATCTTAATAACATTATCATCCGTTTAAGGAAAAAGCATTGACGGTATATGTAGAGGACATCAGGCATAACAGTGATCCAATCCAATCTGCTTAATTTATACAGCACAATATGAAAACATTTAGGTGTACCATTTTTTACATTTAGGTTTAAGTGCTGCACAGTAAAATCAAAAGAACAAACACTGCAGAAGTAAAAAAAAATCAAGAGAAAATAAATAAATAAAAGCAGGTAAAGCAAACACAAGATAAAATGAAATAAATGAAATAAAAACACAAAAACATAAAAGAAATAGAAGCAATAAAAGGACCATAAAGGACATAAAAGGACAGAGGTCACACAACTCGCATGCTGAACTAAAAGCCGAGGAAGTAAAAGTTTGAAGACGTGATTTCAAAGAAGAAAGAGTCGGGGAAGTTTTAATCTTGAGTGGCAATTTGTTCCACAATTTAGGAGCCACAGCCGAGAAAGCTCGGTCGCCACTGGTTTTTAAACAAGTTTTAGGGACAGAGAGTTGGAGCTGATCAGCAGACCTCAAGAATTGTTGGAGGGTACAAACACTGAAGAGGTCAGAGGTGTACTGTGGTGCTGATCTGTTTAAAGAGTTAAAAACAAACATGAACATTTTTTAATTAATTTTAAAATGAATTCTAAAATGAACGGGAAGCCAATGGAGGGACGTCAGAATAGGAGTGATCATGTTTTTGTTTTTGGACTAACAGCAGATAGCTTTTGAACTGAAGCCGAGAAAATTCAAGAAATTCTGGTAGACCGGATAATGAGCAATTATTGAACGTCTCATAAGAGGATTTGTTGTACCAAAAAGAGAGAAAACAAAATCACCATCAAGTTCATACAAGTCGCGTGGCGTGAGCTGATGGTGTAATGTGCCCATTACACAAAGCTCACTGATCCACTTTGGGAGGTGAAAGCTGACTTATGTCGTTTTATCTAACAGCAGAGCTTCAGGAACTCCAGTTGTTAAAAGCTTGATGGTGGTTCTGGTAGAAAAAAAGTAAAAGATTTTTTATTTTTTTGCTTGTGGGGCTGCAGATCACTCAGAGTGCCTATGCTGACTCCTGAAGTGTCCCAAGGGAACACCTCAGAGATGACTCTGTCATCCAGATCTAAACCCAATCCTGCATCTGTGGGATGAGCGACCAAGAAGCTTACAGGATTTTAAGCTTTTTGGTGCCAGATACTACAGCACACTTTCAAAAGTCTAGTAGCGAGTGTATCTCAGGGCTCAGGGTTAGCACTCCCCCACTGTTCATCCCTACTGCTATCTGTGTGAAAATGTGGGGGATCGCTGTAGTAGTTAGCAAACAAATTCAGCCACGAAGAATAGAACATTTTTTAAATAAGTATGAACCAAACAAACTCCTTATTAATTCCTCATCTGATGTATTTAGGCTTACTTTTAAGCTTCTTTTTTAATGTCTCAAGACATAAACTCAAAGATTTAAATTATACCTCAATCAGCTTTGAATGGCTAAATATAGGTGTTTTTTGTGTTTTTTTTTTTTTTTTTTACAAACCTCAAAATGATGGTATAGACACAAAAGATTAACATCATTGGAAAAATCTTATTCTACATACAGAAACAGATCTATCTTACTTTTAAATCCCAGTTTATGTTCCAGCTTTTGGCCCTACGTCACTGGCGACAAGGGCATTACTCGTCAGACGACAGCTAATATTTTTGGAATGAAATGGCAACACTTCTCATTTTCATCAGGTGGAGTCATTTACAGTTGACTTATTTGTTCATGTATTTCTGTTTACTAGCAGAGGTAGGTAAGCGCCATCAGTGGCATACAAGTACATGTTTAAATTCGTCTAGGATCCTTCTGGTCTGTCTAAAAACAATAAAAACTCCTCGGTGTTTAAATGGTTTCTGTTTCTCAGATTCTTAAAAACTGTGAGTGTTGAAAAACTGCACAGCCTTTAAAATGATCCTGAAGATCTTATCATGTGATCTGGTGTCCCTGAGAAGACTGAAGTGTCCAATCAGAGCCCAGATGCTAGCCAAGTGACTGGTCAGAGTCCAAAACAGGGTCCAACAAAAACACACACACTTTCCCACAAGGCTTTGCAGTCAATCCGCCAAGGTAAACCCGAAGTTTGTGATGGAAAAAAGGATGACAAAATAAACTAATGGATAAGTGGCACTGCAAGCACACACACACACACACACACACACACACACACACACACACACACACACACACACACACACACACACACACACACACACACACAAAGATCTAATAATACATCCATGAAAAAAAGCTGCTTGGTCAACATAAAACTTAAAATTCAAGGGAAGGAAAGAGTCGATTGAGAAAGAGAAAATAAGGATGAAGCAACAAAACTTGGAAATCACATGGTCTATGGGAAATGTCCCTCTAAAAGATAGCACAGAAAAAGGGTTTACAGTGTTGACTGTGTCTTACTGGAAGATACGTGAAAAGCATGTGCAAACCAAAGACTAAACTGTTGTGACACTCCAGCAAACAGGTCAACGATCAGTGGTGGACAGGAACAAAGCAATTTCAATTTGGATACAAACTTTGTCCTATCTTATCTTATTTAGGAAAATTAATCACTTTTACTCCTCTACATTTTAAAGACTAATATATTCTTAGACCCCACTACATATCAATGTGTATTCCCATTAGTTGCCACTTTCCCTGAGATGAACTGGTGATTGTTAAGAAGTGTTTCAGTGGTTCTTAAGTGTGGTTTGTATCAGTGGTATTTGTGTCCTTCTTGAGTGTTTCTAAGTGGAACAAAAGCAGAGCATTTGTCACTTTATTTAGCGTTTGTATTGAGGTCTGCAGCAGAGGAGGATGAAGATGTTTCACCAAAGCACCAATGGCCAGATCTTAAGGTTTGAGCTTTTAAAAAGAAGAACGTTGACTGTGTCCATTTTGGTGTCACCAGTGGAAATGAGTGCCGATTGCTGGAGGTGACTGTTACTGTCATTTTCTTCCCGCACAACAGCTCATTTTTTTTGCTGCTGAACTACAAGTACAAACAGAAAAAAAGCATAACTTACTGCTTTTAGAATAGACACAGCCTCCTTGCTTAGCCAGACAGGATAGAGGACGTCATCATGGAGGATGGACTCAAACAAGTCGTCTTCATTATCAGCTTCAAACGGTGGCTGGCCTGCCATCATCTCGTACATTAACACCCCTAAAGCCCACCAGTCCACAGAGGGGCCGTACTCCAGCTCTTGAAGGATCTAATCATCAAAACAGAAGGAGACTTACTATCAGATGGTCCAAGTAAACAGTAATAGTAAAATATCAAAGCGAAGCCCCAGATACCAAAAATAATTTGAATAAACTACTGTGAACAGACTTGTGTTATTCTGATGTTAGCTCCTACACAGGTTGCTTTCGCTGCAACTGAATATCAAGCACTGTTTGTAAAGAGGTTAACACTTACTTTAATTACATCTGTGCTCAGCTATACAGCAGAGTATCATCTGCATACAGCCGAACCCAAACACTGTTTTATCAACTAGAATTTGTGCATTATGTAGAAATTCAGTTTGTGGGTGGGGATGAGGTCACCTCAGGTGCGATGTAATCCGGCGTCCCACAGAAAGTGGTAGTGGTGACTCCATTCAGGATTCCCTCCTTGCACATCCCAAAGTCTGCAAGCTTACAGTGACCCTCCGCATCCAACAGTATGTTGTCCAACTTCAAGTCCCTGCAGAGAAGCAAAATTACAAAGGTAGGGAGAACGGTTGGCATTAGCAATGTTCGCTGAAACAAGTCTCATATCATATAGTTCTTCAACAGGGTGTAACTTTGAGACAACAAAGAAAAAAAAACTTTCATTCGTAGACTGCGATGATTGGTAAAAGGGCTAATGTTGGGTGTGGAGGTGTTCACACATGCCTACAAGTTTTTTTCAGTATTTTAAATAATTTGTCACATGGAAATGGAGAAGAAATGGAACAGCGAAAGGAAAGAGAAAATCAGAGTACATTGAGGGTTGAGTAGGAGAAAGAGATGGAGGGTAGAGAGAGAGAGAGAGAGACCAAGCAGTGAGAGATAAGAGCAGTGGTGTTGAGAGATGACAGGGCTGGTCATGAATGCAGCCGCTCTTGGGCTTGATGGTTGATCGCTACAAAAATGTCAACATCTCCTGGATGTAGCCAATGCAACCATTCAGCCCGAGGTGTTTTCAAAAATACAGCCACCCTGACAGGGCGGGGAGGAGACCAAGCATGTGTGTGCGTGTTTCTGAAGTCAAGAGCTTATGCAACTGTTCTGCTTTCGTAAGCCCCAAAAATAAAAAGGGCAGTTTCACGGCCCAGTTTAAAGAGCTGCTGTTGAAAAGTTTGTGCTTGTCCGTCCCATCATGCCTTGCTCTGACAGGCTATTGATTACACCATAGAAAGCTGTGAGAAAAATGAAAAGGAGCTGCTGTTGATACACAACCATGAGATATAACTTGATAGTTTTTCTTGTAGTTTCAGCCTGGGGAATAAGTCACACCATTTTTTATTCGATCACAATAGTAGTTTTTTCTTTTAATAAAGTTGAGTCAAAATAACTGTTTTTTAACAAGCGAAGATTATGTCCCCAGAATATGTATGTAGATAAAAAAAAAGTGTTATATTTTATTTTTTTAACATACCTCAGCTTTATCAGTATTAAACTAAAAGTGCTTATAGTTGAAATGTGCATAATTTATACTCATATTCATACTCTGATGAACAACTGTTAGACGTGATTATAGCAGGTATGTGGATCTCGTGCAAAGCCACACTATGTGAAGTATGCCTATGTGATTTAAGTGTCAAAAAATACCATGAAATGTCAGGTGCAGTGGAGCCTGACAGTTTGCTTCAAATCAAGTTATTACTTGATGGTTCAAGTTTGGGTCGGACTGTCATGACAAAAACTCCTCTAAAATATTGTCTTGAGTTGAATCGGTTTAAGACTTCTTGTTCAGACAAACAGGTTCAATCTAACCCTGACACATGCAGTGCATTAATTCTGATGCTGACAGCAATGATGACATGTCAATGCTGTGGATGAAACAGATACCTTCATGAACCAAGTTTAAGAGGGAGAAAGAACAAACCAAATGGACTGAAAAGGGGGAAAAAACTTCTGCAAGGAGAGGCCCCCAGTCTCCAAGTGTCAGGTGTGCAAAGTGTGCCTGCACAATTCTGAACAGAGCGTGTTTTTATACTGACAGAGAAATTCGGTTTCGAGTTTCTTTAAATTTGCTAAGCTACGTGGCACGTGGCAGAGCTCACCATTTCTGAAATGGTGTTAAAAGCTTAGCTTCCATGTCAGTTCTCTGGCTGGATCCTTGCTGAAGGGTCCAAGATGACCACTTCCTATTAACCGATACCTCAAACAGTCCAATAACTACTCCCCACCAAGTTTTTTTCCACCAATGGAAGTTTAACTTTTGATATTCTACAAATTAATTACCAATCCCTTTCTTTTTATTCAGAGGAATCTTGTATTAGTGCAAGTGCACACCATATGAAACCCAAAACCCCTATTCCTCCTCACACCCGAACAACAGCCACAGTTATGTGCCTTGGAGCAGCTGTGAACAGCCATGCTTAAGAGTGTGTTAATGGCGCACAGTTAAGACAGGAAAGAGCAGCACTTGCTTTAATTTCCCAAGATAAAGAATTAAACCTGTGACCCCTTGGCTGCCTGTTTGCATATACCACCTCCAGGCGCTCCCTCCACATTAAGTCTGAATTGTATGCCTGCAGCAGGGCAGAAAAATAGCATATGAATGTAATGCATTTTTGATTGAATTTAAAAGGACACAACCATTAATCCCTTAGCAGCACATCACCTGGCTGGAGGGGAAATTCAATATTAAGTGTCTGCAGAAGACATTGTGGGTTTTTTTTAGAATGAGGACAGTGTCAGCAGTCGCAAATTGATGTATTGTACTCCAGACGGCTGAGGATTATTTTCATTCACAGGCTTTAAGCATGTCACACTTGAAATATATTGTTCAGATCCTATCAATCATATAACCCTCATCAATAATCCATTAAGTCTTAAAGATCAACATTTAAAGGCTGAGAAAGGAGAGAGAAGAATCAGCACCATTAAAGAATCACGCCTGAGATGTGACTTAAAAACAATTATATGATGTTCTCGCAACTCTGACTACATGTTACAGTGGTAAAACCCATGTGAATGAAATAATACAAAGTGAGAAAGAATTCCTTTAAAACACAATTTTTTGAACATCTGGGTTTCTGCAGGAAAAGCCTGACGTCGGAACACCAGCATCACGCTGTGTTCCTAAAGTCAGGGGAATGACCCTTTAATGTCTTTTTTAAATTAAGCTTTGAGATCACATAAGAAATCCTGGCAATAAACAGAAGCTCCTCCATCAGCTCTGTGTAGACCCCCCTCTCTCTAACACACACTGCCTCTCTATCTCCCACATACACACAAACAAATACACACATGGGGCAATCAGGCTCAATTGAGAGCATTTCCTGTGCTTCATGTTAATCTTGAGTGATTTTTCCATTACGTCCTCAGCAGCAACCCCTGTGCTCTGTGACAGCTAACCCCTCTCTCTCTCTCACTCTCTTTAACTCTCTCGCTCCCTCATCCCTTCATGTTCCAAACACACATCTGGTCAAACACAAACAAACACATACATAATCATGTGGACACTGTTACACTGGTATATTCATCAAGGCATAAGAGAAAAATCAGGGTTTGGTCATTGATAATATTAGGAAAATAAGGAATAAAATCAAAAGCTAAACATTAAAACATTAGAAACTAATGCGCATCACGCCTGTGGTGGAAAATTTTATATATATATACATATGTGTATATATATATATATATATATATATATATATATATATATATATATATATATATATATATATATATATAAAAATATATATATAAATATATATATATATATATATATATTCGTATATATATATATATATATATATATATATATATATATATATATATATATACACATATATGTATATATAGTGAGCGAATTCTAAAACTCTAAAACTCAAAACAAAGCTTAACAGGTGTTTGCCAAAACCAGCAACCACTGTATCCTCCTCTAAATAAGAGTGATACTGTGGCTTCAACAGGGGTCAAAAATATTTTAAAATATTTCAAATTCACGCAGGAGAAATTTCTATACTTTAAAGGAGTGACACAAATGCTGATAAAAATGACACTGCATTTGACTTTTAAATTTTCTAACATTTAAAATGGCTTAGTAAATTTAGTTCGTATTTTAACGTTTTATCGTTCATGTAAAAGGTGTATTTTCTCATTTAAAAGGCACAGATGAAGACTTTCAGAAATCACCTTATTTTGAAAAAAAATTACTCAAAAAATACTTTAATTTAAACCCCACATCAGATAAATATATTGATCCCAAGAATAAGGAGAATCTCTTTGAGTGTTAAAGTTTTCCCATGTTTCTTTCTTTGGACTAAGTTTTTTAAAAGGACAATTCTTTTTCTTAAAGTGTGATTGACTCGGCGTCACTTTAAATACCATTTTACAGACATTTTTGAAAAGTCGTGTTGTGACAGCCAGTTCCAGAGTGTCAATCTAAAGCTAAGATCCTTAAATTACCACCGCCTGTGGCCTCTACTCTCATTTGACAGGAACATTTAAATCAGCCTCCAAGCCTCTATTATCAATCAATATGTACAGCAGGTATGTTTTTGGTGTCTGAAGCTCCTCAGTGCTGCTACATTTCACATGCTGCATCATGTTACTTGTGTTTTCTAATCAGTATCTTACAATCTCAGACTGTTATGGTCTGTTAATCTTATGGCTTTTAAATAAAAATTTTGAATTTCAGTTATTCCTATAATTTCAGTGGTTGATTGTGATTAACCATGAATTCAATGAAGTTGGAAAATCTGCTATTTTGTATTTCAAAGCAGTTTTTTGGTCCATATTGTTAAAGTATAGAAAGTGTTTTTTTTTTTCCCCTCAATAGTGATTTTAAATCTGCTGACAGTAAAAGTAAAAACTCTCTGATTCAACACATCTTCCATCAAATGACCGAGTTTTGGATTCACTCTCAGGACCGAGTGTTTATCCAGACATGTCTCTACCCTCATAGCTGTCTCAACCTGCTCTGTGGACTCACCTCTCAAAACATTAACATCAGTTTCATCTCATGGGTTTCGGGACAGTTTAAAGACAAGGAACAGAAGAACATGTCTCAAAATGTTCCTCAGTTTTGCAACTGGGAGTAGAACAGATGCAAGCATTGACAAGGAGCTGATGGGACAAAAGGCGAGTATCAGAGGAGTGATGGAGGACGGGAGAAGAGCTGTTAGGAGTGGGAGGCGGGTGAGGGAGGGGGAGAGGAAGTCAGGACATTATGTTCCCAAAACACTTGTTGTTCGTCATCTTCTGGTCACCAAAGTGGGTCAAAGATGAAAGAGAGAGAGAGAGACATAGAGAGAGACATAGAGAGAGGATCAGGTAGCTAAAAAACATCAGTGCAGAGTGTGCGAGCATGTGTGTACTGTATCTGTTGTCCCTGACAACCGCTGACAGATTAATATTCACTATGAAAACATCAGGGCTGACAAAACAATGTTTAAAGATCAAATCATTAATCTTCATGAGTGTGAACACCAAAGGGAGTCAAACCTCTGTGTGTGAAACTAACTCTTTTTTAACCACACAGGTATGTTATTAAAAAAACAGTTCATTTGGATATTTGAATGTTGTACAGAATTACATATTTCTGCACTTATATCCGCACTGTACTTGAATTTGTAAACTGAGGCCTATGCAAATAAAATTTCGTTCTGTATACACCGGCTGCACACTGAATGACAAAAGAGGCCTGTATAAGTCTATCTAAATCAATGGGAATGAAAGATTTGCACAACCTCATTAAGGAGACATCTGGGTAATTAAAATGATTTTGTGCAAAACAACCAAAACAAAACAAAATAAAAACAAACAAACAAACAAAAAAAAACTCCTGTTCAAAACTTTTCAATTTTATGGGTTTTGGTTCCCCCTCTGGCCCTGATGCTCGTCCTGTACATTTATAAATGAGCTGCTGCTAAAAATATAAGACTGAAATATTTCTTGTAGAAAAAACATTGAAATTTTTTAAAATTACAATTACAGCCTGCTGTAAATCAATGTTAAAAATCTCTGTATAGAAACACTCACACTTAGACATCAGCATTAATTTCAGTTCCTTCCATTTAAAAACAAACACAGGTCCTGTTCCAGTTTATTACTATTTGATGAAATCCTTAACAAGGTTTAAAGTTGTTGTCTTTTTTATTGTCAGCACTAGTTTATGGTAGGACTGGATGTTGTGTCTACATTATATTTTTGTTTATGCTTTTTCTGAACAAAATAATAAAAAAAAAAAAACATATTTTCCATCAGGCTTGACAAACATTTACTTCTAGATAACAGAGGTGGGGGTTTGAGACAGGTGCACATGGTAGTAAACTTATTTTGCATCCACCTTTCTTATTTCAAGTCTCCATGAGGTGTGTGTTTGACTTACTTTCTGACTGGGTGGAGCAGCACTTTGAACTTCTCATGTAGCCAAAACCAACATTAAAACAACACAAAAGCTTGGAGCTCCTGGCTCTAATCTTGATGTCGGATTTGGATTAAATTGTGCCAACTCAAAGAAACACGTCCATGCTTTGACCAAGTCGAAATTTTAGGATTGTAACCCGCCTCAGTTAATAAAAGCATCGTAGGACAAACTGTGGGAAACAATGAGTGGGGGTCCAGCAGGCACCAGCAGGACTGGACTTTTGTCGTTCTGAGATCATGTAGCCAAAATAACTGAATCATTTTACATCCTCTGTTTATAAACCGTGGAAGCCAGTTATGTAATGCTCTAATGGTTTTATCCTGCAACATGCTACAGGTTTATGCAACATCCCATCTGTGTTTCATGCATTACCGTCTTCTGTTGGATCTTTTTGAGGAAATATTTACTTTTGGTTAATCCATGGTCTAAATTTTGGTCTTAAAATTGAGTCTAAATGGTCAAAATCATGGTCATGTTTGTGGTTTGCTCACAGAACAGTGAGTTTCTTTTGCTGTATTCAAAGTTCACAGAGGCAGCATAACATTGAAGTTAAACTCTTCACCTAAAGACATAACAGAGTGACGGTCTTTGATTACTCTTGGCTGAAGAATCATTGGTTTTAGAGTTCACTGAAGCTGACTCAGCACATTTTATTGAGGCCAAAGCCAATAAAAATAACCCCGATATACCCGGCAATATACTGATCAGATTGAATAAATACAACTTGATCAAAGACCGTGAAAAATAGGTGACTGTGAGGTATTAGATTTATGTAAAGTTTCAATGCTCAAAGCCAATTTCAACAAAACTGAGGCAGTTTCCAGTTCTTATATGTTTTTCCAATAAGTACAATAATTCCTCACCTCTTTATCTCCCTTTTGGGATATTTATAAACCAATTTAATTGGAAATACTTGAATACCTATCACAAGACAAGACATTTGTGCCAAAGACAAGTTATTTTGTTCAGGTTTGAACATTCTGTAATTTTGAACATTAACCAAGACTACATGTAAGTCCATGTGGCCTTTTATTACAAATACACTGTGTCATTGTATTCATAAGTGGACTTGGCCTGTTGGTCTTGAAGATAAGCTAATGAAAAAAATGCATTAAAAATGCAAACACCAGCAGACTCCACAGACTACAAAAGGTAGTCAGACTGCATATGCTGAGAGTCTATGGGAACAGGGCGCACTTTGGGTTCTGCATCAGAGAAGTTGCATCACTCCTTCAATTATTTCAGGATCTCCAGTTCCATAACTAGAGGGTGAACAATCCTTCTTGGCTCGCTTCTCTTGTCGTCAGAGAGCAGCAATCCTGTCCACCATTTCATCCTGGATCCAGTTTACTTAGACCTCTTTAACAGTGGCATACACTCCTAACCTAACCCTTTTGCTTTTAAAGAGATATTCCGGTGTAAAATTAATTTAGGGTCAAACACCGTAACACAGAGTTGGACACCCCCTCAAGAGATGAATGTTGCCAACCGCTTGCCTCTATAGTTATACCAACTTTAGTAACAACCGCACAATAGCAATACACAGCCATAAACAAACCTCAACCAAGAAGCCACAAATAATGCTCAGAACAGCACCTAACTTCATCAACAGTACATATAGGGTCCTAGCCATCGTACTAGCCACCAAACATATTTTTAACTTTGCCCAATTTCTTTAGCAAAGAGACTAAACACAACTCACCTACTCTCTTCCAGCAGCTGCATGTCTGTAGCGAGAGCTCAGGCCAGTCCATTACGGACTACAGCGGGGTGACGCAGCTCAGAGAAGAACATTTATGATCATTTCTTTATCATTTCCTTGATGTAATAATCATTACATTAATCATTTTGCACTGCAGACGCAGTAGTTCTTCTGCCTTAGCATCTCGGTCTGATTGAATTTCCATGAAGAAATGATCATAAATGTTCTTCCTTGAGCTGCATCACCCCGCTGTAATCTGTAATGGACTGGTTTTATGCTGGAATATCCCTTTAACCAAAGGAATCACAGTTAGTGATTGCTTTAAGAGACAAGAAAAAGAAGGATGATATCTCCTGTTGTTGAGAGTTACAAATTCAAGAACAGGACAGAATCAGTAAGAAGAAAGAACATACTGCTGTGTCCACAGGGGCCGCCAAAATCATAATAAACTAAAGTCCCTCACTGCGGGTTATGAATAATAACGTTGTTGACTCGTGTGGACATTGTTTGAGACTATGGGAAACCTTTGAGCAAGAATGTAGGTTGAGAATGTGAATCTTAAGAAACTAAAAGTGAACTGGTGAGTAGAAATATAGTAAGACTGTAGAGACCGTACTGGTCTTTGTTTCTTTACAGGGCGTTGTCATAAATATATTGTAAAAAAATATGTGAAATACTTCTAATGAAAAAGCAAACATGATATCATGAACACAATCGCCACTAACATCATCAACACACACACAGACACACACACACATTCCTCGCCTATCCTAACATGGGAAACATGGTGCTGAACAAATACACATGCCTGAACACATAACACGCATATTGCATGACAAGGGAATCTAAACAACAAATCACAGCAGAGATTCATGAGGAGAAAACACCGGAAAGAGAGGGTCCTAGTATTCTTTTATCAAGGTTATTTCTGGGAGCGAGATGCCTCAATCAGCTCTGAACCTCCATCCATCACAATGGTGTTATGATTCAATCAGTGTGTAGGTTTTGTGTGACCTGTTGTGTGTTTTTTATTGGTTGACAATGATATTATGGCTGAGGAGTCTGCACACACAGATTAAAAGTAGGACAGCAGGTTGTTATAGACCGAGGTCAATGAGTTAGAGTTTCATAACTAAAGAAAACATTTATTCTGAAAATAGGTTTTTGATTGAACACAAGATCACTTCAAGAACTCCTGACAACAAACAGGACTTTGTGTTCAGTTTTTCTTTCTTCTGTCAGGAGCATGGTTTGAACCACCGAACCAAAAACGGTCACTCGGTTAAAAACCTCAGCATAACAGTCTCTGAGACGCTGAGATCTTCAAGTTCCATCACATTCTTAGATACGCATACTGCTTAACAGCTGAATGGTACAACACATGACAGCTCCATCAATCAGCGTGCACACTGGAAGATCAAGTTTGGTGAGGGACGGCCACGCAGGGAAAATGCATATTCACATGCGAGCGAGTGTTAAGGATGTCAGGATACGCTCATAATACAACATCATTCACAATGCTAGCTTCACAATATCAAAAGATTCACAAAAGATTTTGTCGAGTGTTAGCAAACTAGAGTGTTTTCAAGATTTAGAGAAGAGACTACATCATTGAACTTGTCATCATTTATCTGGCCTTTTTTTTTTTTTTTTAACTTCCAAACATATGAGTAGGGGTGGGATATTTGTCTGGTGATTTATTGTATCGTCACATTTACCAAGTATTGAGTTTTTCAAAGTAATTGTTAATATGAAGTCAAATCTATGATAATGGAAAAATTAAATCAACTGTTTGTCCAGTGAGGTCGGCAGAGGTGACATCATAGAGCAGGAGAAAGTCAGTGCAACAAATATAGCAGCACAAACATTAGGAATGCAAACAGGGCACTAATGAGATGGACCTGACACATAAAGTTTGCAAGATGTGCGACATGAAAATAAAATGCTGTGTAAATAAGGCAAACATAAAGGAAGGCAAATGCTAAATTAGCTAAACAGTTGAAAATTTGTATAAATTGCAATGTATAGTATCGCAAGACTCACTGTATTGCAAAATGTTAAAAATCGCAATAATATCGTATCGTGGCCCAAGTATCGTGATAACATTGTATCATGGGGCCACTGGTGATTCCCACCCCTACACCTGAGTTACTTCATGCTTTGTTTGTTAAAAATAGCTTTTAATTTGAAAAGATCGTGAAGCTGTAAGAAAAAAAAAAAAAAAAACAGATATGGTCAACAAATATTCTTTGTAGACCACATATGTAACACTGATTGTGCATTATCACCTGGTAAATCCTTATCTAATACTGCACTGTCCGGCAGAAAGTGCCCTCCACTGTTATAAAAAGGTACTGCAATGTATTTTCATCTCACTGATTTGAAGCCTTTCCCATGTGTACTAGTGATGCCGTGCATTTCCACATGGTTTCAGGCCTGTAAGCCTTTGGTTATCATGATCAGAGAGGGATTGGATACTTATGATCAAAGTAATTATAGATCATCTTGGGAAATAAATAAATAGGAGCGCCAAATGTCCTTGCATTGCATCCAGCAAGGGTCCAGATATATCTTCAAACACTGCAAATGTGCACTAGACTGAGAGTTTGGATTGGTTAAACCACATGGAGTCACGCTTAAGGCATCATGAATGTGTGCACATTTATTTTTTTTAAACATTGCAATATTTTATGTGATATTTTGAAGAACATTACCCAAGTCCCAGCAGCAGCTGCTGTTGGATGGCGCAAAATACAACAGCATAAAGTTCAAATGAAGAGTCAATTGTGAGCCACAGTTATGTAATTATTATTCAGCTTTCTTTGGAAGGGTTTTAATAGTTTCCCGGTGTTGCAAAGCCTGGCAGTGATTCAAGTTTTGATCTGGGGTGTGTCATTAAAATCAATCATCAAACCAATTGGCAAAGTTATATTCGTCTTTTTACCTCAGTTTCCCAAATACACAGAGGTAGTTAAAGAATATTGTGCTCACTCCTAAAAGACTTCTACATCTGTGTCCCCGCAGTTTACTTTTGCTTTAAGGTAAATAAGTTTATGACAGAATACCTCAGCTGCTAAATGAAGCATCAAAACAACTGACAGGCAGTTCAACGAGTTCAACACAGAGAGTTGAGATTACCAACGATGCGGTCAGTTCTTTTGTAAAGCCCAGGACACATGAAAGACTGGACCAACCAGGGCAGGCAGATCTGTTTTCTTCGCCGGTGAAAACAAGAACTACTGGCTGATACTTGGAGATGTTTCGAACATTTTATGATGTTGGAGTTTTGTTTCTAAGCTCAAAGATTTGGGTCACATGAGCCACACATACAGTAAACGCCACACAAAATTTCACAGAAACTAAATGATCAGATGAGTTTAAGTTCTGTGGAAATTCTTGGTAAGTGCACTTAAGTTGAAGTTCACAGTCCCTCTGTTCATTAATTCAGAACTTTACAGTCAGTGTGTCTTGTATTTTTTGCAGGAGGCATGGTTTTCTCTGTAATAGAGATGCATATCACAGCCAGAGGCTTGACATCAAATCAGCAGCTCCATCTTGCCTCAAAGTGTAAAGAACAGAGAAGATAGTTTGATCAGGTGAAGGTCTGATGCTAAGCGTTGACACAGTTACCTGTAAACGACTCCGTGCCGGTGGAGGAACATTAGAGCAGATGTCACCTCAGCTGCGTAAAAACGAGATCGAGCTTCATCAAACTTTCTTGATCGCTGGATCTGGAACATCAGGTCACCTCCGTTAACGTACTCCATCACGAAGAACAACCGGTCCTGAGGAGAACAGATGAAAACAGATTTATTTACTTTGTTTTCTAATGTGTATAAAAAGACATTTTTATACACACAAGTTCCTAACAAATTCAAATGACAGGGTGTAAAAGATGGATTGAAGTTCATTTCTAATACTTTAAGATGGTTAATACCAGGTACATGAGATCATAAATAATGAAGTCGGATAGGATAGAATACTTTATTTATTATTCATTACACTGTCACAGCAGCTACAGTCACAGTCAGACACAACATCAAACAACAGCATCACAGACATCCAGACACATCAAAAATTCACTAACATACAAACAAAACATTGAAAATTACCAAAAAGAATTCAGATTTCAAGAAAAGAGACCTTGAAACGTACAAAAATGCCCAATATGCAAAAGTATTCAGAGTGCAACTCTGTTGTGAAGTGTAGAAAAATAACTGGATATCTCACTAAAACAAAAGTCAACAGTTATATAAACTGACGTAGGCATATACTTAGGAGCATATACAGCTGCTCCTGTGCACGAGTGTGTGTTGTTTTCACTCTTGCTCATTAAACAGTCTGATGACTGCCGAGAGACGGGACCTTGTCCCAGAAAAACAGTCAAATGTGAGTTCTTACAACATTTTACAGCTCAGGATATTTAGCATTTCAACTCTGCCCTCAGCCGACAAAAACAAAAATGTGCTGCAATATGACTAACACTGATTGTCTCCACTTTTATAGAGTCCCCTTCCTGTGATACACACGCACACACATATTGAATAAAAAAAAAAAGAGAAACTGTATACCACGCCCTCTGAGCTCTATTCTCTTGGTACTGAAAATGGACTTTGAGGGAAAATGGCCTCCTTCCTGAATTCCAGCCTGCTTTCTTCATATAGGAAATAAGAGAGGAGAAGCTGTGTGTGTGTGTGTGTGTGTGTGTGTGTGTGTGTGCACGTGTGTATGGAGGGGGAGTGATATAAACAGCTCCGTATATAAGAAACCCAGAGCAGTTCCTCTGAGCCATTGTATAAGCCCTGAGGGTCACATTGTTAGCAGTTTAAGACACACTCACGTGCAGTATGTATGGATTATAGATACTGTACATCCATGTGTACACACGTTTGAAGCCTCATTGTATTTATATCACACTAAAGGGAGCCCCCTAGAGTTAAGGAGTATAGCTAGGTTTGTGGACTCCAGTGCAAAAAAAACATGTACATATATCTGTAATATGACTCTAATAGTTCAGTGCGCCTTAGTGTCAACATTAAAGAGCAAGAACTTTTCACTTAACTGTCTTGCTTAGGTTCATGACTGAGATGTATGTTTTTTTTTGTTGTTGTTTTTATGGTGTGTGTGTGTATGTGTGTGTGTGGGGGGGGTTAAACCAGTCAACACCCTTAAAGCTCCAAATGTGTCATGGAAAGCCACAGAGGTCCTCATATGCTGACCCGTTTATGGTTGAATCAAACTTCCCTTTACAACAGCCGAGGGTCCATTCTGGTCTTAAGTTTGAGGCATGCCATTCTTCCATTCAGGAAAGATCAAGAATGAACGAGGAAGCCATGAGAAATGCTACACTGCAGCTTTGTTGTAACTCACAGGCTGGTAACAACAATACTTTCTCGTCAAGCTTGAAATGACTGATATCATCAACCACAATAACACCATCTTTGAAGCCCAAGGGAGCCCAAGCAAAACCATAGCCAAGGCTGAGTCCATCTTTTTATTTTGTTTTAGGGGTGCCCTGATGCACCTTCATTACTACCGATACGATACAGATATTATAGCCTTCGGTATTGGCTGATACCGACATTGGCACAAAATTATGTCTTTTTCAGACTTCAACGAAAAATACTGCCTCACTCCATCATCAGTCCTACTACTTGCTACTTATTTTGGTACCTTAGTACACACTGTTATTGTGATTACATGGCTCTGCATGCTAGATCCGGGCGCTGCTAGATAAAGGTGCTGGAGTGGAGTCTGGAATGGATTGCTTGTATTGGAGTGCTGATATTGGAGCTTTAGGACGCAGGCCGACATAATCTGATATTTGTATTTTTGCTTATATTGGACTGATGTCCAATATCAATAACGTATCAGGACATCCATATTATTTTTGGCTTAGAAACAGGATTCAGAACCAGCAACTGTAGCAACAAGGACAATAGCCTCTGTATATGACATATGCACATCAACTGCTTAGTCATAGCAGCAGTTTTTTGTACTTTGGACTTTCATGTTTGTTTTGAGAGAAACTACAGTGGATAAAACAAAACGTAAGAAAAAGTGAGGTAAGACATGCAACTGAGAGCTGATGTTGGAAATCCATTTAGGGATGTCATTTCAGGACTGTAGTTTCTGTACATGGTATGCATGATTCAAACACTGAGATAAGCTGGTATCCTAAAACTGTCTTCATCATGAGTGACAAAGACCTGTAGGGATTAGGGTAATTTCCTGAAAACCACAATAAAAGTTCAACAAACATGAATTAGGAAATAAACAACCAGGTTTGGGAGTGGTTATGACAAGCTTTTGTCTTTGTATTGCTGATTGTATGGGGGGATTATTCCTGTAACTGTGCACTTGCTTCCTGCTTCTCCTACGATGAAAACAATTACAACTGGGATGACTAACAGTGAGCAGTAACCAACAGGTCGACTTAATCATAACCCTCATTTCCTCTGCTAAGTTTAACTGCATCATTTCTGCACCATCAAAGCTGCAAAAGAAATTGATTTTAAAAGTACATCTCTATTCAGCATTCAAAAATATGAAAAATAAAAAACAAAACAGCAGAACAAACAAATATATGCAGTTTTAATATAGTCTTAAGTATAACACATCTATACTGAGAAAACTGTGGCTTTCTTGTAAGCAAAAAGGCATTTTTGCAAATCTTAATATAGAATCTATGCAGTAACGCAGGGTGCCTATCAAACTGTAAAAGCAATGAGCTAGCTTGTGGATTTTACCTATTTAATGACCCTCTTCAAAAGCACATGTGTGGACAAGACTAGCAAGTGTTACTTTTTATGGATTGTTGCTTGTTTTGGAAATACTTTAACAAGTAAACATAGTAAAGCAATCGGGTAATGTGAGAGCTGCAAGTGAGAAGTGAAAGTGTTGTACCAGTGATAAAGAATCTGTGACTAAAGGCATGGTTGAGGATTGGAGAGATTGGTAATTATTATGAACCTCATTTACAGGGCGATCATGGTCCTCTAGTGCGATCTCTGCATAGTAAAGAGAAAAACTAATGGAAAAAATCTGTTCACCTTAGCAGGTGCAGGGCTGCAAAAACATTGACCAATGGGAGCCATCTGTCCCGGACAGCTCCTATTGGTCAATCTCCTGCTCCACCTCTCCATCCAATCACCTCGCTGTATTCGACACCCCCGCTTCTCAGATCGTCAACCATTCCTTTAATGTAGACTAGCTATAACCAATCCATCGGGACAAAGACAGTCCAAATCACATCTGTGCATTCCCAAGCATTGTTTGATACTCAAAGATCATGTGGAGTTGCTCTTAAAGGAGCTGTATTTGATTTCTTATGATCCAGCGAGGCCTCTAACCTAAATACCTCGCCCAATAAATTCCACCACAAAAGAGGCTAAACCAACATATTAGTGTCTAAATCCTTTGTAAAAGAGTGTACATTTTTGGTAAACTTTGGACAGCAATACCATTATGAAAAGTTTCAAAAACAGATCATGGGCAAAAATAAGTGTGATAATAATTGTAACATGGGAACTAACGGAGATTCTATGGCTTTTGAGGCTAGCCTCAAGTGGACTTGAGAGGAACTGCAGTTTTTTGCAATTCTGTATTGGTTCCATTTTTATTAACTCCAGACTTGCCCTTTAGTCATATTGTGATTTTTATTGATATCATATAAACTTGTGGTGTCCCTCTGCTGAGAAGACTGATGGAAATTCAGAAGAGTTCAGCTGCTCACCTCAGCTGATGCAGACTGTCGAGGTTCACTACATCTCATTTAAGTTTTTAAGCTGACCCAAGGCCTCTTTTTTCTTTTTCCTTTTCCTCCACCAGTGTCAATTTAAAGGGGCCTCAGGATCTGGACTGGGTCTTACATAAGTGGCCCGTGGTCAACCTCGGTCAGTATTCGCTCTCTCCCTTCGCTCCCTCTGAAAGCGACTTTAAACAGGATGTTGAAATAGTTTGTTTAAATGTACCCAGAGTACCGGCTGGTCCCACCCAATCAAACATGAATAAACATTTCCTGAGTGTAATTACAAATGTACAGATACTGGTTTCCCGCTGTGCGCACATACAAACGCACAATAACACACACATACACACACGTTCGAATACACACATATATGTATACATTCAGCGTTCTATAGGTACCACCCAGATGATCCCTGATCCAGGTCTTGATGGTTATCGTCCACTCATGCATGCTGTGTGATTAAACATGTGCCCTCTTCATGCCACCCAGATGTAATGTATGTGAGACAAGTCGAAGCCTGTATCCCGTGAAACCATTCACTCACACTTTATTTTTCTTTGGACTTACACGGACGCACACACACACACCCACCCACACAGATTAAAATAATAAACACACAGGGATGTTGTACATTATCAAACATCAGACATAGCAAGTACATTTTTTAGCCTGAGCAAAGTTGTAAAAAACGATAAAGGCAGCAGTATTCAAAGTGTTGACAGCCTGCCAGGGATTTTTGCAACGTGACAGTGCAACATATTTGTAAAAATTATGATGCCTCTTGCAGTGTCTTTAGGCATTAATTTCAACGGTGCTGCTTCAGTATGCAAACATTTTTAAAGAAGAGCTAAATCTTTGGTTAGTGTTTGCAGTAACATTCAAAACAAAGACTTCATTCACAGAGCAGCCCAAAGTGACCCATATCCCTGCAGTGTCAACAGAAAGTGGAAAACCTCAAAGCCAGATTTAAAGACGCTCTCTAACCAACATGGTGGTTGGATCACTTGCGTTTATTTGAATGAGCCTGACCATATTGACTTACAAACAGGTCGATTAGCAAGTTTTACCTCAGCTGATGAGATATTCACCTCTCTCAAATGTCAGCCAGATAGTCATTCATGGATTTCTGCATAAAAACTTGAATTAGACTAAACTTAGTGGCAGCACGCCATGTTCACTTCTGAAAACACTGTGATACGCATGAAAATTATGTTGCTCTTTTGCACATGCAAATCAGTTGACCTTTATCTGTTGACAAGGTAGTTTGTCTGGAAATTTCAAAAGAGGTCAAAAGCTTACAAAACTCAGATCTGATTACTAAAATCATGTAAGCAAGTAATTAAAAATAATCAAGTAGGTCTGCAGCATAAACATGTCACCATAGTCTCATGATTTACAATAAGCTTAACTCATTCTGTTCAACACTCAAGTAAGTCCCAACAGCTACACCAAAAAAGCAGAAAGGTTTGAAGTTCACAGAACACTGAAGTCGTCAATAATGACAAATCCTTCTGTGGACCTGGTGAAAAACATTGAATACTCAAGTAAGCTTCATTATAGGATTGGCGGTATAACGGTTTATATTGTGTGGCGGTATTAATGTGTCTACCGGTAGAAATCTTGCTATACCATTTATACCGGAGAGAGGGAGCAGATGTCTGCTGCATCTCTCTGAATCTGTGTGTAGTTGTCTGCGCTTGCTAACAGGAAAGCCGAAGCGCGTTGGTTTGGCTGTGTTTCCATATATTTCCAAACGTGTCATGCGGAGTTTGTTCACTCTGTTTGATTGGTCAGGTTTGGGTACGCTCCCTATAATCACCAGTGTGTCCAGCAGACTGCATGGCATACTGCATTTTGTTTGCATTTGTATACAAATTCATTTGTATACAAATATATACAAAATGAACAAATGTGACAGTATGGTTATTTTTAAGCTATTGATTGAATTTTCACTGTGAAAAAACATACTTTGATATATACTGCTACCATATGAAATTACTCATACTGTGATTTTGTTCATACAGCCCAACCCTATCTCATTACCTCTTCTTCATGTACCAATACAAACTTAAACCTGCCAAAGTAGGGTATCTATGTGTGCTTCTTCATGACAATATGAGCCTCTTTAATACGGTTGCAGTAAACACACTTATCTGAATCAGTAAACATGAGGAACAAGAACAACAGGAGGGACTTGAAATGTTGTCTATGTACATAAACATAACCTGGATTGCTCTATTTCTGGAAGTGCTCTATTTTTTCTTGGAACACACAAGTGGTGTGTGTGTGTGTGTGTGTGTCCAGATGAACACACTTTTTCACCAGGGTTTTCAAAAGTAATGTAAGATCACACTGTAATTTCCTCATCAATTCCCCTACATCTTAATTGTCCTTATATGTTAATGATCCTGAAGGACGTGAACTTTCTCTTTAAGGAGTGTTTTCTTTTTTTTTTTTTTTTTTGCACTGATGATGGCAGCAGGAAATGACTGTAATTGGGGGACAGAGTGTATTGTGTGTGCACAGCCCTGGAACCAGATCAAGAATGTCTGTCCCTAAAAACCTCTTGCTGGTGTCCAAGTATGGAGCAACCATCCAGTGTGGGGCTGAAAGAAGCCAAACACTCTGAGAGACATGTGGGGCATCAATACACAGCAAGTACTCTAATGACCATTCCAGAAAAGTCATAAGGAAACGTGAATTAAACCAATCAGCCAGTATTTTAAATCACGTGTGTGCTTGATCCAGAACTGATACACAGTCAGGAGTCCACAAATGGTGTTTTATTTTGAAATGTACCAGATGGCATGCGCAGTTTCCGTGCTTGACATCCTGTCTAAAACGATCTTCTCCGTGTAGATTGACGCATGTTGAAAGCGTAGAGCAGTGAAAATAGACTTGACGCATATCTTTTGCAGAGCAGCACAAGACATGCTTCTGAGACGTGTCCTTGATTAGAACGGCAACCTGTTTTCTGCGTGACATGCAACGCTGACACAAGTCAGCCCTATTTTCTAGGTGTAGAACAGCACTATTATATTAGATGCAGTATGTCCTCTATCATGATTTACATATGGGGTAGTGGAAGCTGTCCATTGTCTATGCAGGATATACAGAAGTGTCCACTGTGTTGTCTGGACTAATTGTCAACAACAGGTTGATGTTTTCTCCTGAAGGACATGTATACATGGTGCATGTATAACCTAAAAGGTTTGCTCTTATCTGCCACCTTTTTGCAGGTTCGGTTGAGGTAAAGCCTTTGTCTGCCACGGTTTGTCGCGAAGGAATGCATAGAGTCAATAAGGGCCCTTAAGAGTATAAAATTCCTCAAGTCTGTGTGATTGCCTGAACTTGATCGTCAGCACAGCCAACATACAGAAAATCTACTTGTGGCTGTCGTCCTGAAAGGAACAACGCTCCACTTTCTCAACACTGACACATATTTGGCCGCACAACCTGTGCTGACCTACACCTTATGAAACGTGTGTGTGTGTGTGTGTGTGTGTGCATGTGTGTGTGTGAGTTCACTGTTTTTGCATGCTGAATTTGCTCCCACTGTCATTCTTCATGATGGCTGACAGGAGTTAAATGTTCATCAGGGTTGCTGCTTCTCCCACAGAGGGTTTTCTCACTTTCGTTTCTTTGGATTAAAAGGAAACTTGTGTGAGCAGTTTGTCTTTATTAGTTTCATGAGAAAAAGCCTTGGTGGAAAATCAGGACCTTATAAAGCCCTGATCAAGTGCAGTGTGCAGATTGTGTAATTTAAGATAACAGAAAAGAGGTGATCATTGTTTTCTGAATATTTTTATTCTCAGCATGCTACCTTTGTTTGATGAGGGGCTGTTTTTAGGTTTGTTATCAAGAGAAAAAATGCTTTCCTGACAATGGTCATACAGACAATGCATGTGGTGTGGGAAAACACATGATATTATATAGCATTGCCTTTACTCATGTAATGCATTATTAATGCACTGGGGCACCTAACATAGATCTTTATGTTTAGGGGAAAAGATCAGATCACACATCAGACTCAGATTTACTAGGTAAGATTCCTGGCAGTGTTCAGACATGAATAAGAGCAACAAAGACAGAGTGAGAAAAAGCCAGTGGGATGTCACTTTCAAACCCAAAAGGAGGATGTCACTACATTTTACATTGAGATGACAGGAAAAGGTCAATCATAGATGGACTTCATGTGCCAAAAATGTCCTACATTATTAAAAGGGAAACACATTCCTATGTGCTTCTGTGTTTATGCTAAAACTCCAAATACTTAGGCTATCATCTTTGACACAGCAGTTGCTGGTCCAACTCTCAGCCACAACCAGAAGGGGTTGAGTCTTATATCAGCTGCTCACTGACAGTCAATTTCAGTCTTATTGTTATTTTATTTTTTGTCTTTTCTCTGTCCCTGTATCAGAACTGTAGTTAAGTCAAATATGTGTCTATAGGACATTTAAAACAGCCCGAGCTGATAAAGGTGCTTCCTAAACATGAGCAGATTAAACAGAATTAAAGGATCTGTACCATTCAAGATCAGGGGTCAAGATTTTGACTCTGACAAACAAATCTCTCCTATTGAATTATTATTTTAAGACTGTTTCACAACTTGATTAAGCTTTAACTTTGATGAAGCATTTGCCAAATTTCTATTAGTCTGCTTACCATGCTTTGCACAAAAGCTGGTCCTTGTTTTTCCTATGATACATACTTTTTAAGTCTGTTTAATAAAGATGTCATGCTTTTGTTACAGTATGAGTTAAGCATTTAGAAATCATTAATTTGTATGTTGTGGTGGTCTAAATGAACTCATGCCCAGGTGCTACGTGGTAAACTTTGCCCTCCATCTTTGCTTGCAGTCATGCGCCATGTCTGCCTAACTGTGCGCATCACTGTGTGTCTGCCTGTCTCTCTATCTGTGTATTTATCTCCCCTTGTCTGTCCATCAGTCTCTGTCCAAAACAGAACAGAACAAAGGTTCATTAATGTACCTGGTCTGTTTCTGTTGGGCTCTACCTCCTCTGATCTTCACAAATTACTGTTCATTAAAAAACACTTACACTGTAATCTGTCTCTTCCCTTCTTTAATGCTGTCTAAAACCAGCTTTCGCTGTTTTTTCTTAATCCTACTATATCCCCTATATCTCCTTAGACTGCCTCATTCATTTCTTCACTCCCTGACTCCTTCTCTGTGTGCGGCGCAGAGCGAGGCCCAGCACTACTGTTGTATAATGTTATTTACATTTCTGAACTGTAATTAGGCTGATAAGGGAACGGCTGCGATCCCACAGTCGATTAAAAAGCAAAGAGGGAGGGAGGAGAGGGAAGAACGAGGGAGGGTATAGGTAGGACACGGGTTACAAAAACAGAAAACTTTATTTAACTTTGGTGACTTTCAGAGCTGCAAATAGCTTTTTCTTCAAGAAACTACAAAACAGAATCTAAGAAATCATTGAATGGCTTAAAACATACAGGGAAGCAAACACATTTTATAAATTCTATTTTAAAGAGACTTGACCCTTAAAAAGTGACTCAAGTAAGAGTGAGGAAAGAGACGAGCAATTTGGAATTCTAACTAATCAACTTCAGGTGTGAGTGTTTAGTCAACAAAATGATTTAAGGTCATCCCCCTCACAAATCAGCACCAGATTTACCAGTCTGTTCACATATTCATAGGCTGTACCAATACCACTTGCCATTAGCTAAAAAACATCTTTGCTAAGATGCTCTCCTATCTGGATGTAAATAAACACAGCTGACAGTTGGCCCTTTGTAGCATGGCACGGCTTGTCTTTTGATCTACTATATAAGGATAAATTGAAAAGCTGAAACAATGCAACATCAGAACATCCTTTTTTGTGTCAAACTGAAATTCACCCAAATTCAAATTCACAACATTTCAGTGTAGTGGGCAAAAGTCAAGGTCACCCAAGCATCCTAGACCTAAACAGTTGATCTATGTGCAGCAGGTGGAGGGACACGGAAGTGCTGCATATGCACAAAACAGCAAAGTTAGACTAAAGCTGAGCTAAGCTAAATGTTAGCCTTAACCTTTTCTGCAGCAGGTGATAGAAATGAAGCAAGGGGTTAAACCAAATAGGGTCCCCCAGTGAGTTCTACAGTCAGAACATTTTCACACACACAAGGTTAAGTTGAGTTACAGTCATAGTTCAACAAGGCTATTTAACCGGACTACTGTCCTTGTCCCATTTTACAAGCATAGGGCAAGAATCATGTCGGCCTCTACTACAGTAGGTGGCAATATTCCCTCTTTAAGCTTGTTGCTTTGTGAGTGCATGCCTTTTCATGTACAACCACTACTTAATTTCCTGAACAGCTAAAGTTGCTGTGGACTAATTGAGCAGCAGTTTTGTGCAACATTAATAACAATTATCAATATAAAATTTTTCCTCATTACTCACAAAGAAAGAACTGCCAGACTGAGACTCTTTGAAATTCGGCTGTGCTAACAACTTGCACCAACACCAAGTTTAAGGATTAGTGTATTTACATGAAAGATGTTCATGCTTTATCAGATACTTTATTTAACTGCTTACAAACAGACAAAAACTTCAAAATGACACATAGATGACCTCCTAGTCCACCTACCACAGTTGACTGCAGTCTCACCCTGTATCGTCATGGCCAAATGAGTTGATTCGCCAGTTCATAAGTGGATGTAGATCAGACTGGCAACAGGCCGAGTGGAACCGAAGTTATGTAAGAGGCAAAGAGCAAGCCCACAGTCAAGCTCAGACTGTCTGTGTGTGTGTGTCTGTGTTTGTAGGTTTGTTTAATGTTATCACAATGAGTCCAGAGACATAAGTGTGTTCTGAAGGGAGTTGGATGGGAGGGGAGGGGTAGGGGTGAGTGGGTGGGTGATGAGGGCGGGGTCACCAAGCATATGAAATACACATCACGTCCCTGATAAGGATCAAAGCCGTTATATAAGAGCCACAATCCCTTTGTTTTGCTCAAGAAAACACTTGCAATCGCCCCTGTCTGCTAGCAGGTGTGTGTGTGTGTGTGTGTGTGCACGGTTATGTGTGTTTCCATTTATGTACCAGACATTCAGAGAAAAAAAAAAGGGGGAGGGGGAAGGGCAAAAGAAAGAAAGGAAAGTAAGAAAGGAAAGATGTTATGTGACATCCCAGTCTCACTGTCTGTTATTCTCAGATGTTTGTGTTTGCTTCGGAGGAAAACAACAGGAATAAATAAATAAGAGGAACAGGAGACGCCATCATTAGACGCTAGGTTTCCAAAACATTCAGAGAAAATAAACAACAGTTCAAGCAATATAAAAATGTCACGCACTCCACTTTTGCTCCTTCTGAACTGGCAGACTTTCCTGACAAAAATTTCTTAGTGGTGACACAGATTTGTTTTGGTCTCTTGAAAAGGATCTCTCAAGTCTTTACGAAAGGTCTCACTGTCTTTTACTGTGGTGGATGATGGCAGTCTGAAGTACTAGAAAAGCACTCGGAGAGCGCAGACCTCTGCCAAGCAGCTCATGTCCTCCCTTACATTGTGATTCACACCAAAATTTTAACTGTTACGTGTCTCTTATTAACTTTTATTTGTGTTTAAACTGGTATGTTCACTGTTCATAATATTCCTAAAACAAGAAATGCCCTGACCCCGATTCGAAACCCAGGACCTTCTTGCTGTGAGGCGACAGTGCTAACCACTACACCACTGTGCTGCCCATTGGTTATCTTTCAGCATTGAAAATTCCAACGACACCCTTATTTTTGTATGTTCTGGATCACAGTATCCAGAATTTTGTCTGGATCAGGATCAACCTATGAGACCTCATAAAACTCATTGAGATCCTTTTGTGTAATTTTTTACTAAAGACTCTGGCCATTTTTATAGAGTTAAATGCAAAAATTCCAAAATTTGCCCTATCTCACAATGAAAACTAATCCTTCAAAAAATTCCTGGATCCAGAAGGCGATCCGGATCACCACCAAAAAGTAATGGGATCCTCCTGGGGCTGAGATGCACCTCTGGTGAAAATTTCAGGTCAATCTGTCAGTAACTTTCTCCGTAAAGTTGCTAACAGACAAACAAACCAACCAACAAACAAACAAACAAACCAACACCAAACCAACGCTACCGAAAACATAACCTCCTTGGCGGAGGTAATAAATCAGATACAAAAAACACCAGTTCCCAAAGCCTTTTGCAGCTTGATATACTCCCTTCCCCTTATTCGTCCTTGTTTTTCATTTACTTGTTTCATGGTATATGTCTACAGTCTCTATTTATATTATTATTATCATTATTTTATTTTTAGTCCAGTTTTAACTTTTTCTCATGTTTTAATATACTACCTCTCTATTCATTACTACTCTTATTTTATCTTATCTTATTTTATTATCTATGTATTTATTTCTCTATCTTTTATCTGTCGTCTATCCACCTTCTTCTTTTTCACCTTCCTGATGTGATGCAGTCAACCACCGACTGCCAATCTTTAACTGTCCATTTTTTTGACTGTCGATTTTCCTTTGTCTGTTTCTGCCTTTGTTTGTTACTTCTGTTAAAGCACTTTGCAATATAAATTAAGTTATTCTTACTAATACTATTACAACTTATCGTTTCAATATTGTTGGATCGAGTCTATGAATTGATTCTATTTCAAACTTACATAAAACGATTGGCAGATTCATCTTTTAATTTTGGTCAAGGTACAGTAGACTGAAATGATCTGTTTCCATTATTAGTACCCCTGAACCCATCTCCATAAGGTTTCTTTGCGTTCCCATTCATGCAGCTCCTGTTTTGTTCATAAAAGTGAACACCTGTGCAGTTTTCTCTGCGCCGTTAGGCTTGACCTGCAGTCAAAGAACTCGTCACTGCGACACAACATGTGACTTGTTCCTTCGGCAGGTCGTCAAACTGGAAAAATACACACCTGGCTGTTTCACACACACACACATGTGCACCAGCAGCGAATGTATAGAGTCTCTATATACTTCCTGACAGGAACACTTATGCAACATATGGTAGACAAAACATACAGCGGCTCTGAAGAGGGCTGTAGTGTTTACTGCAACCCATCCACAGGTGCCCTTTGTGTGGCCGTCTGTTAATATCCACTTACTGTATGGATGGGGAAATTATCCACTAAGTGAGATGATGAGAGGAGAGTGGAGAGTGTGTTAAAGAGAGCACAGGGACTAAAGCTTGTTTTCCACTAAACTGATTGTAAATGCTGCATTAATGACTCCAGTGTTACTGACAAACAAGCACAGTGTGACTTTCAATCAGCAGTGCAGTGTTGTGTATCGCACGCTGGTATGAAACCAACATGCTAACCCCAGCGGTCGATAATCACTGAACATACAAGGCAGTACTTATAAAACTGAGCAGTATTTTCCCTCACATTTTTAGATTTTCTGGACTTTCTATCTGCTCTCACCTTGTTTATTTCATTTACAGCTTTAAAAGTTTAGAGTTGTTCTAGCCTTGGCCTACCAACTCTTCATAGAAACATGAGGCACGAACAGCTGAAACTCAATACATGTCGTGTCTCTCATATTGTTTCATCCGACCAATTTAGTGTCCTGGCAAGCATTCAGTGTCCAGCACTTCTACCAAAAAACAAAAAAAATATGAGAACTTGAGACATTTTTCTTTTCTGTTCCACATCAATCATCTCTCTCCTCCTTTCTTTAACAGGACTCATCCGCCAGGTTTGAAATCACTTTTAAGGCTCATTTGCTCACTGTACATACAGATCCGGATACGGACGGGGCTCTACGTCCGTGCTTCACATTCTTTTTGTCCGTATTTCTGCACGTATCCTTTAAGTTTACAGATACGGGCCAGATGGAGCGGTACGACCGGAAACCATGGGGGCAGTGTTGCTGCTGTCATTAACCTATACGCATCTCTGCAGAGAAATAAAGAAGGCAATAGCGGGGCTTTTTGAAGATTGTTGTCAATTCCTCTCATTGGTACCACTAGAGAAAATAATTCTCCATCCTTCAACTGGGAGGCATTTAGTTGCCTGACTGACCACCGCCTCCTCCAACGCTGCCTCTGTTTCAGTTTCCTATGCAAAATTTACATGGTCACTAGCTTCTCCACAGTCGCCATGTTTCTTTTTGTTTGTTGTTGTCAGAAACTTTTGACTACGGTCTGCCACTTGGTGGATGTAAGGGTTTACATCAATGCCAACGTAAAGGACGCATGGAAGTATGTGGGCAGTGACGGAACCATCGTTTGAAACGGATGCATACATTTTCATACGTATGGCGAGCATAAATGAGCCTTTAACATAAAACACAAGTGGAGATTAAACACACAGTATTAAACACCTGAATTCTCGCTAGAAATAATTAAAATAACATATTCACTTATCACTAAGTTAATTAAGATATTTCTCCAACCCTTTCTACACCCTGGACTTTTCATTTGAAACCAGTTTGATGAAAAACAACGTCAGACCACAGATTGAAATTTGGTCCACTGCTGCTCCCTGGAGGTACATAGTATGTCTGCAGGCCAATGTTACTGTGTGTGTGTGTGTGTGAGTGTGAGTGTGTGCGTATGAGAGGGGGCTCTTACTTTAGTCTGGAAGCAGCAGAAGAGTTGTGTCAAGTACGGGTGTTTTCTAGCCAGGGCAAGGATCCGTTTCTCCGTCAGGGTGCAGTCCACATCATCGTCCTGCAGGATCACGTCTTTCTTCAACACTTTGACGGCGTAAACCTCGTCACTGCCTTTTAGCTCCGCCAGCATCACCTGCTCACATGAAACAGAGGAGGCATTTAGTTCGATTGATTTTCATCTTTTTTTCCTCACTTCACCTCAAGGCATACTTATTATTTACCATTCGCAACATATTTTGGGATAACAGCCAAAAAATTGAAGCACAAACCTGAGCTGATTAAGAATTTGTGGACAAAAGTTTGAACGCTCACCTTTCCGAAGCTTCCTTTTCCAAGAACTTTGATGAACACAAAGTCATGCAGCTTCATCCGCTTGATCTCTGCAGTGCTGTGACCTTTGACCTCTCCATTCTCCCGTCTTCCCTCACCCTCAGCTTTCACACATCCTCCATTCCCAGCTCCCTGGCTGTTGCCCGTTACCGTAGCAACAGATGAGGCAGAGGAGAGGGGATGTGTTTTGTTCTCCTCCCCGCGGTGGTCAAACGACAGAGCTTTGCGGATGTTCTCCAACTCTTTGGCATCTGAACAGAAAAATAAAAGTCAGGCAAGTTGTGGAGGTGATCTGTTCTGAATTTATATGTGACAAGCAGAACTTTTGCCACCTTGGTCACACGGGGAGGTGGGGGCTGATCTTGAGCGATCGTCCTCAGACTTAGGCGTCCCTGACAACGGCTGCTGAGGGTCCTGACCCTGAGGAAGCTGTTTGAAAGAGACAAAAACAAGTTATTAGGAATCTAACAGTCATCATCACAACTTGAACAAACCTAAATTTGAAACCTCCTTTTTTCTCTTCATCTTATTTTGGTTTTAAATAGTCTTTTCTGGAGCTCATAAAGTATAAATGAAGTTCACAAAGCCTTTTGAACTACTTTCACAGGCTATTAATCTCAAATAGAGCCGGCAGACTTTTGTCTGACTCACCTTTTTCCGTCTCTGCGCACTGTTGGAGATTTTGTCTGGTGTGACACCAAGGTCAGAGAGGACTTTAGCAATCCCCCTGGCATCCACACCACAGTTTGGGGCTACATTACTCTCACAGCGTCTGTGTACATTCACTTTACACACTGAGACACAAACACAGACAAAGGAGAAGTTTTGATTTTATCATTTAGAGTAAACATTTGAAGGAGCTAAATTTTTGTCCTGTTCGATAGGTATGATAAAGAGCTGAGGATGTTTTCTGCATTCTTGTAGCCATAACGTCATAGAGACGGGCGCTGCGTGTGTTTGTACCTTTACACTGAAGTCCCTGTCGCAGCAGACCCCACAGCAGAGAGCCACAGTGGTCACAGAAGGTGAGAACTTTAAAGTTATGGATGCTGAACTTGTGCGGCACGTTGACACTGAACCTCTGAGAGCCGACAGTCTGCAAGAGGGAAAAAGAGAGCACTGAGACAAACCTGCAAGAGTCTATGCATTACTTTTACCCATAAATTTAAATACATATATTTTTGCGTGCACTTAATGTATTCCAGCGTAAAAATAAGTAAGCCCCGATAAGTCAATCACCGAGTGCAGTGGATCATTTCCTTGAAGTAGTAATCATAATGATCATCATAACAATGATTTTGTACTACAGACGTGGTAGTTCTTCTGCCTTAGTCTCTCGGTCTGATTGTATTTCCATGAAGTAATAATCATAAATGTTCTTCCTTGAGCTGCGAACCTCCGCTGCACTTTGTGATCAACTCGTCAGGGCTCCCCCCACAAACAAGTGACTGCTGGAGGAGAGTGGGTGAGTTGTGTTAAGTCTCTTTGCTAAAGAAACCAGGCAAAGATAAAAAAGATGTTTGATGGCTAGTACTATGGCTGGGACCCTATATGTACTGTTGATGAAGTTTGGTGCTGTTCTGAACATTATTTGTGGCTATAGAGTGACTTTTTGGTTGAGGTTTGCGCGTGGAAACGTAGACTGCTGTGTATTGCTGTTGTGCGGTCATTTCTTAAGTTGGTATGACTAAAGAAGCAACTCGGTGTTATGGTGTGTTTGACCCCAACTTAATTTTACACCAGAATATCCCTTTAACTGCTTTAATGTGTTCATGTAAACAGTTGCTTGTGCATAAGACTCTGGGTTTTGAGGTTATAGAGCCTCTTTAAAAAAATCTCCACCACCCCTCATCTAGTCAACTGGGTCTAACCCTCATGACTTGGACTGCACGAATACACAGCTTGATAGATATATGTATAGTGTGATACATTAGGGGTATTTCATTTTTAAACACAAGCCTTCAGTATCAATATGCAGGAGATCACTTCAGCATGTGCAATAAGTCAAATCAGTTTTCTCCTTTTACATACACTACCCACTTTTGAACCTTAGACGACAGCATTATGCAACTTTAAAACAGCTTCTCTTTGTGGATCAGTACCTCTCCGATTGTGTCCTCCTGCTTCTTCATGCCTGCACATTTTGTAATGATCAGCTCATGGCAGCGCTTATGGACCACACAGGTGCAGACTGCAGAAACACCGACACACATACACATGAAAATGTATTTTACATATAAAGATAAGGCCACATTGGACTAAAGGAACATAGAGTCAACTTACCTTGACACTGGTAGCCCTGCTTTCCTAGGACACCCCTGCAGGTCATTGAGAGATAGAAAATTAGAGAGCCAACACTATTGATTCAAGACAAACTGAAATAAGACTGTTGCCTTAAATGAGTAGTTGTCCACAATTATGATTTATTTTGGGTTTTAAGGGCAGTGAACAGCTCTTTTTCTGGTGAGAAGTTGTGAAAGATAAGGTTACACACACAGCGAATGTATATGCATCAATGAATCAATTTGGTACGTTTCAGGCATAGACTGTATATAGTATGGACAACTTGGTTCAGCCTACTGTCATTATACAAATTTGAAGCCGGATTACTCCAATTCCTGGAACCACCACTTGAGCAGTAGCATTGTATGCATTCGGCAGGAGAGTTGCCGAGAGTCGCAGCGATGATGCTCGGCTCAAACAGCATATCGCCCGGGTGAGCTCAGCAATCTTTGTACGCCCATAGGCTGTATCAAGAGTCAATCATAGAAAACATGAACCCCCTACTAACTTTTAAAAATGGAGCTGTAGAGAAAAAAAGAGGACGTGAGAATAAACCAGTCTTACAGTCACTACATGTCAACATTGCAAGAAGAAGGGAGAAAAAATTATATTCTGTGTAATTAATTTCTAAAGTTTGTCCACAACTCCATAAGGATTACTGGAGGAGGCGGGATTTATGACCTATACTGCAGCCTGTCACCAGAGGGTGCTGTTCTCACAGTGGCTTTACCCAGCGAGGAGGCAGACGACATCCATTCTATTTACAGTCTATGGTTTTGGGTCTTCTTTGTTCACATTTGGTGCAGGACTCATTAATAATCCTATCCCCAAAACACACAAACATTTTAGTGGAATATGAAAAACAAGTCCTCCTGTCTGGCACACAAAAAAAACACACTGCTCCCCCGTATGGTGTTATATTTCTTCTAATTCACCCAACAAACCCTGAGCTCTCTCAGCTCCTATCAGACACAATGTCCTTGTTGTTCTGATTACACATCAGATGTTGATGTTTTTTTCCCCCCAAAGTGGTGATGAAAGTGAGCAGCAGAGCACCAGCCTCATGGTTTCCATGTGAGTGAAACCAACTTGGTGTACTGAGATGGAAACAAACACAGCTGGCTCTGTTTATTAGGCCACACTCCACAGCACTGACTGGGTGTTTACATGTAAACAAGACTAGCAGGTCAGTGGGGAACATATTTTCTGTTCAAAAAATAATTTTAAACCCAAACGAGTGGGTTTGAAGGGTATTATAGAGGTAAATCCAGTCATAATCCGTCCATGTATGTAAATTTTATGAGTCTGGAAGGTGACTGTACATTTTTATTTTTGATTTTCCTGCTTGTTTGGTGTTTAATCCACAAATAAAAAGCGTGAAATTCTCTGTGTCTTACATATATATTTATTATCTCACCAGATGAAGTCCCTGCAGTGGGAGCAGTAAGTGGGCTGTCTCAGGTAGGTGGCCATAAACTTGTGTCCGTTGACCTGGTGCACTCTCCGGCGGACAGCGCCCTGACGCTTCCTGGGACGCATCCGCTGCCGAAACACTCGCTCCTCATTCTCTGTGGAACCTGCAGCAGCTGCAGACATAAAAAAAAATAAAAGGCACATATCCATTAAAAAAAAAAAATACAAATACACCACAATGGTGACAATGCAAACTCTGATTTTCTATCTCATAATTAGAGTGTTCTTAATTAAGCAATACAAGGAGAATTTTGTTTTGGCAGGTCCGTAAACCAGCACAACATCTGCACTTACACCACAGCGCCACTAGATGGCGATGTCACTCTGAGGACTAAGCGGCTAAGGTAGTTCAGGATCTGATTAAACACACATCTTTCTCCTTCACAGTCACAGCATCTGTCTTCATGCTTCTCTTTCTGTCTTATTAAAAAGGGTTTCCCAGTGGAACAGCAGAGAATTCAATTACTGCCCGACCTCGTTAATTATCTCACACACACACACACACACACACACACACACACACACACACACACACACACACACACACACACACACACAAGCTGTGGAAAGTAAGAGACTGGAGTCAATATGTAATGTATGTGATACGATAGTTTCAGGCAAAGACAAAGTCAGGCAAATATTTTTTTTTACATTAAAATGTTAAAATGATGATATTAAACTTTGGAGTCTTCACCAAATCATTGTTTTTCGGAGTCAGATCAGAATATATGGTAACTACAAAAAGTAGGCCAGAGCTACACTTGTGGTTTACGTCTACAGGTCTGCAGACTCAAGGTAATCTAACTTAAGGGAACAACACAGACACATTAAAAATGTTGTGAGACATGTCAACAGCAGGACACAGATTTATGTAGAAATAAAGAAGCACAACTGAACAGCATAACACATCAGGGGTTCCAGAAATAGATATTTTCTAATAAAAAAAACATGTGGGGTGTACATATGTGAAATGGCCTAGAAAGAAACAAGAATTTAACTGCACAGATGCATGACCTACAAGTGGGGCTGGGCGGCATGGGAAAAAGTTTATCATGATGTATCTTTTTCATATCAGTCGATAACGATATAATATATGATATGTATCACGATATAAAAAAATCAATTGTCAATCTTAAATGTTCCCTGTTACTGTTAAATGAAATTCAACATGTACTCAACATAATTTGCAGTGCACATTACTCTGCTTCATGTCAGACCTAAAAAAAAATAAAATTACCCCTCCACCACCGACATTTTCATGCCATTGTTGTCAAGGATATCATAATCTGTTGAGCCTTTATCTGCACCAACAGTGCTGTTGGCTTCACGTGTTTAAGTGCTATAGTGGCGTGTAGCTGCAGCCTGCTACTACGCAGGTGTTTGCTACTTGGTTCCAATACAGCACGATTGGTTCAGCGCGGCGCGACTTGGAGCAACTCCCCTTTTCATTGGCTATTCGTATAGTCTACCAAAACATGGCAGAATGCTGACTATCGAAAAGCATATTGAACATGTTTCGTATCGATATCAAGGGGAAATTAATTTTTGATATATCATTATTGCTTTATCGCCCAGCCCTACCTACAGAATACCTGCATCCTAAGCCAGTGGTTCTCAATCCAGTCCTCGAGCCCCCCCTGTCCTGCATGTTTTGGATGTTTTCCTGCTCCAACACACCTGATTCAAATGATCAGCTCGTTATCAAGCTCTGTAATGGCTCAATAACGAGCTGATTATTTGGATCAGGTGTGTTGGAGCAGGGAAACATCCAAAACATGCAGGACAGGTGGGGGTCGAGGACTGGATTGAGAACCACTGTCCTAGGCTAAGCTCTTTCATGAAAAGTTGGCTTCATCAGGTTTGTGTCAGTTTTGTCGACCCTGTGGATTAAGCACTCTTATCTTAGACATGCTAAAATAGTGTCCTCTGACCAAAAAAAATCCAATCCTCCTGGCTGCAAAAGGACAAATCTATCATTTTTTTATGAGCATCTGAGTTGGAAATTGTAAAAACCGGGCTGTTTCTTCTTTTTTTTCCCTTCTGTTAGGCTGACATGTTTGCTGCCATCAATAAGCAACTTAGCTTCAAAGAGTGATGTCTCTGAGCAGCCAGGTTATAAGTACTGTCAAACATAATCTGTCTGTCTCATCTAGCTTTTACAGCCATAGCTCATGATAGAAAGCACACAACTCATTTTGTTTCATATCCTGAGCAACATATTCGAAGTTATAGCTTTGATCTTAATACAATTGGCAATTTTCTAGCACTACATCTGTTGATTCATCCAAAGCAAAGCCTTTCAAAAACTACAGGCTGGATTTATTTTAAATTGGCCACAGATATCAGATTTCTTTAGGCCTGAATCTCCTTCTGTCAGGTCTAAAAAACACTTTTTCATTAGCCACCTGAGCTTATTCCTTCTCCCCTAAGAGTGAACTGCATCCTCTCCTCTGTCCTCTAGTGCCCCCACAGGCTTTTATAAGCATTTGCATTAAACCCCCAGGTCAGGACTTATTGTGCATCCTCTCTGCCCCTTGCATGTCCCCACTCTGACTCCTCCAGCCCTTTTGCTACACGCCATCACCATCACCTAGCAACTGATGACTGCTGCCAAGCAACAGTGTTAGTCCTGGCGTTCTCCATCAAACAGGGTTCAGGGATGAGGGTGGGGGGTTTGACGGACATGCTGTTCCTCTGCTGTGTCCTTACTTCAACTCCTAAATATAAAGTGAAGACCTCAACAACCCGATGCCCTTACAGTAAGGCAGTAAGCAACACACCAACATAAATGTCATTTTAATGGACTGAATCTTCACCAGCATGTGAACACCCAAACAAAGGGCAAAGACATACAGCATATCCAGCCATCGAAAAACAACCATTCTTAATCATCACTCAGACTAAGAGTGTGAGGAGTACTCCATCTGCTGAGTATGTCATTTGCCACTGATTGTTTCCTATTACTTGGCTTTCCTTCTGATCTTCCAGCTGTGTTAAATACTTGAGTCTGATTGGTCAAAACTCCTTAATAATCTCGATGACAGTTATTATAACTCTGAGCAGAGATAACTACACACTTCATATTGAATCTATCTGCAGAAAAGAGTTCTGCCACATTTCACCCCTACTCACTGACACTGAGGCAAAAACCTTTCAAATTTGGGTCTTGTCTCACCCTGACATGTTTCTTTGTCATTTAAAGGGATATTCCGGTGTAAAATTAAGTTATGGTCAAACACATGGTATCACAGAGTTAGACACCTTTGCTTGCTTGCTTCTCTTGTTAAACCAACTTTAGTAACGACCGCACAATAGCAATACACAGTGGTCTATGTCTCCATGTGCAAACCTCAACCAAAACGCCACTCTATAGCCACAAATAATGCTCAGAACAGCACCTAACTTCATCAACAGTACATAGAGGGTCCCAGCCATAGCACTAGCCATGAAACATCTTTTAAACTTTGCCTGATTTCTTTAGCAAAGAGACTAAACACAGCTCACCCACTCTCCTCCAGCAGTCACTTGTTTGTGGGGGAGCCCTGACTAGTCAATCACTGAGAACAGTGGAGTTTCACAGCTCAAGGAAGAACATTTATGATTATAACTTAATGGAAATGCAATCAGACCAAGATGCTTAGGAAGAAGAACTACCCCGTCTGCAGTGCAAAACGGTTATTATGATGGTTATTACTTCATGGAAATGATCCGCTTCACTCAGTGATCAGTGAGGTTTGCACATGGAGACATAGACCGCTGAGAACTGCCATCGTGCAGTCGTTGCTAAAGTTGGTATTAGAGAAGCAAGCAGTGGGCAACTTTCATCTCTTCAGGGGTTGTTCAACTCTATGTTACTGTGTGTTTGACCCTAACTTAAACTTACACCAAGATTTCCCCTTTAACCACCAGCTAACTTAACATTACCCCTTATTGATGTTTTAACTGTGGTCAACCAATCACAGAGGACGCTAGTGGTGTCCTGAATACGAGTGGACCAATTGTCAGTCTGGGCTGATTATTGGGGCTGATTTTAGGGTGTGAATGAGTATCTAAATCAGTATTTTATTTTCCGTCAGACAAAAAAGGGAAAAAAATGAGTGAACTCAGAAGTGTCCTATTTTGACTCCACTGTCAGTTTTCTTACACTACTTTGACTCACCTCTTGTACTACCCACACCCCTATCTGATCGGGTAAATATTGTACAGACTGTGGGCCTTGACTGTACCACTAGGTGTAACTGGTTAACTGTTTGCTCCTGTACATGACGTTGAACATTTCAGTTTTGCTAAAGCCATTTCATCTCTGTTTACTAAAATTCCAAATTTTAAATTTTGACAGGAAGTTTTTCATGTTTACTGCGAACACATACCAGCTCCAAATATCAGTAATCAGTCTCATGAACACCCAATACCTGCGACAGGAAAAAACAATATTAGTCAACCCCTACTCCTGAGAAACAGTTTTGGTATATAAATAAAAACTGTCTTTGTTTTACAAAAAATGTAAAGCTTGCACTTTATAAACTTTTACATGTTATCCCATGCAGCTCACTGAGGCACAGGCAGATGCTGATAACAACAAAGAAATAAATTTAACCTGCATGTACAAAATAGATTAAAAGGAAGGTGATTTCATTTTTCCTGCTAATTTAATTGTAAAAAATAAACAACATGTAGTTTAACATGACGACCATGACGTAAACACCTTTGTGTTCAAACTTTATCTTCATCATCAACTATTATCCTGCACTTATGACAGTAGGGCTTTGTGTGTGTTTGTGTGAGTGTGTATGTGTGTGTAGAGGCTAATAGGTTGATTGCAGCTCTCAGGCATGAAAGTTCACCCGTGTGTTCTCTGCAATGTAAACACATTTAAGTAATGACAGCAGTTTCAGCCATTTCCTCTCACACACAGAAACATAAATATATTGTATGTCTGTACGGAGAGAAATAAACACGCATTCATAATTGTGAGAAAAAGAAAAGTGCCTCTCCTGATCACACATCTTTGTCATTTTTTCTCCATCTCTTGCTCTCTGCCTCTTTTCTGATGATGTAACTGTTCCATTAGAGAGCAGAGCACTCCACTTTACTAATCAATTTATCACCCCCCCCCACACACACACACACACACACACACACACACACACACACACACACACACACACACACCCCACTTCAACCTCCAGTTAACTCCTCTGTCTTCCTCCTCCTCCTCTCAGACATGTAATCCGGTGCACACAAATGCATACATGCATACAAACACATGCAAGGACACAGGTAAGCACTTATTCTGTCTTGTTTAGGGTGTGCTGTTATATCTAGAGTCTATGTTGGCATGCATCTGCAGAGGAAGAAAACTTCTTCCTTTCCTGAATCATCTAGATTATGTGTGATATCTATGTTGCAACACTTATTCACCATTTGGCAAGAGCTTATCTCACACAGAGTTAAAAACTGTACAACAAGACTTATTTCAGCTTGAAAGTTGGAATTACTGATATGTGTGTGGTCAGCTCGAACTAAGCTGACTTTTCAACATGCAGACAAAGGTACAAACTGAACAGTAAACCTATTTACCTTTGTAGCATATTACTATTAAAGCATATTACAGTTAAAGTTGTAGCATATCACCATTGCACCATATTTGTATTGTTGCATATAGGGCTGGGCAATACAACGATAATGAAATATATCAAAAATTAACTATATCAATATAAAACATGGTCAATATGCTTTTCAATAGTCGGCATTCTGCTGTGTTTTGGTAGACTTTACCAACAGCCAATGAAAAGGGGAGTTGCTCTGAGTCACGCCCTGCTGAACCAATCATGTGCTGAATTAGAACCAAGTAGCAAACAATTGTGTAGTAGCAGGCTGCAGCTACACACAACCACAGCACTTTAACACGTGAAGCCGACAGCATTGTTGAAGAGAAAAAAATTAAATGAGTGCTGGTGTGGATATTTTTTGTTTTTTTTTAGGTCGGACATGAAGCAGAGTAATGCACACTGCAAATTATATGGAGTACATGTTAAATTTCATTTAAGAGTAACAGGAAACATTTAAGATTGACAAGTGATTTTTTTATATCGTGATATTGATATCGACTGATATAAAAAAAAAAATTCGTAATAAACTTTTCCCACATCGCCAAGCCCTAGTTGCATAATACCATTGTAGCATGTTGCCATTGTATTATCCATAAACATCCAATCAAAATGACCAAATGAATAACAATAATGTGTCTGTACAGCAGTCATATGCTGATGAACATATCTCTTTGCTCATTGCTTTTATATTTCTCAGCGTGTATGAGCAAAAATTCTTCAATTAAGTAATTATATTTAAAATGATGTATCCACCTTTAAAGGCCAAGATGCCACCACAACTCAGTGTTGCCAACCTAGCGACTTAGATTTAGCGACTTTTCAGACCCCTAAGTGACTTATTATCGAAAAAAGCACCTAGCGACAAATCTAGCGACTTTTTTGAGTCGCTAGTATAGATATTACTCTTCTGAATGGGTGGCGAGTGTGCATCAAAAACACAGTCACACACACACACCAAGGGGTTGACTAAAAAATCATGCAAACTTGGCAATGGCGTCATCTAGCGACTTTCCCTACAGAGGAGTTGGCAACATTGCCACAACTTTCCATCTAGTGTATCCGAGGGTAGCGAAAAAAAAACAAAAAGTAAAGCAGGTTATCAACGGAAAAAATCTTTTATTTTCTCTGAGTCAAAGTAGATCAAAAGACGAACAAAGAGGAAGAAGCTGCAAGGAAGTGTTACTAAATACATGAGGTTTGACTTACAAAGCTTTTACGCAGCAACCACAAGCACTGAACACAACACAAACACACACACACACACACACAAACTCACAGCAGACGTCATGTCAAAGTGGCAAATAATATCACAGAAAAAGGATGAAAATTGATTTCCAAGCAAGCATCTTTTAGAGCAACCAAAGTATTAGTGGTTGCAGAGGTAATGTTCCCTTTGTTAGTTTTGTAGTTTGCACTACAGTTATACTAACAACACTAGTACAGTGTTAAAATGACTTATATAAGTCATTTATATACTACTGGCATGATTTTTAGCACAACATGATAACAGTAACATACCTAATTTATATTCTATGTCTAAAGAAACTGACTGAATGATGTAAATTGATACAAAATTCAACTTCTGTACATAAATGTAAGGCCTAAACTTGAGGCCTCGTAAAAATTGATGACAACATCACTGACAAAAGATGCAATTCTTCAAATATGCAACAATTTCCAATAGGGAGTGCTGTTGTGTTATTGAGAGGAGTGCTGATATTCAGTCAATCTTCATGATCTTCAGTACGAATTTGATTCTCAACAACAGCTCTATTAAGCAGCATTAAACAGGGAACTGGAACACATAATGCTAAACTACCCTTGAGTTTTTCATTAGCATGACAAAGCAAATACTCCGCACGAGTGCCGCCAAAAACGAATTTCCAAAGCATTACTCTAAAAACAGGTTTTTAACCAGACAGTGAGAGGATTTTCCTGTTGTATTGCTACTGGAGTTGCTGCAACCTCCAAAGTTTGGCAGTTTCTCTATTATTTTCTTGATTTTGCTTTTTCCCCTTTGTTTTCAGACATACATGAAATAAGCCATTTTTCTGACTAATATGATAACCATCTGACGTTTTGTAACTAAGGCCTTGGACTAAAATGCAGAAATGGTGTAAAAAAATTATGCGAGTGTGTCACAGAGTGTGTCTGACTGCAGCCAGGAGGACTGCCATTGTTCAGGCCTCTCTTTCAGCATGTTCAAACAGGTTAAGTGCACACTCAGACAGACATGACAAGGCTCTTCATTTAATAGTGGGTCAACATGCCCGTTTGAGTCAAGTTGCATATTTACTGCCAAGACTTGTCAGAAACATCTTTGACTGGGCAAAATCGGCAAAAACACTGTCTGTCTGAGATCTGTGATTTAAACTTATACGTTTTTAAAAGTAGAAAAAAAGATATCAGATATAATAACACCATTTTAATCTGACATTATCTGAAGTTATTTATGCAGGATTGCTTTTCTGGAGTAAAAAATGAGGAACTCACAAGGAAGCATCCACTGTAATTACTCAACAGAAATCATGACTTCATCCAGAAAATCAAAATGACAAGTAATCAGTGTAGGATTAACAACACTAGATTATCACTTTATAGCCTTAGGGATGATTACACAACATCTTTTTCCCCTATTAAGTCAAAGGACAAAAAATAAGCACAAAGGGCAACCACAATTATTCTGTGTTGCATGTATGTTAGCTGTACTGGGACAAACATCTGTTTTACACTGTCCAATAATCAGTCAGCTCTTACCTTCACTGGAAGATCCTGATAGATCAATAACAACATACACCTTCCCCTCTGGCTCCAGATCAATCTATGAACAGAGAAGTGATGGAAGAGAGAAAGAGAGGGTTGGAAAAGCAGAAAAGGAAGAAGAAAGAAAAAAAAAGGAGATACAGAATAAGGAGACAGTTGAGATTGCAAGTTTGAGCAAAAAATTAACCCTTAATGTTATTTTGTTGTAAGTAACCAGACAGTGTGTATGTTGGCTGTACCATGCAAGAAATGCAATATTGCACAAATAGAAAATACATGTTAAATTGGCAGAATCAGCATTTTTGCTTTTATGCAATATGACACAAACAGGGGCTGATTCACAAAACTTGTGCATGTGCAAAACCTCTGCAAATAAGACAGCTGACCATCATGTTATTCACAAAATGCACACAGATTTAAATGCACCCCTAACTGTGCAGTAAATTGCATTTCATGTGAAGTAAAACTGTCCTCTCTCTATGCAAATGAGTTCCATTGCAAAAGTACCTAATTCTCAAACACTGTCACTGACAGCCGTGCACAGTCAGAGTGAAATATTGAACACCTGCTGAAAGCTGGTGGCAACTTCCTCTTATAAGGGATGTCATGCTTAAACTTCTTTGTGATTATGATAATAATTCTGCCCTTGGATGGGCGAAAAATAAATTACCTCAAAAAAATAAATAAATAAATAAATAGCACAGCCCTTGTATATAATCATGTGCACACTCCTTCTATATCTGCGGAGACTGAGCCGTTTCAATACATTTTATTGAAAGGATAGTAGAAATCCCCGGGATTATAGCGGCTTGGCTGTAATCCCATGTATTTACATGTAAATGTTCATTAATGCATATTGTCCCATCTAAAAACAATTAAAAAATCCTAAATCCTAAAATATTTACTGGCTACAAGGTCGAAAGATGTACAGCTCCCTCTGCAGACTGGCTGCAGTAGGCTATAGGTCATTAACCCTTCCTCTGTCCTGTTAACAGATCAAAGTATAAAATCAAAATACATGTGAACTCTATTTTTTTTTAAACATATTTTCCATCATCTTGTATGCTGGTGCTTATTTTCCATGAGTTTAATTTTAAATGGTTATATGTTTTTATAAAGCTGATTAATCTACTTCTTCTGTTGACTAATGCAGGCTCTTGCACTGTCCTATACAAGCTAGCAGAGGAGAGCGGGACTGGCAAGTGAAAATGCAAAAAACAACCAAGAGTTTTTGAACTTTTTATTGCTTTAAGTTTCTTTTTAAATCAGTACAAGACTCTGCCCCTCTGTGGACTGTACCCACATTAGGGATCTTTGATTTTTTACCAATAAGCTAATGTGCGTTTCGGTATAGTGTTGATGTTTGATGTTAGTCCTGCAAACAACCAGCCAAGTTGCTACTGTAGGTGCCTTGGCTGCACCAGCACAACATGTTAGACCTATGAAGGCCCATTTTTAGCCTCACGTCTTACTAATAAAATGAGGTAATATTTTCTATTTTATATACAGTCATATACAATGAGAGTATTTTTGGGTTTAAATTAGCTGCTCTTGCTGGATTGCTCCAAGAAAGTAATTTTGTTTTACGCCATAATATCATATCACGTTCTTAATCAAAACACAACAAAGTCATGGTGCAATAGACACAAGCATCCCCTCCCCATACTAGGGATGCGCCAAAAATCAATTCACACAAGAATCACGATTCTATTTTACTAAGGTTCAGAATCTATTTAAAATGTCCCAAAATCGATTTGAAAAGATTAAATATCCGCTGCCTGTCAACCTCCATTTTGGAACTACACTGGACGTCCTGACGTCATCATGCAGCCGGTTTTGGAATGCACGCATGCATAGAAGGCACCAAAACAGAGAGGGAAATACAATGATGGAGGAAAAGTAGATCCATATAGCCCCGTCTTCAGTAAAACCTAAAGTTTGGCGTCATTTCGGATTTTACTGAATGCCCGGACACACTGAGCTGGACATGACGCACGCAGTGTGCCGACATTGTAAAACTAGAATCAAGCGGTTCGGCAACACGACTAATGCGTGGGCTCACATTACGAGGCATCACCTGGAGATGTCAAGATGACAGCGCAATGTATCAGAGAAAGGAGATGCTGACTGCTCATCTCTATCATACGGTACAACACAAGAACAAACTGCACTGAGCTGCAAAACTTTAGGAGTAAGATAAGAAGAAATTTATTGATCCCCAAAGGGAAAATCAATAGGTTTGTTTATGAATGATACCTTGAGTAGAGTAGATTAATGAGGCAACTGAGTCACAACTTTTGATACAACAGGCTGTAATTCATTCATGATGAATACTCCATAAGGGTTTCCTTTGATGCTCTCTCCATGAAAGCTTATACATGTCCCTGCAGAGTTTGTATCTAGAACATAAAATATCTACAAGCCAGGGTGAACTAAAGACCCTTTCATTTTAACTGATATAACTCTTATCAACAAGTGTGCTGTTGGTACCAGCAACCAAAGGTATTAAGAGTTGTACAATAGCTGGTTAAGTATCCATTGTGCAATTGACAAAGATATGTACAATCAGACTGAAAAACACAGCAGCGAACGTACATGGAACATTATTGTAGAGGCTGGAGTTAGATTTTGTGAAATCATTATGAGAAAGGGATAAATGGAAATAAATTTTCTTTTCCTTTTCACTCACTCACTCATTACTCACACAAACGGACTGCCAACTTGTCGGAAAGTGTGTGATTGAAACATCCTGTTTGGCCTAAATCTTAATCCATCATTTACAACACAGCAGTGATGTGGTCACATGTGGCAGAAAGCAAGTTTGACACAAAACTGCAATTATAGCAAACGAGATTGACACATATCCTGTTGCACGCCCACTCATCATATTTACATCTAACACACACACAGGCAGTGCAATCTGAATGTATGAAGTCCAGAGCAGAGAGAAGCCCTCTGGGAAGAGAAGACAACTGCTGCTCTGCAATCTGCTGGATGTCTGCATGTGTGTGTGTAAGTGTACGTGTGTGAGTGTGTTGATGTGTGTTTCCGTGAGTGTGTGTGCAGGAAAGTGTGTGCATGTGTGTGAGCATGCCTGAGTGCTTTTTCATCTCATGAAAGTGGACATCAGGCGGGGAGCTCACAGAGATTTCACTAGCAGCTTGCACCACCCACTGTGTCCCCGCACACACATGCACACAGACACGCACACAAGCACAGTGAAGAGTACTGAGTGAAGGCTTGGTGCAGTGAAGGCGAAAACAGGCGTGGGTTCACTAATGTATACAGTAGGAGACGGAAAGCACAAAGAGCGAAAGAGAAGGAGAGAGACGGATGAGGGGGAGAACAGAGAAAGTTTGCTGGCTAGTTTCAATGTGAAAGTGAAGAAGAGGAGGGCGGGAAGCACCCTGCCTTTCTTCATATGGGCACAACCTTGTTTCATATGCAGAGTTTGATGCTTCCAGGAATGGCACCTTTTTGGGGGCTTGATTGTTTTTTTATTACTGCCAGTACACTGAGAGCATTTGGAGGCCTAACAGGATAATTATTCCCATCAATCTGCATTTTCAACAAGAGGCAGCAGGAGGAAGGAAGTCATTGTGGCAGATGGACATGAGGAGATGAGGGTGGCAGAATATGACAGTGAATCTGGCAGAGGATGGAAGGGGGTGGTTTTGGTTGCCAGAACATTACACATTATGAACAATAAGACTGACAGGAGCATATTTGAAAACTGGGCTGTCTTTGAAAAAAAAAAAGTGCCAATCAAAAAGAAAACAGTTCTTTTGTTGTTTTGTGAACAACTCTTTAGTGTGATGGTTTATTTTAGCCTTTATAAAATTACGCTAACTAAAACTGCTGTTGTAGTCAATGATTGGCATTATTAGTGGGAGCATACATAGCAAAGTAGGGTGACCATATTCTGAATTCCCAAAAAGAGGACACAAATACGCAGAGTCGTATGAAGTTAATTTTGAGAGTTTTTTGGGTCGGATCAAGAGTCTTTTTTCGCACCTCTAACTCAGAAAGTCCATGTGACACAAACTCGAAACTTGCGTACAAAACCACGGACATTTGCAGGGTGTTATAAACTTCCCGGGACAAAGTCCCCCAAAAAAGAGGACCGGTGTGATGCCCGGGTAAAAGAGGACATACCGTCACCCTATTGTAAAGTGAACTAGGGCCTGTTGTCTTGTGCTAGTATACTAAGTTTTACATTGTATTTTAATTAGATTAGTAACTCAACATCACTATTAACTCAAATTTGAAGAAGGAAAACATTTAAAAAAAAAATGCCGGGCTGACGTGAAGATACTGCCCAGTTGTTTTGGCATATTGCATTGAAGTATAAATATTTAATATAGTACATCAGGGCAAAAGTATGCACACAGCCTTTTGTTATGATACACAGCCATCTTAAGAGTGTCATTACTTATTAGACCAAGACTACAAAAGAACTCACCAAGGTGAGGTGTTTTTTGTTGATTGTAGGGCTGCATTAAGATTTATAAGCCACCTGATGTTACTGCGTTTGCCAAGCACTATCAACCCATCAAGCTCACTTCAACTGCTTTTAAAATGTGGAAGTGCTCACCTTCTTCTTCTTGTTTGTTTTATTGATGGTTGAAAACCAGCTTAAGGAGCATTACCACCACCTACTGGATTGGAGTGTGACACAGGACATTAAGCAGGAAAAAAAAAGCTATATATATCTATACATCCTATCTCTCTGTATTCCTCCCCAACCCAGCAGCGGCATGGTTGCTGTCTGGCATGAGTCTGGTCCTGCTCAAGGTTTCTGCCTGTTAAAAGGAAGTTTTTCCTTGCCACTGTTAGTTGAGAAGAGCCAAGTCTCATCTTAGGTTGGGTCTTGATAATTCATCAAACAATCAGCATGGTCTAGACCTGCTCTTGTTCATTGAAAAGCGTCTTGAGATGACGACTGTTGTGAACTGGCGCTATATGAATAAAATTTGATTGATTGATTGATTGATTGATTGATTGACATATATATACTCACTAAGCTTCAAACTCTGTACAATAAGGCATTCTCCCTCAAGTACTTCATTAATGACTTGAATACTTAGTCAGATGCTGACCCTAATAAAGTCTCTACAGTGAGATCCAGATTTTCTTTGTCAAGTTGGTGACTAACCTGTTGCCTTTCCTGTGTGTGTTAAACACAATCAATGAGTACATGTTTTACTGTTTCTGCTGTCTTACACCAATCACAAAGTCCTGTTGAATGTTTTCTTATCAAACACAGGATCTGATTGAGTCCTGTATGCCCAATTCGTAGAGAAAGTGCTCACCTCTTCCTGGTTTTCTCTCTTCAACAGAGGGCGGAGTCAAAACACTTGCTGCCTGCTTAAGAGCTGCAGGAACAAACCATTTTGACAGTGTAGGGGGTGATAGTGTTTGAAATAAGGCTGACCCACATAACATTATGAAGAAAATGCGATTTTCATTTACTGATAGTAGCTTAAATTTATGAGAATATCAATTTGTTGTATTCTGTTTCGATGCAGAGTTGGTTTCGTGTCAAAATGACTTATTTCGTATGGCTGTTGTCCCCTCCCAGAGAGTCTACTCCACTCCACCTCACTACCTGCAGCAGGAAGTGCTTTTAAGGCAGCTTGATGCATTTGATGTAAGTTTGGTGGTGCTTGCAGAAAATTAACGTTATTTTTTTGGGATATCTCTCACCGCAGCGAGACAAGCCAACAAAGGTAAGGACACAAAAAAATCAATTGATCTGTGTCAGCTGCAAACATTTTTAAAGTTGAGCTTCACATGTTGTCTAATGGGAGGAAGTTAAATGTCAGGTGACCAATCAATTCGATTACCCGAGTTTGAAAATGATCTGAACACTGTGTTGTCTTGAAAGACTGAATCTTTACTCTGTATTAACGTTACTAATAAACCCATTTTAAGCTAGTAATGATATTACTGTGAGCAAAAACAGCTTAATGTCTCTGTAGACTCCAAATAACATCCCCCTAAAAACACACACATACACACACCCTCCCTCCCCCTTCCTGTGAGGTCACAGGCCTCCATTCACCAGCTGCTACTGAGCGTGCTCAGACACACAGGTGCAGATGTCACTAAATATAGAAGCAGTAGAGGAAGGAAAAGGCCTTTCAGTGTGTTTGTGAATGTGTGTGTCCACATGTTGCTTTGTGTTAACTCTCATAAACATGGATTAAGGACACACCGCAGTCCTCCACCTCCTCCTACTTGTTTATCTGGGGACTGTAGACTGTACACGCAGGGTCAAAGGTCAGAAGAAGGGCATGCAGTGATGATACATGTTTTCAAAATGGAGGAAAGAGGGTTGGTAGCATTTACAGCAATCAGAATTGGTTTGTCTATCACACATTACTAGGGGTGGGAATCACCAGTGGCCCCATGATACAATATTATCACGATACTTGGGCCACGATACGATATTTTTGCGATTTTTTAACATTTTGCCATACAGTGAGTTTTGTGATACAATATATTGTGATTTATAAAAAAATTTCAACTCTTTAGCTAATTTAGCATTTGGCTTTCCTTTATGTTTGTCTTATTTATGCTGGATTTTATTTTCATGTTGCACATCTTGGAAACCTTTGTTGCACTGACTTTCTCCTCTTTATGATGTCACCTCTGCCAACCTCACTGGAGAACCACTTGATTTTATTTTTCCATTATCATAGATTTGGTAAATGAGATGATACAATATATCACCAGACAAAATATTGCGATACTATGCTGTATCGATTATTTCTCCCACCCCTACACATTACTCTGCGTTGTTCAATTTCATTATGGTGTGTTGGGTTTCATCATAACACAGGCTGGCAACTATAGTCCTCATCAATGGAACAGATATTTTTTCAACTATTTAAATTGTCTAGAAGGAAAGACTCCAGTCTAAACCCAGACAAAAACAGCGAAAACCAAGCAACATTTATTTCATTTGGCCAAAATGGAAACAAATTCCCCACTGAGAATGACCATGTTTCATCATCAATTCAGTGTACACATCCCTCAACCCTTGCATGAAAGTCACACCCCAATTCAACAGCACTTCTACTTTTCAACACTGGCACTATACTGAGGCTGTAAAGTCCTAGTTGGCTGGTCGACTTATTAGTCGATACGACTAATAAGTCGACCAGTCAACCAAAATTCTGATTGGTGGACTTGAATTTTTTCCGCATCAATTTACAGTCTATGGCTAATTTCATCAGGAGGAACGTACCAAGTGCTCATAGGGATGTGTTCAGAGCACCCCCGTTTCACAAGTAACAGCCTGTCTCAAAATACCCCCCTTGTTTTCACCATTTTGGATTTGCTCAACCTAATAGAGAGCTGCTTGAAACAGGAAGATTGAAGGGCGTCCACATTGTTCAACATCTGGTGGTTTACAGAATATTTATTTTTATTTTGAGCGTTTTAACTTGCCTTTTGTGTTTAATTGCCTTCTTGTGCATATATCAATATGTTTTCACCCCGCCAAGCCGCGTCATCCCCCACTGCAGAAGGGTTTGCCATCAGAATTAGAAAAATACCCTCCTCGATTAGTCTATTTTTGGTCGAAGATTTCAGGGTTTTAATCGACCAAAAATTTCTTGGTTGATTACAGCCCTAGACTATACTGTATGTTGGCTTTGGATGTCAGCTGTGGCTCATGCTTTGGCTTCAGACCTCTGCAATGAAACAACACAGTAAGTTCTATCTTCACACCATGTCTGCATCACTGCAAGTTAAAAAAGTGTAGATTAAAGTTTAAGGATGATCATATCATCACCAAGTTCTTTGACTCTCAAACTTTCTAGAAACAGAACAACATGTTCATGTTGAGCTTAACTGGAAAATCTGGTGGTTTTAAACTACATTTCAGTCGCTAACCAAGGTTTGTTAGCTGTCAAACCAAAGTTGAATATCAATTTATCAAGGAAATCTGAGGTTTTTTGTTTGTAAGCACACAAAAAAGGCTCTGTATCTATTTGTGGTTTAAAAACTGACAAACTGATCTTCAAAGATCCCCTTCATAATTACTGTTATAGACATCATGAGGATAGAATAAAAAAAAATCCTGCAAAATTCTTCATTTAATTTGAGCTTAATTCTGAAATTTACCACATTAGATCCCACACAGTAAAAATCAATGGCACCCACTCAGCTGTAATTCCATCTGCAGGTGCATGACGGTTGCTATAAACATCACATGGTCTTCATTATGGCCTCAACCAGAAGGTCAAGTGTGTGTATTTGTGTGCATGAAAGACTTGTACTACATATTTAACATGAGCCTACATCTCTTAACCCTTATAGAAAATGTTCTTAAGGTATATGTTTTTTCTTTGTGGAAAGCACATACACAAACACACTCATACACACACAGGAACACGCAGGCAAATTAAATTGTAAACTGCTAACTTAATTGAGAAGGCTTCCCTCTGATAGCCCCTAATGCATCTGTCTGGATGCTGTTTGTGTGTGTGCAGGCAGAGTTGTTTGTGTCTTAGTTTGTGCATTCGTTGTAGTGCTCTTGGAGGATCACTCAATCTGCTTAGTCATTCACCAAAATATTGCATTGTAAAATCTTTGTGAAAGTGTTCTTAGTGGCTGTTTGTGTGTTGTGAACCCTCGAAAAAAAGACGCGTAATGGTTAATTGGTTTGCCAGTATAAAAGGGTGCGCTTGATTTCCTGAGTAAGGCTTCATGTATAATGAATGGCATGATTAATGTTGAATGATAAGCCAAACTCTCCCCTTATCAAGGGGAATGATTCAGACTCTGTGTGTCTGTGTTTGTGTGTGTGTGTACAGGGCTCCTTGTGATCTTGTCTGGCCTGAAAATAAAAGTCCCACAGCATGTGATGACTCCTGTCCACACCTGCCAGCTCAGTCCCACACAAACACACACACAGAAACATACTCACAGTCTGTTATGGTTAAAGTGGAAGCACATGATATTGTTGAACTCTTGGCTTGGATTCCCTTAACACTGTGTAAACCCACATGAACAGACACACACACATATTTTCTCGACTCACTTTTCATCTTTTACCAATGAAGAAGCAACATTGTACTCAAAATGGATTTAAGACTGCTCTTATTTCAGTTGTTAACTTTTAAATAGTACCAACACCAGCCTCATTGGGCCATACACATTGGTACAAATCAAAGGTTTTCTTTACACACAGAAGTGATTGTAAACTTACAGCTAGACAGTTCTCATGCTGTAGAGTGGGACTATTCAATTACAGATTTAAACACCAGGACAATCGGCAGCATTCAAATTATGTATATATACATATATAAATATATTGCTGCAGGGAACTGAGAGTTGTAAACTAGAAAAATGCATTACATCTAAAACACTTTTAGTAACATGTACATTTTAAAACTGGCATCTCATATAATCATGACATAGACCTACTTCATCCAACACAGCCAGCGCACATCCCCTCACTTCAGAGTCTGTGAATGGTGTTTCTCAAAGTGGTGCCTCTATATGTTAAAGGCCTTTTCATAATTACTGCAGTGTAAAGGTCCTTACAGACCGGGAGCTGTTTTTTCATGCGATTATTTGGGATGTCAATATTTTTTTTGGAACTCATATCCTGTCAATACAAGTGTTCACATCAGCGACGTTTTCCTGTCCTGCGATATTGGGGCATTTATTTTTTCGTATCACAGTCAATTTTTCTCAAGTTTCACATACTGTGTGTCCACTTCTGACCAATCAGATTGCGTGTTGTTGCGACGTCAGATTCACATGTATATCCAACATTGCCGACCGGCTGATTGTTTACGTGTTGGAGAACAGAGTGCATTTTGATAAAAAACACAAACGTTACAAAGATAACGACCTGAAGGACAACTTGTGGAGAGTCATAGCGTCGGATTTCTCATACGATGATGGTTTGTGTGCTTTAACAGTTTGCTAAACATCTTTGTTTTAACTTTCATCTGTGCTAAGTAACTTTAGCTCGTAATCTAACCTGTTCAGAAACAACATACCATACGTATTTTCACTGTCTCAAATGCAATCGCGTTGCTGTCACAGCACCATTAGGTCTCAGTTGTTACCTTACGTTTATGGATTATAGTTTAATGTGCTTATCTGCTACTGGCCCCGACTCAGTACATGCTATCATGACAGACAGTCATCTCAAGAATAGTGTCTAATCAGAACTGAAAAACAGTCAGTCTGCTGTTGTGTCAGTCTTCTTGCTTCCACCCGGGACGCGTCGAACTAATCACTGTGAAGCAGTGTGGACCTTCCAAAGCATAAGATATTTAATGGAGATTCAGGCGTAGTAACAGTGACAGTGCATAGAAATACACAGCAGTCAGGAAGAAGCATGACTTCAGCTGCAAACAAAGTGAAACCAGCAAGTTTTTGTTCTCAAATTCTGAAGCATGACCAGCATGATTAATTAGAAAAAAAAACACTTCTCGTTTCTCAGTTTTGCTAGGTTGCTTCCTATTACTGCTCTTTATCTCCATGTTAATCAACCACCACTGCTCTCTCTGTCACTTCCTGTTTCTTAAACATGGGCACTACCATCGCTAGATCAAATCTTGACAAACATAGGAATAAATTAGGATGCCTCACTCGCAAGCTACTGTCAGGCACACAACATGTGCTGTTCAAATCTTCTGCCATGTGTTGGATTCACACATGCTGACTGGGTTGGCCACTAAGAGGAATAACCTGACTGTAGAGTTTCAAAAGGGGAAAATACAACATCAATCCGTCATATTCTCTACCTGTTGGGTAACAAAACAAGAGTAAAAAACAGACTTAAAAAGAATAGCAATCAGCTGACTTTTCAGCACGAATGATAAATCTTCACAGAACTCTGATCCGTTGTCTCATTTTTTTGATACATGCCTCGTTAATCTAAAAAGCATTCAGTTCTCAAAACCTGGTGGCTCTCATATGAGTAAAAGCAGATAAGCATGAGACCCAACGGTAGGAGTTTACATGATATTAGTGTCAGCTGACTTACATTTTCCTTACTCGACAACTAATTGAGCTTTTATGAGACAGAAGTGTGTGTGTGTGTGTGTGTGTGTGTGTGTGCGTGCGTGCGCGTGTGTGCGCGCGTGTGTGTGTGTGTGTGAGAGAGAGACAGAGAGAGTGTGTGTGCATGTACACGCATGTGTGCTGGCCTGATTGCAATACTGCTTCATCACTTATTCAACAGGGACAAATTAGTCTCAGACAGCCATGGCTAAACAGGAGGCCAGGCATGAGCAGCTGCAAAAAGAAAGTGGCGAGCCTAGGTGTGTATGTGTGTGTTTCCGCTTGTCTGCAGTAAATCCACTGCATAAGGAAGGCTGTAAATCAAGTTTAACATCATTACTTCAGGAATGCTTTATCATTAATTTGCACATCGTGAACTGACTTTAATAAATCTACACCCATAGGTATATTTTTCATTCTAGTGCATCTGTAACCCTTAACACTTGGTAGTATGCTCTCTTTGGAGGTACAGCTTCTCTCCCGAGACACATTCTTGTTTTTTCTTCCAATGAGGACCACATTGACTCGCTGACCTTGAGACTGAGGATATTTTTGGAAAACAAGCAAGCTGTCATTTCTTCTCTTAAAAAGCTGCCAAAGGGCTAAAAGGTTCCTGGAGAAACTTTTAGATAAGGATTAAATCAGGATTTCAGCACCGCTTTGACTTAAGTCAGTCGAGTAATGTCTTGTGTGCCTCTCAAGGAGCTCGGTCCAGCCTGGGAAAGTATCCCTGATGATGTCACAGTGATGTCATCAGACCTTATCTCATCTTGGCTCCAAGACAAATAAACAAAAGGAAAGTTTACAAGAAACCTCAGTTTTAAAGGTCAAATGTGAGCACTAAAAGGAGTCCTTCAGGCTCTGAGGCAAAGGGAGCCTGAAGGATTGCATCATGGGAGGTGTAGTATTCATATTTTTCACCCAAAGTGGGGGGAAATGAAGGGGGGTCTCTGCCTCTGCTGCTTCAGTCTCCATAGTTCTTTTGAACTCTCTTTAAAGTTTTATACTTCCGGATTACAAAAGATTTGGAGGGTCCCATGCCAGATAGTTTGGATCAAATGTCATTTTACATATTCCTTTAGGTAATCAGAGTTTTTTTAAATTTTTTAAATTTATAGCTGTAGGCTTTGATTCATCAATAGTTTGACCCAGGTGTGAGAGCTAATGTCTGAAAAAGCTTATAAAACACAGCTACAGGAAGGGATGGCTCTCAAAAAGTTTGCTAATAAAGCCCTTTTTCAGCAGTGTCCTCACAAGAGAGAGATAGAAAGGGTGTGTGTGTGTGTGTGTGTGTGTGTGTGTGTGTGTGTGTGTGTGTGTGTGTGTGTGTGTGTGTGTGTGTGTGTGTGTGTGTGCGTGAAGTTTGAGGCTGTGTGCTCCCCATCACAGAGAGACGATGAAACACAATGTCCCTCTTGTTCTCTTTGTCCCCTTTTCTCTGTCCTTCTTCTAAACCAATTCTAATTTCCAATCTCTTTTTTCCCTCTGTTTAACACTACCCCCTTATGCTAGCTGCAAAATGTGTGCAATTTTTCTGTTTGACATATTTTGTACTTCACTTTTGTATACTTTTTCTGAACAGCTGAGAATCCCAAAAATGTAAAACAAAAATTACAGCTTTTTTCCATCTTCCTCACATACTGAAACAAGCTGTGAGACTGGATGACACAAATGTCTGGATATTCTCTTTTGTCTCAGCATAACTAAACACTGTCAATGTCTGTGTGAAAACACTAAGAGACAGTCTGTGCTATCAGAGAAGGTTTTTAATTAACATGTCTTTAGCTACACAAAATGACACTTACACAGTCCACCAACTTATACTATTTCATTGGTTGCGAAACACTGTGTTGCAATCATGTGACTGTTTATAACTTTTGAGATCCACATCCAAACCCTACCACACCCAATCAGTAGAGTTTCGCAGCTCAAGGAAGAACATTTATGATTATTACTTCATGGAAATGCAATCAGACCGAGACATTAAGGCAGAAGATCTAGCACGTCCGCAGTGCAAAATGATTATTATAATGATCATTACTTCAAGGAAACGATAAACTGCACTCAGTGATCGACTCCCCCACAAACAAGCGGCTGCTGGAGGAGAGTGGGTGAGTTGTGTTTGGTCTCTTTGCTAAAGAAATCAGACAAAGCTAAAAGGATGTTTGATGGCTAGTACTATGACTAGGACCCTATATGTACTGTTGATGAAGTTAGGTGCTGTCTTGAGCATTATTTGTGGCTAAAGAGTGGCTTTTTGGTTGAGGTTTGCACGTAGAGACATAGACCGCTGTGTATTGCTATTGTGCTGTCGTTGCAAAGTTGGTATCACTCGAGAAACAAGCAGTCGGCAACATTTATCTCTTGAGGGGGTGTCCCGATAGGGGACTATCCCGATAATCAGACAGACACAAACTGTTGGACTACAAACAGTTAGGCTGGCACCGTTGGTATAAACTCATGATATAATGCAGCTGTCATCTTCATCCTCAGTTAGTTAACTGCTGTTCATGTTTCTACCGTTTGTGCCTAAAATGCTACTGTGAGGAGTCATAAAGCAGTGACAGAGTAATTTAAGTTAGCAGGAAATCTGTGTTTATTTAATTGAATTATCAATATTTTGCCCCTGTTTATCAATACTTGTGTCAGGTAGGCCAGACTGTATCAGGATAATGTTCCACCCTCCATGACGAGCACGATACACCTGTGTTTCAGTCAGTTTTGGCTGTCGAATCAGCTGCACACAATCCAGCGTTAGGTGATCTTAGGGTTTAGGGTCTTTCTTTAATGCTGTTGGATTTCAGCTCTTTTCTTGAAAAAAAATGTAGATTTTCTTTGAGAGGAGAAGACCTGTTTGGTTTCTCCGAAAACACTGTATTTCAAAATATGATGTCAAACTCATCCCAGTAATTCCTTTGTTTAGTCACTGACCACATGTGCTTACAATGACTTCCTAACCACTCCCATGTCATGCTTTAGTTGGACTAATCATGTTAGAATATCTACAGCATATCTCATTTGACCTAAGCTAGTGTTAGCTTGACTCATTCATCAGCTCTAGAGGAAAATAAGTGTGTGCACCTCCATCCATTGCTGTCAAGATGATCAGCACCTGTACCCCAATATCCTTATCCAGCTGATTCCACTATAGCGGATATATCTCATTTTTATTTAATAAAAAATGTAGATCCATGCTACTGAGTACACTAGTTGCAATCCATCCAAAATATAACCCAAAATATTCACAGAATCCTTATGCTTTTGTTGTCCTATCTGTTTCTTTCAACGCTGTAGATTTGAGCTCAAATGAGCATCTGTGCAGAATACAGCAGTAGTTGGCATTTCCTTGTGGTTTTGCAGATGCAGATAGACATCAATGCCTGGAAAAACAAAAGAAAAGGGAGCAGAGAAGGTGAGAAAACATGTGCATTAACCTCTAACTGACTCACTGCAGGGTTGATGACACATGTGAGCAGGAAGGAGGAGGAGGAGGAGCACAGAGAGAGTCGATAATGAAAAAAAAAACTGGCAAGGAGAGCGAGGCTTCACTGTATGTACCATAAGGTTTATAAAATCATGCCTACACATGGTTCCATGTAAAGCTCTGAGCTAGAGATGCATGTTAGGGTTGGATTTTTGATTATACTTGTTATGCAAGTTACTGTTCAGGATGATGTATCTCGAGATGCACAGTTAAATTGGTAGACTCACAAGAGTGACTCACAACACAGACAAAAAATAAAACTATTCAAAGTCTGTCATACGCTTGTTATGTCTGAAATTGAGTATACATGATTTCTTCTTCATCCATTATGGCCTTTCATAAAAATTCTTTAAAGACATCAAACTACCAAAATCACAAGCCTTGAACCTACCAAAGCAAAATAACGGTTGATTATTGCTTTTATGTTGAAATGGAGCATCTGTATGAAAAAGGTAGGGAAAATAAGATGAAAGAGACATCTGCACTCTTTACACCCATCTCCCCTATACGACTCTCATAATACTCTCTCTCTCTTTCTCTTTCTCTCTCTTTACGTGAGGGGAGGAGAGTAGAAGAGACCGCCCACACACCCATCTGCTTCCACTATGTACAGTCACCCACACAAAACATACACACATAGCCACAAACTCACAATCAAGAACTGGTTGACACAATGGCAGTCAGATGCACTTGTGTTAACACTGACACATAACTTCTATTAAACAGGATCATAAACAAACTGCTGCACACACACACACACACACACAGACACACACACACACACACACACACACTTGAACAGTGTATCCTCCTGTCCTCCCAGCAGCACTAACTGAAAACATACCTGAAGCATTTGTCGGCCATTAGCCCTTCTTAAAGATTTATACTGGGGCTGTTTGCTCTTTATAAACAGCTCACTGTGGAGCTCAGGCAGCCCTGCACCAGAGGCCTTGAACACACCACATCACATAAGTCTTCTAAATGTACAAACTGACAAAAGCTGAAAACTTATTGAGCTGTTTCCATCCGTCCTGGAAAAAACTAACATCTAGTAATGTCTGACAACTACCTACAGTAGACTGAAAAACTCCCAGTGACTACAGGTGGTATAAGAAGTATGTGTATGAGGCTGAGTGACAGTATTAGTGGGTTATCTGAGGAAGGGAAAGGTATTTGAGTTTGGATAGGTATTTGTGGCAAGCCCCAAGACTTTATTTGTTGGTTAAATAAGTTCTCAAAATTTAATTTTGTAGACCTGAAACATCAGTCGTATGTTTGTTTAAGCTGTGTTGAAGCCACTCATCAATTCCTGAGACTAAGTCAATGGTTGTCTCTGGTTATACTACATCAACATGTAACCACCCAACCCAAGCAATGCTTAACCAGCAAAGGCGTGTGGATGTAAATCTGTGAGGAAAACCCAACTCTGTGATCCCATGTTTGCACTCAATAGCTGAGCTTCACGTGCCTTCACAATGTTGCATTGTGAGAGCGCGAAATTTTCAGATGGAGGGCAGGAAGTGTTTATTTACTGTTTATTTACTGAAGACTCATCTGAGAAAATGCCGATGTTGTGTGTGGTTTACGGCCACTCGAATCGTTCAAACCATGAAAAGGAAAAGAGGTTTTATTGAATGCCTGAATAATGGAAAAAATTCACAGAACGCCGTAAAAAACTGATTTTAGACCTAAGTCTGCGGCCGTGTCTGCAGTAACCACTTTGTCAGAGTATGTAAGCTTGCTAACTTGTTTTTTATAGCTGTGTTTATATAGCATTAGATTGTCGTTAAATGCTCATTTACTTAGTAACCAATACGATAAAGTTACTGGTAGTCTAATACAGACTTCATCTGGACTTTTTAGGCTGCCCTAGCGCTTTTGGTGACGTTGAGTTGGTAGACTGGGCTCTGACGGTCAACCTCAGTTACCAAAAAACCAAGCCCAAATTAGAGGCATCTCTTCAATAATAAAAAGTTACATAAAAGTTATATGACAAAAAAGTTATATTCCTCCAGACTTTTAAAGGCTTTCATCTGCTGTTTGGTGTAGATATCTGAAGGACCAGATAGTTGGTGATCAACAGCTTCGGTTGTCTGCAAATCTTTACGTTCTGATGAAAACTCACTAATCTTAATGAGATACGGGTCACGTCCAACATATTTGCAAATCAACAGCTCGTATCTTTAAAACTGAATCTGAATTCCTACAATACAGACTCTCTGCAATGGTTTTCTCCATAGACATATTCTCCATGTTTACTTCCTGCCCTCCATCTGAAAGCGCCCCGCCCTCTCGCGCCATCATGATCACATGACTGAAAACCGCTATTCTCACTTTTTCTGTTTTCATCATACCTTAAGACGAGTAAGTCGAGGGATTTTGTATTCCTGTTTGAATAAATAACAAATGAGCTACTCCAGATCATCCCTAAATATAACTCTGTTTAATTTAATTAAACAGCAGCAGCATGCTTGAGTCGAGGTACAGAAAGGTCTTACACAGAGAGCTTCTGCCCCAAGTTAAAGTTGAGTCGCTACTCTTGTTTGTTTGCTTGCTTGACTTGGTTATTGGGACAGTGTCCATGGTAACAAGGTCATTAAGTACACCAAGGGGAAACAAAAAAAAGATACCTGCAGACGCATTAAGGCATCTTTAGGATACTAATTCTCTTATATTTCCAACTGAGGTTAAGATGTAATTATCAGAGTCACATGTTGTCAGCTGGAGATTAATGAGCTTCATTTAATCACACTGTGACTCGTTCCTCAGAGACACAAACAGAGAGAGAGAGTTGTCCCAATGCTTCTACAGTATCACATGAGCTTTAGTCAAGCTGGAGTCATGTGGCTGCATGTATCCTCAAAAAGACCTACAGCTACACACTCTGACACTCACACACAAAAACACAGGATGGATCAAAGAGGGGGGAATCTGATAGAGGTGAAAAGCGGCAGTTTTTGTACTTTTACCTTAAGCTACACTGAAAAATCCAATTGGTAATGTGGTGCCAAACCAGACTCCGTAACCACAATAGAAGACTTAAAAACAGCAGACCCAGTGTTTGGAAGTTACTAGCTTTGGGGTTGTATAACACAGCTGTGGACGATGTTTGCTCATCTAAGTAAATGTGGCTGAAATACAGTAAAGGCTCATTTATGCTCCCTGTACGACACAGGACATTAAACCATGTGTCTGCCAGAGGGTTCAGCTCAGAGTCAAGACTTACTCCAGATGAAGTGTCAAAAGTTCCTGACAGCAAACAGAGCAAGTGGAGAAGGGTGCTGACTATGTATCATCTAAGACAGAGACATCCATCCGAGGCAGAATTGTGGATAGCAGGAACCGTGAAGTCTTTGAATACATCACAAAATGTGGATGTTGAGTAGGGGTACTGCTGGCCTTGTGTGCCCCTGAAAGAGATGTCACAAACCTCACACAGAAAGCCCAGGTTTGAGTCTGACCTTGGGCTCCTTTCCCACATATCCCTACCCCTTGATTCCTGCTCTATCAACTGTCCTGTCCTTTTAAGAAAAAGATAAGCACAAAGCTCTAAAATATACTATTAAGAAGAAACATCTGTCATTCTCTAAAGTATTCTTTTTCATTGTGTTTTGCTGGTCTGGCTTGAACTTTTGGCTACGTTGCTCAAAACCATTTTCCCTGCAATTTGAGAAAGAAGGTAGACAAAAATGCTGATTACAGCAGAAATTTCATCCATCACTCTACTCTGTGTCAGATTTATAAGTCAATGCAACATCAGGTCTAGAAATCAGGACTTTAAAAAGTTTGGATGTTTTCTCTGCGACACAGCTTATTAGTTTCCCAATACCCAATCAAGGCAGTCATCATGTTAGAAATGCTGACTCATCCTTACTTTCAGTAGATAAAGGCCTAAAATTTGTACATACCCAGTTATTTAAAAAAAAAACAGGGACAAATACCATTGTTTGCAACCTAGGTTCAGACACAAATGGAGAATTTGACACTGGAAACGATGCTTTTTAAAGACTCCAGCCAGAGTAGAGATTTTGGAAAAATCTGTTTGCACGTTTGCATGTAAACAGAGAAAGACAGAGATTTGGGTAGTCGACGGTAAACTGTGCACAGGAAAGAAGGAAGTGACATTGTTGTTGCTGCTGCTACTACGTGGGATTCTGATTGGCTAGCGTGGGCTTGAGCTTCTTGCTACACTGCCACCTACGGCATATATACACAGGTTAGTGTAAACGAAAACTTTTCTGAAAACGTAGTGGTATGCACGCAGTTTTTTTTTTTTTGTAAACAGAGAGGGTGACTTGTCCCTTTATGAAAATAGGCGGGCACATGTAAATGTAGTCAAAGAGGCAGAGCTAACAGCTATCACGTGCCCACCTGTCAGTCACATCGGCCACACCCCTAATGTTGTAAAATCACAACCTCAGAATCTTCAAAACTGATGAGTAACATGAAAAATGTCCACCCTTTATAGTGTGTACAATGTGTGTCACAACAGCCAATCAGAGTCAAGCTTTTCTTGCTCACTTCCATAAATTACCAGAGGAGTAAACAGGGGAAGTAAACAGAATGACCGAACGTGGAGCTAAATGCGGAGCTGAGGACAGCAAAATAGATGTCCGCCGTGACTTTGAGTCATCCTCCAAAGATGTTACTGTTGACAAGTTATTAAACGTCGGTTGTGTGGCGGTGGTCTGGGTATCTCCAGAGTGACGTCAAGTAATTAAGCCGATGTCAAAGGTATGTCGGCGGTCTGTGCCCTCAAAAACTGGCAACACAACAAATCTGTTTAATCATTTGAAGAAGTTCTTCCTGAGTGATTATGTGAAAAGCATGAAAATGTGAGCGGAGTCTGCACAGCCTGCCACTGCTGACAGCACAACTAGCATTAGCAGTTTAGCCACAACTAGCGGTGCAGCCATTAGACCAAAGCAGCAATTAATCGTATCATCTATGTTTACATCATCTAATGTTTACATTTAAAGGCGTCTTCATTATCAAAGAGAGGGCTATTTGTTTATTTTGGGTCTTGCATACCTGCAAAAACACTCATGACTGTAAACTAATTAACTGTATTATTTATCTACATTTGTCATATTGTTGAGTTAAAAGGCTTTTATATTTTTCTAAGTGTATCATATTCTTTGTTATTTACTTTGTATGTTAATAAAATGTTGAAATAATCTCTAGTTTCTTTAGTTTTTAGTACAGATACTTTAAAACAGGCAGTAAAAAAAAAAATTGTGATAATTATCGAGATTGGACAATACGACAGGATATATCGTGATCATTTTTTTTGCCAAATCGCCCAGGCCTAGTTTCAGCACTTCAACACGAGCTGCGTTTCTTAAAGCTAGAAGCTGCTGCTTAATTCTGGTCATATCAGTCCAACACTGGGGGTTGATATCACCTCACTGGGAAGTTACAACATCAACCCAACATCAAGTCATGATGTCAACCCAACCTCATGTTTTAGGCTGTAATCTCTACATCTGCTTTATGTATTTTAGTCCTAGTACAGCAACATTGCTATTTTTATCATACTGAGACAATAAAATGAAACAATCTCTGTAGTGTGATCATATGTTGAGCCCTGGAGCTGTCACTGGTAAAATTAGTCTATCTACCTCCCCTCAACTTTTTTAAGAGTGATGCGGCTGTCTATTAGTTCCTCCCTTGAGTAAGTCATGTACATGTGTGTGAGTGTGCAGAATGACAGGGTGTTTTCTCTCTTCTCATCCTGTTTGTGAGGAAATGGAGACTTCTCCTTGCTAAGTTTAAGTCTGTCCTGTGGAGCCCAAATCTGATTTGTGTCACATACATTCCTCAGACTTTGACCTCTACATTTCAAACTATGATTTATAAACAGCATACGCTCGGATATTTGTCTTGCGTGGCAGTGTTAAAGATAAGCTGATTCACTCTTTCTTTTGCTGATTTCTGTGACTCAGAGTATTACACAGTCAGTATCACACTGTGGGTATGAGCTTACCTGCACCTGGGATGGTTTCAGTTCATGAAATGCTCGTGTTTTACACAAAAAGTAAGCAGGCGAGGGAGCTTGTAACAAATTCAATTACTCACTGCTGCACCCTGCTTTGTGATGAAACATCCTAAAGCTGAGTTTAATTAGTAAGAAAATCAATATTTGGAGGACTCTGTGGACTTAAGCATCTGTGTGGAGATAATGAGCTGTCTGAATGAGGCCTGAGTGATCCATCAAATTTTACTTTTGCTCTTTGTTTTCCTCCAATTACTGCAGAGAAACCGAATTATTGACAGACTAACTTTGATGGCTCCTACCTAAAAATAAATCTTTGAAAAGCAACACAAAACAGAGCTGAAATTAGCACAAACAGAAAGAAAGTGACGGGACAATACTGAGTGGAAATGACATTGCAGAATTCTACAGTTCAAGGAAAGCATCTTCACAGACTCCATCTTTGAAGTCAATACAGGAGAAACAGAGCAGCTTTATCCACCTGCAGCCCTCATCTCAATTCAATCCACAATATTTGTATTAAAATATTTTTCTGTTCTGTGTAGTGAGTGACACTGTACAGGAACAGAGCTGCTGATAAAGGAATGATAACAGGAGCTTTAGTGGGGCACCTGGAGAGCTATCTCCTTCTCCCTCTTCCCCTCTTTCTCTGGGAAGTAAACTCGGACAGCGAAAACAGGAAGTAGGGCCCACCGTGTGACTCAAACACTATGAGGCTAATATTAGACTCAAACACACACAACCCAGCCCCCAGTTTCCTCCGGTCTAAAGAGAGGACACCCCTCTACTACAGCCCACAGGGAAACAGGGTCAAGAGGAGAGCAGGCCTGAGCTCTTCCTCTGTTCTGTCTGTACGAGTTTAGAGACTCAGGAAACAAAACAAGACTTTTGTTTGAAAATGCTTTTCATTGTACAAACTTTTTATGCTTGTGTGTAGAAATTTTGATAATATGGTCAAAAAAGTGCTGTTTGTCAGTCACATTTAACTGACAAAACCTACTTTAGATATCCACCTTTGCCTGTTAGGTGGGTAATACAACCTTTTGGTAGCAGAGATATGTCAGTGCTGCACTTTGTAATTATAAGCTTGTGAAAAATTGTGTTTTTGATTTAAAAAATTCAAGTTTTAAGAACATTTAGACAACCTGTTTCTTTGTCTCATATTTTATCTGAAAGAACCAGAAAACGATCGCACACACTACAAGTCGACTAATTAGGTTTTCAATGCCGATACTAATTACAAAAGAGTTACATTTGACAAAATACAACAATTAATTAATACTACCAAGTGAAAAACAAAATGACTGACCTTTAGTTGACTTTGGGATTTCTATTAAGCAATCTGAAATGGATTGAAGACTGAAGCCCAGGGCTGAAGACTGAAATCTGTCAATCTTGAATACATAGCGGAACCTTTATAGCCCCTATGGCACCAAGCACAAGCAGAACCCTGATTGCTTTGATGCCACGCCACAAATGGTTTCGATTGGTTGAATGCAGAAACAACAGTCATATTTAAATATCAGCATCCATAGTTGTCATGCATAAGTGATGCCAAATCAAACCGAAAGGGAGTTTATAGGTCTTATGGGGAATCCCCAGTGGGTAGATCCAAAACTAGTGTTCTTAAGCCCACAGCATAACCAGTAGACTTGCCGTTGACACATGTTGTGCAATCAGCATAAAGCCGCCAAATCTTATCAAACACCACAACAGGGGTGTCACTAGGTTTTATGGACAGGGGGGCTTAGCCCCCAGGAGATGCACACGATGTGAGCAAATGTAGCGTGCAAGCACAAAATTTCACAAACAGCTAATAAAGACTAATAAATTGCTTTTCAACATTTTTGGACAGGATTGACAGAGATACAATACTGTGTAAAAGTTCAAGGCCACCATTAGATATGTAGTTTTATTTCAGTCTGTGAAATAAATGTTGTTTCAATACTGTGAACATCTTGGAAAATATTACTCAATTACTCTTAAATTAGTTATCAAAGTAACATTAAGGTACTCTTCAAAACTTTTGGGCCAGGCCATTTTGTCGTATATATTTATATCTTGGATCTTTACTTTTATCATTACTCTCCTAAATAAAAGTTTAAGTTTAAAAAAGTCTTATACGGTGTATTTCAAAAGAAAGAGGGTAGCTTTGTGAAAATAACTATAGGATTCAGCTCATTATTTCACTCAGCCTTTCAAAGGACTCTTGTTGAGAATAGCTCCCACAGTTCTTATGCTTATTAAGCATTCAGCCATAATGTTGTCAACAGAAAATGTTCCAATGTGGTTCCTCTGAGCAAGACAGGGAACCGTCACATGGGGCAGAGCGCAAAAAGCTCCCTTGTGCTTTGACATTTCTTATTCATAAGTGTCTTTGCACAAGAGCAAACACTGAAGTACAATCTACAGTGAGACAATCTGCAGCCCCACATTCCTCTCATGGCTACAGTATTGTCACAGTAGCAGGGGAGGGGCCTTAACATGAGAGTCTGAGCATGGTGACTTTTTTCACTTTTCAGTAAAACTTTTTCCTCAGCGTCCTTCTGCTGTCAGCTCCAACAGCTAACGCCTGGTCGCTGTTTATACTGTTACCACAACCACTCAGCAATCTAGCTTAAACACAGCTGCAACACTGTGGTATCAGTGTTAAAGCCACACCAGGGGGACAAACCCCCTGCTGTAGCCTGAACAACATGGTATAAGATCTAGGAAAAACAGTCAGCAAATTATCTTTTTGAAACTTTCTACAAAAAGTTAAAATAATAGTAACATTTGCTGATAATCAGATCCTAGAGTATAAAGCTATAATTTGAAAAATATAATTATTTTAATGAGTAACAGTCAAAGCACCTGATACACTGAATTTACACATTTACATCCCTGAGGAAAACTTGATATACGTCTGTTTGCTTGACCCAAAATCTTTATAACAAATTTATGACAAGGATAACAAGAAGAAGGTTAATCCAATGATAGCATGTTTGTGTCAAAATAACTCTCTCATGAGATAGTCAAACGATTTAGTTTGTATTCATGACTAATGTTGGCCAGGATTTCCACCCTGAGGCACAGTGTGTTACAATGAAAAACAAATGTAATATTTGTATCGTGTAGTGTTTATGCTTTTTTGATGGAAATGCCTTGGTGGAGTTAGCGAAAAAGAAGAGGAAAGACAAGCAGACAACGAGTGCTTACATTATATTGTAATGCCAGGTTGAAAAACTCAAGATAAACTTCAGCTTTGTCAACTTGTGGTTTGAGGTTCTAATACAACACAAATGAAACCCCTGTCCAAGTAGCTGTGTGTAATTAATATATTTATTAACTTGATTTTCAAAGATGGTAAAGTACACAAAACATCATCTAATACTTTGCAGGAATGAATCACATGGCAGTATCAGATTCAATTACACACTGACATAATGAGGTTTGGAGTTTTACCCACAACTGTTCAGATAATACTCAAACATCTCAGTGATAAGAGGCAGAAGAGGATGAGTCAAGAGACATGGAAGCAAATACAGAGTTAAAGTATCTGTTTTGTTGTATTGTTGGCCTTACTGTGTAAAAAAAAAAAAAAAAAAACTAATTATGTAAGTGTGTTGTTCTTTGACCTGAGTGCGACTACGTGGGATGATTGATCACGGGGAGTGCTTGTTTTCAGACCACTTACCCTGATGAACTTTACCTGAAATTAACAGAGAGGACCTGTGACTGAAATATCCTCAGACTGAACAAATGATGACTATTCTTGTCACCTCTTCTTTCATTTATCGCTCTCTGTCCCCTCCTCCATACCAAACTCCCATCAATTTCATGATCAGGCAGAGGGTAAGTGGATACTTACCCACTTACCCAAAAGAGGGGACTTTTATGCTGCATCCTGATACTGCTTCAGGTTTCTCTCTCTTTAGCCAAACATTCATCTTTTTCATATCTACATTATCTATGCTTTATCTCAGCAGGCATTTGGACATTTGTGCTTATACCGTCTAGGTCTAAAGCAGAGTCTGTTCTCAGCTGTGGGCTAACATTAGCCTGTGAACCTCTGACCTGTTGACTCCAGGCCTGGCTCCACCCACTGTGATTAATGTAGTTCAATACAAAACAATCATGTGTCAAGATGGGATGTTTTATTTTGAAAATTAACCAGATGTTTTAATGTCATCTCGGTGTCTGGCTTCATGTCTGCCCTATGCTGATTGATATATTGTGCTGTGGTGTAGCAAAAACAAAAGCCATGGGGCGCCGATGGCCTGGCGGTCTAAGTCCCCTGTGTATAGAGGCAATAATCCCCATCACAGCAGTCGTTGGTTCGCGCACCAGTCTACCCTCTCTTTCTGCTCCCCATGTTACCTTTCTCTCTTTGGCTGTCCTATCTAATAAAGACAAAAATACCCATAATATCAAAGCCATGCCGTGGAGAGCTTCAGGTTGCAAGAGCAGAGCCTTGGCAAAAAAACACAATGCTGTAGAGCCAGTGAAAGAACACACACTGATCATGCTAAAAACCCATCCACTCTACTGTTGTGGCAGAGCGGAAAGGTACAGACTTGGTTGAATTTGGAGTAGGACTAAAAGGATTCCTCAAGTACCTTGAGTACCTCGATTACAATGAATGATCAAGGAATTCTCTTAGCCTCAAGTACTCGTTTATAAACTCAAATTATCACTGTTTTACACAGATTATGTTCAAGGTGACACAACATGCTTACATCATCACGGTAGAAGGAGGATAAGAAAGAGTAAGCTCGGTTTTTGCATGGTGGAAAAAAATTAATGATGAGAGGGGCTTTTCTTCTGCAGAGCTCCAGTAGCTCATTAGCAATTTACCTCTGAGTTGTGGATGGAGACAGCGATGCTCTGCACACTCCTCTTAATGCTAGCTTGCAGCCTAACATTGCTGGTGTAGTAGCAGAAGGAAGTAACATAGGAGCTATTCAGCTTTCGGACGCTAATGTCTTTAGGGGCATGATTAAAGTTAATGTCATAATTAGCTTTCTTACAAGCATTGCAGTCCGCTACCGCACATGCTTGTTCCGCCTTCCTTGTTTCTAAAATAGGAAAACAAAGTAAGACGAAATGTCTTATTTTCCCCTGTATATTAAAGGTGAGGTGGGCAGGATCTGAGGAAGTGCCAGTTTTGGTGAGAAATCTTGAATGTAAACACTACCCCTCCCAACCAGTTTTCCCCTCAGCTCCTCCTCTCCCCTCCGTCTCTGCTCCAGCAAGCCCCGCCCACAAACAGACGCTCCTGCTCGCTCGTATTGTTTCAATTAAATTCAGATATACTGCAGTTAAATACTTCAGATAATTACAAATGAGGCCCAGTCATCGTGAAAGTAAAACGCATTGGTGCTACTGTGGGATGTTCCGCCAGAGTCTCCGGTTACTTTGTTTTCTTGTTTGTGTTGGCAGTCATGGCCAAAGGAGGATTCAGACAATTATCCATACTTTCTGGTTGGTTTCTACTGTCCGATATTGTAGCACGCTAACTTTGTTTGGGCTCGTGAACAACACGGGGGGGCAGCATCTGCCTCACAACCAATCAGGTCGGGGAGGCGGAGAATGGCTTTGTTTACAGTCAGAAAGAGCGGGCCGCTCAAAAAATGTAAAATGTTGACTACACAGACATAACAAAACACAGCGATATCGTTATATTACCAAATGTCATCAATGACCAATAGCTATTGACTGATATTAAAAGCTTTTTTTGTATATACACCACAAAAAATGATGCTTCTTTAACAGAGTCCTGCCTACCCCACCTTTAATAATTGCACTTTTACTAAAAAAAATATACGTTTTAACCGATTAGTCAATTAATCGCTGGAATATTAGGTAGACTACTCGATTACTAAAATATTACTACTTACCTAATTACTAATATTTGGAGGTTACATTTGCAACACTAATGCAGATTAAAATCACAGTGGCACAGCTATATATGCAGAGTTCAGTGCAGAAATTCATGTGGGCACTGTTGCAGAATTAAAGTATCTAACTGGCTTCTGAGAATGGCAGCATAGAGCATGTGATCAAAAGTCAAAAGGTGTCATTTCTGGGACATGTTGCGTCATCTTTACACAAAGGTTTTCCTATCACAGCTCTACATCTGCTTGAATGAGTTTAGGTTTCAGTGTAGTAGATTCACAAGCGCGCGTGTGTGTGTGTGTGTGATTCATTAATAATACTATGACCGGCTCAGCAGGTATGATTTGCTGTCTGAGGACAGGCCGTGTACAGGCTTGCTGGAGAACAGTGGCTTTACTATGTTCAGTCTTAAGTTAGTTGAGTTTAAATTACCAGGAGCTTGTCACAACATGTGTGCAAGGATTTTGTTCACACGCTGCTGTTAACTGAAATATCTCCTCCAGAGACTTTTCACTTTTTCCCAAGCTAGTACACATACTGTAACACTGATCAGACATGGAGATAGATCAGCACTCAGATAAGGATGAAACCTACCAAAATCCAAAATGCTATGGTGTTAGTTGATTTAACAGCATGGACAAGAAGGCTACTGTAAGCACTGAAGAAAGGCAGAGTTTGTGCTTTAAAATAAGACTGAGAGAAAAGAAAGACAGAGATGAAAGAGAGGAGGATCATGGGCAAGAAGCAACAGAAATTACAATTTACATTTGAAAACAGGGAGTTAGTGGTCAGGTGTCAGGGAGCAGTTTTACTCTGCATCCTCTTGGAAACATTTCCAGTCGAAAACACTAAACAGACTAAAAAACAGAGCTGAAAGTCATGAGTTATCTACTGCTTTTTATTATATCAATTAATCAATAACCATTTTTTTCCATTTCATTAAGTGAATTTGTTTCATCCGGTGCAAACAAAAGGACTGTCTCATAATTCTGTTAAATTAGAAAATTCAAGTAAAACTAAATGAATAGTTTGAATGAGTTTTGAGTTTCAAGCATGCATGAATACTCTCAAGAGATGACATAACGGAAAGCATTGCATCCTTTCAGCCACTAGAAAGCCTTTTACTCGGCGGTTTTGCATGCAAATTTATAAAATGCTAAAAACGAGGCAGCCAAAAGATCAGGGGTTCATGACACAAACCCAACTTGAAATAAGCCATTCATATTTTTCATTATCTGTAGATTGACCAGACTCTTTGAAACATATTTGCTTTCCTACTAGAAAGCAGTCATCTGTTATGCAGAGTAAGCAGAATTGCTGCTACATGGTGATGAAAACATGATTCAGTGACACTACGCTGGACTTCCTGTAGGTATTTCTTCCTCCCAAAATAACACTTTGTTATTGTACAGTCTTTTTTTTTTTTTACTGATTTTCAGGTTGCCATCAGACCATTATAACAAAACAGAATTTTCATGAAAAAAAAAACTACTTGAATTATTCTGTTTTTGTGAGCGCACAATTCCCTAGATCAGCACAGAGGCGTGAACTGGCAGAAGACAGCACTGTGCGGAGTGTAAAGTAATTGCTCATAGAAGCTGTCCCGAATCCAGCACAGCCATTAAAGGGGAAAAGGTGGTGCTATGTGAGGTGTTTTCATAATCAGGTGGAAACAATGGCAGCTGACAAAGCCAACAGGTTACAATAGAGGCTGATGCGTTGAAGGTGCACGCCAAGCACACTAATGATGAAGGTGAGGTTAAATTGTTGACAGCGTGTCGAAACATTTCAGAGAGGAACTTAACCTTTTTTTTTCTTTTATCTCCAAGCTAAGGTGCCATATGCTAAGAAGCAGCTTAGGTTAAAAGGTTTTAAGAGCAGCACTTCACAGCAACAGTTTTAAAAGGTTACCATGCAACATCTATTAGTGTAAAGCTTGAGAAGAAGTCTGGGTTCTACTCATCTGTTGATCACAAGTGGCTAAAACAGAGACAGTCACATTGCTTGAAGATGAACCAAGCTCAGTGCAGATGTGCTGGATCACACATGAAGGAAAGATTCATTATAAGCACCCACAGGGAGATGGCCAGTGGTAGTTTATACCATGCTTGACCTGGTTAGGGTTAATACTTCCATCCTGTTGAAGACATGCACCAATAAGAGGATGAGACCATTATAATAAATACTAGGGGTATTCCAACGAGGGTACCTCATGATTCGATTTGATTTAGATTATGGGAGCTTTGATTCTTTAATTATAATGATTGTAGATTCGATTATTGGTGCCACGATTCTTTGATTATTGCCGTTTTTACTGCTTTTTTTCCATACAAGATTGATTTTGTCTTCATCTGTGGCTACATTTGTAAATAAATAACCTTGCAATTAAATATTTTTTGTCAAAACTACACTCAATAAGTAAATAACAAGGTTTTTTGAACATTTTCTTGTAATTTTCAAAGGCACAAAATATTTTATTTTATGACTGTGATGTAAACATTTGCACTTTGACCCACTTAACTTAAACTGGGAAGTTTGGAGACAGTCTCCCGGATGGTCCTCTGTTTGTTGTGGTCCCGCTCACTAAACAGTCCAGGCAGCATGCGTGTTATGGTCACGTATTACTCGTTCATTAATTTTTTTAAGTATCAATGTTGATTAATCGAAGCCGAATCGTTGCATGAAGCATCACGATGCATTGACTCATGGATTAATTGCACCCACCTCTCATAAATACATATAAGAATCTGCACTGCTGATGGTGGGGGAGCCAGGATGCAGACAGGAGCAAGACAGGCAATGCCAAGTGCAGAGACACTGTGAAGAAAACCTGTGGCTAAAAATGATCACAAACGCCTGAGTCACTGAAACGTCCAGTCAGCACCCACTGATGCTCCTGGATAGGGGGCCTCAGTAGGTGTGCTGCAGGAGTCAGCATACTCTGCTTTTTGAGATGGAGTTTTAAAGTCTTTGGAGAAAAAGCATCAACTTAAAGAACCTCTTCAACAGCTCTACAGAGATTTCTCAGTAGGTTACATTAGCATTACTCAGTGGGAATTACGCAAGCTGTTTGCTTCCCCCATGATGATGTCAAGTTTTTTCTTTGGCTGAGATGACATAATGCATGATGCAGTTAAGTCAAGACATGTTCGACTCAGAGTACCCATGGGTGTGCTTTAAAATGTGCTTTTTCAAACGCGAGGTGGCACATCCAAAAATTATTCTGAACAATAGCAGATTTAATTCTCCTTTCTTCTAGACAGAAAAAAAAACAATGATGAACACCGTCTGGAGCAGGACCTTACAAAATGTTCTTCTTTCATAAAAAGTGGTAGAGTTTCATCACATTTTGGCAGACCTGACAGTTATCAGCCTTAATGAATGGGATGATTATCAAACACACAAGAACACTCTCATCCTTTTCCAAAATCCGTAATCAATAACCGACTCTATACTGTCCAAACATCACATAGCTCTGTCAGTCTTGACCGTCTAAGTCTCCCACTGTGCCTCTCTGTAAGATAGGAATCCACTTTCTGTTCTCCATCCTACCCTCTACTTGTTTTATTCCCTTTCTCTTTCATCTTACTCTTCTGTCTCCTGATAGTCTTGTCAGAGAAACAGTCAAGCATCAGCCAGCTACTGCAGTTTCAGACAATAACCAACAGCTCCTGCATGCTGCTCTGTTTGCAAGAGAGTCTGTGTTTGTGTTTGTCATGCATGCGGCCAAACCACACCCTCCCTCTCCTCCTCTGTGGCTCTGCTGTGGGTCACCGCTCCATCTAACAAGAGCACAAGAAAGGTAACAGGATCCAGTCTGTCTGTGTGAGAGTGCGTGCAGTGGCTGGTGCATCTGTCACACAGTATACTGCAGGACAATAACACACTACCATGACACTATGAACACTGTAAACTGAAAAGGCACTGTAAAGTGAAGCTGGAGTCTGCTGTGTTCTCCTAGCCACAGGTGTCCAAAAACCAAGTTTTCTATTGAACATTATGTTTAGATTTCACTGCCTACAACTTAGCTATTAACTGACCAGCCACTAAAGCACAGTGATTACTGAAGAGCTGGAAGGAATGATATTTTTCATGGCTTTTTCCTTGTAATGAAACATGCCAAAACTGTCCAAACTCTGTTTAGAAATTGAGCTATTATTTTAAGTAATCTATGAATACTTTATTGGGCAAAAATATCAAACATTTGGAGTTTGTCAGATTCTACGGAGCCAGAGAGGTGACATGAACTTTTCTTTGTTTGTTTTTAATTCACCTTAGACTTAGTTAAGCTTTAAAGAATGTTAACACCTTTGTCCTGTAACATTTTATCCCAGAAATCATTTCATTTCTCATGATAATTTGACCTAATTATGACTTTTTTTGTTATGAAACAAGCAAGCCCCTCCTGCAACTTTTAATAGGGGAGAGTGGGGTAAGAGATGAGCCATTTTTCATATTTGTGATCACTACATCAAGGCAATCATAGTTTTGTCTCTAACTAGTGTATCTGCATATATTTCAAGATGTTGTGCATCCCTGCAAATCAACAGAATAAGTTTAAACATAACTGTCTTGATAATATAGCATGCCAAAAGAAGTGGACACCAATGGTCAACTTATCCTGTGTATGGGGTAAGTTGACCATAGAAGTGGGATGAGTTGAGCTGTATCCCTACTACCCCCCACTTGCCACCCCAGCCCTCCGTCACCTTCTCTCTCCCTAAATAACAGTCACTTCTTCACATTCATGTGTATTTTTATCTATTATACACTATTCAACTGGTACAATCATTCTTTTTATTATTGCATATAACTGCTAAAAAGCTGTCCTGTAAAAAGCCATTTTAACATGAGAATGTCTTTAAGGGATTCAGAACATTCACAGCTGTATTTCTGAAAAGAAAAAGTAACACATTCAACAATCTGAATTGAAACTCTAATCCTCTCATCAGACTCCTTTACTTTCTCAGTTGAGACACTGGCTCAACTTACCCCTGAACTACTATTATGACTTTATTAGTCCTCTAAACTAAAATGGTGGACTTTTATGCTAGGTTTTTGACCTCATGTTGTAGCTCATAGAGACCACGATTGATGTATAAAGCAAATTTAAAATGATCTTTTTTAGTCTGAACACTAATAAAACTTATGACAGACTAAATTCACTTTTAAGAGTGAAAAATGTTTTTTTGGAAATAAATGCCAAACTCCTTCACCCACATGCTTCTAACCTTCACAGGCTCCATGAATTGATGCCCATCACCTAAATATTTGGTCACGTGATCAATTCCTTTTACAATTTACAAACAAGAGGGGGTGGCTCAACTTACCCTTTGGCTCAACTTACCCCACTCGCCCCTATATGAAGTTGTAATGTCCACTTTCACTTCAATCAAAGCTAAATCACTGCACTTTAAAACAGCCATGATGGAACTCTGACTAGTTTGCAAAGGTCTGCAATCATCAGCCCCCACTATGTGCACCTCAGGGTGCCACCCCACCACCTTACCCAGTCCTCGAAGTGCTTGCTCCCGTTGTGCAGGATATCCTCAAACTGGATGATGCAGTTGGCCACGAAGTCGTCGTAGCCAATGGGAGCATCGTGGAAGACGGAGAGCTCGATCTTGCGGCCGTCGTGGACCTCCGTAGTGAACTCATCATTCCACGCAGGGCTGTTTGTCTTCTGTTTAGTAGAGGTCTGGCCCACGCGGGAATCGTCCACGTTCAGGGCTATGTACGTGTCCAGCAGGAACGTCTGAGTCTTTGGACCAACGGCGTGACGTAAAGACCAAGCCGTGGGTTTGAGGTCCAGAGCCTCACAGATTTTGATCTTCAGCTGCCCGTTGAAGATCACCATCATGTCAAAACGGCCCCACACTCAAAACTTTGACGTGTGAGTTTTTTTGTTTTCTTGACAGAGGCAAACCTTCCTCCTCAGCCTCTCCAGAGAAATGAACTCCTGTAGCGGGTTCAATAACAGCTCCTTTCAACCGGTGGTGCTCCGGGTAGACACTGTAAATCCCTCTAGTTGGCGGACAACACGCTAACTGTGACTTCTTATTGTTTCTGGCTTAAGGCGTGAACATTTCTCGAGTGTGACACAAATATACCCCGAAAAAGACAAACAAGCGTTCACTCAGAGAGGCTCTCCTTAGAAATGAGCGGAAGAAACATGAAGCAGCGGTCCAGAGTTGACAAAAATCCTCCGAGCAGAGGCCCCAGATGTGACTCGGCACGTCATGATTTTTTTTTTACCTTTGAGGTATTAAAAAGCTCCGTTTGCTGTAGGCTGACACCCTGGAAGCACTGGCCACTGTTGCATTGCACCGTGTGGTGGGTGGGTGGGAGGCTCCAGATGCCTGCTGGTAGCCGCCGCGGCACATCAGGGGATGTTCCAGCCGGACTGCTGCGACCAGACAGCGGCTGGAAACAACCGCAGCAAGAGGCGGAGAGGAGGGGCTGGTGCACGCGGTAGGTGTGGAGGTGAACAGGGGGTTCCTGCTGCTGGGTGCACGGCCTGGTGTTAGCCACTGCTGTTCAAATAACTTCCCGAGGAGGACATCCCTCTGTCTGTCTGCCTATCTGTCTACCCCCCGACACCTCTCTCTCTCTCTCTCTCTCTCTCTCTCTCTCTCTCTCTCTCTCTCTCTCTCTCTCTCTCTCTCTCTCTTCTCTCTCTCTCTCTCTCTCTCTCTCTCTCTCTCTCTCTCTCTCTCTGCGCAGGAAATGCGAAAAACACGTCAGATCTATCGGAGCCTGGTGTGACAGACGCAGCCCAGACAAGGGAGGTGTCCAGGACCAGCTGAGATGGGAAGAGATTGGAAGAGAGGAGAGGGATGAGTGAATGTGGTTTTAGAGGAAAAACGCCTAATGTTTGACACAGCCTACTGTAGGTGCCCTTGAGTTGTTCCCAAGTTGCAAGGAAACAGGTGTGAAGTGCATGTGCAACCTAAAAGCCCTTTGAGCATTTGATTAAGTTCTAAAACAAACTCCATACCAATATGGGACTATAGGGGGTGCATATTTCAAAGAAATGATTGCAAGTCATATGAAACAGTCCCTGCATGCTCTCACTCAACAAAAGCATCTTCTGAGCTGTGCACAGATGACCACTAAAGCCCAGATATTTCCAGAATTAACATTGCTTGACTTATTTTGACGATCAAGCTCACGCTATTTTGTTATTTATTTATTTATTATAGGACACATCAGGTGTACAGCACAAGACATAGGTGCATTCACACAATGTTGGATTTTGTGTATTAGGACCATATTCATTGGTTCTGGGTTTTGGGTATGGTTCGGACCATATTCATTTGTTTTTCCATAAGAAGTTCACCTGGGAAATTTTGGAAATATTCCAAATTGGAAACTTTCCATGTAAATTTATGGGAATATTTGGAAATTTATAGGAATTAACTTGAATTTTGGGGTAATTTATACAAACTGTATCATATCCAAACATAAATGTAAATATGTTTGTTTTGTCATAAGCAGAGATCCATGCAAAATAATACAATTAAAAAACATTTCAACAGATTTATTTGAGTGGCAATGGTGAACGTGGCATTTTTCTGTAGAAATAAAATATCAAAAGCTTGTAAAAACACCTATGCTATGGCACAAACCGAAATATAGTTGGCTAAACAACTGGAATGGTCTTCAAAATATTTGACAGTTGATGTATAAATTATTGTATGGTTACAGAAAACTGTCTTGCAGGAGTCAGAAGAAATAGTATCACATTTAAGGTAGCTACCACCACCATAAAAAGCTAGCCCCTTAAATAGTCAATAGCTTACATTTAGCCCCTATTTTTATTTAATTTTTGCAAGTTAAATATTAATATTATTATAGATCAAATATATTTACCCCATAATACAATCAAAACTCACTTGACTTTATATTGTCTGTGGGCTCAAATGTCTTGTGCATTGGGCTCAAAATTGTGGCCTCCGGGGTTCAAGAAATTATCTGTTCATGTGATGGAGGAAAGAACAATGCATGTAGCCCTGCAGTGAGTAGTGTGCTGTGAGCATGTGATTGGAGAGTGTACTTGTATTAAATCTGGGTTTTTTTGCTAAGATTTGCTACAATTTATGTTCCCCAACTATATTTAAGTTCCCTGTTGAGGGCCAACCTTCAATTTTGTATATTTCAGATTTATTCCTGCTAATTCCCGTTAATTCCAATATATATCTGTTAATTTTCATGGAAAGTTTCCAACTTTGAAAATTCGTGGAATTTTGCAACCCTAGTTTTGGGTTTCTTTTAAGCTTGAAATTACATTGAATGTCATCGTACAACAGTTCTGTTTTTTGGTTTGAACTAAGAGTGCAAAATTGTGTTTGGGGAGTGCAATTTCATAAATACTGTAAAAAAATACTGTCCTTATAGCTCTTTTATAATACTAGCTTGTTCCCCTACTCTAAACTGCAGCTCTATAAATTCATCTGCAATTTGTATACAATGAAAAAGTCTGCATACAAAAGGCCTAACAGGGCATATCACATATGCGCACAAAGGAAATACGATTTCTTTTTTATAGAGAAACATGAAAAGCATAAATTAGTCTGTACATCCCTCCAGAGCACAGATGTCTCACTGTGATATAAAGTTAGTTTAACAATATAAAGACGAGGGTCAGACATCTGCTTAATGTCGCAGTAGATACTGCTGGGTGATCAGACTCACCATGAGCACAGGAATGTCTCTCAGTGACGTTAGAGTAGGAACAGACTGTTCTCGGTAAACTAAGCACAAGGCCAACCGCATTTCACATTTAATACAGAGGAACATCATATTAATGTGGATAGTATTATGATCTGCCTTCACAAAGTCTACGGCACAGAAAAGATATCTGCCTGCAGTGTCAAAAAAAAACTTTCATGGACAGTGTAATAAAAATGAGACATATTTTCATTATTGAGGTTTTATTTAATTGAGAAAGCCACGTCAAAGCCTTTCGGGACACATAAGTTCAGATACTTATGAGCTTAGTACAACTGACAAAAAAATGCCATGAGAAAGTTTGAGGAAAGTAAAAGTGTAACCACAATACAAATGGGTTTTAATAAGTGCATGAGGGAATTTTGTAAAGCTAACCCTAACCCTAACTCTGGAGCTCTGCCACACCACAGCCATGCTGTTTTACTGCACTCAATCCTTTAATACTGCTGACCCCTGCTGGTGGTTTATTATTTTACCTCTAAACCAACTCCTGTATGACTCCCAATAATGACGAAGCACAATTAAAAAAAGTACATTTAAAAAATTCTGTTACATTTATGTGCAAACTGCTGTTGACAGTTTAAACAGTTTAAATACAGAAAGAGATGAAAATGTGCAGCAGACTAACACTTTTATATGAACCCATATTTAACAAGGAGAATAATAAGAACAGATGAGAACACAAGGCTATCTGTTAACATTATACAGAACTGGTCATCTATCCACAGTCTATTTTTCATGTTGTTCTTGTGTTACTAAGTGTTTGTGTCATATTCATAAGATACTAACAGACAGGACCTCCTGTACATGGAGGTAAATCTGTGCTGCAGACTCTAGGGAAGCATAAGTAAGCCATGATAGATGTACTGCATGCTACAGACTTCTACAGACTTAAGTGTGTGGTTGTATTTTAATTTTCTGAAATATCCGTGCTCATGGTCCTATTGACCTTGAACTTAAAGGCAGTGAGCTATGTTGGTTGTTCTTTACAAACTGCATGTACCCCAAGTAAACCATGTAAGCCAGTGGAAAACAGCAAATGACTGTGTGCTTTTGAAGAATAATCCAGATTTGATTCAGGCCTGTACTCTCGACTGTAACAATGCAGCTTTGATGTCACTCAGGTTCGAGCCACACTAGTGTTATCCATATTTAGGAAATCCTGGCTTTGCCACAGTATGATAAAAGTGTACACGTAACAACTCAGGGGAAGGCCGACACAGGGAACAGGTCTGACTCTGTCCTGTGGATGCATGACATTTTTTGTCTGTCCTTCGTCTAAGAAAATTTTCAAATATGAGTAACTTTTAAAAAAAAAACTTTTTTCTGCCATTATCCCTTCAAAGTAATGAGAAACATTACTGTTTTTTTTCTCTGCATAATTTGAAAGCAACACTATCATCTTACTTTTTCACACCTCCCTCATTATGCACATCAGCTGAAGTGTGTCTAAGCTCAGCAGATTGGAATTGATCTGAGACTGACGAAATCCTCTGGACACTTGCCACATGGTGCCTCCTCTCTCTTCTCTCACTGTGTGTCTAACAAACGTGGCTTGGCAACAGTGGACAGGATCAAGCTTAAGTCGCCATTTTCTTTTGTATCTTTCATCACAGCAGGATAGCAACCTTTACTTAGCTTTGGTAAAATAACTTTAATGGTTTGACAGGAACGTTTTTCATTTTCAGTGATTGCAGAAGAAGAGGAGAGGAGTTTTCAACAGATGAGGGCAAAATACTCTATGGCTCACAAATAGTTACAAATGTGGGACTGTCCTTTGCTAATTGCGAAATAAATTACTTGAGATTTTATGCTAATGGTAATAAACTCCTCTTAACTGTGAAGTATCTTAAATAATCACGACCCTGCTACCCAAAAGTCTGGTTACAAGGAGGCACATACATTATCACTTTAAGCCAACACTGAAAGGCCTAAATTAATACTTTTGTGTTAAAATGGAAAAGAAGGTGTTTCATAAAGCACTTGGCATAAGAGGTTAACAGGTTGTGGTGATGAGGAGTTACATTGGGCCCACCAATGCCAGAACAACATGTCTCTATTGTCTGTATTCCCAACCAGACTTCTTTCTACCAAGACATGGCTAGAGAAAAGTTAGGAAGTAATGGAGGATCTGCACAGAGAAAACTACAATCACAACAGGGTTTACAACTAAAAAATGTAGCGCTTCCCTGGTCCCTGACCCAGTATGAGTCATAAATCACTCATCCTTAATGGTAACAGAAGCCCTAGGGGCCAAACTATAAAATTAAAAGAAACCCTTTAAATGACTTTTTCTCAAACACGGTTTCTGTCGTAGTTATTATTTTCCAGATTTATGTCAGAGTGCTCATTGTCCTGCAACATTTCATTTTGATTCGTGATGTTCTTTTAAAAAAAGAGTGGATGTGACATCATGGCTGATGACTCTGTTGACAAGTGTGGGCCCTGCAGTGCTGTGTTTCAGATCAGCACAGTCTTGCAGGTATGGTGAGAGAAAATGTAACAGATAGCAAAAAACTTAATTCAACTGTGTAGGAACTGAGATCTGTTCACCAACAAGTTTTCATTTTCTTTTCAGCCAGAGGACTGCTGTGGACTTGAGCAAAACCATATGCCAAAGCAAAATACTTGGTTTTCATTTTCCAAAACCAAAACCACAGTTCTGTGGTCAAATATAAACTAAAACTGTTTTCTGTTAGCAAAGATAAGACACTGAAATTATTTGATGCAGAAAGCAAATGCTCTGGTTAAAATGATGGAAAACTGTCATTAAAGAAAGAAGGGAGCAACATTTATTTTTGGTGAGTACTTTTGGTCTCACACAAGACTTCAACTCAGTTCTTTTGAGATGATGTTCTTTGATATTTTTCAAATAATCAAATGCCAATTTCTCAGATGACGGGATAGCTGGTTTTGAAACCATATTTCAGCTGTGAGGCTGGATTTCTATATCTTTGCTCATACAATAATCTTGCCTGAGATCCAAGATACTTAATGTAAGTATCAGTGTTAAACAGATTGGCTGTAGCATTATCTTGGAGCATTAAAAATAAAGTAGGATGCAAATAGCTCCTTGAATGCACCAACAAATGAATGAAATGCAATTTTATATACAGTATTAATGTGACACCGCTTGCAGCAAAAGTTGAATTCTTTTAATTGTAGTGAAGTGATAAAATGGAAAGACCAATTAATGATTTAGTTTTTGCTCCTTTCTGCTCCTTCTTGCCAATAGCCCACTTATTTTTTGTTCTGGCATTTTATACAGATCTATACCAGCAAAAACAGAACAGAGGTTAACTTTTTCTATGACCTCAACAGTTTAAATGGTTAAATTGTATTAAGGATAAAAGACGCATAAAAAAATAAATAAAATAAAATTATATATATATATATATATATATATATATATATAGACATCCTTGTCATTTGATGGTGGTTGAATAAAAAGCACAAGTCTCCATTTTAGACTAAAGTATAAAACACAAAAGACTCATATCACTGATATGACCTAAGATGTGACAATACTGCTGTGTTTTACGGCAGAATTGTCACATTACTTTGTGTGACAAAGTGTTCAATATTTTGTAGGAAGAACATTTTTGATTCCAGGAGAGATGATTTTGAAAGAAAGTGGGTGCAAACAAATGGAAATTAAGGTCAAATTTAAGAATAAAATCTGGAATTAGTTAATTTGGAGATTGACTTCAGTACAAACTTTTGTGAGGAAGAAATTTAATTAGTTAATTTTACAAAATCCAGTGGTGAAACCTGACTTTTTTTCCCCTAATTTTAAAGTGGTGGTAGTGGTTGTTGTATTACCAGCTTTTGGACACCAGGGGCCGCCAAACATCGTTAAAAAAAAAATCATAATCGGTTTATAATCTGCTCCCAAGGCTTATTTAATTCTCTTTGCCATGCACTCACACCCTTTCTACACTCTCATAACATGTCTGTGCTGTGTGCATGTTCTTTATTGTCTCGGTAAAACACCTGTGATGTGATATAAAATCTGCCCTCCACACATGTTTTATGGCACATCTGCTCCGTTAAATACAAAGCAGCTGGCATGAAAACACATTTACATGAGCAAGGATAGAAAGATGATAAGCAATGACATCCCTCTGTATCCTCCATATCCCCATAATCCTCATTCATTCATGTCTCTCTGGTGCAGTTAGTTATTCCACTATTTAATTATAAACAAACTGTCAAAAATCAATATAACGCTTTTTTCACTCCTCTTTTCATTTTCCTCACAGTGGGTTCTTTGTGTAAGCCAATCAATATTCTTACTTTGGCCCTTGGGGGGAGGTTAAAAACAATCTATAATAGAATTAAACTCCAGCAGCAGGAATAATAAGTCAAGCCAATCTCCCACCGGCTAACAGTGAGGTTTAATACCTCTGTCTCTTGGGGCTTTAAACTAGTATTCATGTAGGAGACAGGTGGTAGATTACGGTCATAGTGTCCTTCAGACTGTAAATGTTGAATAAAAAGATGAAATGGTGCTTTTCATTTCACATGCATAGATAGACACTCCAAGAAAGAAGGGTATATCTTGTTCCCTGTGAAATAGAAGACGTCCCCGCTGACAAGTGATGGCAAAATCTTAGGGTTAATTTTCTACCTCATAACTCACCATAAAGTTAATGAATATTGACATGGGAAAAGGGTGCATTTTCATATCCACGACCTTGTCATTAATCTTGACTTTCAACAGCAAAGCAGGTCTCCGATCAGTATTCTCATCACAAGCCATTTGATAAATATTCCTCCTAATTTAGAGGCAAGGCAGATGGTCTTGTTGCTGGCACAAGAGCTGAGAAATTAGGGCAGGGAAAGAAGTGTATGTCAGCAGTAGAAGAAGTAAGGTGTGCTCTGGAGAGCAGGAGGGAGTACTGTAGATCCCAGGAGAGGTGAAGAAAGGAAAAAGCCAGTCTGCACTTAACCAGCTGTTTCCCCCAGAAATGGCTGGCAGCCAGAGTACCTGCTGTGGTTGGATTAAAAAAAGACTCTAAATAAGAATCAACCTGAGGTATTTGCTGAGCTAAGTGTGATTCAAAACGCTTGGGTAAAGGAGAGAATGATTTAAATTATTCTCATTTGGTTCCCATCAAAAATAGGTTTAGTAGGTTCAAAGATTTCAGATAAATGTGATATTTATATTTATGAAAATCAGCTCATGATGATGAGTCTTTTCAACCTGGGACATTAACTCTAGTCACAGTGGACTTTTCCTGATTACTTTATTTACTCATTTTTCCTTCTTTGGTGGTAATAATCTTCAGGACTTTTGTTTCATCTAAACAGCGATCACTTCTATATCACAAAATAATACAGTGTTTTCTGGTTTCCATAGGACCACCCCAAATATGAGATGCTGCATCTTAAGGGGCAATCCTTGATTAAATTTGAATAATAATAATAATTTAAACCATTTGTAGTCTGACTAATGTAAAATGATCCCCTTTTCACTGGGCTAAATTAAATAAAACAGTTTGTGTCCACAGCAAAAGTGGTGAGCTATTCATTAAGTACACTATTCCATGACTCCTAATCTGTTGTCTCATGGTGGTTAAACTTCTTTTAAGCAGAAATCTGATCAAAGCGCAGACAAATATTGGGTTGCAGCTGTTGTTGCACCAGTCCTGCTCCACTTTCTCATTCCAAACTGCTGTTAACAATTCCATAAATTTAACATCAAATCCAGAAGATGTTATTATTAACAGCGGATAGCTGATGAGTTAGACAGCTGTTTGATCATCATATTTGCCAGTTGTGAAGTTACAGTTGCCTGAACTTTGTGAGTTCTCAGCCATAGCTGACTTGAAACAAAGTTGAAGAGTATGTAATGTAATGCCTTTTAGAGCTAAATGAAGCAAAAATCTCTTTAGACTTCCAGAGGTTTAAGTATTTAGGTTGTTGACAAAGAGACTAGGTCAATAAATCAACTGCAGGAAAACATGTATGTTTCATCCCAATCTAAAAAATAAGACAAACTTTATTTATCCCTGAAGGGAAATTTAATCATCTGTAGTCTCATTTGTCATGTCTCAAAAAAGTCATCCACTATTTGTAAAAGAATTATAAAGCCTGATGGCTGTTGGTACAAAAGATCTGAAGAATCTTTCTGTCCTGCAGCGAAGAGAGAAGAGCCGTCCACCACCATTGGCCCTTTGGTCCATCAGGGTGTTGTGAAGTGGGTGATCCATGTTCTTTAGAATAGTCTCCACCTTCCTCAGTGTACATCTCTAAACCACATCCTCCACTGAGTCCAGCTTGAGTCCAACCACAGAGCCAGCCTTTTTCACCAGTTTGTTAGGACGCCTTGCATCTTTGTGTTTGATACTTCCTCCCCAGCAGACTGCAGAGTAGAACAGAACACTTGCCACCACAGACTGATAAAACATCTGCAGCATCTTACTACAGACGTCTATTGATTGGTGTCTTCTTAGGCAAAAGAGGTGGCTCTGCCCCTTTCTGTAGATGAAGTCTATGTTCTTAGACCAGTCCAACTTATTATCCAGATGTACACCTCGATATTTATATAATGTCACCACTTCGATGTCCATGCAACTGGCTGAAAAGGGGGTTTGGATCTGCAGAAGTCTATGACCATCTCCTTTGTCTTTGAGGTGTTGAGCAGGGGGCAGTTTTTGTGACTCCAGTCACTGAAGGCTCTTATCAGATCTCTGTATTCAGCCTCTTGTCCATTTCTGATACATGCCACAATAGCAGTGTCATCTGAGTATTTCTGGATGTGGCAGGACTCAGTGCTGTATTTGAAGTCTGACGTATACAGTGTGAACAGGAATGGCGCCAGCACTGTCCCTTGTGGAGCCCCTGCACTGCTCATTAATGTCCCAGAAACACAGTTCCCCAGCCTGACAAACTGTGGCCTTCCTGTCAGGTAATCTGTGATCCAGGAAACACAGGAAGGATTCACTCCTATCTCTGTGAGCTTGTCTTTGAGTATGATGGGTTGGATGGTGTTGAATGCATTTGAAAAGTCAAAGAACATGATCCTCACATAAACCCCAGGTTCCTCCAGATGAGACAGGGCACAGTGAAGCATGTAGAGGACAGCATCATCCACTCCAATGTGTTCTTGATATGCAAACTGCAGGGATCTATGCAATCTAGTGCCAGAACAGGACTTAAAGGTGGGGAAGTAACACGCTGCAAAATTTCCAAATGAAGAATACACTCAGACCAACATAAGTGTTTTGGTTGGGCTTTCTTAAAACTTGTGGTTGAACTATGTGGTTAAATCACTCCTGAAGTTAATGGCCAGACCTCTGAGCCCAGATTTCCTGTCCTAAGCCTGATATTGGGGAAAAGAAAGGTGCCTTTCACTCTATTGTCTACCCCCCTTTCCTTGCTTACTGTTTGTGAGGCTGAAAATGAATGTGGACAGTCTGCTTGAGTTACAGAAAATCACTAATAATTTTGGAGGGAAATTTGTGTATTTTTCAGCACTTGGTCATAAAATTGCCGACTGCTCAATCATACGGTATAACAATACATGTTCTCTCTCACAGTCTGATTCAGTGGGTCTCTGCTATTGTTGCAATCAAAACATCTCAAGTTTAAACCCTGGAATTGTCCTCATCACTCTGTGGCAGACTCATATTTTCCCTGAAAAGACTGTCTTTATGGATTTGGGGATTATTGTCTTCTGGCTGGAAGGATGTTTTTGTAAGCCTTCAGGGAGCACAGATGCAAATCTTGGCTTTGTTTTCCTAAAGCACAGAATATCTTGGTGTCTATAAAGCCTTCCGAGTAAGATAAAGTTATAAATCAGCAAAGACAGTTTGGGGAATTGGGCCTCTGCTGTGTCAGTCTGTTTTTTTAATGTTCTTGTCGTATCTTTCTCTGAATCAATACAAATGCAAGAAGCGGATGAGTTTTTGTCTGGATTAGATATATTCTGTCTAGAATTGAGAAATTATTGTCCATGTTAAATGACCACTAATTGATTCCTGCAAAATATGATCAAACTCGGCACCTTCAGGAGTACAAACCTCTCTCTATTTCCAGCTGGTGATGAATGGATGGATAATATGTGAGCAGCATACTGCACCAGGCCGCTCTCTGGCAGATTTACAGAAGATTCTGGTGAGTTTTGCTGTCTCTAAATTATATTAGAGCAATTTGTCCAGCAGAGATGAACTTTTTATTGCAGTTTTATTGGCTATTATTCCCTGTGGTTGCACTCTCATATAATAAGACTGTGAGTTTGTGTGTGACTGTACACAAACACTCAGAAAATTCATGTTGGATCATGGGTAATGATATTGAATTTGGACATAACTGTTGTACATATGGGGCTAACAAAGATAAAACTTGGATTTCTTTCAAATGCAGCTAATGAGTCCCTTTCGGGACATGCAAATGAATGTCTATGTTCACAAAAGAATATTCAAAGTTCCTGATAATATCCATTTGCCTGAAAACATGAAGGACTCTAAATTATTCTCTGGTGTTTTTAACAGCTTCTTCAGTGATCAGTTTTTTTTTCATTGAAACAAACTTTCCTAAATGTCAAGGAAGAGATGTTCAACAGTTGTTCAAAAGTTGAACTTTTTTGAATATCTAAATGAGGATATTCATCAGTTTCAGAACAGAATTTGCCAGAATTTCAGCTTCTGTTAGAAGATTAATGAACAACTTGTGGAAAGTTTAAGATAAAATTGTGTTTTAAGACACATTGATGTTATAGCCTTATTTTCGCTGACTGAAAAATGGTTTCAAACAAGTTCTAGGTGTCCAGAACTAGTCCCAATCTGTTCTCAGCCAATTTTCAACATTCAAATACTAGTAGGAACTCACTGGACAATAACTGTGCTTTAGATCCTTCAATAACATTTTACCTGCACATTCAAGTCAGCATTAACTAAGACCATGTTCAATGTTCTTGGGAAAAAAGAAAGAAAAAGAAAAAATTGGGTTCCAGACCACTTTTTTTTCCAGTTTTTTTAATTGGCTAAAAGTCTTCATGCTATTCACGTCTCCAAATGCAATTTTGCACTATTTATTTTCATTGTTGCATTTTTATAATTAGATTTTTTTCCCTGGGGGATTGGATTTGTGACAACAATGATGATTGTGGCAGCATTTCTCCAAATTATTTTTGTTTTTGTGTTTTTCCAAAAGAGAAAATCTGTTTCCTCTGAATGGGTGGTTTTCACACTGTAAACAGTTTTAAAATTGCACCAGAGAGTAACTACCTGGAGCCATGAAAAAGAGGCTGATTTTGTTTGATAACTAATAAGTCTGAGAGTGTTTTATACTAAGCTGATTGAAACAGTCTGATTATTTATAATGTATAACCATATATTGGCAGAATTACTGACATTTACAATATGTTAATCACTAGAACTCACCTGATGTCAACAAAGGCGACTGTATTGGAGGGAGTAGCCTGTTAGTTAGGAAGTAGCTGGTTGAAAATAAGAATAAGAAGACTTTTATTTACCCCCAAAGAAAAATTAAATTAGCTTGCATACTGTCTTCTCTCAAATCTGTCACAAAAAATTAAAATTTGTTGTGATAGCAACAGATTTCTTCATCTGCCTTCATATGCCTTACTGCTGCATTCTTGCTAATGACCAACAGAGGGCAACTCCTTAGGTTAAACAAAGAAAGGTAATCGTCTTACTGTCTTTTATTCAACCTTCAACCTGCTGATCAGTTTGCTGCTGGTCTGTCATTTAGTGCTTGAAAAACAGGACTTTCTGGGAGAAGTGTTGAAACATTTTTAAATCACCAACCTTGGTGTGTGAGTTGGAGTTTCTGAAAGTGTGACTGGTTATTTGGTGTGCTGACCCAGTCTGCAGCAGTTAAAGGGATATTCCGGCGTAAAATTAATTTAGGGTCAAACACACCGTAACACTGAGTTAAACACTTCCTTGAGAGGTGAATGTTGCCGACTGCTTGCTTCCTCTGGCCAATCCGTTACGGACTGCTGCGGGGTGACGCAGCTCAAGAAAGAACATTTATGATTCATTATTTTATCATTTCCTTGAAGTAATAATTACAATATTAATCATTTTGCACTACAGACACGGTAGTTCTTCTGCCTTAGTGTCTCGGTCTGATTGCATTTCCATGAAGAAATTATCATAAATGTTCTGTGAGCTGCGTCACCCCGCAACAGTCCGTAATGGACTGGCTTTATGTCTCGCTACAAACAAGCAGCTGCTGGAAGAGAGTAGGTGAGTTGTGTTTAGTCTCTTTGCTAAAGAAATTAGGCAAAGTTAAAAAGATGTTTGTGGCTATAGAGTGGCTTTTTGGTTGAGATTTGTTTATGGCTCCTCAGACCGCTGTGTATTGCTATCTTGCGGTTGTTACTACAGTCAGTATAACTAGAGAAGCAAGTGGTCTGCAACATTTATCTCTCAAGGGGTTGTCTAACTCAATTTGACCCTAGATTAATTGTATGCCTGAATATCCCTTTAACAGCCTTGCTTCCATGCTGGTTTTCCACTCTGCTTCTCAACAAAGGTGCTGATCTGACCAAGACTCCCGCGTACATCACCTACTGTTGACAAGTGCCTTATAGAAACCAAACTCTTAAAATACTGCTAGATCTTATGTTTAATCTCATTTATATTTTACAACTGTATGTGGTTTTTATCAAAGAAAAGGGGTGATCTATCTATCTATCCATCTATCTATCTATCTATCTATCTATCTATCTATCTATCTATCTATCTATCTATCTGATCACATTTACCCATTTTTTAATTTTCTGCACAATTAAGTAACTTCACATCTTTGTCCTCCTGTTGATGATTCTTGCTGAGCAGCTAAATGCCTCCAGTGCAGACCGTAGTCAGCCCCTGCTGCAGAAGACTGTCACTGGCTCTGCTTTGTCTCTGCACACTGTCCGTGCCTGCTGCATGCGTTTGACGTTTAAACGGAACTGCCCCTTTAATCGTGTGACTGAACTGCTCATGCTCAGGGCTTTGTGCTGGAGTTTCCCCGGCAGAGAAGCAGCTGTGTACTGAAGAGCGACAGCGAACAGAGGAAAGAGAGACAGAGAGAGAGAGAGGGAGAGAGGTGCTGCTCCTTAGTGTCGCATCCTCTGGTAACGAGCTCGGGCAGAGGGCACGTCTTTGTCTGGGATCATATCCAGGAGGAGCGCAGAGCACGCCGATGATCTCAGCTTCATGGTTTGATTTTATCCCCGGGATTACAGTCTGTGATGTTGTGGCAGGATCAGTCACTGTCGCGTGTTTACATCGGAGCCTTGACCACAGTGGAAGTTCTCTGGATGACTTGTGATGACGCGTCAAGGAGCGCATGAGGGGTTTTCATTGTTTTTTGTTTCTCAGGACGGATGGGTCCGAGTGGAATTGAGTCTACAGCGTTTTTGAGATCCAAACTATTTCCATTAAAGTTTCATTTCCAGAGCTTTATCTTCTCTGCTCAGTATGTTCTGACAGCGCATAACTACCCTTTTCCACCAGCATCACAGGTAGACGGCTTGATCTCCACAGATGACAGCAGATAATCTCTCAGAGTGAGTTGATAGATCGTGTTGAGTCGGGGCTGCAGCCTCCTAAAAAAGGCAAAAATAGGGTCCATCATGGATGTTGCTCGGGGCGTTCAGCTGTGCACCTGGAGGAAGTCGCCCAGGAAGGACGCTCGGCTGGTTTCAAAAACATACCTGGGGATATTCCTGATACTCCATCTCGTGCTTCAGGCGGAAGCCTCTGCAGTGTCCAAGTCTTGCGATAAGACCTGTTATTCAGGGAAGTGCATCAACGGGAGCTGTGTGTGTGACCACGGATGGGTCGGAGATCAGTGCCAGCACTGTCAGGGAAGATTCAAGTAAGTTGGTCATTGCTATGACACCAACCACGTGTCCGTTAGGACTTATATCCCACTTGTGGGCCGTTGTTTACATCACTGTTGTGTTAAGCGGAGGACCACACGGATATTTGAACCATAATCCAAGATCCGTGTGAATGACAGGTTTTTGTCAGGACACATCTACAACCTTTATTTCTAGTCTAGTAACAGCCACATCACTGCAACATGTGGTTTCCAAATACTGTTATTATTGCTGTGAAACAACCTGTTTACTTAAGTTTGGTAAAGAAGTTGTAAGAGTCAGACTTTACCTCAGAGGTACCTTTAATGGTCTATATAGTATAAGGCTGTAAGCAGTAACCAATGCCACAGATAGGCAAACATCTATGATCTGGTGATACCCGTTCTGTTTGATACACTACAGGAAATCACTCAATCTGCCTCTTGCCTGTTTCTGTCTAATACAGAGGAGATACTGCACATGTGCATCATTAACTCTAATGTAAATGCACTACATTTAGGTTCAACTGGTTCAGGTCAAATATAAGCACAGAGCACTTTTCTAAATATGTCAACATGTAATTTTAATGTTCAGACAGGAGACTGCTGTCTGCTGCTCACAGTGAATGGAGTGCCTCCCTCACTGTCACATTAGAGAGCTACTCACAGGCTTTAAAAGCCTGCCAGGGCTGCCATCTAGCAGTTGCTGTTTAAAAATAAATCAAGATTCTGAGACACGCTTTATTTGGCTTTAAAGCTGAAATACTGTATGAGAAAGGTTTTAGTTGAGTTTCGCTAGTCTTTGACCAAGCTTAGGGTAAATATGTCTACCTTTCTGAAACTTTTGCAGGGGAAACCTGGGATGTTTTGTTGTATCCGAAAAAATGCTCAAGAGAGGAAAGACAGCAACCATCAATCACTGCTTAGCTTTGATGTGACTTTAGTTGATTAGATTATTTTTACTGGATACTGCAATGGATCACCAGAGTCTTTTAGCTGCAAATAAAACTCAAGTAAGGGCTGGTGCCTTTACGACTCAACTGATAACAGTATCCATACTGTAACAATTCATTCTGCTGATCTTTTGTGATAGCTCATTTTCTTGATAATCCC